GCGTGATAATGAAAGACTAATGACCCTGAAAACCCTGAGAAAGAAGACAGTCATGCTCCATCCAAAAAAGCACACGTGGATGCATTTCTCATCGCATTCTATTCGATTGTAACGAACTCCATGTCCTTTCTTGAATTTCTGCCTGATGAATTTTTATGGATGTTTGGAATTTATTGTGTTTGATAATGAACAGACGTATAATTGATATGATAAATGACTGCCGAAGTACTAAAAGACGCTTTAATAAAATTACAACAAATTAAATTTAATAAAATGACAGATACCAGTTTTTATTTAGTCAATAGTTTGCACAAAAGTGGACAAGTTGTTTTAAACAGTGGGTTTTTCACTGAACGTAGGTAGACCAATTTCTCTCAGCACATCAATGGAAGAATCTAGACAATCGACAAGTTGCTACAATTTTTAATGTTGCTTTTTCCCTGAAAACATAAAATAAAAAGACATTTTCGTTCTGTTTTTCAGCAGAGGTTCAACTGAAGCAGTTCACTACCCAACATCGGTTAATTTCAGATTATTTCGACTTCTCAATGATATCAGCAATCGCTGGTGACTTCTTAAGACCATGTCATAATTTTTGCTTTTCGGCAAACCCCTAGAAACATTGGTCACGTTCTTATTTCTCTTAATCGTAGGCTAAGTAATCTGTCATCGCGTCTTATCTAATACAATTCATTTCCTAAGAACGGCTTAGGTAACTCATTTCTTAGCGTGTTGTGATCTTGTGTTTTTTCGACTTTATTACTGCTTTAAAATATGAACTTGGATTAAAGACACTATTTTCTGACAATCTAATAAGGAAAACTGACATGTTCATTTGTCTTATCACACTTAGGTAGTCCAAGTTTTAATTCAAAGTAACCTTACGTTCAGCTGTAATTTTTCTATGATTCTAAAAATTAAATTTAGATGTTCTTTATGAATACTCTAATTTCAATTCGTTTGGACTATTTTATAGTTTTATACTTCCCTAGATGGCTCATCAAAATTCTGGAATTTTTAAAATTAAAAATGCTGCTGAGTATGACAATTTATTTGGGAAGATCATCATTTTCGTTTGTTTTCATTAAATTCACCATTTTCGTGGTCCGCTTGACCAATTAATACTTTACAATTAATTAAGGTTTTTAGTTGAGATGAAAAAAAGTTTATGGTACGAGAGGGATTCGAACCCACGACCTTCGGCTTGATACGCCGCTGCTCTACCACCTGAGCTATCGTGACCTCGATCAAATGGCAATAGGAGGGAAAATTCATAAGGTGGGGTTGAGATGGGGAGTTGATGTCCGAGTGGATCGAGGTCACGATAGCTCAGGTGGTCGAGCAGCGGCGTATCAAGCCGAAGGTCGTGGGTTCGAATCACTCTCGTGCCATTAACTTTTTTTCATCTCAACTAATAAAAACCTTAATTAATTTTCGTTTGTCTTATCTCACTTGGGCAGCCTACGGTTTCATCCAAAGTAACCTCATGTTCAGTAGAATTTTTCTATAATTATGAACGTTTAAGTTAAATGTTCATTCAAATACTATACTTTCAGTACTTTTTCTCATTTTGTAGTTTCATACTCTTAGATGACTTTCATCAAAATTATATCACCTATCAGAATTTGGATCACCGAGTAACAGACGTAATAGAAAAATCTCTCGAGGAAAAACAAATTTGTTCTGCTATCTTCCTTGATGTCTCACAAGCTTTTGACAAGGTCTGGCACGAAGGACTCATCAGTAAACTAAAAGGTATGCTACCAAAGCAGTATGTCGATATTATCAGTTCCTACCTAACTGACAGACTGTTTAGAGTCAAACAAGAAGATCAATATTCAAAATTAAAAACAATAAATGCAGGAGTGCCACAAGGTAGCATATTAGGTCCACTGCTTTACTTGTTATACACCAGTGATTTTCCGAAAATAGATGGAGTAAAAATTGCAACGTTTGCAGATGACACAGCGGTGATATCACTAGGACCGACTATCACCCACTCAACCAAAATCCTCCAAAATGCATGTAATAAGATAAACGAATGGACAAAAAAATGGAAAATCAAGCTAAATCAACATAAATCAGTTCATCTAATCTTTACAAACAAAAAGGTGGACCATGTTCCGTCGCTCACAATCGATGGAACTACTATACCATACAGCAATACAGCTAAATATCTGGGAATGACCTTAGATGCCAAGCTGAGATGGAAAGAACACGTGAAGAAAAAAAGGACAGAAATAGGTTTAAGGTATAGACAACTATACTGGTTGATAGGACGTGGCTCCAATCTTGCTATACAAAATAAAATATTATTATATAAACAAGTCATAAAGCCTATGTGGACATATGGTATTCAACTATGGGGTTGTACCAAACACAGCAATATCAAAATCATACAAACACTCCAAAATAAAATCTTACGTAACATGGTCAATGCACCTTGGTACATAAGGAATAAGGACTTACATAGGGATCTTAAGATCCCTGAAGTCACGGCGGAAATACAAAGATTTGCCGCCAAACACCAGGCTCGCCTCAGCCAGCACGAGAATGTGGAAGCAACTAAACTCTTACATTACCGAAACACGATCAGAAGATTAAAAAGAACAAAGCCATATGAACTTGTGTAGTTATAAGTGAATAGTGAATAGTGAAATGTAAATCTTATTGTACCAATGGGTTTATAAGAGTGTAAACATTTATTTATTCTATAATATTATTGTAAAATTAATGGTTGGTCTAATAAGACCAGTTTTAATAAAAACATTTAATTAAAAAAAAAAAAACCTATCAGAATTTGGAAAAAATCGTGTTGTTATCCAATTTATTTTGAAAATCATAGTCTTATAAAACTTAGATAGCTTAAGGTTTAATCCAAAGTAACCTCATCTTCAGATGTGATTTTTCTATAATTCTGAAAATGTATGCAGAATGTTCAGTCAAACACTAATTGCATGTTTTTAAACAATTTTATGAGTATGAACGGAATATTGCGGAACACAGCGTCAAACCATTTGTTTTGCAATTTACAAATTTTATGAAAATGATTACAATTGAAAAAATAACTGATAGTAGCTGAAACTAGAATAATTTCTTCGCTGAATCACATCTTTGACAACTTTCTATCTCTACCGTGGAAAATGGGACATTAAAGCAATTCAAGAATTAAAGTGAAGGGGTTCTCCCCTACTTTGTCTTCTTGGACATTACCTTTATCTTTAGAGATTTTAGAATTACTTTGTTAAAGTAAGTATCGTATGCTTTTGTTGAGATTATTTTCAGCCTTGTACAAAGCAGAGTCGGTTTTGTAGCAGGCGTGTTTATACAGATTGTTCTCTAACTTCTGCAAATATAAGCCTGGTTAAAAGCACAAGTTCTTTCCGTCAGTACTGCACAATAAAATTATTTCTGGTTGGATTTACGTTACACTCGTAAAAATGTCATTTTTCAAGGCTTTATTAGGTAACTAGCTCGTTAGTTTTTACATGTCCTCATACGAAAATACAACTTGCCCTGAGTGACTTAAAGGCTTTGCAAGTACCGAGATTTCTTTATTGTCTGTTTTATTATTTAGGCATTTGTGAGAATATCTTTGTCGAATCTAGTCATAAGAGTTGGTTAAATTCAATCTGACTTAAAGTCAAACAAAACGGGCTGAAGAGTTCTCAAGGGTGACGAAACGATTGAGTGCTTTGAACCCGTGGTTCTTCCTTTTCCCATGGAGGTCTCTTGAGAATTCCTTCTCCTTTCTCAAAGTTGTCGATAGTTTCATAATTTAAAAAAAATCGACCTGTTATGCTATTAATGACCCATTCGAAAAACAAAGCACAATACGTAATGATATATAAATAGTTTATAATGAGATTAATGTAAAAGGGAAAGTCGAAAATCTCACATGAGACAAACGGCACAACTTTTAATTCAAGAAACAAAAAAAATTTGATACCAGTAATAAGACCCCATAAAAACTTGTCTAATAGAAATGACTGAATCATTTCTCCCCTACAAGTCGTATTTTTATATGGAAGCTTATTCCAATCCTACTTATTCATTCAACGCTATTTTTCTCATGTACTTACGATAGGAGATTTTGCCCCGCGATAGCTAAGTCCAGGACTTAGCAAGAGCCCCTTTCCATAAATGGTAAAGCCAACGCCTACCGACTCACCTTAACCTCGTGTTTGATCAGTACTCATTCAGATCTCTTAGCAAACTTCGATATATTTTTTATATTTTGATTTTTCAAATGGTCTCAAAAAATAATTATATATTTTTTATATTTACTGGCCTAATATATAAAATAATTGCTATATAGAAAAGTATGTTGCATACATTGTAACAAACACCATATATAATTAGCAATACGTTTATCTTTCCATTTTAACAAAAAAAAAACCTTGGACAATGTGTGATCCGTCAGAGGATATTTTCATCAATTACTTGTGATAATGAACAATAACGAATTAATTTAAAGTACTTTTTTTTCTTTTTTTTCCCGTTATGAACTATGCATATTAGCCATGTGACAAATCAGAAAAGGGGGGTCAAAATTGGGGGGGTTATTGGGAAAAAAGGGCCAGGGGCAACGGTGGGAATCGAACCCACGACCTTACTTACTGTACTTTAAACATGTTCATTCTGTTTACTCTGTTCAAATTTCCCTTTTAATAATCCAAACTATTTCAACGGTTTTATGCATTTATTTCTTATCCTTTGTTTTTATACTATTTAATTGTTTGTTTATAAAGTTAAAAGTGGGATTTTTTAACATTCAACTACACCCAATCGCTTAAATTTTTCTTTACTCGACGATGTTCATCCGTGGAACCACAATTGACCACTATTTTCTCTACTAAGTTGATAATTTTAGCAATTTATCACTCTTGTTTTATTATTCTCGTCTAGCTGTGTTGCACTAAGTTCCGCAGGGTTTTTGTACATCGTTAAATCGATCGGCATAGCGGCGAATAATCATGTTCTTATCACACTAAATCGAAAAGTAACCCATAGTAACTTGTCACGTGTCGTTTCATGTTCCACGTTACGTTTTTTTAAATAACTACCTGCTTAGGTAAACCATTCTTTAATGTCATTCCATTTTTTATTATTATATTGAAATTTACACTATTTATTAGTTAAATTCGTTATATGTTAAATAATTTGTTTTTTATATATCAGCATGTTCTTATCACACTAATAGAAAAGTAACCTATAGTAACCTGTCACGTGTTCGTCTCATGTTCCACGTCCTTTGGTAAACCATACTTTAATCTCATTCAATTTTTTTTAATATATATTATTTATTTGTTAAATCCACAACTGGGTTATTGTTATATGTTAAATATATAATTTTTATGAAATTAAAAATCACATTTGGGGGCTAACTTGAGGTTACCCGAGATAATTCGTGACGTATGAAGGTTGACGGTGAACAGGAAGAAGTATAGAACAAAGTAACCTCATATATTTTTTTATATTTTTCCCTATCACATCATAGTTAATCTGAAGATCACTTAAGTGTAGAACAATTTACTGGAGATATTCTTTTTTATTCATTATTCATTTCCTTATCCCACTTATATAACTTTAAATTTACATGATTATAGGCAATTAACCTCCAAATATCACATTATTTTTCATGTTCATTTGTATTATCACACTATATAACCTCAAATTTACCAAAATGTAGGCCCATTAACCTCCAAATATAGTATTGGTTTTCATGTTCATTTGTCTTATCACACTTATATAACCACAAATTTACCAAAATGTAGAACAATTAACCTCCAAATATATTATTAGTTTTCATGTTCATTTGTCTTATTAAGTAAGTTTAAGTTTACCCAAGTATAGAACAATTATTCTGTATATATCATTTTTTTCATATTCATTTACCTTATCACACTCATATAACCACAAATTTATCAAAATGTAGAACAATTATCCTCCAAATAAATTGTTAGTTTTCATGTTCATTTGTCTTATTAAGTAAGTTTAAGTTACCCAAGTATAGAACAATTAATCTGTATATGTCATTTTTTCATGTTCATTTACCTTATCTTAGCTTTGATTTTGTTAGGTTTTTACATCAATAGTTTTTTTGTTTTTTTCGTCATTTCTATTTTGATTTTAGGTATTGTGTTGACATTTTTGAAAAATGGCTTGGCGATTTGCACTGTTGAAGGCGAGCAAGGATCCTAATAAGATCATTTACTCGGACGAAATGATGTCTGTTATTGTCGATCCTTACGCCAAGTCTGAAAAACATTTCCTCGTTGTCGCCAAAAAAGATATTTCGAGCATTTCCAGTGCAAAGAAAGAGGATCTAGAAATCCTAAAAGCCATGGATGCCAAGGGAAGAGAAATCGCCAAAGCAAAAGGAGAAGGGAAACAATTCAAGTAAAAAAATTCACTCGTGGTATTACAGTTTATTTTATTTATTTGGATTATTTTTATTAGATTTGGTTACCACGCCGAACCGTCAATGGAAAGACTTCACCTTCATGTAATCAGCGATGATTTCAATTCGCCCGCTTTGAAAAACTTAAAACACTGGAATTCTTTCAATACTAGCTTTTTCATCGATTCGGAAAGTAAGTAATTAATTTTTAAGTAAAGATATTTTTTTTAATTCATAAAAACAATTTTATTTCAGAAGCAATAAAAGATTTAGAAAAGGAGGGCAAGGTAATTCTTCCGAGCAAAGATGAGATTAACGAATATTTAAAGACAAAGCTAAAATGCCACAAGTGTGAATTTGTGCCTAAAAATATGCCTAAGTTGAAAACCCATTTGCTTACACATCTTTGAAAAATAACATGTTCCTATTACTTTTATTAAAAATCATGGTATTAAGCTTTTTTTATTATAAATAAAACATGCTTAATTTTTACTGTTGGCTTTTCAAAAAAAATTTCATGAGTTCATAACGGTTAATATTTTTTACAAGACAATCTTGACACTTGGGAACATGTCAATTAGACCCATACATGAGACAATTAATTGGTGCATTGGAGGCTGTCCAGAGAAATTAATTGCACCTCATTTGGTTCAGGGAGACTGGAGTTTTTGGTGATAATCCTTATGATCTCCATGAACTTACTGAACTTTTGTACACCTTAGCCTTATACCTAATTAAACATAAAGCCAGCAGTAGCTAACTTTGATGCCAGGATTTTTTTTTTTTTTATTATTTCTTAAACTACTTAAACAAACCCTATAAACCTATAACTATAAATGGTATGATAAAACCTTTAATACATAAGAAAAGGAAGCCTTATAACAAAAGTGAACCAGAGTATTGCTTTCCATTCCAAATGCAGAAAGTATATCACTAAATTACTAGGCCATCAGAACAATTTTTTTTTTAAGAATCTGTATTTTGTCAAGCTCCTTATAGTAAGTAATTGGCATATCAGCATAGTCATGAGCTATCCTCCTGTAATTTTGTTGTTACTGCCTATCCTCACTGGGTTGGCCTATAAGCCCTAAAGATGGCAAAATGTCAAAATATTCCAGGCAGACCAAAATGGTCAGTCAAATTACGTATCTGCAAGTATCGAAACATATCTATCCTTTAAGGTTACATCTTTTAAATGCAAGGCTCAACCACAATCTCCCATTGAATCAGTTAGTGGCATCTTTAATCTCAAAAATCTATTTTTAAAAAAGTAAAAACTAATGCTTTCACATGAACACAATAGATGTACTTTGAGGTACAGAAGGCCTTATGCCACTTCTTTTATCCCCATCCCTAAAGCTTTGACACGGACCACCGCATGTATCCTTCAAGCCTGGGCTTTTCCTCTCACAGGAGTAGGTCTCCCAGCCTTCACACCAACATAAGAAATGTTCCGCTGTATCTTGTTCTTCCTGGCAATAACTACAGGCTTGTTTCTGCCACTGTGATATATATGCCTCCAGAATCTGAAGGTGTCCAATCAGCAGTCCAACGATTATTTTGGACACATGCAGTTAGTTTTTCTTACAGTCCTTTGTTTAACTTTTTCATAGGCCTCTATCCAGGAATATTGCATTGAACCAAGGGCATCCAGTCTGATTGGCAATTTGATGCCTCAAAATAGGTATCCTCTATGAACTTTCCTTCGATGCCCTTCTGCTCTGTGTTCCCTAGTACCCAGACAAGGGTAATTTTATTGTGTACAAGACAAGGGCATTGATACAATCCCAAACGGTTATGGATGTTACTACGAATGTTTAGTACTTGGCTTTCCAGTGGCTATTCTTTTGTCAATAAAATCAAGTTTCAGTGGAAGTTCAGCTTGAAAAATGATTGGTAAGTTTGGATAAGAATCCATATGCTTTTTACCTTTATCTCGCAAAAGGTTAAGGTCTTAACTGCCACCGGACTGTTAGAGAAGACGCTTATCTAGGAACACCTTTTTATATCTCTGGTGCAGTGTTCAATTGCTACAATTTCAGATTGTAGTGTATTTACGTATTAAAGTCAGTTTGGACTTCAGATTCATCCCGAGGACACCAGCTCCCATGCCTCTCTCCATTTTTGAGCCATTGGTATACTAGTACGAATAGTCCTTCAGAGGTATTCCTTTGGCCCAATCTTTTCTTTCTGGTATGAGTACCTTGTACTTGTTTGTGAAGTTATATTTTGGAGTAATGGTATCAAATGGTACACCTATATCTACTCCCTTAGTTTTCATTGTTCGAATGGCCCATCCTTGCAGATGGTTGTCCATTTATGAGCCTGTGAAGAGTATTTATTCCATTTTTGGACCCTTTTTTCGTCGCCCTGTGCCCATTATAGGGTTCAGAGTTGCTTGTAGGACATTGTGTCATCAGTATAAAGTTTAAATTCAGAGAAATTAAGAACTAATGGAACAACCTTTTGGAAAAGAATAAAGGTTCAAGTAGAAATGATGAATGGTGGAGTGAGTGCGGTGTTTAATCCTTTTTAAAAAGATAGTTCCTACTCACAATAAGTTGTTTTCCAACTATCTGGATTTCGAGCTTTTAGGTCATCATCAGATTGAGCCACGTGGTTGTAGAACTCCTTCAACCTGATGATGAGCTAAAAGCTCGAAATCCGTATCGTTGGAGAACAACTTACTGTGAGTAGGAACTCTTTTTACAAAGGCTTAAAAGTCCACGGTCTTATATGAGATGATCAAACTAAAGATTAATTTGTAAGTTCAGGGTCAATTAATCTAAGCCTTAAGTAAACATTTTTGTCTGATTGTCAAGTTCTTGCTATTTCCTAGATTTTTACATAGTTTAAATGGTAGAAAGTTAAAAGGAATAAACACCATTCCCTAAATATGAGCAGCGCGTGTGCGTGATGATGCGGATTTTGGTACACCGTGTACACCACAATCTGTAAGTCTATGTCACAGGTCAAAGTCACAATAGTCTGACCAATAACCACAAACCGATTCAGTCCAATTTTGTACCGAGACGCGAATGTCATAAAATTGTCGTTTAATGAATAACACCGTGGCACTCCATTTGTTCATATCGGCCGAGAAGAGAAGGGAAAAGGTGACCTTTCTTCGATTCGATCCGTTGTATCGGGTGGTTTCCGATGGGACGGCAGCATGTTAACTTCGAGGAGAAGAAAGCGGTGTAAACGGGAAAAGAAGTCCACGAACGATATAATAACATGACGAAACGCTAAAATGTCCAGTGATGGTGATTCCAATTCGATACCGACGGATAATAATTGGAAATTGTATGATATCATCATCGGCCTCACGACAAGCACACCACTTGTCACTTTTCTTGGTAAGCATGACACACGGATGAAATGTACCGACCTTTCATAACAATTATACTGCTGCAGGCTAAGTACTCGACCTACCAAAATCAATCATTGTAAATTTGTGCGATAGTTTGTACGACAAAAGGGCCGGAGTGAGTCTGGGAGCGGTCGTCTGACTGGGCGACTGGCTGACTCCGCCCTGGGATCTTCCGGACTTGCTGTATTAGCTGACTCCAACTTTTACATGCAACAAGAACTTGCTCAATAATCTGATTATCTTTTCTTTTTTATGTATAATTCTTTAAATTGTATGGCCTTGTCAGATCACTTATCTCTGCGTTAATGTGATATGACTAGATTGTCCTGGTGGAAAAAGTATTAGCTTGGGTGAGTATGTTAGATGGTCCTCAGAGATCCCTTGTCGATATAGATGGATCATCGTATATTATTGTTTACTTGTTGAAGAAGAATCGACCATGAAGATTAATGTGTTTGGGATCTGGTTTCTGGTCAGATAGAGAAAGAAATAGACTCTGAGATTACATGCCAAGCTTTCGGTCTTAATTAGACCATCATCAGAGCAGCATAATACCTGATGACAAAGACTACGAGGTCTCGAAGTACATGAGGTGGTTAAGTTGAACTAAAGTTTTCTTCTGTTTTTTAAGGATAGTGGTCTCCCCAAAATATAGATCCAGTTGATAAAGAAACGTTATGTGGTGGAGGTTCTTAATGCTTTTTTATCGACTGGACCTATATTTTGGGGAGACCACTATCCTTAAAAAAACAGAAGAAAACTTGTCTTAGTTCAACTTAACCACCTCATGTACTTAAAGACCTCATAGTTGATGTCGTCAGGGTTGTTTTTTTGTTTTTTTCATAATTCTGCAATGTTAATATAAAAATAGGATGCTGCCCTGATGATAGTCTAATAAAGGCCGAAAGCTTGGCAAGTGATCACAGAGTCTACTTCTTTCTCTACCTGACCAGAAACCAGATACCAAACACATTATTTAGGTAAAGTCAAAAAGTTTTTGGTCCCAACAGATTTTCTTTGTGTACAGAAGAGCCTTTCACTCCCCTTTGAGCATCATAAGCCTTTGCTAAAACAAAACAACAGAAATAATGTTTTAACTAAGGCTGATGATGCTCACAAGCTGAGTGAAAGGGTCATCCATAAATAAAGAAAATCTGCTGGAACTAAAAGATTTTAATATAATAATAATTAATAATGGGCATCGGTGGCTGCAACGGTTTAGGCGTTGACACGGCGCTCATCACTGTAAGGTAAAGGTCCCGGGTTCGAATCCAGCGGCCCTGCATTCGAACCCGGCATATTTACAAACGGGCTTTTCTTCAAAAACACCGGCACCCCAAGGGTTGATATAACCTCTGCTGTTGCGAACTCTCATAAAAAATAGTAATAATTAATAATATAATAATAATAAAGGCACGTGTTATAATCAAATAATGTACAATTAAATTACAGCTACTAAATTTTTACCATTACGGCATAGAAAATTCCGTCTGTCGGAACTGAATGAAAACATAAACAGGGCAATAAAGTGCAGAATAATAAAAAATGTGGATTGGGGGGAAAAAAACTTCCAAAAAACTTAAATTAAAGGAAAAGTGAATATATAAAATAAAAACAATAATAAAGCAAATTTAAAAAAAAAAGTTCCATTAGACAATAGATTAATGAATCCAGTGCTCAAATGGAATGTAGCCGGGGCAGAGGCTTGTGAAAAAGTTTATCAAAGTACCATCGCAGAAACTAACGGCAGAACTATTAAATCTAGGACGTGCTAGGACTAGAATAGTGTTGGAGTGCTAAGGGGACACTGCAGGCCCCAGAAGCGTAGATATGGACTCGGAGTGACGGAAACAAGCCTGTGCAGATTTTGCCAAGAAGAAGAAACAGCAAAATACGTCCTGTGTTGGTGCGAAGGCCTATGTAGGCTGAGAATCCTAATCCTGGAGAGGAAAAGCCAAAAGGATACACATGGGAGCCCTTCAAAAAATTTTGTATTCTGGTAAAAAGCCTCAAGGTTAACGGGAGCTCTAGTTTAAAAAAAAAAATGGAGATGTACAATAGAACAATACCGGTTGCGGTGCACAAATCATAATCCCCTATATAATCTGTCTATCTACCCAAAGAACTTAAAGGAAAATAAAATTAAAAACTAAAACCGTGAATAAATAAAATAAGAAAAATAATTAAGAAAGCAAATTAGAATTAAATTATACAAACAAAAATATTTATTTCTGATTATTTGGAGATTGTGAGATGAAGTCTGGTGTGGCGTAGGTATTAAAAAAGCATTTTCTTTATGGTGCCAACGTTTTGATCTTTATTCAGAAATAGTGAGATGCGGTCTGGTGTGATGTAGGTTTCAGAAAAACATTTTCTTTATCGTGCCAACGTTTTGATCTTTATTGAGATCATCTTCAGGGCTCAAAGTATTTGTTTTCTGCGTAAGAGTGCCATTCTTCACACAGGTCACAGAGAGAAACGAATGATCAAGATCCCTGTTTAATAAAAAGCTAGAGGATGCCAGAAGGAGATGCGGAATATATTTTTCGGGGTTTTAAAAAATTTTGTTTAGTGTGTTTTATCAATTCTATAGTGATTTTTCCAGTAATTTTTAACTTTCAGTGAGCATTTTAATATTGTAGATTATGTAAGTTACAGTTTAAGGTTAGGGGTGGGGCAGAATGGATTTAAAGTCTTACAAGTGGGACATGGCAGAAAAACACTGGTCAAGAAGCCAGTGGAAAAAAACTGTTCTTGCTTAACAATGATGGCCGTAAGAAAATTTGAATCGGAGAAAAAATAATCTCATCTAACCGAGGAATAGGCCATAGCCCCTTGGCTCAATTTGGAGAGCAAGTAGGTATGAACACTGAAACAGGATAGGCAGGCCAAAATGACCATAAACCACAAAACTGTGAATTTGATCATAGTAACTAATTTTTGTATGTAGTTGAATATATTTATTAGCATAAATGGACAGAGTGATAAGGTCGATGGCATAACTATGAACAGCCTTCAACCCTTACGTCAAAACCATACGAGGTTATTTAATATTGAATACTTCCATCACCTAATTTATAATTATTTACTTTCAAATGAATCATTGTTTAGTTTATAAGTTGTGGAGGCTTAAATTATCGAGTTTAATAGTCCTGGAGCACAGGCAGAATTATGCATTTTGTGGGATGGTTACACATTTTCTAACAGGTCCAGCGGTCAGTTCTGATGTGTAATTATAAGCAGATCTGGACATTTTAGATTGAAAAATTTCTTCTTTAGCCATACATCTGAGTCAGTTGGAAGAGTTGGCCAGTTCAGATAGTAATGTGCATATAATCGATCATAAATGACTTTTTATCCAAAGTCTGATCTTTGTACAATTTTATGTATGACTTAACATGTGAAAAGTGAAGCTGGTTGAAGATTCAACGTTCATACAAAAAATAAAAGAATTGTTCTAATGCAGTTTGGTTATAAATTATTAATAGAATTTTATTTTTATTTTTTTCAGCAATGTGGTATCAAATATTCCTTTGGGCACTTTTCTCCTCACTTCTCGTACATGCGATAGCAGCTATTATTGCATTTGCAACACTGCGCAAACACCATTTTGGAAAGTACGATTCCAAAGAGCTATCCTTTTTTTTCTTATTTGTTGTTTGTAAACAATTTGTTTCTTATTTCTAGGTTTTTCCCCGTAGTTATTGTCGTGATGGGCGTCGGAGGTCCATTGACATCCGGCGTGTTGAGCAGCGGTGCGATAGCGTTCGTATACAGGGCGTCGAGCCTGCAAATGACGCCGTTACACGCGTGCTTCTGGGGCATCGGACAGACAATTGTAGGAGCGGCTATCGGTTTTACTAGGGTCTTAGCAACTTTATAACATTTAACAGCCTTTTCCGTTTTACCACGTAAAACTCGACTTATCTTCAATGATAAATCAATATTTAAAGCAATGATTGAATTTATCTATTAAAACGTTTTTCGTTTATCTTCATTTTTAAACAAAGATAAATTCATTTTTTCATTGTTCAGACAATAAATAAACGCAAATCAATTTTTAAAATAAAACCTAAATCTATTTTCCTCAAACTCTCATCTTGACTGTGCTAGGCTTTTATTATTATCATTATTATTTCATTTTCTTTTAATCAATTTCTCAATATAAAAGACATTATACATTAAGTTTGTATATAACAATTAAACACATGTATAACTTTGTAATTAAAATTATATTGTTGGCAATGTAAATGAAAATGTTTTTAGAATTTGTATATAAATTCAAAAGTTAATGTACATATGTATTCACTTAGAAATTCGCCTACATTATTGTAATAAAAAAATCATTACTATATTGATTGTTTTAAACCCTAATTAACTAATGTTTGTAATATTCTATATACATAATCGTATCATTTGTGGTGCAAATGTCCACAACACAAATTAATTGCAATTTAAACCTCAAATGTTAGATATTTTATAAGTTTTGACAGATTAGTAAACCTATATATAAATTTAATTTGATCCTTATCAATCATCTCGGTGTGACAGGACAGCCCAGCAAGGATAGCCGGGTGAAAATGATCAGTAACGACCAAATTGCATGCTCATACCCTGTAGACTGCAGGAGTGTATATTTTAAAGTGGTTTTTTTTTTCTGTTTAAACAACTTATTCAACTAACAATAAGACATAATCACGCTGAAGATGGTGAAAAGTCTGACTGGCCAACCAAATGAGGATAGGCTGAAAAAAATGTTTATCACTCCATAGACCATATAAAGGATTCTCACATTTCTTCTGTATAAACAGTTTACTAATTTAAGACCCAGACACACTGAAGATGGCGAGAAGCTGAAATACTTCTGACGGCAGAAAGCAAAAATGTGTGGACTAACCTGATCTGGAATGACTAAACTACAGGTTCATCATTCCACCTACTTCAAGAGATCTAACAATAGCCAGGCTAATTTATTGATTAGGAATAGACACACCAATGAGGATGGTGAGAAGCCAAATCGCTCCTAACAGCCCAACCAAAGTAAAGATGGAAAGACTAGCCTGATCTGGAGCAATTAAACTACAGTTCATCATTCCACCTATATCAAGAACTCAAACAATATACAGCTTGATAGGCTAACTTATTGATTAGGAATAGACACACTAATGAGGATGGTGAGAAGCCAAATCACTCCTAACACCCCAGCAAAAGCAAAGATGGAAAGACTAACCTGATCTGAAATGTTCTAAACTACAGGTTCATCATTCCACCTACTTCAAGAGATTTAACAATATACAGCTAGCCAGGCTAACTTATTAATTAGGAATAGACACACCAATGAGGATGGTGAGAAGCCAAATTGCTCCTAACAGCCCAACCAAAGTAAAGATGGAAAGACTAACCTGATCTGGAGCAACTAAACTACAGTTCATCATTCCACCTATATCAAGAACTCAAACAATATACAGCTCGCTAGGCTAACTTATTGATTAGGAATAGACACACTAATGAGGATGGTGAGAAGCCAAATCGTTTCTGACAGCCCAGCAAAAGCAAAGATAGAAAGACTAATCTGATCTGAAACGACTAAACTGCAGGCTCATCATTCCACCTACTTCAAGATATTCAACAATATACAGCTAGCTAGGCTAACTTATTGATTAGGGATAGACACACCAATGAGGATGGTGAGAAACTGAATTCCTTCTGACAGCCCAACCAAAGCAAATATTTACAGGCTAACCTGATCTGAAATGACTAAACTACAGGTTCATCATTCCACCTACTTCAAGAGATTTAACAATATACAGCTAGCTAGGCGAACTTATTAATTAGGAATAGACACACTAATGAGGATGGTGAGAAGCCGAATCACTTCAGAGTTCTGACAGCCCAGCAAAAACAAAGATGGAAAAACTAACCTGATCTGAAACGACTAAACTACAGGTTCATCATTCCTTCTACTTCAAGAGATTTAACAATATACAGCTAGCTAGGCGAACTTATTAATTAGGAATAGACGCACTAATGAGGATGGTGAGAAGCCGAATCACTTCAGAGTTCTGACAGCCCAGCAAAAGCAATGATGGAAAGACCAACCTTTTCTGAAACGACTAAACTACAGGTTAATTAACCTGTATGCCCCACTAAGTTTTCTCTGTTTGAACATTACTGATCTAAGACACAGACACACTGAAGATGGCAAAAGCCAAAACGCATCTGATAGACCACCCAGCAGGGACAGGCAGGATAAAATTGTCAGTAATGACCAAAGTACAGGTTCATCACCCTGCAGACTGCAGTAGGAAATTCACAGTATTAATAAATCATAGTAGTACAAGTAAAGAAAAATTATTTTATTGTTTTTATAAATTAGCATTATAATATTATTTTACATTCCACGTGCATAAAAGCAATTATCACAGTGATATTCCACTTCTTCTCACAGCAGCGCTTAAAATTGGGTTTGGATCCGGTTCTTCAGTAATGACCCTAACTCTTGTCCATTCTCGATTCACACTAGATTTCCGAAGAGCGTCGATGACCGCTTGGACGTAAAGGCTGTCCTCGAAAGTCGCCGCCAGGGCTACAGGAGCTTTGACCCAGCCACGTTTATCTTCCAGCGGGAGGAACGCTTCTCTCAAAGCGCCGACCATTTTAAACAGACCTTTGACGTAAGGCTTTGCGACACCTTGGGTTGATTCGTGACTCTTTAAGTTCTCGACGTCGAGATAAATAACGTCCTCTTTGTCTCCGTTTTCTTTGCAACCGTACAAATCGCCACCCCTTACGACAAGGTAGCCCGATTTACCGCATACTAAAACCTGAAAATTCCAAATTCACTTATAAACAAGCCTGGTTTACAAATGTTTAATATACCTCTTGACTGAATGTAGTAGGAACATGCGAGTTTAATGTCACTGTCACCAGGGTACCCTTCGACATCTGCATCTGGAACGAGGCAAAATCAGAACTTGTGATGTTCCTGATGCCCTTGACGGTGCTGGTATTTTTTGTAAATGTCCTGATCAATCCGTGAACTTGAGTAGCTTTTTGATGAGTCAGAAACGACACTAAATCAATCATATGACTTCCCACCAGTGTCAAAATTCCTCCTATTTAACAAATAATCACTCAAACTTGTATTATTTATCAAAATAAACTAGATCAGGTAAAATATATTTTTTATAATTATGTAATTACCACCCATGGATTCGTCACATAGCCAGTCGTATATGTCATTGAGTAAGCTTCCAGTTTGAACACGTACATCGACGACTGTTATTTCGTTGTCTTTTCCCAGGTACCCGTCCAAAATTGCTTTCCGCATCTGCGAAAAGGCGGGCAGAAATCTCAGGGAATGGTTCACAATGGAAATGAGACTCGGGTAGTACTGCGCAGCCCTGACCATCTTGAGAGCCTCGCTCTGACAAAGGCCGGACGGTTTGTCGCACAAGACGTGTTTCCCGATACCTGCGAAATGACCGATAAATGAAAAATTTACAACACATTGGAGGCAGACATTACCCAAAGCTTTAACGGCAATCTGAGAATGGAGATTCGGAGAGCAGACGATGAAAATAAGATCGACGTCTTTCCTAAGAAGGACATCGTCGATTTTATTCGTAAAGAAAGGTATGCTGAGCTCCTTGGACACCTGTTCGGCTTCAGCAAGAGTCCTTCCCCAAATTGCTTCTATCTTAAAGCCTTTTGCTTTTAAAAAAGGGACCACCACTTTGACTATGTTCCCCGTACCAAATACTCCAATACCGGGAAGCATCGTTAACAATATCAAGTACAAAAACACTAAGCCATAAGTTGTTTCCCTTATACTTTAAGTTTAACCCATTGGTTTATCTTATTTAACAAAAATAAATAAACAAATAAATAAAACAATTTTCAAAGAACATAAAAACAAAGATACTTGTTTATTCACTTTACTTTTTTGTAGGCGACACATGAATAACCCAAAAGTGTCTATTATCCCCTTTCACATCCGGAAACAGTTATTTTTATTTATTATTTTTAAAGAATTGTTAAAAAGTAAATAATAAATATTTTTTCCTCAAACTAAGCCAGGAGTTAATAAACAGATGAAACCTATCCGCCTGACAGTTCAGTCATCAGTGATCAAAGAGACAATATAAAACGATAGACAGCATAACTGTGACGTCACAAAATGGAAAACAAACGCAAAATTTAATTGAAAATAAAAATAAATAAATTTATCAAGTTATTCTGTTAAATCATAAAATATGATAAAAGAAAGGCAGAAAAGAAACAAAGAAACAAGCAGTTGCTGATTATCAATCATGACCCATGACATAAAGCCTGATGTGCCTTGGCTCTATATAGAGAGCAAGTAGGCATGATGTGATGTAGAGGATTATGTAAAGCAGACTTCATAAAAAATCTCACAATGCTTTTTTTTCTTTTTTATGTACATATCAAGCTGTCACCTTTCCTAAATACAAATATTTTGGCCTTTTATTTTGGTCAAAATTAAATCCAGTGCTCGAAATTATGCTTTTAAACAATAACATGATCGTCTAATGTATTGCAAGGTTAAAATCATAAACTATGAAAAAAGGAAGATAGCAGAAGAAAAACTGGCCCTCAGGCTTGATGTGCCTTGGCTCTATATAGAGAGCAAGTAGGCATGATGTAACAGCCTCTTTCTTTGGTTAAAACTAAATCCAGTGCTGGCAATTAGTCTTTTAATGACATGACATGGTGTGACAATTATTTTTAATTGTAAAGAACCACCCAGCAAACCACAAAAGGAACTCACAGTACGTTAATTTTAACTGGACTTTTTTCTTGTTTTATGTACATATCAAGGTGTCACCATTTTACGACACAACTATTTTGGCCTTTTTCTTTTGTCGTTGTTAAATCCAGTGCTGGAAATTATGCTTTTAAACAATAACATGATAGTCTAATCCTAATGTATTGCCAGGTTAAAATCGTAAAATATGAAAAAAGGAAGATATCAGAAAAAACTGGCCATATGGCTTGATGTGCCTTGACTCTATATAGAGAGCAAGTAGGTGTGATATGATAATAATTTTTAATTGTAAATGATAACCCAGAAAACCACAAAAGGAACTCACAGTATTTCATTTCTTCTTGGACTTTTTTTCGTTTTATATAAATTTCAAGCTACCACTAAATACCAGTAGTTTTTTTTTTTTTTTTCGTAAAGATGATCTGTAAGATCAAACTGCAAGTTCATCATGACACACAGACACACAGGAGAAAATCTCATAATTTACGTTATTAATGCCCAATCAAATTCTTACATGTGAAAGTCTCAAACCGCAATACTAAAATTATAAATCCTTAATTAATTTAATGTGCAAATAAAGTTAACAGAAATTACACCAGTGTAAAAAGGCAGAGTATGGACAGGAATAAAAAAAAATGGATTATTTAGCCCTCAGGTACAAAAATCATAAATCTGTAGAAGGTGGTGAAACTCTATAATAGTTTTTTCTATTGCATTGGTCAAATAACCGTAGAAATTTTTCTCAATTGTTTCATCGAAGCACTGGCAGCTCCTTGTTTAAATGTATTTTAATATTATGTTTCACATACTTTAAAGAAATCTTCAAGAATTAAATATGACCTTCACTATTTGTACAGGTTGAGACATCAGATATTAAATTTTTATACATACTTTTCAACTGGGTTTCTAGCTGTAAAAAGAAATAAACCAATATAATTAAAAAACAAGTGAAAGAAATATTTTAAATTGGATTTTGAAGGTAGGGCATAAAGACACAATAAATATATAATTACTGTATTGAAAAGTGTAACTATTATCAAATAAACATTAATTTTGGAAATAGGGCAATATTAAGAAGTATAATTAAATATCAAAAATATATAAAAACAGGTAGTACTAATGTTTGTTCATAATGAAGTAAATTATCACAAATAAAAATCCATTAAATATTGGGTTTAGAAATCTATTCTGCTCATTATGTGAAAGATAATCTTTAATTAGTAATGCCATGTAAATTGAAATGAACAGATATGAAACCAATACACAAAAACTACCAGAAATCTGCTTTAGTTTGTGAAACTCCTTCATTAAAAATTGTTCGACAGCATTGATCATTTAGTGGTTCATCCTTTTCTCAAATGTTTCCATCGAGATGTTTTAATATTATTATTCGCGTGCAGCAACAGGCTCGCTATGAACAAATTAAAAATAAATAACTCCACTGTTTGTACTGCGGACAGGTGCTGGTTATTAAATTTTCATACTTTTCTTAAGAAAATCCTTACGAACCAATTTTGCCTCATTTTTAAACAGACTACGTTGTAATAAAATATATGAATGAACCGGGGTTTATAAAATTTCCATGTTTTAACTATTCATTAACGCTGTCGTAAATGGAGAAATCTTCTTTTGTTTTTTCAATAAAGAAAATGTTTAAAATTTGATTCTTTAATAACACACAACTGGGAAAATATGATGTAACATATGTATAACATAACGTTCAATATAATTTTACAATTATAAGCATGACAGTTTTAGAATATAAAATACTATAATAAATATCCTTGTTCTATATAGAGAGCAAGTAGACATGATATGAACTTGTTTTTAATTGTATAGGATGTCACCCCCTGGATTGACGCGGATTGGGGGTTGAAACCTAAGGGGCAGAGTTTAGCTAGGGGCGAAAATGCCCCCCCCCCAGGCCAGACTCCTTATCATGGGGGTTACTGAGAAGCGCCAAGGAGCTTCAGGTGTTCCCAAAACATTGGCTGATGAAAAAGGGCTCCAAACGATCCTCTTAAGGTCAAATACATAATTTTCATATATGTGTGGTCCTTAGTTTTAACTTATTTAGTTTTGAACAATATTTAATTTTTAATTATAAATAGATTTTTTGTTTCTAATTGATTTTTAGGTGATTTTAGGTTAGCTTATAAATTTTAAAGGTGATGGGTTCTAGGTGTTACCTGTCACCTTTCCAAACTACCAGTATTTTGCCCTTTTTTCATCAGTCAATTACATCCCAATGCTGGAGATTAGGCTTTTAAACAATGACATGATAGTCTAATGTATTACAAGATTAAAAGCATAAAATATGAAAAAAGGAAGATAGCAGAAGAAAAAGCTGGATGTATGGCTTGATGTGCCTTGGCTCTATATAGAGAGCAAGTAGGAGTAATATGACAATTATTTTTAATTGTAAAGGATAACCCAGAACACTACAAAAGGAACTCTCAATACTTCACTTCTTCTTGCATTTTTTTCTCGTTTATATAAATTTCAAGCTACCACTAAATACCAGTATTTTTTTTTTTTTTTAATTAGTCATATAGTATAAAGTTGACATTCCATCTCATACACAAACCGTATTTACAACCAATATGGACGTACAGATTAGAAGTCAGCTCAAAGCTCAAACATCCTCCATCTTGAAACTCGATCAAAAATTATTTTAAAAATTCTCACCACTTGATTTTATTTATCAAATAAAACTACACACAATTAAATTTTTGTCCATAAACTGATTCAATCCTGTTATGTAAATTTCATAAAAATCATCCCTTCACTAAAAGAGATGGCTTACAGTTCTAATGATGATAAGAGTGGATGAAAAACTAAAAAAAAATTCTTATAAATCAAATTAATAATATGTACCAGTAGGGTAGTTCCTCCACTCTTAATCGCTATACCACAGCAGTTGTTAGACCCACGATAGCCTAAGGATGGTGGCTTGGTGGACAAAGATACTACAGCTAGGGGCAGTCAAGCTTCTTAGTACTGCTCAGAGACTAGCATACCTGAGCATCACTACTGCTCAGAGACTAGCATACCTGAGGATCACACCTGCTCAGAGACTAGCATACCTGAGCATCACTACTGCTCAGAGACTAGCATACCTGAGCATCACTACTGCTCAGAGACTAGCATACCTGAGGATCACACCTGCTCAGAGACTAGCATACCTGAGCATCACTACTGCTCAGAGACTAGCATACCTGAGGATCACACCTGCTCAGAGACTAGCATACCTGAGCATCACTACTGCTCAGAGACTAGCATACCTGAGGATCACACCTGCTCAGAGACTAGCATACCTGAGCATCACTACTGCTCAGAGACTAGCATACCTGAGGATCACTATTGATCAGATACTAGCATACCTCAGCATACCAGCATCCAGGAAGAGGCCACAGCCAAAATTCAAGCCATGCCTACTCGCATAACAAGAAGCAACTAAAGAATCTGGGGAGCTTTAGATAGACAGTGTTTTGGGGATGCTTGTTGATGCCATGACCCTAAATTCAGGTTAGACAAAAGTTTCCAAAATGCCCAGAGTTGTTTGGGATTGCATTAGGGGAAAACAACAAAATTATCTTGGTACCATGGCACACAGGCAGAGTGGAGATTAAATCAGCAAAGGAAAGTTTGTTAAGGACACCTATTGGCATAATTTTGTGGCATATCAAACTGCCGACCATGTTGATCCATGAGACAATTTAATAAAAATGAGTCCACTAAATGGGAACGTAGCCCTGTTCAAGGGCAATGTGAAAAAGTTCATCAAAGGACCATCACAGGAACTAATGGTAAAACTACTAAATCTAGGTTGTGTTGGAGTAAGTGGGCACTGCAGGCTCCAGAGGCATATAGACTCAGAGTAACAGAAACAAGCCTGGGCAGATATTGCCAGTAAGAAGAAGTGACAGCAGAACATGTCTTCGGTTCAGGTGAAAGTTTATGTAGATTCTTCTCCTGGGCGGAGAAAACCCAAGCCTGAAGGATGCACAGGAGGAAGTCCTTGAAAAAGGTTCAGGATCTGGTAAAAACAGTTAAACTTAATAAGGAGCACTAGACAACAATGGAGATGAACAAGAGACCAATACTATTCAAGGTCATAAAGAGGCTTACACCTCTAATCTAATCTAATCCAGTCTTAATCACTTAGCACATTTTGTTGTTAATTTGCCATAATATTGCTACTTTTTACTCTCTATATGAGGTAGTTGTAACATGCGTTGTAAAAAAAAATCAATATTTAATGAAGCAATTATTCAATTGTCGCTGCTGTAAAATTCTGTGAGAAATTAAAAATGAACTCTTGTTTACATAAATGTGAGGTGTAAACTATTAAGTTTTCATTTATGCTTTCCTAAACCTGTAGGTTAGTTGGTATTTTGTATTGATTTCCTTTTTATTAAATTGATTGTTTTCCCATCCTTATAGACCAGTGTTAAAATGGCAATAACAGCAAAAATTTATTTTCAGTTTTTATTTAACATTATCCATTTTACATTAGTTTGTGTTTAAAATTCATACCAAATTTTACAATATTGAATTTAAATAAGATATTTCCACTTAAAAGAGCTAACGAAGTGCTTAAGTATTTTTTATTACTATAGTGAAGTCTATTGTCTCAAAAAATAAATTTCCCTCAACTAAATTACGTACACTAAAACTTATTTAATATTCAAAAACTTGTACATAATTTACTTCAAAATGTGGTCGTTGAAAATTTGACAGTGCGAGACAATTATACTTGATGAAATATACACTGGGATCAGTCGGTAGAAAATTTCATCGCACGCATAAGATTGAAGTAAGAATAAGCAGTGTTCATCACCTGAAAAATAAAGAATAATTCAATTATTCAAAATTCAAAAATAAATAAATAAAGGACAATACTGTGCCAAACAGTTCCCAATTGATGTCTGTTAAACCACCGGCCTTGTAGGTAAGACGAGTTTTGCATTTTTCTTGGATTATTACCATCGATTGTTTAATACTTTTACTGCAATAGAACCATTTCGTCTCATAAAATGACCGAAATAGTTCATCATTCTGTGAACATTTAAACAAAAAGTTTTTTGAAATATACAACAGATCGTATTAAAGGGTTACCAGATCGCTCAAATCTTGCCCTCTCTTGCAAATGACGATCATAGCTGTGAGTTCCAAAATGAGGAGGAGAAAGGAATGTAATTGTGGGGCTATTCTAGTCTCACCCTAAAACATTAAATTGTATCAGTCAGTTTAAAGATATTTAACTGAACTATTCTAGATATTTTCTTTGTACCTTGAGTAATGTAAATAAAGCGCAACCAATAATAATAGAAATAAAAAATATAACGATAAACATTGGCCATCTTTCAATGATGTCAATCTTTGTGTAAGCCCTGGTTAAAATAAATAATATAAATATATTTTTATTGACTCTTGAAACACAAATTACCTCAGGATTTGATAATGATGCTGTACATTTTCTTTAATGCACTGTTCATATTCCTTTGTGAATTTTGGGTCTGAATATAGCGCAATGATGTTTTGATATGTTTTAAAATCATTGTATTTCACTTTGCATTTATTCAAAGCCCTTTGTTCGATGTTCTTTATAGAATAGATTAAAATCCTTAATTGGACATTTACTGAGTGGGTGGCGTAAAATATAAATAGCACAGCACTTCCGAGCACTGATAGAACAATAAATGCGATAATAATTTCATATACTAAACACACGTATTTAACCGTATTATTTGTTATTAAAAATGGAAAATATAGTGGAACTGGCAATTGCATGTAGACATCATTGATATAAGTCTCTTCTATAACTGTACCTTGAAGCATATCTTCAATGGGACCACCAACGATTACTTGCAAGCCAATAGTAAAAAGCATGAATGATACAAATAGGAACATATTTTTCTGAACCATTTTTACTTCCTCAAGCCAAGGTTCAACCATTTTCGAATCAAAACTTTCATCATATTGATAAAATTTGCTGTGAAATATGGTGAATGTTTCAGACAGTATGTCTCGATTGTAATTCATCCAGAGTAATATATTAACGGTCATTGAGACTCCGCCCATTATGTGAAAAGCTTGAACCGCAATACCCAGTTGGAAATCTTTTATCAGTACTATTGTGTAAAATAAAATAATTATAAATGTCCCCAGAATAAAATGATAGAGAATAAATTGGAATATCGAAAAATAGATCCATTTACCCCTCAGGCACAAGTAAAAAGCAGAAACCTGCAGAACATAGTGAAATTCTTTCATAATAAATTTTTCGACCGCATCGGTCAAATAACAGTTGAACCTTTTCTCAAGTGTTTCCATCATAGAACTGGCATCTCCTTGTTTAAATGTATTTTATTATTATTTTTCGCGTGCAGTAAAAAACTCTTTATGAATTGAATATGACTGTTTGTACCAGTTGGGACTTGGCCTATTATACATTTCTTGAGAACGTTCTTCACAATCAATTTTTTATTATATTACTACTGACAATTTCATTTGTTGCTTTTTTTCTTTTTTGTACAAGGGTTTGCAATAGCAGATGGTCATAGCTACTATTTCTCCTAACATTCCTAATTGTTGATTATATTTATCCTAAAATTCCTGATTTTTTATTGCAATTACATAGCTCAAATAGTAAAATATATGAGGTAATAGTTTCACATGATGTCCATATTTCTTTGACGATATTACCAACGCTCCACCGGTTGGTTCCTTGGCTCTGAACTCATGCTGGATAAAGGATAAACAGCGTAGGAGACAAGTTGGACTATACCACCCTTATCTTGTGCCTTCTGTTCATGTACAACATATTCCCATTAATTATTATTTTCATTTGAGATTTTTGGTTGAGATAAAAATTAGTGTCACGAGCGGGATTTGAACCCACAACCTTCGGCTCAAGACGCCACTGCTCTACCACTTGAGCTATCATGACTTCGATCCACTTGCAACCAACTTCTCATCTCAACATAAAATCGTTCGAATTTTCCCTCTTTTTGCCATTTTTCATCTCAACTAAAAATGATGAAAAGAATAATTAATTTGAATAATTAATATGGACAATTGTGGCCATTAAACAAATTTCAATTAATTTGATAATTAAAAGAAGTAATTATTTCACTAATAGCTCCCCGTGATCACTTCATAAATCGCCGAGAATCCTGATCACGACATTTGAAAAATAACAAAAAGAGGGAAAATTCGAACAGTTGTAGGTTGAGATAGGAAGTTGGTGTCTAAAGGGATCGATAGCTCAAGTGGTTAGAGCAGCGGCGAGCCAAAGGTCATGAGTTCGAATCCCGCTTGCGACATTAATTTTTCATAGAAATTATAAATGATGGGGTGAGTGTGGAGTTCAATCCTTTTTAAAAAAAAATTGGTTCCTACTCACATTAAGTTACTTAATGTGAGTAGGATCCATCTTTTTTAAAAAGGACTAATTTTTCATCTAAACCAAAAACCTTTGGTGAAAAGAATAATTAATATTGTCAATTATGGCAACTAAACAAATATGGATGCAACATAGTTTTATTTGCGGATTTACTGAAGTGCAGCACATGCCCTTAGGAAATTAGGACTTAACCTTGGAAAATGTATTATACTTAATTCAGAAACACTGAAGATGGTAAAATACTGAAATGCATCCAGAGAGATCAACTCAGCTAATTATAGGCAATAAGAGTAAGCATCAAATTGTAAGTTCATCGCCCCAGAGACCATCAGGAGGAAATATCATGATTTAAGTTATTACTGCCCAATAAAATCTTACATGTGAAAGACTCAAATTGCAATACTAATTAGAATCCTTAATTTTTGGAGTTTGTATCAATACATACAGAAATTAAGCGAATATAAAAAGGCAGAGAATTTACAGGAAAATTATTATTTATTTTTTCATAGGTTCCTGGTCCGCTTGACCAAATAAATTCTTCAATTAATTAAGGTTTTGGTTGAGATAAAAAAGTCAGCGTCACAAGTGGGATTCGAACCCACTACATTCGGCTAAATACGCCGCTATTCTACCACTTGAACTATCATGACTTCGATCCTCTCGGACACCAACTTCCCATCTCAACCCCACCTTTTGAATTTTCCCTCCTTTTTGCCATTTTTCAAATGTTGAGATGGGAAGTTGGTGTCTGAGTGGATTGAAGTTATGATAGCTCAAGTGGTAGAGCAGCGGCTTATTTAGCTCAAGGTCGTGGGTTCGAATCCCGCTTGTGACACTGACTTTTTTATCTCAACCAAAACCTTAATTAATTGAAAATTATTTATTTACTTATTTGACTAAGACATAGGTCATTTTAGTCATTTTATACGATACAATCACTTACAAATATAAGAAAACAAAATATAATTATAAATAAATCAAATTTATACTACAATAAGAATCAATTTGAATTAAAAATTAATACTACTTCTTTTACAACTCAAAAGAAATTAAACAAACCATACAAAACTATTAAACTAACCCATTGAACAAAACAGTGGTTATACTTGTAACATAAAATTGAAATTTTTATAATTGTGACAAACAATGCGTAAATGTTGACCGACTTTTTTTTAACCGCTTGTTATTGTTATAGTTAGAATTATTATTTCTGGAAGCTACTTTTATGCTTGGAACATGTGTTTCGTGATCTCCAGCTCACCGCACATAATGCGGACGTCTTTTGGACGACCTTTTCTTTCATCTTTCAATTTCCATACTCCTATATATTGTTCACTCTGGTTACCCAATTAGCACTTTTATTTATTTATTATTTTTTTACATAGACAAGCAATGCCTCTTAATGCAAATATACATCTCATATCAATAATAGCAAAAAAATAATAAAACATTAGAATATGTGAAACAATACAAGAAACCAAAACAAGATCCGCACTTACAAAAGTAGTAAAAATTCATTCATAATCTTATCTTATATCCTAATTTTAATTTTAATATTGAAACAAATATATAAATGTATGTATATAAGGTTAGAAGGTATAAGGTTATAAGGTAGGTATAATATAAGAAAGGACAGATAAATAAAAATATACAGAAGTAACTATTAAATATATCAAAAAGTATAAAACAATTAGTTGCAAATACAGCTTGGCAAGGGGGGAGCTTCAGGCACACTGGGTTCTGGACATGGCTTTTAATGCCATAACCGTTGAATTCAGTTTAGAAAAAAAAATCCAAAAATCCCCGTCATTGAGGAAAACAACAAAATTATCCTTTTCTTGGTACACACAGGGGGCAACAAAGAGGCCTAGGAAAGTTCGATTATTGACCTTGAACCGTCTTGTGGTACACGAAACTGCCAAAAGTTCATGAGATTAAAAATAAATCCTCTGTTCAATGAGAACTTAGCCCAGCAAAAAGGCATGTGAAAAGTTCATCAAAGACCATCACAGAAGCTAACTGCAGAACTAGTAAATCTAGGACGTATTAGGACTAGAATAATAGTCGGACTGCTAACTGGACACTACAGACTTCGGAAGCATATAAACCCGGAATAACTGAAAAAAGCCTCTGCAGATGGAAGAAAGAAAGCATAACAAGTCTTCTGTTCATGTGAAGAGATTCCTATTCCTGGGAGAGGAAAAGTCCGGTCATGACACACGGGAGTTCTTGATAAAACTTTTGGATATGGTGAAAATAAAGAGCTCTAGACCACAATGAGAAGCAGAATAGATCAATACTGATCTTGATGTGCACGCCAAAAAGAGGTCGATACCTTCTCTAACCTAATTCCATCCACACTTAATAACTTTTCTTACATTTTATTGTTAATTTAACCTAACCCCTTATGAGGTAGTTGTAACACGTGTTGTAAAAAATAAACTTAAAAAAAACAGCCAATGATTCAATAAATTATCACTGTGGTAAAATTCTGTTGGTCAATTCTAAATGAACTCTTGTTTGCATAAATGTGAGGGGGTTAACTATTAAATTTTCACTTATTTTTTCCTAAAGTAATTTGTTTTATATTGATTTTCTTTTTAGTAAAGAAAAAAAATTATCATCCTTATTAATAATGTTAAAACATAACGGTAAATATAGGTAATAGCGGTAAAAATTTATTTTGAGTTTTTATTTAATATTAATTCATTACATCAGTTTATATTGTGAAGTCATACCAAACTGTACAATATATCTTTTGATTTTTTAATAAAGAGCCAAAATGTCTAAATATCTATAAATATAAAAATAAATGTCTTAAAAGTGTGGTGGTTGAAAGTTTGAGGTAATAATCCTTGATAAAATATCCAATGGAATCAGTTGGTAGTATCTGTCATCGCACGCATAAGGTTGAAGTAAGTGTAGACAGTGTTCATGAGCTGAAAAATGAAGAATCATTCTACTATTTTAAAAAAATTAAAAATTAAAAAACTAGGAAAATACTGAGGCAAACAGTTCCCAATTGATGTCTACAAGACCACCAGCCTTGTAGGTAAGACGAGCTTTGCATTTCTCTTGGATTATTATGATTGATTGTTTAATATTTTTACTGCAGTAGAGCCATTTCGTCTCATAAAATGACCGAAATAGTTCATCATTCTGTGAACATTTAAACAAAAAGTTTTTTGAAATATACAACAGATCGTATTAAAGGGTTACCAGATCGCTCAAATCTTGCCCTCTTTTGCAAACGACGATTGTAATTGAGAGTTCCAAAATGAGGAGGAGAAAGGAAAATAATTGAGGAGCTATTCTCGTCTCACCCTAAAACAGAACCAAATTTTGTAAATGATTTACATTTGATATAATTTAAAATAATATTTTGTTTATACCTTGATTAATGAAAATAAAGCACAAGCGATAACAATAGAAATAAAAAATATATTGATAAACATTGGCCATCTTTCAATAATGTCAATTTTTGCATAAGCCCTGGTTAAAATAAATAACGTAAATAAATTGTTATCAACTCTTGGAAACACAAATTACCTTAGAATTTGATAGTGATGCTGTACATTTTCTTTAATGCACTGTTCATATTCCTTTGTGAATTTTGGGTCTGAATATAGCGCAATGATGTTTTGATATGTTTTAAAATCATTGTATTTCACTTTGCATTTATTCAAAGCCCTTTGTTCGATGTTCTTTATAGAATAGATTAAAATCCTGAATTGGACATTTACTGAGTGGGTGGCATAAAGCATAAATATCGCAGCAGTTCCGAGCACAGATAGAACAACAAATGCGACAATAATTTCATATACTAAGCACATATATTTAACGATATTATTTGTTATTAAAAATGGAAAATATAGAGGAATTGGCAATTTCATGTAGACATTAATGATATAAGTCTCTTCTATAACAGTACCTTGAAGCATATCTTCAATGGGACCACCAACAATTACTTGCAAGCCAATTGCAAAAAGTATAAATGAAACATACAGGAACATATTTTTCTGAAATATTTGTACTTCCTCCAGCCAAGGTTCAACCATTTTCGAATCAAAACTTTCATCGTATTGATAAAATTTGCTGTGAAATATGGTGAACGTTTCAGACAGTATGTCTCGATTGTAATTCATCCAGAGTGATATATTAACGGTCATTGAGGCTCCGCCCATTATATGAAAAGCTTGAACCGCAATACTCAGTTGGAAATCTTTCATCAGTACCATCGTGTAAAATACAATAATTATAAATGTCCCCAGAATAAAAAGATAGAGAATAAATTGGAATATCGAAAAATAGATCCATTTACCCCTCAGGTACAAGTAAAAAGCAGAAACCTGCAGAACATAGTGAAATTCCTTCATAATAAATTTTTCAACTTCATCCATCAAATAACAGTTGAACCTTTTCTCAAGTATTTCCATCGTAGAACTGGCACCTCCTTGTTTAAATGTATTTTAATACTATTTTTCGCGTGCAGCAAAAAAGTCTTTATGAATTAAATATGACCTTCACTGTTTGTCCCGGATGAGACATGAGCTATTTTAAATGTTGACACACATTGAGAACGTTCTTCACAATCAATTTTTTATTATATTACTACTGCCAATTTCATTTTTCGCAATTTTCTTTGCCAATGCAAATAAAGGTTTTGTATGCCTTTTTTAATACGCTGTATCTGTAATGTACCAGTTTTTTCTTTTCTTTTTTTTCACTCTTTTTACAGGGGAGGTTCACAACAGCAGAATTCATATCAACGCCCAGGGTGTTGGGGTTTTTTTGACCCCAAGCTCTGGAGCTTTTGGGCTGTACTTTTCTTAAATTGTTAGTTCAGTGATTCGTGTTGATCCTTCTCTTAAGAGGTCACTAGGTCATTGAGATGCTAGGAAAAGCTCACTTAGGTTCCAGAAACAATTAAATTGGAAAGGAACTAAACAATTCGGGCACACAACCATCATTAATAAAATCATTCACCCAATATTTGATATAGGAACTGACTACATGATCACGGAAACATTCTTTACAACATCCTATAAAGTCTCAGCAGACTATAAAGGAGAGGTTGAGCTCAGGTGAGCATCAATGATATGGTATTGATGGCTCCAAAACAGACGAAGGAGCCGGATTGGGTGCTTTTTGAACAAGCCCGAGATATGAGCAATCAAACTCATTAGGGAAGCACACCTCAGTCTTTCAAGCAGAAATACAAGCCATCAATGCTTGTGCCATAGAAAATCTTAAAAGAGATTACACTGGGAAAAAATCCTCATAGGATCTGATAGCCAACCAGCCATTAAAGCATTGGCATGTAAAAACATCACATCAAAATTAGTCAGTGAATGCATCCAGAATGAACCTGGGACCAAAAACCTGGGGAAACCCAACAACTGATGAAGCCTTGGGTACCAGGACCTAGAGGAATTTTGGGTAATGAGAAAGCAGACAGACTAGCCATAGGAGGATCTATAAGACCATACATAGGCCCCAAACCCCCTCGGTATAACAAAAATACAGAATCCAAATAAAACAAAGGGAGAAGTGGATAAACTCTAGGGGCATTAGACACAGTAACCTTATAGGCTATAAAGCTAAAACAACCTTCACCAAGATTGACAACAGACAAATTCACTGCTGCAGTTGGAGAGGGCTAGACTCAGACAAGTGGACTATCAACCGGTCACTGGCATTTGAGAAAACATCTAAACAACATGGGCATATACAACGATCCCATCTGCAGATTATGCAACGATGCCACCCATATCATCTTAGAATGCAAAGCAATGCCCCAATGGAGATTTAACCTAGCATACAGGAAAAACCTATGGAATGAATTTGTAGCAGCAAGTCAATGACCTAGTACTTTCGAGAAGAAGGATTGAGTCGATTGCACTGAACCTGGGAATTAGGAAGGTACAAGCTAGAAGGCTGCAGTGCCTGAGGAGCAGTGAGCTCAAACCACAAAGTACAAACCCCACTTCCTAGGTTTATTATCAAATATTAAAAAATTTCTATAAACCCTAACCATCCCTCTATAATAGATGGCTGACAATTTCTTTATGATTTCATTGAACCATAATTCTTCCCCCAAATGATCCTTTCTGACTTCTTATAAAGTTTAAAGTTGATGCTTCAGGTACAAATAATGATATATATCTATCATAAAAATGTAATAAAAGTTAAAAAACTATATAAATTGTACTTCATGCTAATTCGATTCTGATAAGTAGTAAGTATCTGAGGAATTTTATGATTTTCTTGAATTGAGTTTTATTTGTGCATTTAATATTAGTTAGTCTTTCATTTCAGGTGTTTTTATATATATATTTATTTATTTATTTTGGAATCCAGAGCGCCTGCCAATGGGAAGCTTTTTTTACTAGGATTCACAACAGCAGAGGTCACCATATAAACCCTCAGGGTGTCGGTGTTTTTGAAAAAAAAAACATTTGTAAGTATATCGGGTTCGAATGCAGGACCGCTGGATTCGAACCCGGGACCTTTATCTTACAGTGATGAGCGCCGTGTCAACGCCTAAACCGTTGCGGCCACCGACGCCCCTTTCTCTATAACGCCCGTAACGCCACAAACATTGAAAATTGAAATCCAATCTGCTGGTTGTATATAATGCATGTACAGTTGTATATACAGATAAATGAAGTAAAAAAAATTAAAATACAAAAAAATGGAAGATTGGAATTTTGAGAGTCGAGGGAAATTTTTTGAGGGTTCCGGCGATTGATAAACAACACTGTCAATCCTTTGACACTTATTTTGTCCCTTTAAAGCCGAGAGTCAATGGCTACCTTTTTATGTTTTTCAACTGTTTTATAGTAAATAATTTTTTTTTATTTTGTCAAAGGAAAAGAGAGTGTGTTGTTAAAGGACGTAATTACCAGGGGATGGTGGAAAGTTTTTAGCAGTTGGAAGTTAAGTTATAAAAAAAATTGGAACGAGCGTTTTATATATCCCTGATGTTTTGAATGTCGATTAATTATGTGTGTTTATCAATGTTTTGATATAAAAGTGTCTTGACGGCTTTAAAGGAATATAATATAAAGTATATCTGTGAGAGAAGGCGGAAATATGGAATTGGGATTCGGTAGGAGTGGAGTGCTGGACACTCAGGTGAGAGGCCAGTGGTACAGAGTGGTGGTCACGTTGGAGGAAGAGTACTTAACGATCAGCCTCGACGATTCGTACGAGAACTCGACTGCTTTGAATGGAACTCTTAATAACAACAACACGCTGGATTCGGCATCGGGGACCCTGGAGAACGTCGAGGTGCCGGACTCGATCGCCAACTCGAACAGGATCGTCCGGGTTGTCAAGTCTGACAACAACGGGCTCGGGATCTCGATCAAGGGAGGCAAAGAGAACAAAATGCCGATCCTGATATCGAAGATCTTCAAGGGGATGGCAGCGGATCAGACCGAACAGTTGTACGTAGGCGATGCGATCCTGGCAGTCAACGGTGATGACCTCAGGGAGGCGACGCACGACGAGGCGGTCAAGGCTTTGAAACGCGCTGGGAAAATAGTACAGCTAGAAGGTAATTTTCACTATTCTCATATTTTCTAGATACACTAGCTCTGGATATTTCAATGGTACCAAAGCAACACCAAATTGCAAAATTTTTGCCTGTCTATCCTTGATTAAGTTTTCAGTATTCAAAGTATCGACCACTTTTCGATCGTCTTGAAGAAGAAAGCAAATTAAGTTGCTATTGCCATGCTTTCGATTTTAAGGCCTTTATCAGGGCGAAAACAACTTGGCCATGTTGGGACTGAATCGGTCTTCAAGGAAATTTGAGATCGCCTTTAAAAAAACTGAAATATGTCAATCTGTAGAATTTAAGCCTTTTTGCTTAATAGGGCAAAAACTGGGCAGTAGCAACTAAATTTGCTTTCTTCAAGACCATAGTGTTCGTACCCTTGTTTATGTATGTCAGATATGTTTCAACTTCGCCATTTTCAGTGGTCTAACTATGCAAGCAGCAAAGTTAGACAGTGTAAAATCATTCCTAAGCCTATCGTGAGGTAATAACTTGCCATTTTGACTATTTAGCCTTATTCTATCTTACATCCATCTATGTCTGTGATGGATTCCTGTATTTATTTGATTGTAGAAGTCAGAATAGTGATGATGTTATGCCCTCAACCACCTTCTTATTTGTAATTTGATCCTTACTGACATTGCTTAGTTGAATTGTCAGACGCGTCCGACTTTTTTCATTAGGTTGAGAACGCAAGCTGCAAAGTTAGGCAGGGTCAAATGATACTTAAGCCTATCGTGAGGTAATAATTTGCCATTTTGTCTCTTTAACCTTATCCTATCTTACACTCATACCATGTCTGTGATGGATTCCTGTACTTATTTGATTACAGAAGCCAAAATAGAGATGATGCTGTTATGCTTCCTCAACCACCTTCTTATATGTAAATTGATCCTTACTGATCATTTTCTAACCTTGCTGAGTCGAATTGTCAGACGCGTCCGACTTTATTGGATTGAGAACGCAAGCTGCAACGTTAGGCAGGGTCAAATGATAACTAAGCCTATCGTGGGGTTCCCAATTTTCCATTTTAACCCTTTGGCCTAATCCTAGTCCTCTAACAACATCCAAGTCTGTGATGGATTCCTGTATTTATTTGATTACAAAAGCCAAAATAGTGATGATGCTGTTATGCTTCCTCAACCACCTTCTTATATGTAATTTGATCTTTACTGATCATTTCCTGTCTTGCTGAGTTAAACTGTCAGACGCGTCCGACTTTTTTATTGGGTTGAGAACGCAAACTGCAAAGTTAGGGCCAAACGATACCTAAGTCTATCTTGGTTCCTCATTTTTCATATTTACCCTTTGGCCTAATTCTCATTATTTTACATCCATACCATATTTGTGGTGAATTCCTGTACTTTCTTGATTATAAGAGCCAACACACCAACATATTGGTGATACTTAATATGCTATTTGTTATGCCCCCTCGACCACCTTCTTATATGTAATTTGATCCTTACTGATCAGTTTGGTTTGGTTAGTTTAGTTTGGTTTGACAGGCGCCCTCCTGAGTTGGACTGTCAGACTCATTCGATTTCTTTTCATTGGTTTGAGAACCCAGCCTGTAAAGTTAGGCAGGCTAAAATGATTCCTATGCCCAATCCTACATATAATGTCTGTGGCCGTAACTGAAGGATCATTTGCAGACCTCATGAAAATATCTCAAAATAAGTAAATTCATAAGCCCTTCGTCAGCTTATAATTTGCCATTTTGACCCTTTGTACTAATCATCCCTGAACTGTACCAATCATCTTGGTCTGCCTATTCTCACTGGGGTGGTCAGACGATGTGTTTCGGCTCTTCACCATTTTCAGTGGTTTAAGTTCGCAACCTGTGACTTTAGGTGGTTTAAAATAATCATTTGCAGACCTCAAGAAGGATTAGGTCAAAGGGTCAAAATAGCAAATTAGAAACCTACGATATGCCTAGAAATTTACTTATTGTGAGATATAAAAGTAAATTTCTAAGCACATTGTAGGTTTCTAATTTGCCATTTTGACCCTTTGACCTAATCCTTATCTTCTATCCTTATTTATTATGATTATTAACACAGTGGTGATATGTTTTAAATCCACTTAACCACCTTCTTAGTCCATTGCTGAGCAGACTGTAAGTTACGTTTCGGATTTTGCCATCTTCAGTCTGTTTCTGTTAAGTCGCTTTTATAAGGTCATGGGGGTGGAGTTATTATTTTATCTAAAAAATTTATAATATATTATAAATGGTTGTTTTATCTTTCAACTACAGATCGCGAAATGATTAAATAGCTTGATTGGAGAGGTTTGAGCTAGAGGTCAACCAACTCAGACATATCACCACATTCCTCAATTAATTTCTCTATTAATTGAGATATAAATTTACTTTTTTTTCCATTTTCACAAAAATAGGTTTCAACGGGTTAACATATTTTATTCCACCTTTGCCTTGCCTCCACAGATATTTATTTGATCTCATATTTGATCTTTTCTAAGATTAATTCAGTTGACAATCAATTAAATTAAATCAATTGACTTTTACAGAATTATGCTGTTGACAATAAAAAAATAATAATAAGGTAGATTTTTTGTTTATGCATGCCAATTGTGTTCTTTAATCGCAGTTTTTAATCGCTTTAACAAAAGTTTTGATGTAGAAAGTTGATTATTTTTTATTTTGGATTTTAAAACCTTTGTAAGCTTTTCCAACTTTTTATTTTTTACGTAGATGTGTTTCGAGGCTCTTTCCTTCTGCTCCTCAGTACATTTTTATTTTGAGTGTCAACAGACGACTGAGTTGCAAATAAAAATCTGAAGTTGGAAAAGCTTACGAAATTTTTATAATGCAGGTTCTTATCCATATCTAAAAAAAAAGCAAGAATTTTTTAAATTATTTTATTTTAATTGCTAACGCATTTTGGGCCATGTCCCTGGTCTCTCTTCAGAGTTCACTATTTAAAGGAGTTCCATTTAACTAAATAGTAGGCTCTGAAGACATGGCCCAAAATGCATTAGCAATTAAAATATTAGGCATAAAAATAAATGGTGTGTTTAGTTAAAAATAAATAAAAAAATAACCAACTTTCTAGATTTAAAATATTTTTACCACATATTAATTTTTTTTTTTTTTAAGTTTTGATAATAGAATACATCAGACCTTCAGTTGATGTATGGTGTCCAATATTCATGCATATTTCGCCAGTTTGAAATGTTAAAAAAATATTTGCCCTTATATTCGAATCATTTGATGGAGCCTTTTGATTAAAAAAAAAAGTATATCATCAAGAACAATTCAAAATTATTCCATATAAAATATAAATTTGTGAGTTGGTTTTATTTTGCAGTGTATAATTGTTTTACCATTTTTCAGACAGTTGGATGTCATTCACATAAATCAAGATTTGTATCTCTTAAACCTTTGATTCAATATTTTTATAGCTTTTTAACTTTTTGACAAGCCAAGTGTATTTTAAACTAAATATTTATGTAAATTACTAATCATTTCATATATTTATTTTTTTTAAATGTCATTTGACAAAGATTTTGTTGTTTTTGTTATTTTCAGTTAAGTACCTTAGAGAGGTGACGCCTTATTTTCGTAAAGCGAGTCTCATTTCGGAAATCGGTTGGGAACTGCAAAGAGGGTTTTTGACGTCAAACCAGCCGATTCCAAAGTCGCCTCACAGGCCGCACACCCGACATTTACCTCTTCAACTATGCTACCTCACTAGGAATTATAGTTATCACGACAAAGGTAATTTAAAGGTAAAATGTTGCATTAAAGCCTGTTCAACGTTTTTTTCCCCTCTCCGTAGAGAATCGCTGTTTTGAGCTTCACTCTCCCGACTGTGTTCACAACTGCGTTATGAGGGCGGCAGATGCCGCAGAATGCTCCGTCTGGTACAACAGCATTCATTCTGTACTGATGCATCTGACCCAGTCAGCGCTTAGGCATGCCAATTCGCTTCTGACATCCTTGACTGGTGAAATACATCACATCGGGTGGCTTTGTCGTACTCCAGCAATGCATGTAAATAATTTATTTCCCTTGAATAAAAGTATACATATATATATTTTAATTCTGTTTTGTTTAAGAATGGAAGTTGTGATTCAAGTGAAGACAACTCTGAAAAATGGGTCGCAGTTTTCGGTGTAGTTACAGATAGAGAGTTAAGACTATATGATGGGGCTCCATGGTCTGCAGAAGCATGGGCTAGCCCGTGTCTAACGTGTCCTCTTGTCTCTACGAGGTATAGGTCGTCAGATTTAACTTTAGCGAATCAACATTGAAAGTTTTTTTAATTTTGTAGGTTGGTTGGGTGCAGCAGGCAAGATAGCGAGGCGATCACATTTTCAGTCCGCTGTGGGACGCACGACGGTGTCATAACGCACATCTTGCGTGCTGAGACACACAGGGATCAGGCAGCGTGGGCACATGCGATTGTGCACGGATGCCACAATGCTGTGCTTCAACAAGTTGAAATATCATTCCGTAAGTTCACCATTTAAATTTTATATCCATGGAAAGTATTAAAATCCATCGCGTATTACGTTGTATCAGGAACTGTATATATGCTGAAATCAGATACACTTCATCCATTATTACCAGTTCCTCTTTAGACCGTTGACAATTCACCCAGACCTGGGGCACAGGAGAATTTTTTTTTCCATGGCCACTTTGTATCCAAAAATAAAATAACCGCGCACCACACTGTTTTTATTTTATTTATTTATTTATTTTTTTTTTTTTTTTTCGGGAAACAGTGAACCCTCAGGGTGAAATAAAACAATATTTAAAAAAAAATAATAATAAATAAATAAACAACAAGAAAGTAAAATATCAATGTCCTCTGTATTGGGAATAAAATGGAAAAAAGTCTCTTCATCAACAAAATAACGGCCAGAAAACCAAATTGCATAAAAGAAAATAAAAGTTTGAACCTCGTCCCCATTCTTTTCCTTCTCGTTCCAGAGGGGTTCCTCCCTCACTCACGCGAACTTCCCGCTCCACGATGATGAGAAAATAAAGTCCCACAATAATTTAATCCACCACAATAACTTTCTTTTCACTTTCTTTTTGTCTTGTCCATGCCTGGTACAAGCTCAAGCCTCACCTGTCCACGCCGATGTCTTTGGCCTCTTCCAGGCCTTGCTCACCTTGCGAAGGGCACCCTCGTCTCTACCCGAATCTGGTCTCTCCAGTGCAAAAAAAAAATTTTTTTCCTTCTCTTTTTCACTTGTAACTCCATGATAATTAATTTTTTTGTTTTTCATTTTTTCTTCTACTCTTCGGCCGGTTTTACTATTCCTTTGCAGGTTACTGTTGTTTATTAACCCTATTGAAATACTGTGAACTTTCCGAGTCCCACAGTTCATCCTTTTCTTTTAAATGATTTTCAATGATCCCAATTCATGTCTAAAAACTACTTGAAAACGATAGTAAACAGTGGCTGACTTGTATTAAAAATCCAGTCTACACAATGGCCCATCATCAGCCACCATAAACCATCACCATCGTGTGGAGTATAGGCTGGAGTGCAGTGGCGGATATGAGGGAAGAGACAAGGGATGACTTTGGGAGTGGTTTATCCTTTCGCATCAAAGGGTTGATGCACATAAAATTTCTACCCCGTGCTGCTACGATCAATCTCATCGATCAACATTTGGAAGGAAGTTAATAGCCCAAAATTACCCAAGGACTGGTTACCACTGTTGGTGCCATCTTTCCAACCACTATAGTGGGTCAATGGATAGAGGAAGCAAAAGATAAGTGAACCATGCAATAATGGAGTTATCATCGCAGCTGTCCACAGTGTGACTTGCTCGTATCCTTAATTATTTCTTTTATGCGACAAGACCACCAATTACCAACAGAGTAAAGCAGCATGGGCTGTATCCACTGTGTTAATATGATGTGTGATGGCAATAATGAGCAAAAGGCTTTATGTTATTTTAGCAAATTTTGTTGTTTTCAGGATGTCTGTATCAAGGTAAATCTGCTCAGTTAATTCTACACTTTGAGAATGGATTCAGGCTGATTCAGCAGAGGACGACGATTTGGCAGTATCCTTTCCACAAGCTCAGGTCTTCGGCTGATGACGGCTCTCATTTAATCTGGTTGGATTTCGGACCTGACCAGCCTGACATTGTAAGACGGTTATCTCATCCTCGCTCTTCCCGTGTACACTGTAATTTCTTTTCCAGGAGCTGGACTTGGAATGCTGCCCTAAGCCGCTTGTATTCATACTTCACAACTTCCTCTCTGCGAAGGTGCACAGGTTAGGCCTGTTCGCATGAATCTGTCAGAGCGAACGCGCACGACGAATCTCGACTCCCCATCCCCTCCTTTGATCTCCGTCCCGACATTCCTCCCCCCTTGATTCCCCTTTCTTAAGGAGGTAGAATCTCAGATTTGTGTCGGGTGGCTTTGAACGTGCGCTATCGCTAATTAAAAAACTTTTTTTTAAAATATTTATAAAAAACTTGCATTCATAAGGAAAAATGCTTTCTTCATTATTAATGTTTAAAAGGTGTACAAGCAATATACTAACACAAAAAAGACATCACAGAAATGTATATTTAAACTAATTTAAGTAATGTACAAAGTAAAGTTTTAAGAGAGTATTTATTAAAGTAATGCTAATACATTTTATTAATATATTAACATTAATTTTTACCTCAGTATGCCTAAATTTTTATTAAAAATTTAAAAACTTGTTCCTAACTTTTCATTAGAATTTATTTCACTCTTTTAGTATATTTTTTTAAATGTTTGCTCTAGGGCGATTTTAATCGTATTTCTTGGCCTCTTTTGTCAGGTTATCATATAACTGTGATTTTTAACTGTGATGGCAGTGTTTTGTGTATTTCTGTTCAAGTCTCTCTAATTATTAATAAGTTTTTAATAATAACAATGACATTCCAATAGATTCATTGTGCCTTTATTTTATTTTTCTGTAAAAATTTGTTTTTACATATTATTTCATCGCTCTTTTTTTTTCAATATAGCCTTATTTTACTATTTTAAACAACTAACACCAAATTTGTCGATAACCTATTATGTTTTTACTAATAAACAGAAAAAATTATTTTTTTCTTTCTAAAAAAATTTTAAAAAGCTGACCTTTAAAATCATCCTAGAGCAGCACTCAATCGAACGGTCTAAACTCGAATAGTATTTCAATTTAGAATTTAGTAATATAAGCCAAGGAAATAGGGATGTTTTTAAAGAAAGGGTGTTTAATATATTTGTAAGTAAAAAAAAGTCTATGTGTAACTTTTGTCCCTCAGCGCACATCAAGCTTTAGGTAATTTTATCGCTAATTTATTAAGTGTATAAGTGATCTTTATACACGTTTATACGACGATTGTTGAGAGTACAATTCACAATTTGTGCATGAGTTTGTATTCAGTAAATGAAAACAAACGAATTTTAAACCTAACCTGTTGGAAGTATTCTTTTTACACTGGGCCATTTTTTATTTTTTATTTTATTTTATACTACTAACAACTAAATTGTGTTTTTACATTTACTAATCCTTCTGAATGATTTCAAGATGATATATTTTTATATACTGTAGAATTTATATAATGGTAAAACAAAATGGTTACAGTTTTTCCATGTGGTCTGCAAACTTCCACGTTTCCCATTCCATGTTTTAAAAAGAACAAAAAACAATCTTACATTCCTAAATGATATTAATAAAAGGAAGTTGTTAGAATAAGGTACTAAGTCAATTGAGTAATTCAAAATATAAAGAATTGTTAAGGATTTAAAAAGAGAAATGTATAAAAATCTAATTTATACAATTTAGGGATTAAGGGTTATAATCTGATTAAAAATTGTCAATTTGTAGTCGGTATAATTGCGAACGCATTGTTTTTAAAATCAAAACAAATTTTATTGTTTTAAAGTTTTCAAAAGTGTTTAATTAGATTTTTTTAATTTTTATCTTAGTGCTTGGCAAAAAATTGATACGTACAGAAATATTTACACCTGTTGAATTCCTTTCCATTTTAAACTCAATTAAAAATATAAAATAAACGGACAAATTTCAAAATATTTCAACGGGCGAAATGTTTCTGGTGAAAACCATTGCAATTTCCGTATTCAGTGATACTTTTTGTACAAAAAAAAATCCCAAACAAGGCCGAAAGTTTTCAAAGGCCTAATTATCATCTTTCAAGCCCCCAGAAACTGAAATTTTGCATCTATTTGCGATTCTAATTGTAGTTTATATTTTGTATCAAGTTTTACTGCTTCCAAGCGATGTCTGCTCATTAAAAAAAGAAATTGTATTTAAACCAAACTTTTGAGATAGATTGTTTCATTTTTTTGAGGTAATTGTTTATTGTTCCTGATGTATAGAAAAAATGAATATAAGAGTATTTATTAAAAAAATTTTAAAAAAACTTTTAGCTAATGTTTTATTTGTTATAGCAATTAAAGTTGTAATTAATAGTGTGTGTACTTATTTCAAACCTTTTAACTATTTATTTTTCATAATAAGATCCAGATTATTTGTGAGTGAAAAAAGGGGTCGATACATCAAACACGTTAATTATGAGCACCATAGGACCTTTGGCTTCACCATATCCATCTTTCAAGTCAAACTGCTAGCCATAGAAACATGAAATAAATAAAAAAGGTGCAACAATAATAATTCTTTCATGCAGCTCTACAGGCTCTCCAAGCCTGTGAGATCGACTCAAAAATTGTCTGAAACTGCCTAAATTCCCTGGAAAAAAAAAACTGAAATCTTCAAATAGCCTATCGTTAAAATGCTCACAGGCCATGAAGGAATTACAAGCAACGAGGCAGTAGATATACTCTAAAAAAAAGTGCCTTGGAACAACTCTCAGATACAAATCAATTTTTTGGCATAAACCATAGCAATATTAAAAAAAGAAAAAAATGCCCGCTTGGCTGTCCGATCTTATGAGAATTTTTGGCACCTCCTAATATACCATGGTATCTGATGTTCTCCTGAATTCTTCTACTTTGTAGTCTGTTGAAACTTTATTGTACGTTGTAAAGAGTGTTTCCAGGATCATGTAGTCAACATACGATAGGATAATGACCCCCCCCCAATAAATACTGATAATGAAAACTAGGCAAAAAGATTACTCACAAAAATAACCCAATGGGAGAAAGAGGAAGTCCTACTGAACAGAAATAAATTTAAAAAAAAAATCTAACGTTTAGGTTACAAAGAAGTGACCAGTGTCAAGTATGTCTAGAAAAAAAAATATCTTACTTGCGTCCATGCAATAGCTAGAAAAAGGCTATGATACCTGGGAAAGCTGTTCAATTATATTTAGTTAATTATCTGTATATACCTTTAGAAGCTATTATTAAAATGCTAACTTATGTCTATTAAACTTATTACTATGTTGGTCAACTAAAGTTAGTAAAGTATTTGTGTTTCAATAATTCATATTAATACAATTTTGATCATAATAATTACTATAATATATAACAAAAATAATATAAGGGGATAAATTATTATTGTTTGATTGAAAAAAAAATTTTTGTGTTCTATTTTTTTACAAAAATTCAATGTTTTTGGTACAATAATCCTATCGTATGTTTAATATTTTTACATTATACTATTTACTTACAATAATAAAAATTAATAAATTGGGATAAATATTAATTTATTTATTTTAAAACAATAATTTGTCTGAGTATGGTCATTGAGACGGTAGGTAGGTAGTTTGGGAGAAATAGGAAATCCTACTAAACAGAAATGAATTTTTAAAAAATCTAACGTTTAGATTACAAAGAAATGACCAGTGTCAAATATGTCTAGAAAAAAAACAGAATGTCCTACACAACTGCCATGCAATTGCTAGAAAAAGGCTATGATACCTGGGAAAGCTGTTCAATTATATTTAGTTAATTATTTGTATATACTTTTAGAAGCTATGGAGTACTTATGTTGTCTATTAAATATTATTACTATGTTGGTCAATTAATGTTAGTAAAGTTTTTGTGTTTTAATAATTCATATTAATATAGTTTTGATGATAATAATTACTATAATATATAATAAAAATAAAACGAGGGGATAAAATGTTATTATTTGATTAAAAATTTTTTTTTGTTGCAAAAATTCAATTTTTTTTTACAATAATCCTATCGTAGGTTTAATATTTTTACATTATACGGTTTATTTACAACAATGAAAATTAATAAATTAGGATAAATATTAGTTTATTTATTTTAAAACAATAATTTGTCTGAGTATGGTCATTGGGAAGGCAGGAGGTAGTTTGGGACGAGGGTTGTTGGATGTGCAACCTCCCAAGTTTTAATACTCAATACTGGTACTTGTTTACCAGAGATTGTCCCGTTCGTACAATACTTAGTAGTGAAACTTTGAAATAAAATTGTCTCTTTTATTAAACAAATTTAATATACAGGTAATTATTTTTGATCTATATGTAATCGTAGGTTGAATTTCGTTTAAAACAATATGGTTTTTTTTTTTGTAAAATAATAAGCGTAAAAGATATTTGTTGTGTCGTTTTAGGCGCTACAATGACGGATATAAGAGACATTTTGGAGATTGAATCTGCTAAGTCGGATATAACAAAGGAGTCGATCATCGGAGCGGACAAGAAGGCGAGAAGGGCGCTTTCAACAGCGCAGAAGGCAAATAAGCGTCCCGAAGGGATGGCGAGAGAGGTATTCGCCCTGCTTTACAACGATAAGAAAGATGCACCACCCCTTTTCCCGACGGACACCGGCCAAGGCTACAAGAACACAAAGGCCAAGCTTGGCATGAAGAGCGTCAGGCCGTGGCGCTGGACCCCTTTTACCAACCCGGCCCGTAAGGACAACGCCGTGTTCCACCATTGGCGTAGAGTCTGCGACGAAGGAAAAGAATACCCCTTCGCTAAATTCAACAAGGAAGTTCAAATCCCGACGTACACAGACGCAGAGTACAGTGCGCATCTTGCCAACGACAGCTGGACGCGCGATGAGACCGACCACCTTTTCGATCTCTGTAAGCGGTTCGATTTGCGATTTGTTGTAATGTGCGACAGATGGGATAAGACGAAATTCAAGCCGAGGTCGATTGAGGACCTCAAGGAACGATATTATCATTGTCTTTCAGCATTAGCACAGGTGTCTATTATGTTTAATTATGATTAAATAAATTTTTAATAATTTTATTTAAATAAGGTGAAGACTGGGCCAGGTTTGACGCCGGAAGCAAAATCTTATGTCTTTGATGCAGAGCACGAAAGAAAAAGGAAAGAACAGCTATTAAGGCTTTACAACCGATCTAAAGATCAAGTAATACCAATTAGAAATTTACCAATTTAAAAAAACTTATAAATATTTTGTTTGATGATCAAACAGGTTGAAGAGGAACAAATGCTTCAAAATGAGTTGCGCAAGATCGAAGCCAGGAAGAAAGAAAGAGACCGAAAGACGCAGGACCTTCAGAAACTCATCACTGCAGCAGACAGTCAGAACGAACCGCGTAAAGCAGAGCGTAAATTTCACAAAAAGAAGTTGCAGCTCAGGTTCGACACATTATCCGGAGAACTGGCCAATATTAAGTTCCCGGACATCAAGGGCAGCGGTGTTACGGTGAGATCGCAACGGATGAAGCTGCCTGCTAATATAGGACAGAAAAAGATGAAGGCCATCGAACGCCTTCTCGCCGAGTTAAACATAGGTTTGATTTCATCTATTAATAAACAATTTTCTTATAATAATTTGTCTATTCTCAAATGCTGACCAAGTCAGTAAAGATAAGCATAACTTGAGGAAATCATCTCATTTTATGCATCAATTTCAAGTTTATTATCTGTATGATTTTTTAGAAATGAACCCAATACCGACTGAAGAAATCTGCCAAAACTTCAACGAACTTCGAAGCGATTTGTTACTCTTGAATGAACTGAAGAGCGCCATGGCGACGTGCCAATTTGAACTTCAGACCCTCCGGCATCAGTACGAAGCCATAAACCCGGGGAAAGTAAGTCTGAAAATCCCTACAGCTCTTTCATAAATAATCATTTTGTTTCACTTTTTAGACCTTGATCATTCCAAAAAGCCTGTGTGCGGAGAACGAAACGGTCGAAGCGAGCGAAAACACGAAAATTAAGACGGAAATAATCGATGTCGTAGGTTCACCACAGACTGTTAACACTTAACTTTTTTTTCTTTTTTTTTAATTTTAATGGCCATAAAATATTGCATTTCATCAAGTATATATTTTTACTCCTTGTCATCCTTTTCATTTTTAGAGCCCCTATATCTATTACTGACAGAAAAAAAATTAAAGAAACTTTTTTTCACGGGTAAGTATTTTTAAATTAGGAATTTTATACTATCATGTATGATTGTGATTTACTAGGTCCACTCAATTCCCAATCTCAATGACATTTGAAAGTTCCTACGACAAGTGATCTTGATACGGTGTATTTTTACAATAAAAGGAAGGAGTTGGCACTATTTTATCTTATATTTATCAATAATTCAGTATAAAATGTTTATTTTAAATTAAAATTATAAATTGATTATTATTTGTTTAAATCTGTTCAAAGAAAAGAAAAAAAGCTAGATCGAAACAGTTTTATTATTGATTTTTACAGTAGTTTTTACTTAACACTTTCAACGCGGAAGCCAATTGGCCACAGACTACCTGCGTCCCGACCCATTCAACTCGTTGGCTTGACCTGGCTGTGGTGTCCGTCGGTACAGCTGTCTTGACAATGCTTCAGTAACGTTAAATAAATTTTTGTAAATTGTTAAATGTTTGCTTTTCTTTGTAAAAAAATAATATCCTATGTACAAAATCAATACAATAAGGTAAAAGCTAAACTAACAAAATTGAGATAATTTTTTTAGTTAACACTTAAATAATATAATTTACTTATATTCATACTGTAAAAATATTATATATGCTATTAAATAATATAAACAATTTAACAGTCAAGCCGACGATCAACCAGTGGAGCCTGGAGGGCATATCCCGAAGGGAAATTGTTGTCCTGGCCCGCCTGCGGATCGGTCACACACGTGCGATTCTTGGTGCGATGGCACTAGTCGACCCAGGTGCCCAGCATGCCAAGATAACAGACTCACACGTGTTGGAGGGGTGTCGCAGCTTGTCCCTGTATATGGACTGAAATGGAATAGGAAAATGCTTGAGCATGGCAGCGAGTTTAAAGAAATTTTTTTTAGGTTTTTGAGAGATATTACAATAATGGGTTGTATACAGTGGGGTATTTATTTTATAGGTTAAATTTATGTTAGAATAGGGGTATGCTGGGTGGCGGTGCACCAAATCATCTCAAGGCTCCACCCACTGCTCTGCCAAGCCGGATCGGGGTGGAATATCGATTACCCTCCAACTCGGATTCTAAACAGAGGTATTCATGTGTGAGTGAGTGTGAGAATGACTAGTTTTAGGGAACGAAATGGCCAAAAAAGTCAATGGCGCCCAATCAGAGCCCAACCTCGGAGTCGCTCAGGCACCAAGGTGGGTGGAGGCCTCCTGGTAGGTCTTGTAATTCCAATTCTAATAACACGCAGTAAACAAAAACCAACAAAATAATAAAATTATTAACATTAAACTATACTAAATCCGTTATATTTAGTGGTCTGATTGATCAAATTACTTCTTTCAATTAACCAACTTTTTATGTAAGGTTTTGGTGGAAATGAAAAATTAACATTATAAAATAAAAATTTAATAAAACTAGATTACAAATAATAAAAACAACATTATGCAAAATTTATTTAATATATATAAAATAAAATTATAAAATTAATCGAATAAATATATTTATGTACACATACAGCACTACCTATATATGATTTAACAAAAATGTCAAAATTAGGAATGTTTAAAAAAATATTACATATTTTTCAATGTATAAAACTTAATAACTGATGAAAAATGAAATTATAAATTTTTGTAGTTACTAATTGTTAAAACAGTTTTATTCTTATGAGCATCACCTTGCTCATCATCATCTTCGTCTACTCACTAACAAGTTCAAAATCGTAGCCAGAATCAAGTCTTGATCGTCCATATTTTTCAAATCTTTTATTTTTATTTTTATTTTAAACTTTTTTGGTACCATGGAGTTTCTTCTCTCTAAAAAAACAGACATCAAGAAGAAACCAAAATTGATAAAACCTAATTTCTAATAAAATTACATAAAACTTAATTCACTACTTTCGTGGTTCGCTTGACCAATTAAAAAAAAGGAGGGAAAACTCATAAGGTCGGGTTGAGATGGGGAGTTGATGTCCGAGTGGATCGAGGTCACGATAGCTCAGGTGGTAGAGCAGCGGTGTATCTAGCCGAAGGTCGTGGGTTCGAATCCCTCTCGTGCCATTAACTTTTTTTCATCTCAACTAAATACCTTAATTAATTGTCATTACATAAAACACTATTTTTAGTGGTCTGCTTGACCAATTAATATCATCCAATTAATTAAGGTTTTAAGTTGAGATAAAAAAGTCAGTGTCACGAGCGGGATTCGAACCCCGGCTTGATTCGCCGCTACTCTACCACTTGAGCTATCGTGACTTCGATCCCCTCGGGCACTAACTTCCCTCTCAACCCCCCTTTTGAATTTTCCCTCCTTTTTGCCATTTTTTTCCCCAAATGGTGGGGGAAATTAAAAAGGTGTGGTTGAGATGGGAAGTTACTAGTTAGTGCCCGAGGGGATCGAAGTCACGATAGCTCAAGTGGTAGAGTAGCGGCATATCAATCCGAAGGTCGTGGGTTTGAATCCCGCTCGTGACACTGAGTTTTTTATCTCAACTTAAAACCTTAATTAATTGGATTACATAAAACAGTTGAAAGTTTAAATACCATATCTTACATAGACAGAATAAATCAATTTATTTAAAAATCTATTTACTCTGCTATTATTTTTTTTTTTTACATACATATAAATATGTGATGTCACAAATGAAAATTGTTTATTCCCGAGAAAAACTTTAAAAACGCACAACACTATTTAGGATAAAATACATAATAGAAATAACAAAAAGACAATTTTTAAAGTTATTTGGGCTTTTTTAAAGTTGGTATAATGAAGAAAGCTGTATTAGGAAAAAATTTAGCTTTATTTTTTATAAAACTTCTTTTTAACAATATGCGAAGTGAGGGGTCACTTGTCAAACTCCGCACTAAAATGAAGCCGGTGGTGAGAGATCCGAAAACGATAAACGGTAGAAATCAGGCATTCAAACAGACCTAAGTGTAGAAACCGTATGGAATTAATAAAAACCCACTGCGGCCAAACAAAAATAAAGAGAGGGCCAGAGCCAGCTGGCGGCCGCTGGGTTCTTGGGCTTGCACTACCAAGCTCCCATTGGTATCCATCGAGCTTGTAGTGTTAAAAAATTAGGCCTTTCTTGCGCATTCACCTTTGTTCTACCCTTAAGAGGAAGAAATTTATAGGAAGGTAATAAAATAAAATAAACTTTATATGTAACAATAATGTTTCTTGTTTATTGCAGCGAACAGGCAGTAAAAATGCATTTATACGTTTGGATCTAATTAAATTACAAACAAAAAATATTCTATGCAACAATATAAAACTAGAAATAAAAGTATTTCTAAATTATTATTTATACACTTATTGATTAATTATCGTTCAACTGATCCTCGAATGCTTCAGGGGATGGGTCTCGACCCTGGAAACGCCTAAATACTTCGCTGGGATGGCACGCACCTCCGAATCCAAGGAAAGTGTCTCGGAACCTGTTTAACCAAAAGGATATATTTAGAATGTAAAAATACAATGAGGGCGTTGACAAGCAGAAACCTCAGCCCTATCGCTGCTCTGTCGGGGTCAGTCTTAAAAGAATTATAAGCGTCTTCGGCCAACATTCTAGCCCATAGGCGCGAATAGTAAGCACCGCTCAGATCACCGCAAACAGACGCTGTGAAACTCAAAGGATGATTGTCTTTACTATCTAAAGGAAGAATAAAATGCTCCTGCCAGAGTTTTTTCATAAGTGGTAACCAGAACTCTTTCCTGTAAATAAATCTATTAAGATAAAGAAAATTTGAATATAAAAGATCGCTTACGATGTGTGCAGGTCTAAATCTAAATTAGCCAAGTAGATCTCTTGGCATAAACGGTAACCAGCCATGTGTTTTCTTATCTGTTCTATTTTGTTGAACGGCAGCGGCTTTCCGTCTCTATAGTGGCCTGATATTTCTTTCAAGACTTCTGTATCTTTCAGCCTGCAATGGTAAATCTTGTCAGAACGAACTGTTTTTACTTAAAAAAATCAACGTACCATAGGTACATGAAGTTGCTGACAACTTCGACAGCATCCCACTCGATGTTCGACAGGCCAGAAACCTCAGAATAGTTGACATGGCTCAGTAACTGCTGCAGAGCTTGACCAAACTGAAAATTCAAACAAGCAATAATAGAGAAAATAAGTACCATTTGGCTCACCAGAGACCAAGGCAAGACTTTTTTCTATCCATGTATCTACAAATTGTTATAGGCATTGATTTTCCTTTAAACCAGCTAGTAATTCACTATTTTTCGTGGTCCGCTTGACCAATTAATATCATTCAATTAATTAAGGTTTTAAGTTGAGATAAAAAAGTCAGTGTCATGAGCGGGATTCGAACCCATGACCTTCGGCTTGATATGCCGCTACTCTACCACTTGAGCTATCGTGACTTCAATCCCCTCGGGCACTAACTTCCCATCTCAACCCCACCTTTTGAATTTTCCNTCAAAAGGTGGGGTTGAGATGGGAAGTTAGTGCCCGAGGGGATTGAAGTCACGATAGCTCAAGTGGTAGAGTAGCGGCATATCAAGCCGAAGGTCATGGGTTCGAATCCCGCTCATGACACTGACTTTTTTATCTCAACTTAAAACCTTAATTAATTGAATGATATTAATTGGTCAAGCGGACCACGAAAAATAGTGAATTACTAGCTGGTTTAAAGGAAAATCAATGCCTATAACAATTTGTAGATACATGGATAGAAAAAAGTCTTGCCTTGGTCTCTGGTGAGCCAAATGGTACTTATTTTCTCTATTATTGCTTGTTTGAATTTTCAGTTTGGTCAAGCTCTGCAGCAGTTACTGAGCCATGTCAACTATTCTGAGGTTTCTGGCCTGTCGAACATCGAGTGGGATGCTGTCGAAGTTGTCAGCAACTTCATGTACCTATGGTACGTTGATTTTTTTAAGTAAAAACAGTTCGTTCTGACAAGATTTACCATTGCAGGCTGAAAGATACAGAAGTCTTGAAAGAAATATCAGGCCACTATAGAGACGGAAAGCCGCTGCCGTTCAACAAAATAGAACAGATAAGAAAACACATGGCTGGTTACCGTTTATGCCAAGAGATCTACTTGGCTAATTTAGATTTAGACCTGCACACATCGTAAGCGATCTTTTATATTCAAATTTTCTTTATCTTAATAGATTTATTTACAGGAAAGAGTTCTGGTTACCACTTATGAAAAAACTCTGGCAGGAGCATTTTATTCTTCCTTTAGATAGTAAAGACAATCATCCTTTGAGTTTCACAGCGTCTGTTTGCGGTGATCTGAGCGGTGCTTACTATTCGCGCCTATGGGCTAGAATGTTGGCCGAAGACGCTTATAATTCTTTTAAGACTGACCCCGACAGAGCAGCGATAGGGCTGAGGTTTCTGCTTGTCAACGCCCTCATTGTATTTTTACATTCTAAATATATCCTTTTGGTTAAACAGGTTCCGAGACACTTTCCTTGGATTCGGAGGTGCGTGCCATCCCAGCGAAGTATTTAGGCGTTTCCAGGGTCGAGACCCATCCCCTGAAGCATTCGAGGATCAGTTGAACGATAATTAATCAATAAGTGTATAAATAATAATTTAGAAATACTTTTATTTCTAGTTTTATATTGTTGCATAGAATATTTTTTGTTTGTAATTTAATTAGATCCAAACGTATAAATGCATTTTTACTGCCTGTTCGCTGCAATAAACAAGAAACATTATTGTTACATATAAAGTTTATTTTATTTTATTACCTTCCTATAAATTTCTTCCTCTTAAGGGTAGAACAAAGGTGAATGCGCAAGAAAGGCCTAATTTTTTAACACTACAAGCTCGATGGATACCAATGGGAGCTTGGTAGTGCAAGCCCAAGAACCCAGCGGCCGCCAGCTGGCTCTGGCCCTCTCTTTATTTTTGTTTGGCCGCAGTGGGTTTTTATTAATTCCATACGGTTTCTACACTTAGGTCTGTTTGAATGCCTGATTTCTACCGTTTATCGTTTTCGGATCTCTCACCACCGGCTTCATTTTAGTGCGGAGTTTGACAAGTGACCCCTCACTTCGCATATTGTTAAAAAGAAGTTTTATAAAAAATAAAGCTAAATTTTTTCCTAATACAGCTTTCTTCATTATACCAACTTTAAAAAAGCCCAAATAACTTTAAAAATTGTCTTTTTGTTATTTCTATTATGTATTTTATCCTAAATAGTGTTGTGCGTTTTTAAAGTTTTTCTCGGGAATAAACAATTTTCATTTGTGACATCACATATTTATATGTATGTAAAAAAAAAAAATAATAGCAGAGTAAATAGATTTTTAAATAAATTGATTTATTCTGTCTATGTAAGATATGGTATTTAAACTTTCAACTGTTTTATGTAATCCAATTAATTAAGGTTTTAAGTTGAGATAAAAAAGTCAGTGTCATGAGCGGGATTCGAACCCATGACCTTCGGCTTGATATGCCGCTACTCTACCACTTGAGCTATCGTGACTTCAATCCCCTCGGGCACTAACTTCCCATCTCAACCCCACCTTTTGAATTTTCCCCACCATTTGGCGAAAAAAATGGCAAAAAGGAGGGAAAATTCAAAAGGGGGGTTGAGAGGGAAGTTAGTGCCCGAGGGGATCGAAGTCACGATAGCTCAAGTGGTAGAGTAGCGGCGAATCAAGCCGGGGTTCGAATCCCCTTTTTTTTCCTTCCTTTTTTGACACTTTTCAAATGTCATGTAATCTTATTGGATCGCATCAATCTTGCTCAAATGACTATATATACAGGGTTAAATGTCAATACTGACATGGCGGATTCTTTAAATAAAATGTGGTTCAGTGCCACCAGAACAAGGTTTCCATTATGACTCTTTCCTGAAATAATTTTTTTTTTTTTACATAAAATCATATTTTCTCAACTTTAGCATCATTAAAATACAAATATGACCTTTATTTTGCAAACTATATTAAATTTTTCACAAGTTAACAACATTTACATTGAAAAATTCGCCCTTCTGAATACAAGTAGAATAACAAATGGCAAAATCCGGTTTCCCCCCGTTTAAATACTCAATTGTGGCTCATCCCATTACTATTCCAAACAAGTTGCTTAATTTTATAAGTATCCCTAGGACATCACTTATACGGTTTTTTTTAGAACTTCACTTAGTGACATATCCTTCACAAGGTCGAAAAATGTAATATTGAACCCAAGGAGATCAGCAACACAAGAAAATAGTAGAGGTCATGTTTTTAATGAAAACATTTATTAATTGGTAACAAAAATCGGATATTCTTCTCATAAAATGTACGATTAAAGAAAAACTACAAACAAATTGAAATTTCATTAAATTAAGCATTTTTTGCAAATTAACTGATTTATTGTTCGAAATGCTTTCCTTCGTATTGTATACACAAGCATGAACGTACAGCAACCGACGTGACTGCATGGAGGACTTCTTTCCATTATGTCATTGATTTCAATTTTATTTATGAGCTTTACCCTCGTTTCGATTCCTCATATGTAAAAATTTAGTGGCGTCAAATCTGCTGCCCATGTATCTAACTTTTCTTACTGACTAATAAATGTTTTAATTAAAAAAATATACAATGTTCTTGTGTTGCTGCTCTCGTTGGAATCAATATCACAGTTTTGTGTTATTTACAATAATTTACTAACAGGCCTTGAAATCTATTTCAGGTTTTGGCAGTCCACAGTCAGACCTTGGTCTAATCCATCCTGCTGCCAAGATTAGACTCCAGGAAATCTCACACGTCCTTTCTATCTAATTAACAATTTATGGGGTAATCTATATTCCACATGCTAATAAATACATTTACAATAAACACAAAACGAGATACAGTACATAATAAAAATATTTCAAAAATCAGAACGGGACCTAATGTGCACAAACACAATTTTCATATCGGGTACACCTACACACTCTCTATATGGAGCCATCCTTCAATTAAGTAGGACATAGAGTAATGTTTATCTATGATGGGAAAAATGCAGTGTCAACCTCACATGGCCTATTCTTAACTGGATGATTCAAATCATCCAAGAGCAACCTATCGACCTATGCTCTCGATATATAAGAGTTCTTTTGCCGATTGAACCCACTGATGCTGCCATTTCCTTTTTGTCCATTCTGTGCTTAGTAATTGTGTAACAAATTGACCATGTTTTCATAAAAGATAAATTGTAAGTGAACAGGTTAACTGATGAACTAGTATCTGGCAATTTCTATTTATATTCATCAACAAAACTGACCTGAGAAAGGCACGAATGAAGCCAAAGAGGAAGAGTTGGAGGAATGGACGCATTCGACTAGTTCAACTTGATCTCATGTACCAATCGGGTCAAAAATTGTTCACAATATGTAGAAATACTTTGTTAAACTAATGAATATCAAAAGTCCCAAAAAATTTTCAAAAAGTATGTATTTTTACCAGTTTTTTCGAGTTTTACCTACCAGTTGAGGGGCGGGTTGCGAGTTGGGGAATGGAGGTATTCGATAGTTCAACTGGATCCAAAACACGTATCCAACCAAGACTTATAAAGATTTGATGTAGTAGAAATCACAGACACACTGAAGAAGGCAGAAAGCCAAAATGTGTCATAACCAAAATGATCGGTAACGACCAAATTACAGGTTCACCCCACAGACCACAGGATTAAATTTCACATTTTAAAACTGTAATGTAAAGTATAAATAAAGTAATTTCTATTGGAGGGCTTAATGTCCAACTTGGTGAGTGACATGGATGGACAAACCACTTTAAAATACTTCTTTCAAACTATTTCTCAATTAAAAATGGGCTATGCCAGGATACAAACCCAGGATCGCTATTCTGGCAAATATGAGTTGAACTCCCTAACCAATCCAGCTACTGCGTTAAAATTGTAATTTTAGAATTCTAATCGCTTACCTTCTTGAACATGTTCTCAACATCGTCGAAATGCAAAAGGCAAGGCTCTTTATTGCTTTTTGGCGGAGGGAAATTAAATATCATAGCGGCTAGTGGTTGTGAAGTTCCGAGGATTTTCGCGACGGGCCTGATTCCGACAACATGCCCTGATCCGGTACCGGTGTCCATTTTTCCATCCCTGTAATTGGCAATTAATCAAATTTTAAAGTGAATAGCACAACGATTTGTTTTTACCTCGAGTAAAAATCTATGTAGAGCCCAGCGATAGGATTGGGCGACTCGTTGTTAAATATATGATACAGCTTAATGTCCGGATGCCAGGATTTTACTTTTTTCTCTTCCTCGAATCGAATACCGAACGTACGAGATGTTAAGTTAAGAATACCTTTAAATACTGTTTCTAATGGGAAATATTCAGAGATCTTCATGTTGTCCCATCTACAACAAGAGTTATTTAGATTTTTTTTGTAAATTTGTTATAAGCGATATTTACTGGTATAAATCTTGTTTTTGTTCTCGCTCCCAATAAGTGATGTCCCACATCTCCATACTGCCTCTAAATCCACGGTCATAAGCAAACTCTTGAAGTTTGGTAAGTTCTTTCTCTTGCAGCATTTTTGCTTTAACAAATTAAATAGTTTAATTACAATAAAATTGGCCAAGAAAAAAATGAAAAAACTCTTTTCTTATCTTAATTATTATAGTAACGATGTTTTCTTATATATTTTGACCTCAACAGTTTAACTTATGATTTTTCCTTCTTGAAGGTGGGATAATAGGTCATCGCAAAAAAAACCACAACCAGTTTTTATCCACAATGTTTCGGATTTATTTTAATCCTTCCTCAAGTGAGTTAACGCAATGGTTAAAACAGTGGTTGTCTATCATTAATATTTTATAACAGTTTATTTTTTAAAAAAAGAGCCAGTGTGGTGCATATTTAAGTCTTTCAGACTCCGAGCAAACGTTTTAATATTTTGAGCCTGACTAGACTCTTCTATTATCCCACCTTCAAGAAAAAAAAATCATAACTTTATTTATTTATTTTTTATTTTATTAAATAATATACAGATTTTATTTTAAAGAAATTACCTTTCTCCAACAATCTGTACAATGTTGATTTCACCACATCCAACGAGCCGGCCATTTTGGTCTCCATCGACATATGGATGTAAGACTCGTAGCCCAAGACTGCGGCAATATCCCTCCTAAAAGATAGTAAAATATTGTTTTCATACGATATAACTTTTTTTATTCATTTTATCATACCTCAACGAACGGATTTTCTCTAATCTAAAGCTATTATTGAATTCGTCAGACTGACCGCTGAGGCCGGAAGCGACTTGTCTCAACGCCATCCAAGTATTCCAGCGTACATCCCTGTCTGAGCAGTATGCCAGGACACCGTCGGTTATCGAAGGGTTGAGTAATATGTCCCAAGGTCCGTTTTTATATTTAGCCTTACTGATTTTTTTTTTTTTTTTTTAATTAAACAAGAAACTTTTTAATAATGAAAATTGAAACTTACTCCTGAGCCATTGAGTATAACAGTCTGTCAGGAAAATTTGAGACTTTAACTGGATCGTGAATCGTATGCCTAAAATTTCTTATGGTTGCCTGTAAATCATTAAATTATTTTAATATTTAATTTTTGTCAAATAAATCATGACATTACTTGTGTACTTGTTAGAAATTTTTCCTTTTCGTTGGCCAGACCGACTAGAAGCAAGCTTAAATATTCTTTCTTTTCGGGCGGCAGGTCCAAGCCGTTAAGCTTGCCCTCGATTTGAAATTTATTTACCACCCTCTGTTCTTCCTCAGTCAAGTTGTTCTTATCACAATTCTGAAATAAATTCCTGTTTAAACAAAAACCTGTTTATTGTTCTGTTTCGGTTGAACAGACCTTAAACATGTTGTATATAGGTTTTGAGTTGAATTTGGCGGAACGCGCCTTCCTGGCGCGGTTGTGCATCAAAACGTACTTTTGTGGCGGCATGATATTGCTTTCAGTGAGATACAGGACTTTAGATAGGCCCCAGGTGGCCTCCATCTTACTGCCGCTTTCTTCAATTGGCTCAAGAACATTTTCAAACAAATCAAGCTCATCTTTGTTTTCTGAAAAAGGTTGATTAAAAGAAACAAAGAAAAATAGTTAAACTGTTCAATCAGAATTAAAAAAACTAGTATATCTTACGATTAGGCAATCCTGATTTTGTTAGAACTGAATCTAACAATTTTCAGATATTTTTATTAAAAGGCCAGCGACATATTTCCTCTTATTTGAACCAATTTAATGAAATAAATAATAAAGTTTAGGTATTGTTAACAGAACAATAGCCATGTACTCAGACAGCCAGGCACTGAGGACAATTACAGCATCGGTGGTAAAGTCCAGAGTCGTTTGGGATTTCATCAGGCCCCTGTCAGACATTGGGGAAAACAACAAAATTACCCAGGGTATCAGGCCAGAGGGGCAACGAAGAGGCCGATAGATTGGCCAAGGAAAGTTCGATGAGGACACCTACTGGCCCTGAACCTTTTGTGCCATACCTAATTGTCAAAAACATCGATCAATTAGACAATGGATTGAAAATAAGTCCTCCATTCAATGGAAATGTAGCACAAGAGACATGCAAAAAATAATTCATAAAAGCACCATCACAGAAACCAAAGTCAGAACTATTAAATCTAGGATGATTTAAGACTAGAACAATATTTAGACTGCTAACTAGGCACTGCAGACTCCAGAAGCAAATAGATTCGGAAGGCAGAAAAAGCCTGTGCAGATATTACCAGGAAGAAAAGACAGTGATGTTCTCTGTTAGTGCGAAAACTGACTGAGATTCGTACTCTAATTGCAGTCTGGAATGTTTTGAGTACCACATAACAAGGCCCTCCCAGCTCCTTACAAAATCATGGCTGGAGTCCTACAGTGCCAGACAGAAGTCTATGCCCAGCGATTTTTCAGTTTTTTGTTAATCTCACATCTGCCGACATGATAGGGTGGTCCGTGCACTGATGCGGCCTCTTTTAGCCACTTTGTCTGTGATAGTGGTTCAACTCCTACTCTACTAATAAAATTGTTTAAAAATTAATCATAGTTCAATTAATTAATATTTATGAAAGGTATTGATTAAGATTTAAAAAAAATTCAGTGTCACGAGCGGGATTCGAACCCACGACCTTCGGCTAAATACGCCGCTGCTCTAACCACTTGAGCTATCGTGGATTCAATCTGCTCGGACACCAACTTCCCACCTCAACCCACCTTTTGAATTTTCCCTCCTTTTTACCATTTTTCAAATGTTGTGTAATCTATTTGATTCTCGGCGACAAATGAAATGGCCACGGAGAGCTTTTGTGAAGATATACTTCAGTTTAATTATTAAATCATTTACAGTTCATGGTGCGATTCACCAATTGACATTTTTCAATTAATTAATATTTATGAAAGGTTTTTATTGGTTAAAATAAAAAAGTCAGTGTCACGAGCAGGATTCAAACTGTAATTGATTAATCATAATGATTATATTGAGAGCGTGAGATGTGGTGTGACGTAGGTTTCAGAAAAACATTTTCTTTAACGTGCCAACGATTCGATCTTTATTGAAATCATCTTCAGGGTCTGGGATTTACAAACATTGTTTAAATTTAACAAATACATGTAGGATGTGAAAAAATTTATATATACAATGCTAGAAAATTTTAAATTCAATCAAAGTATTTGTAGTCACTCAACGTGTTTGTTTTCTGTGTAGATTTGTCATTCTTGTGTGTCGTGTTGAGAGTGCCAGTGAGATATTGCTGTTTTATTTCTATATATGTTGGATTATGAAGGGGTGGGGAAGGAAGTCAGGATAGAAAGACTTTTTTTTATAAGTAGTCGGCTTCTTTGAGCTGAAAAGAGCCGACAAAGGGAAAAACGTTGGTAATGGTTCAGCCAGATTATCCTTTCAGGATTATATAGACGAGATAATTAGGGAAAGGAAAGCCAAATTGGTAAAGAATAAGACTACGTACAAATGTTTGAGGTGAAGGAAGTAATGATTGTTTTATATGTTATATGTGATGTGATGATGATATTGTGTCAATATGTTATCAACATTGAATTTGATTAATGATATTACCATAGCTGCGACTGAGTTTACATGCATCTGTTCTGTAATTGATGCTGTGTTTATCTCGGTTGATGTAAACCATTTCTAAAAAGTTACGTTTAAGTTTGTTTTGTTCTGTGTTTCATATTTTTGGATTGTTCAAGTCAAAATTGTGTTCAAAATGGTGGATAGCCAGTGCTGTAGGATTTTGCTTGGGATTTTTGCAATCATAGTGTAGGTTTCCTCTCTTATACAGATATTGGGATGTAATACCAATGTAAGTTGCCGGACAATTTAAACAATTGATTTTGTAAATTACATCAGATTTATTTGTGTGGTGTGGGATCTTTAATTTTGGGAAAAAGTGTGTAAATCGTTTTATAGTTTTTGAAAGCTATTTTAAAGTAGTCAGAAGAGAGAAAAGAGGCTAAGTTATGTAAAAGGCAGAGAATGAATGGAATAGAAATAGAAATAGGGGAGGCTGTAAGTGATGAGTATGTGAATATTCTGTTGATGGTAGGATTATGATAGAAGAGATATGGAGAAAACGTTAGGACATCTTTACCCACTGTCGGCCCAGTGCACCCCAAAGAAACCGCAAACAAACAGAAAAAACATATAAAAAACCCCACTCCAGCCCCAACCCCGTACAAACCCAACCCAAATACAAAGGAAACAGCAATAAAACACCAACACCCCAAACACAACACAAAAAAAACACACAAGAACAAAACAAACAAACACGAAAAAAAAACCTAAAAACTAAAAATATCAAACAATATACAAACTTTTTTCACATCCTAAATGTATTTGTAAAATTTAAACAATGTTTATAAATCCCAGGCGCTGAAGATGATCTCAATAAAGATCGAAACGTTGGCACGATAAAGAAAATGTTTTTCTAAAACCTACGTCACGCCAGACCGCATCTCACAATTTCCAAATAATCATAGACTAACGGTCACTAAACACCACACATTAATCATAGTGATGACAGTCAATGTAATACCTATAATGCTGTTTTCAACTTCTCGTATGCAGTGCTCAAAATCGAGGAGCTGGTTGCCGAGCGTCGAAAGGCACTTCTCGCCCGACAAGTTTTCCGCGTCGGGCAGCCCATTTTTGAACAGGGGGTTCTTGTCTCCCTGTGGAGGTCCGGTCTCAGGCAGCCTAAACATCGTAGCATGAAAACACATAAAAGGCTTAAAAATTATTTTATTTAGTGACTTACAGTACTATGTAGCCGGTTCTGATCTGCTGGTAGAACCCTTTGGACCGGGCCAGGGCGAACTTCCTCCTCAAAATCGAACAGGCCATCGTGCTTTACAAGCACGATTTAAAAAGCCGGTCGGGTAAAAATTCGGCCGTCAATTCAATTTATACACGGGACGTAACCTGGTGGAGAACCTGCCGACATGGAGAACCTCGACATGTTAAAAAAAATTAACTTTATTCCTTTTTCTCCGACTATTTAGTTTAAATCGAAGATTTTGTGGGTGTTTTCTAGAGAAAAATCAAATCTGTCGATTTTAATAAGATTTTAATATTTTTAGTTTTGTTATTTTCTTCTTGGTTTCGTCATCGAGCAACCTACCCTGAAGAACCTGTTCATAAATGACGTACTTAGACCATGATCATTTCTTTTGAATTTTGAATCAAAATCAATCTTCTTTTTATAATATATTGTTTTGTTAAACTAAATCTAACTTTTTACTTTATAATTAAATTAATATATTTTTTTGTTAATAAGTGATTTGTTGTTTTATATGTTATGACGTCATTTAATAAAGTTTGAAGCAGGTGCGTGTAGAAAATAAATCATTTTTAGCCTTCTGTATGTGCATGGTGGTCGGGATTCGTCGTTAATCTTAAAATAACTAGTTTTTTTATGTTTTTCCGTATTTTTTGACCCTATTGTTTTTCGATGCGGTTCGAAATAGAGGAGGGAATACAGTTTGGGACGTCAGCTCTATCTGTTTCGCCCAATGAGAAAGTTCCACGAGAGAATAGTGCCACGTTTCCATCAGAGGGATGCGTTGACAGGGCAGGCAACGATTGAATCCATTGGAGCTCGCAGTCCCGGCCCAACCACCGACGCGGAAGACGACTCAGTTTGGAAATATATTTTTTTCGACATCTTCCCGGCCGGCAAATCTATCGAAGAAATAAAAAATGTCCCGGATTTTGTTAGCGCTTAGTTTAATATTGGCGGTCGTATTTTCGACGGATATCAAGACTGAAGACGGAGTCCTCGTCCTTACAGCCTCCAACTTCGATAACGCTTTGGAGACCTACGAACACGTACTCGTCGAATTCTGTAAGTACCACATTTTCAAAAATTCATAAGCATATTTTGATCTTTACAATTTTTTAAAATTTAAAACAGCAATATTGAAATAATGCAAGTCGTGACTTGGAAGAGTGTGTTGACCTTTCTTCTCTGACCCCTGTCCGTTATCCCAGTTAAAAAAAGAAGAAGATCCTGTGGGGAAAGTTCGACACACTTTCGACCAGTTTGGCATTTTTATTAAACAAGTATCATTTCAAATTGCAAAATCTTTTGCAAAAAAGGAAAAAAAAGAACCAGTTTGAACGCGTGTGGGATTTTCACGCGACACGTCTTCACGCCATCTCTTAAAATCCGTCCGATCAATCTTATCAATCATTTGTTCACAGCCTCCCTGCCAATTCTCATCGATTCACCTAATTTGATTTAGAAAATAATAAATAATTGAATTACTTTCGATTGAAACTTAATGGAAAAAGAGGTTCATTTTGTTTCTGCCTGTGTCACGCTAGCGTGATCAAAACTGTTTTAATTCAAATTAATTAAATAAATATTGTACACATTGAGTTGTTGAGAAAACTTAGATGTCTTGCAGTATCTGTGACCAGTCCTGTCAACAATTCACAGTCTTCTTGGGATGCCAGGATGATCCAGGTTATACTTACAAGGATGCCCGTATTGTTAAGTATTATCATCAGTGATGTCAAGTATGATAGGCCATAAAGCATTCTGCAAACATAAAGAGCTCCAGTAGAATTTCATATTTCTTAAAAGGCTCTCTTAACAAGTCTACAATCCATCTGATAATTTGCTTTGCTTGAAGCATTCAGCCAGTTTTTTCCTTTTGCAAAAAAAAATCTAGAATAATTTCACACTTTTTAAAAGGGTCTCTTAACAAGTCTACAATCTGTCTTATCAATAATTTCTTGAGTTAACTTTTCTTCTTAACAGCCTCACAGCAAAGCCCTCTTGGTATGCCAGAATGATCCAGGATACACGTGTAACAATGCCTATATTGTTGAGGATTATCATCACTGATGTCAAGTACGATAGGCTTTTCTTGAAGCATTCGGCCAAATTTTTCCTTTGCAAAAAAATTAGTATAATTTCACACTTCTTAAAAGGATCTCTTAACAAATTACAATCTATCTTATCAATAATTTCTTGAGTTAACGCTTCTTCTTAACACCTCACAGCATTGTTTAAGGATAAAAGAAAAAAATACTGTTGAGTATTATCATCACTGGTAACAAGTCTGACTGATCGGCTTTTCTTGAGCATTTAACCAATTTTTTCCTTTTGCAAAAAAAAATCTGCTCTAGTTTAATTTTACATTTTCTTTGCACGATCTATAACAGGTCTGTGCCATAAAATATATACAGTCAATCTTATTATGTAATAATTTCTTAACGGCCTCACAGTGAAGTCTTGTCGATTATAATTGCTTTATTTTATGTTAATTTAGAAAATTATCTGGTAAAAGACAATTATTTTTCAATACTTGGTGCGGGAGGGGGTTCATTTTGTTCTTGCAAAAGTACAACTTAAAATTACTTTTTATCTCCTCTCAATGACATAAAAAATTATGAATCAATTTTATATTGAAATTAGTGGAGTTATTAGGTCACGTGAACACTGAGACATTTAAAAAAAAAAAATTTACATTCCAAGGATCACCCATGATAAAAAAACATAAAGGATGTCCATATTGTGGACTATTATTATCAAGTCTGTTAGGCTATTCTTGAAACATTCAACCAGTTTTTTCATTTTGAAAAAAAAAACTAGTAGATTTTTACATTTTTTGAAATGATTCAACAAGTTTTCATGCCATCTCTAAAATTTGGGCAATCAATCTTTATTATAATTTTTTAACATCATTTTATGTCATTTACAACAACAGGACTTGGTAAAAGCAAAAAATTGCATGTTAATATTAAATTATTTTTTTATGTATTTATGTAATATTAAATTATTTAACTATTTTTTAATATTAAATTTTAATGACATTTTCGTAGGAGGTGTTTCACTTTGTTTATTGTAAATACACAACTGAAAATACTTTTTATTTCAACTGAACAACGTTAAATAATGAACAGATTTTATATTGGAATTAATGGAAAATGAGCTTAAAGCTCAAGAATCGTCGATCGGATGTCTTAAGTCAAATAATAGTTTCCTACGATCTGACATATTTATCACCACTGATGTCCAGTCTGATAGTCTTTCATTGATTAGTTTGACCTAAATGGAATTAGATATCAATAACATGCTGACTATAATTTCTACATTACTCGAGTCAAATTTGGAGAAAAAAACTGAAAAACACGACTTGTAACTTGGGTCATATGCTGGGCTTATTAATGTAATAAATCAATATTTAAAAAAAACCGTAGAACATCATACGGTGTAGATTATGAAGCAGATGAGGTCAATGACCTAACCGGTGAGAATAGGCTGGTCAGGATACAAGCAGATGGCCCACCACAGTACTATCATCACTGATGTTAAATTTAACCTTTAAAAAATTCAATGTCAATAATATACATCATTTTGAGAAAGATTTAAAGAAACCCTATGAGATAATCGACGAATAAATCTAATTTATAGAATGGGCTAGGAATCAATTAATACAGCTTAGATTATGAAGCAGGTAAGGTCAACGACCAAACCAAGCGAGAAGTTGGCCAGGATGCAAGTAGACACATGACTCTAATCACTGATGTCAAGTATGATCTCTCCTTGATGCGTTTTAACTAAAAGGAATGAAATATCAGTAACATGTTTAGTTTGAGGAAGATTTTAAGTAAAGAAACCTTATGAGATAATCCACTGAGAAGATCCAGCCAAATTGATGTAATCTGCTGGGCCGGAATTAATCCTAGTAAAACAATCATATATATGTCATGCCTCATCTGAAGTTGATAACGTATATAATATTCCACCACTGACCCTAACACGTAATACATTCATGTTAATAAATACATTTTCTTATATAAATAAGCCTCAATGTGCTATATTGAATCGAAGAATCATATTTATATTGAGCCACATTTCCATTTGATGGCACATGGAATGAATGGCCCTTTCGAAACAGATTTTGCGAAGATTTTTTGTAAATTTTGAAATTTGGCACTTTTGTCTTGTTTTTAAGCTTATTTTCTTATTATTTCATTTTGAATGTCATTCTTTTTGCCCTGTTCTTAGAGTTGCCCTTCCGGCAGATAAGTCCAGTTTCATTAGTTTTATCTTTTCCATCCGTCCCCCTGATATTTATATTCAAACCATCACAAATTTATCACATTTGTTTTGTGTGTCGATAGGAATAAGAATTTTTATGAAATTGGTATTCTGAAGTGATAAAAAGGATAAAAATTAATCCTGAAGACTTTTTAACTAAATTAAAGCGTGGCGCTGATGTTTCAGTTTACCACCTGTGCAAACATTGGCTGAAATTTTATCACATACATACATATTTGCTTATATTCATCATTTATTTTACTTTGTTCAGAATTATTTCTGTTCCACAGATGTGAACTAAATCATTAGATTGATAATAGACTATTTTTAAATAAAATTTATTACTTACTATTACAAATTAGTTTTTTCTGTTAATTTTAGTTTAATGATATTTAAATTTGTGTTATTTTGTTTTCAGACGCCCCGTGGTGTGGCCATTGTAAAGCCCTTGCGCCTCATTATGCCAAAGCGGCTGAGAAGCTTGCTGAAATGGAATCGGCTGTCAAACTGGCCAAAGTCGATGCCACTGTTGAAACGAGCCTGAGCGAAAAGTACAACATAAGAGGATACCCGACCCTCAAATATTTCCACGGCGGAAAAGTCCTGGATTATCCTGGTACGGGAGGATTTTTTTTCCATTGAATGATTGATGTGAAATAAATTCATTAATTTTTTTCTCTTTTTTTTAGGAGTTCGCCAGACTGAGGATATTGTGAACTGGCTCCTTAAGAAATCCGGTCCTTCAGCTAAGGAACTTAGTGAGTTTTTTTTCTTTAAATTTGACGTTTTCATATTCACGCTTCCATTTTTTTATTTTTTCTAACACTATTAAATGAAACTGTTAAAATTTGAATGTTAGAGCTAAACTACATGTCTTCGAGAGTTTTTGAAATTTTTTGCCAGGTGATGTTATAGAAAATCATTATGCATTTTTCAACGGTGGCTCAGATGCTTATTACGACTATGAAGAGATAAAGGATATGTGGAGTATTTTGCATTAAGCAAGACGAGCACTGATTTTTTTTGTATCCATAGCAAGCCCTGAGCAAGATCGAAGCATCAGACTTGAAAATATGTTTAAATGAAAACAATTTAAACAATTAGACTTGTTTTACACATATCATTTCTTTATTTAATTTTAATTTTCATAGGCTTATTTTTTTAATTAACTAATAAATAATAAATTTGATGTATACATCGGCAATATACATACAAAAATCACCTGATGGTTCGGCAAGCCAATTTCGTTTTAGGCTACTGCATCACATAATTTTTTTTGATTTTCTGAACATTATGTTTAATAAGAATATTTCAATTAAACTGTGCTTGTGTTAAGAGATCTATTATGATTATTAGAAAATTTTGTTAACAATAAGGGCTTATCCTACAAAACGAAGAAAACAATAAATGGTTCAAAAGCGACTTTGATTTCGGTAATAAGATATTTTTTAAAAATACTACAGTTGAACTTCCCCAAATGGGCGCTTCTAATAACCAGACAATTTTATTTTCTCTGTAATAACCGGCCATTTTAATAAATAGCCATTACATTTATTGGGTTTGTGCGTAAGTTTTTCTGTTTTCAAAGATAAAAAAGACAAACTTTTTAACTTTAAGAAAAATTAAATTAAATTAATTTTATTTTTAATCCAAAACATAATTTCCTTCATTTTCTAAATCATACTGCCAACGTTCGGGTAGCAGAAATAACCTCTTCTTTTGTAAAAGTCCGATGTCTTAGACAAGAAGAAATCTGTAAGTCCGATTTTCAAAGCATTTTTGTTCAAAATTACCTTTTAAGTATTTATCTGTGAAGCAGATCAAGTAAAAATCCGAAAGATCATGATCTGGAGGGTGGGGCAACTATTATCGGCCTAACTAGGCAATTTTACTCTGAGAGAGCGACTGGCATCTTGGTGAAACATTACAATTATTCACCAGGCTGGACATTTTTCCTTCAACGCTGCCCCAAGACGCTTTACCTAGGCACGTTATATCGTTAAAAGTTTGGTTGTGTGGTAACTGTTTCCAATAAATTCCTCGAATATCCCATCAAACAGATAGTAGGATCTAGGAGTGCATTTCAGTCTTTTTGTGAAGGGACTAAAGCATTTAACATTTTTATAAACGACCCACTTCTCATCCCCAGTGACCAAAAAGAGGAAAAAAAATAATTCCAATTTATTCTTTTTCTGCTTTGGTCAATTCATGAGAAATGAGTATGAATAAAACATAACCCAGATATCGTATTATTTCAGTTTTTGTGCAAAGCACCTGAAATCCCTCTGATAGCTCTGCTGCAGTTAATTTGACCTAATCCTACGTTACTAATAAGTCGTTGCTTTTAAGCTTGATAGGCCTTCCGAAGCTGGTCTTCGATTCATCTCTCTTCATTACGAAAATGTCAGAACCACTGTTACTATGTTATCATTGTAAATCCCACATAAATTTTGATAGATTGTGTGCTTTATGCTCAAGATCAAACTCGTGCAGCAAGCAATGCTCCAAATGAATTGTATTTGCTTCCATCTCGAGCATCTGTCTTTTTGTATCAACTACCCCTTTTTTTTAACAAGCTCTTTCAATAGAGCTTTTCCCAGCGTAGAGCTTATCAGGGCTAGCAAGTAATAAAGAATCGCATGTTATAAGGGTGAAAGTCAAAATTTGAAGAAGAAAAAATGAAACTAATGCACACACCCAATATATTGCCTTCAATAATGGCACTCTGCTACAGAAATAGTTATAAAGATTTTTCACTGAAAAAGGTCTTACGAGTGTAGAGGAAAAAGGAAAACTAATCAGGGCTCCATAAAATATAGATGATTTGCAAATGGTAATTTTTTGGGCAATCTCACATCCCTCTTGAACCCATTTTGGCTCTTCCCAACCATTTTTCAAGTTTTAATTTTGACAAATCGATTCGGAGATAAGTGCGAAACGAGAAATTCAATCAGTGAAAAGGTCAAAGTAACGCAAGTTTGCGAGAAAGAAAATTAGTGTAAGTTCAATCGAATTCAATTCGTTTTTTAATAAGCAGGCAAAACCCTTTTCCCATCCACTTATGGGAAGTACAATTTAAACTTTGATTCAAATAATAAATTATGAAGATAGAAAGGAAAGTGAAGGAAAAAAAAGGCAACAGGTCACAATTGGACATGAAATCTAGAGCCAACAGTGAGAAACATTTTTGGTCATGAAATCACATTGAACATTAATATTTTCTTCGGTAATTGATAGCCTTCTCAGTTTAAATATTTTTCTTTCCAAAAGGTAGATTGGGATTTACTGGCCTCATTCCCAATCTACTTTTTGGAAAGAAAAATTGGACATGTCACACATTGGAAAACAGTGGATACATTTTTCATTTTAATTATTATTTTTAGCAATTTAATTTTAAATAGTTAGAAAAAACTTATTTTAAAATATTACTATGAAAAAATGTTGTGTTTTTTGTTTATTAATCAAACCTGTTCATAAAATATCATGCTGTTTTTCATTTTCAAGCATAAATTAATTAGCCTTTTTATCTAAAGTCTTGGTTGAGTTGAAAAAGCAAGTGTCACGAGTGGGAGACACTAGGTTGAACCAAGACCTTAAATAAAAAGAATAATTAATATTGTCAATTATGTCTGCTAAACATATATGGTTTGAGCATAAATTTTATCGGCAGCGAAAAAATCAGAAACAGCTTAAAAAAGAATCATGTTAATTTATTAGGCAAAAAAATGTATCTAACACTTGGATTAAGTTATTTCACTAACAAAGCTTTCATTCTTTGAAATATATCGATCTCCTGCAGTGAATGTGTTTAATATTTCATAACGTAAATAGAAAATACTTCATCAGAGTGGGTTTGAGTTTAAATTTATTTTTTCGCCCTTAGATTCCGTTGAGGAAGTTAAGGCCTTTGTTGAAGATAAGCAAGTGGCCATGGTCGGATTCTTCAAAGATGCAAACTCTGATTTGGCCAAGAACTTTATGGAAGTGGCTTTCGCTGTTGATGACGTTCAGTTTGGTGTATCGTATAATGAAGGAACACTCGCCGAATATAAAGCGGATGAAAACAAAGTTGTCATGTTCAAGAAGGTGCGTTGCAATTGAGAAAAATCCCGGAAACTGGTTTTGACACGTTTAATTTCAGTTTGATGAAGGCGAAGTCGTTTACACGGGCACAGAAGACCCCAATGAGCTTAAGAAGTTCATCTTGACAAATTCTCTCCCACTTGTCGTCGAATTTAACCATGATACAGCTCAGAAGATCTTCGGCGGCGATGTCAAATCCCACCTCCTTTTCTTCCTCTCAAAAGAAAAAGGTGATTTCGAAAAGCTCCTTGAACCCGTCAAGCCTCTCGCCAAAGATTACAGAGATAAGGTAAAAATAATTGCATTATACTGTAATAAAGTGTTCTAATCGATTTTGAAATTACAGTTGCTTTTTGTTGTTCTCAACGTCGATGAGCCAGACCATGTAAGGATATTAGATTATTTCGGACTCGCCAAGGACGATGTGCCTTCAATGAGGTTGATCAAGCTTGAAGATGATATGTTAAAATACAAACCTGACACTTCCGATTTGTCGCCGGAGCATGTCAAATCGTTTGTCGATGCTTACTTGAGCGGTACGCTTAAGGAACATCTTCTCAGCCAGACGTTGCCCGAGGACTGGGACAAACACCCTGTCAAGGTGCTCGTCTCAAGCAACTTCGACGAAGTTGTTTTCAACACGGAGAAAGACGTGCTCGTAGAGTTCTACGCCCCTTGGTGCACTCATTGTAACAAACTCGCGCCTATTTATGACGAGGTCAGTTCCCTTCGATTACAATTGAAAAATATTTTCTAAAAATGCGAATATTTCCAGTTGGGAGAGAAATTCAAGGATAACAACGAAGTCCTGGTCGCTAAAATCGACGCCACAGCCAACGAATTAGAACATACCAAGATCGAAAGCTTTCCCACTCTCAAACTGTACAAAAAGGGTGATAACAAAGTAAGACGGCGTTTATACGTTTGAAAAAACCTGGGACGTCTATGTAACGGTTGCAAAATTTTACAGGTTGTGGAATATACCGGTGACAGGACATTAGAAGGGTTGTCCAACTTCCTAGAAAGCGGTGGCGAATCGGTAGCACCTCCTCAGGAGGAAGTAAGCCTAGTAAAATTATATATTTTTATATTATTTTATTTTTTTAATTCATAACATTGTGGTTTTTTTTTTTTTTTATAGGTTGGCGATGAGACTGTTGATGACCTTCCAACAAAGGACGAACTTTAAAAAAAAAACTAAAACATCACAGAATTTCTGGGCTATTATGTATAAAGCAGTCATATTAAAATCAAATCGCTAAGGAGGAGAATAATTGTTTAAACAATTATTTTCCAGGTGTAAATTGACAGACTGCTGTTTTTATGTACTTTTTGTCATGTAAAAAAAAAAAAAAAAAGAATTGGTTGTTAAACTATTTTTCATAGAACTTAATTTTTTTATTGTTAATTTTGCATTTATAAAGTATTAACTCACTCGTAATTTGTTTTTGCATTCCAATAGCAAAACCATGGATTAATATTTTTTAAATATACTGTATAAATGTAATGTTTTTCATATCTAATTTTTTTTTATCTGTCTTTTTTTAAATATATGTTTAGGGATGTGTTTAAAACATTGATTGTGAGGTTGTGCGTGAATTGCTGAAGGTTAAAGTTGGGACAAAATGAAAAACGAATTGTTTGTTTAATGATGTGCAATGAAAGCCTTTTAGTTAAATGTAATTTTTTTCTCATTTTGTGATTTAAATAAACCAATCTCTTTCCTACGTTTTGATTTTATTATTGCATTAATTTTACACCATTTCTAATTCTATTTGAAAGAAAAAAATTGCAAAAATCTTATGGATGGTCGATAATATAATAAAATCATATTTTTGACAAAAATATTTTATGTATAGCTTCAATTAAAAAAAAAAAAAAAAAAAAAAAAAAAAACGCTAAGATTGTTGTGCGTAAGTTGAAGTGGGTCTAATGAAGAAGACATATATAAGAAAATTTGTAATGGGTCAGAGTCTCAACACAAAAATTGATGATGCACTTTCTTAAGTTGAACATGTTAATTCTGAATAGCTTTTATAAAATAAGTGGCGGGGTTTTTAAAGAACTTTAAAATTGAGTTATTAAACTTTGGTTGTTTCTGGATGGGACCTGGACTATCAAAAAGACCTGTTGGATGTCTTGGGGGTGGCGTTCCTTTCTGCCATGGTGCTCCAGTGGGCCGTCGGATGTGCGTATATGTTTCGTTTCAATTTGATTGTTTTTTATAAGTCCTGTGACAACAGACAAGATAATTATGGTCGAGCTTGGCAGAGAAGTTTGCATTTGGGCTAATAATAAATTTAAAAAAAAATTTCAGGCTCGACACTATTTTCCTGGAAATAGTGAACCTTTGGAAATATACTTTATAAATAAGATTTAAAAATAAAAACAATTATACAGACTAAGTTAAACAAATTGAAAATGACATTGTGATATGCCTACATCCTATCCCCATTTCCTACAGGAAAATCTGTTCTTTATCCAGGTATAGTTGTAATTCATGATATGTTTTTGTCATCACTGTTTCATTAAAAAAAAAAAAAAAAAAGCATAATATAATGAGAAACAGCAGCCATCACTGGATGGTTGCTGCTCATATTTCCATCTCATTGTTTATTTATTTATTTACAATGATTAACGGTTTAAGTCTTTTAATAAATGAAAAAAAAAAAACAGTCATTTCTAATACCAACTCAGAAAAAAATAAACATAAATACAAATAATTGAATAAAACAATTATACGAATAAATGAACAAAAGTGCAAATGAATAAAGAGATGAACAATATTATAAACAAGAATATAAAGAAAAATTAAAATATTACATTAAACAACACGTTTTAAAATATTTAAAGAAATAGGAAAAAGCTTAGACCTTAATTTAAATTAAATCTATGATTTGAAAAGGATAATTGATCATTAAAGATTATACCATTTCCAATATCTTGTTATTTAATTTAAAGGATGTCGAGATAGAGTTTTGTTGAGCGAGAGAAACACCGACTAAAACGAGCTAAATTTACTTGAAGTGCATACATGTCATTAATATATTTAATTGAGCTATATATTTTTATATCATCTGCAAGGAGTAAAAAATTCACATCAGAAAAAACATTTGCAATATTGTTTATATAAAAACAGACAAAAAATAAAGCTGATGTGTGACCCTCGAAGTACACCACTGGAAGCTTCCTATTTAGCTGCTAAAAGTAGTAAGTTAATTTTTTTAACATCTTAGAAAATGTATGAAAATATAGAAAATATATTGTGATGAAACTGTGCATGTCCTTTGTATGTTATTTTATCTTCCTTATTCATATTTCCTACTAACTACAGTAAAAATACTCCTATTGAAAGAATGAAGCGTTTGGTCAGTAATTTTCCACGTCTTACTATTTTAAATTCTTCTTTTTCTTCATTCCCAGTCATCTTGTTAAACATGTTAAATCTTGAATTTATATTTTAAGTTAAATTATCTTTCATTATTTTTATATGAATAAAATGTTTTTGCATTTATGTATGTGTATGTATGTATATATATTTCCATATTTAATGTTATATTATGTATTCCTAATTACAAATTTTACTGAATATAATTCAAGCAAGTATGCACAAAATCAACATATTTTTACGTAATTGTTTTATAATATTATTTATATAACTTTTGATCGATTGAAATATTTTTTTAATTTAAAAAGAGAACACATACAAATTACTTTTTGAATGGTACACGAATTATAATGCTGTCTGCCAGAGTTTGCCATTAAAAAAAAGAAGAAAAAACACTGAGAGAAAATATTAATAACTATGTATACCAATAATAAGCAATTATTAAAATTAAAGAAACAAAACAAAAAAAGTTTGCGATGAGCAATAACGGACATTTATATAAAAGCAAATTGTCTAATTACCCTAAATAATAATTATAATTAAAAAGTAAGACAGCATATAATAACAAAAATGCATTTTGTATAATATTTTAGAGTGAATTATTTGTTATTTCAAGTGGTTAGTACAATAACAATGATAAATGTGATCTTTTTTTAAGGTATATTTATATGAAATATACTTAAATAATTTTTCCCTTTGTTTTCTTAGTTTTGCTTTTATATTGTTATATTTTATACATTGTATTTTTCTATTTAACGATTTTTGTAAAGTGGATTAATTCTGTAAAATATATTATCATTATTATAAATTTTTAAGGGCATTTTAACGACTAAGGTTTCATGCCCTAACATGTAAAATATATTATTATAAGGAACGCACATGAAAAAAAAATCATCAAAATCAACCCAGTAGATTTCTGGATTACCTTGTTACACACAAACCAACTTATTATTTTATATTGTTTATAAATTTAAATTTATTTCTAAGATATGTACATGTAAGGGAGCTTTAAAATATAAACTTTTTTCTTTCTTGCTGGCTTGTTTCAGGTCCCTGGCATATGCGTTTTTTTAAAACGACGAATCATTTCTTTTTCTTCTTCACCCTGCCTTTTTTTCTTCTCTCTTTCTGTTTTTATTTCATAATGTGGTTTCATCACTAGATTATAAATAATTAATAATTATTCAGAAATTGTGAGATGCGGTCTGGTGTGATGTAGGTCTTGAAGGATTCACTTTTCCACATCCTAAATGTATTTGTTAAATGTAAACAATGTTTGTAAATCCTGAAGATGATCTCAATAAAGATCAAAACGTTGGCACGATAAAGAAAATGTTTTTCTGAAACCTACATCACGCCAGACCGCATCTCACGATTTCTGAATAATTATCGATTAACGGACACTAATCACCACACATAAATAATTAATATTTTAACAAATATATTACTGTCATTATTGTTTTGTATTTTTTATTATTGTTATTGCTGTTATTATTATTTTATTATGTTTATAAAACTAAATTTATTTCTAATTTTGAAATCGTGAGATGCAGTCTTGTGTGATGTAGGTTAAGAAAAATATTTTCTTTATCGTGCCAACGTTTCAATCTTTATTGAGATCATCTTCAGGGCCTGGGATTAACAAACATTGTTTAGATTATACAAATCCATGTAAAATGTGAAAATGAATTTATACAATGATGTACACAATATAGAAATTTTAGGCTTAATCAAAGTATTTGTGCTCAATACTATTTGTACTAAATACTACTCATTTATTTCTAATATACCTACACTTAAAGCCCTTTTAATATAAATAAATAGACTTTTAGATCTCTGGTAAATTTAGAAAGCTTGTAATAGCTCAAATTTAATTGTAAGTGAGCCTTGTCTCTTTAACTGACGTCGATCAATTGAACGCAAGTATCTCTTGATCAAGACAACTTGTTCACTAGCTTGGTCCAACCCCCCACTCTTCGATTCCACCCACCACTCTCACAGTCTTTGTCATACACTTGTCTTTACATGACTGTGTTGCACCCTGTCACTATTTGTTATTGCGTTCCTGTCTGTAATTTTCCTTATAAACAATCAAACTGTTGCCCGTATTTGAAGACATGGCTTCGTTCTTTGCCGTCGGCGGGAACCCGTTTTCGACGCCTGTCGGACAAAAGATCGGTGAGCAAAAAATTGAATCCATTCTCACCCTATTTAATACGTTTCGACTCTCGTTAATTTTCCAGTTGGGGGTCGTTACATAATTTTGTCGGTGAATCAACCGGGGAAAAGGTAAATAGAGCCTCTCTAGCTCAACGTTCGACTCTTTTGATCAATATATTAAGTTTGATAACCTTGCAACATTTCACAAAATTATTCGTGTTTATATGTACACAAATTTATTTATTTATACGGGTAAATATGCCCAATTACAAGTTCTATAAGAGTTTAAACCATACTCAAAAGCAATAATATAATTAAAAATATGGACAATTCAGCATAACAAACACAAAATTTTGTATTTTTCATATTTCTGACTCTCTTAAATCCGGCCCGGAGGACCATTAATTATGTAGGCGCCGTTAAATAGGGTGTACGCTGGTGTGGTCGTGAAACAATAATGAAAATGATTATTTGGAGATCGTGAGATGTGGTCTGGTTGACGTAGGTTTAGAAAAACATTTTCTTTATCATGCTGTTTCAACCATCTTCAGGGCCTGGGATATAAACATTGTTTAAATTATAAATCCAATCCCTGAAGATGATCTCAATAAAGATCGAAACGTTGGCATGATAAAGAAAATGTTTTTGTAAACCTACATCACACCAGACCGCATCTCACGATCTCCAAATGCTCATTAACTAACCGTCACTAAACACCACACAAAAATAATGAAAATAATTAAATAAACTAAAATTGAATAAAACCCCAATACCTGAAGTGTACGGTTGTGTAGTCTTCGTCAATTTGCAGCACATAAACCCTCAACATAACGAAGGCTACGATAATATGCTTAGATTACTACGGTACCTGCTAGGCTCTGTCTGAACCTTTTCTATCGGCGACTGGCTGATATCACTCCCATGATTTGAAATTAAAAGAAAACTAAACTGAAAATAACTTTTAAGTCTTAAGGAATGCTAACACTTTGTATGTCCACACGGAAGCAAGACGTTAGTTTCTCTCTGACGCATGAGAGCAAGTCAAGACGGGAGCAAGTTATGAACGCAGTGCTTTATCGGCCTGTTTTGGGATTAGGGTATAAGGGAATGTTGCATTTCAACGGAAGCATAAATATTTGCTCCAATTACTTTGGCGTAAACACACGTGTGTAAAAATATAAAATAAGTGAGAAGGAATGATAGAAATTTAATTAAATAACAAATACTCTGGCAGGCAAAAAATTCCAAACCTAGAGATTCCATGCTGGCCCCCTCTTTGGCCAAGTCAAACTTTTCATTGCCTGTCCTGAGTGCCCAGGAACCCCAAAGGAAGTGAGAAGGATCGATAAAAATTTAATGAAAACAACAGAAATATATTTAAAAAAATCAAACTCAATTGCCACGATCAATATTAAAAATAAAACGTTAAAATTGACTAAAGGAAAGGTAAAAAGTGTCATAATATAAAGGAAGTTTATTACTCATTTCCATGAGTCAAGGAATCTGATTAAATTTTAAATAATTTGTATTGTAATTAGATTTTGAAAATATTTTTTTGTCTGGTACACCGTGGAACAAGGAAATTTAGCAAATTGAATAATTGTTGATTAACAGTCAGTTTATTAGTTTATAGGAAAATACCAGGTCATTATTATACCGTCTTATGTTTAGTGGTTGCAGTTTTGCAGATTCCATAAGTTCCTATGTGTATCCAAGTTTCTAGTACTTTTAAACCAGAGAATGTGAATAAATTGTCGCTGTACATTTTCTATTGAATTATTTAATATTTTCTGATGTGGTGACCAAACAACTGAAAGTATTCTTTAATGGGACGTTCCACAGCTTTAAACAATATAATTATCGTTTCTGCATCCTTAATTTTTTTTTTGTACTATGTAAGTAACCTAAAATTAGTTTTACAATTAGAGTATATGATTTCAAGGCCTTTAATGGTAGTTTTTGTCCAATTGGATGTCTTGTATGGTCTAATTGTAAAAGTCAACACTACGACCAAGATTATAACTAACAACTTTACGCTTATTTACATTTAGTTACATGCCTTTGTATGAACACCACTTTTTAGGATTATTTAAAGATTTTTGCAGAAGCTCAGCATCATGGGTGGAAGTTAAGGGGCTATTAATTTGTTAAATTAATTTAAAATTGTTTAAATTAATTTGTTCATTAATTTTCCTGTTGTTTACAGAAAAATAAATGTTTAATCAATGTTTTATTACTTAAAAAAAATAAAAACATTAAAAATAAAATTCAGAGGTCAATTTAAAAATATTCTCAAGTGGTTTTTTTACCAAGATAAAAAAACAAGGACAAGTGATATGCATGTTTAACAAAATTTGCATTTCAGCTTTAGAAACCTTTTCACTTTTAATAGTTATCATTGTATAATAAAAAATAAACATTCTCCTGGTGACGCATTTTATTTTTGGTAATTTTTGTTGTTTTTATTAAAGAATTTACAGTTAAAGTGTAATTTTAACATTGTAAAAATGGCCATTTAACTTGCATCATTCTTCTAAATTGCCTCCTGTTTAAAAAGTTACGAAAATTCGGGATCATGGTATGGTCTTGAAGAAGAAAGTAAATTCAGTTGTTACTATCAAACTTTTGACCTATTTTAAGGTCATCAGGGTTAAATGGCATTAAATATGTCAATAGATTGGCATATTTAAATTTTTTACAGGCACTGTTACAGTCCTTGGGACTGAGTCGGTCTTCAAGGAAATTTGGGATCGCCTGAAAAAAACTTAAATATGCCAATCTATTGACATATTTAAGATTGTTTTACCCTGATGATGACCTTAAAATAGGTCATAAGCTTGTCAGTAACAACTGAATTTTCTTTCTTTTTCAAGACCATACCTTGATCCAGAGTGAAAAAGGGGTCGATATTTCTAATTCTGAAAAGGAAATTTTAGTGAACAATTTTTCTTTGTTATGCTTTATAAATAGTAACTTAGATTTAAATTAATTAAAAAGAAATCACAACATTTTACTGTTCAAACTCATAATTTAAAAACTATTGTCACAACTATTTTTCAATTTATGACGACCTTACACCATCATTATTATTGCAGCTTTTTAAACATTTAAACATATCTGGGCACCTGTTATGAGGACAAACCAATTATTATCGAATTTCAAGCAAATATTAAATTGGCAAAAAGGAAATTTTTTTTATCATTTATTGCTTTTTTTTAAATTGATTAATAAAACCTCACCCTTTAGCATCATGATCATTCATGTTGGTTCTCAATGTATTCACTGCTTGAGATGACCCATCATCATAGCTTGTTGGATGGATCGAGGCCAAAAAAAAACTTCATTTTTGATCATTTATTGCTTTTTTTAAAATTAATTAATAAAACCTCACCCTTTAGCATCATGATCATTCTTGCTGGTTCGCAATGTATTCACTGCTTGAGATGACCCATCATCATAGCTTGTTGGATGGATCGAGGCCAAAAAAAAAACTTCCTTTTTCATTTTTGATCATGTATTGCTTTTTTTTAATTGATTAATAAAACCTCACCCTTTAGCATCATGATCATTCATGTTGGTTCTCAATGTATTCACTGCTTGACATGATCCATCATCATAGCTTGTTGGATGTATCGAGGCTAAAAAAAACTTGTTTTTTCATTTTTGATCATTTATTGGTTTTTTTAAATTGATTAATAAAACCTCACCCTTTAGCATCATGATCATTCATATTGGTTCTCAATGTATTTACTGCTTGAGATGACCCAATGGCAAAGACTAAGAATTCTTCAATTCTTGATACATAATTAATTTTATATTATTTTATTATATTGTTGAAAAGATTTGCTTACAGAAAACACAGGATCTAGTCCTACAAATATAGTTAGTTATGTCTTGCTTTCTTTCATGCCCTGTCAAGATATCTTCGGTAGTGGCTTTAGTTAAATATGTCCAATTGGGTCATTTTAAAGCATATATTATTATGCTGATTGTTAGCTACGGCTTTATAGGCTTTTTCCTTATACCTTGACACTAGAACTTAATCCTTGTGTTAAGAGGAGAGTGAAGAAGATTGTCAGACCATCTTCAACATGTCAACCAGTGAAGACAGTGAAAAGCTGTAATGTCTGACAGGTGAAAGTAGCAAGAATAAACAGATCGGAATGACCAAGCTTACAGTGCATTTTTTTTGTTTTATTTTTTATCGGAAGAAAATCTTATTTAAGATTGTCTAATTGTTTAATAACGTCTATGATACATTGTGAAAAAGCTGGTCCAACCACTAAAGTCTTAAAATGTATATCATGTCAGACAGGTGAAACTAGCAATAATAAGCAGATTGGAACGACCATGCTTACAGTGCATTCAGCCTGGAAGAAAATCTAATCCAGGAATTGGAAATTTTTGGTTATCGTATTAATTAACGTTATGTTTGCAATTCAAATCCGTCCAAATTTTTAACACATGACTGGGTCAGCTGTCAACATTCTAACGAGCGAGAGTAATGAGTTGGCAAGTTTAATTAAAGAACTTTGATTGTTTACAATGTCTTCATGTACGTCCTTGATGTCTTATTACATAAAAATATAAATAGTTGAAAAGCAAATTTGCTTGTATTAAAAGCTCAAGGCCGACAAATTTTACAAATGTCATTTGCTTAGCAGCATACTCGGTACTATTGTTCTTTTTTTATACACTGGCACCCATATCAAGAGATCTGTAATTTACGACAGTGAAAGAAGAAAAATAATGTAAAATGTGTAAATATATAAACTAATCTCTCTGACTGCAGCTGATAAGGTTTATTCAAACTGGTTATCATTTTTTAATTAATTAATTAATTTAGTTAAAAAAATTGTTCAATAATCTGCTTTTCTTTTCTAAAATAATTCTTCATGCAAATTTTTGTCCAGGATTATTTGTATTTCATCCTTTTTTTAAAAGCTGACTTATTAATATGTCTTAAAACCTTTCTAAGAATTTAAAATGGAAATCGTTCAAACATTATGATCAAGAATATTAACATAATCATAAAAAAGTACTTCTTCATTGTAATTCATATTTTTTGTTCATGGGATTGCTTTTTATAATCAGTATTGATTACAGTGAGTCGTATTGATTGATTTGTTGTTAAAGTTAGTTTTGCTTCAATATGTTTGACAACCGTCCAACTCACGTTTGTCCAAAGGGAGATCAATACTTGTTAAAATCACGTACATTATTTTGATTTTTAATAATTATATTACTTTAATTTAACAGAAATTTCACCATGGGGGAAAAAAGAAACTGGTTTTATTTTATTTATTTATTTTTTTTCTTAAATGATATTTAAGATATTTGCTATATATTGGGTTGTCCGGAAAATAATGCAGGATTTTGGTATTAAACAAAAAAAAAGAAACTAGTTACTTTAAAGCAATGTTCTTTAATCAAAATAATTTCCCATACTCTCAATACATTTCTCCCAACGTGTTGGTAACTTATTAATTCCGTCTGAGTAGAATTCAGAATTTTTAGAATTGATAAAGTCAATAAATGCATTTTCCAGTTCCGTTTGATTTTTGAATATTATGTGTTGTAAGTAGTGGTCCAGGTGTCTAAAAAAATGGTAGTCAGTAGGCGAGAGGTCCGGAGAGTAGGGTGGGTGAGGCAAAGTTTCATAGCCAAGCTCCAATAATTTTTGTGACGTTACACGTGACACATGTGGTCGAGCGTTGTCATGCAACAAAATGGGCCCTTTCCGATTGACCAAAGAGGGCTTCATTACTGCCAATTTCTGATGCATGGTATTAATTTGGTTACAGTATGATTCAGCATTGATGGTTTCGCCAGGATTTAAGAAGCTGTAGTGTATTAAACCAAATGAAGCCCACCATACCGTAACCATTACCTTTTTTTGATGAGTTGGGGGCTTTGGAAAATGTATTGGAGCTTCTCCTTTGTCGAGCCACTGTCCAGAACGTCTAGTGTTATCGTAGAGAATCCACTTTTCGTCACATGTAACAATTCTGGCCAGAAATGGGTCATTTTTGTTTCGACAAAGAAGTGATGCACAAACATCAAAGCGCTGATTTTTTTGGCGATCGTTTAATGAGTGTGGAACCCAATTTTCGAGTTTTTTCACTTTTCCAATCGCCTTGAGGTGGTCAGCGACGGTCGTTTTACTGACTTTGAGTTGCTCTGCAAGTTCTCGAACAGTTGTTTTGGGGTTTTCTTCCACCACTGATCGCAGAACATCATCATTAAGAGAGGAAGGCCTTCCACGACCTTCTTCATCTTCAAGGCTGAAATCTCCCTCCCGAAATTTTTTAAACCACCTTTGCACAGTGCACTCATTAACACAACCCTCGCCCCAGACTTGGTTAATGTTTCTAGCCGTTTGGGCTCCGCTTCGGCCGAGTTTAAACTCGTAAAAGAAAATCGTACGAAATTCTCGCTTTGACATTATAAGGATGACTGAATTATTTCCAAGTAGCGGAATGCTACAGAGGTAAACAAACAATATCATTTGGAAGAGGATTAATAAGTGTTGACATTCATACAAATGAGTAATCCTGTAAACGTAAACAGAATATTTTATATAGATTTTTTTTAATGAAAACTTAAAATCCTGCATTATTTTCCGGACAACCCGATAAAACATCAGATAAGGCTATATATAAATTCCTATTTAGCAATAAAAATTTTTGTTTAGATAAACTATCTCGTTTCTAAACAAACAAAATTTAATTTTTTATTTTATTATTATTGTAGAACAAGCCACAGACCCAAGTCTTGCTTCCGAAAACTGGAGCCTGAACATGGAAATATGCGATCTCATCAATGACACCGAAGATGGGCCAAAAGACGCCATCAAAGCCATAAGAAAACGACTGCAGACGTCCGTCGGGAAAAATTATACAACGGTGATGTTCACGTTGACAGTAAGGAACCGGATGTTTTCATAAATTTGACATGTGACTTTTTTTTCTATGGTGTTCAATTTGTTTCCAGGTTTTAGAAACTTGCGTTAAAAATTGTGGTAGAAGATTCCATGTCCTCGTCTGCAACAAGGAATTTGTTGGGGAATTAGTCAAACTTATAGGTGAGTTTCGCTTAGTATAATAATTATTGATCATTCCATCTTTCTTTAGTCTGTATGAAATGAATAAAAACTGCGAGATTTTTGTTTTTGATGAGGATGATCCAGTGCAACAACTTTGTTTTTATTGTTATATTTGGTTTTTTTATTTATTGAAATATAAGTAATAGTAAACAGGCCAACAAATAACAAGAAAGTGATAATTGTTTAATTTTAATGTAAAAACATTAACAACAGACAAGAGTATTTGTTTCTCAGAATAAAACTAACAGAATATATTAACTTTTGATTATAGTTTTATTTAAATTAAAGAACCTACTGCTGAGAAATATACTTGATGTAAATTGTTTTTAGGCCCTAAAAATGGACCTCCGATGGCTGTACAGGAAAAGGTCTTGAGTTTGATCCAGGCTTGGGTCGATGCTTTCCACCAACAGCAAGATTTAAACGGAGTCGTCCAAGTGTATCAGGAATTAAAGGCGAAAGGGATCGAGTTCCCAATGACTGACTTAGATTCCATGGCGCCGATCCACACACCGAAAAAATCAGTTAAAACCGAGACTGTAGTGAGCGAAAGCCCGTCAAAAGGGCCCGGTTCATCGATGGGCGAAATCACATCGCCGCTGTCACAAGAACAGCTTACAAAGCTAAGAGAAGACGTCGACATCCTTCAAACAAATATGACAATTTTCGGCGATATGCTAAGTGAAATGTCGCCTGGTAATGAACATCCTTCAGACATTGAATTATTTCATGTAATTTTATTTTTTAATTATATTTTGTTTTTTAATATTCAAAAATTGACTTGTTAACTTTTCAGGAACTCCATTTAACCCTCGTGGAAATGCAAAAACGGCTTGTCGAGCTGATATCCAAACTGACTTTTGATGAAATAACCGAGGACTTATTAAGGATAAATGACCATCTAATTAACTTGTTTTTAAGGTTAAAAAGTTTATACCTTATCACAACGTTTCATAACTACATAAAACTCTAGGATACATTTAAAAGAAAAAAAAAATTGTTGGAAAATTTTCATTTGTGTAATTAAGTAATTACTAATTTATTAATTTTTCATATTTCTGGTAAGGTTTTTTTACCTTAATTGTCACAGAACTTGTAAAATATTGTTGCACGAGTTGCGCAACCATCATTTTCAATCATAATGATTTGTGCTGATTTTATTATCTGTCAAATGGGTTTTGGCATTTCACCATCTTAATTGATCACCTTGATTATCTATTGAAGATGGCTGCAATGCTGAAGATGTCTATTGGACAAAATCAGCCATAATTTTTAAGATTTAAAACATGAAAAGTTTTTTTTTCCTTTGATGTACTTTATAATATTTGTAAAATATATGAACAGGTATTCAAGATATGAAAAGAATAGAGAAGTAGCTAAAGACGGGGCGAATAACAGCGGCCCTAGCAATGATGACTCACTCATAGATTTGGGCAACGAAGCGGCCGGAGGTGTAGCAAATCCGGCTCACCTGACGAAACAAATGGAAGGCTTAAGTAAGCATCCCCCCCTTGGCGTTTTCCATGAGAAATTGACAGTTTTAATTTTCAGGCATCGGAAACAGATTGCCAAATACAAACAACGACCACAAGGTAAAGGCCAAAGTGAACGATGTCGACGATACGGATTTTGACATGTTTGCACAGTCGAGGAAAGTTTCTTACGAATCATCAAAAACGAGGTTAGCATCTTACATTCAGACTTTTTTTAATTATTTTTATTTTCTAATCTAAATCTGTCTCTTGAGTGTTTTATTAATTGAATTTCAGCGGGAGTTCTTATGAATCCAATACGAAGAACATCGTTAGTAATAATCTCAGCCAGGCATCGGAAGCGCGAGCTCAAGGCACTACAGTAAGTTGGCTATTTTATTACAAACTGTCGATATTACTTAATATAAGTTTATAAATTCAATGGTTTTTGGTGAGTAGCTGTGGAAAAAATAGTCATAAAAAAATTTCTAGTCATGAATTTTTTTTTTACCATTTAAAATTGAAATCTTTTGTGTTAATAATAGAAAAAAGTCTGTTTTTTATCCTTTTACTGTATTTTCCTGTATTTATTTATGTATTGTTTCTGTTTGGGTAACTTTCCTGCTCTGAAATGGTTATATAAAATGATAAAAAAAAGGAAACGATACTGATGGTAAGGAAAACTACTTAAGCAAATTCAGATGCATCTTTCCTGCATGAAATGCTTCTGTATTTTTTTCTCCTTACATATAAACAAACAAAAATCAAATAATGTAAGCGCATAAATGCTTATTATAATACAGGGTTTTAAAAAAATTAATCAAGTGGATTTTTTAAAAATAATATAAATATAAAGTGTATTTTAATAATTGATTTAACACTGTTGTAAACATATTTACTTTAAATGCTGAATCTTTTAATATATTAAAATATTAAAAAATTAATTTTGCTTAATAAGTACATAACAAATTTGGTACTAATTGTCGTGTGGTAGTTCATAAAAATTTTCAACAAAAGGGGTTGAGCCTACCATTTCCCACAGTCCACTGGCAATTCCGGCTTTTGTAATTTACAATGAATTATCAGTGGACCTTGAAAATCACCCCAAGTGTTGACAGTCCAGACTCGGACCTCTGTCTTATCCACCCAGACGCCGAGGGTATCAGAGGCTATCAACAGTTAGGTCGTTTCAGCCCCAACGTAGTCCTAAATCCAAACCAGTCATACATTGTAGTACTCGATATTCCTCCATCACCCTACGTATAATTATTCTAATTAAGGGCCTAACTCAATATTCCTATACATTCACTCATAAAACACACTAGGGACACAAAACTATCAGTACTGTATACAATAAAACAACTGTTTCTTCCAAAAATCAGAACAGAGGACCAAGATACTACCGTGCTCAAGCACAATTTATATCAAGTAGCTTTCCTACATGCTCTTTATAGATCTAAGGAATTGCACCTCCTTCAATTAGGATGGACACATATTGTCCACAGGGATTTGGCTCAAAAGTAAGTATCCATGTGATGACCAAACATGGCCTAACTTAATTGGGTCAGAATGACCCTTTTTCTAGGGAGCCAGGTCTTTCAAGGAGCTATTCACATTGTTCTGATATACGAGTGCTCTACCAATCCGCCCCACCGATGCCGCAACCAAAATGGCCTTGAATTCTTTTCAGTTAAAATATTTGAACATCCCAGTGCATGTTTTCAATGATTCAATAGGAGTAATTAAAAGATAAAATACTTTTAGAAAGAACATAAACAAAAGAAGAAATCAAGCAAACTTTAAATCACTTCTTGGATCTATAAAAAATTATATGTTTATATATTATTTTTTAAATTTCTCATCCCCCCTGCCAGGTGATAATAATTGAAAAGGTTAAAATAATGACAGTTATTGACTTTTAAAGTTATTTATAATAAAAATCAAATGACAAAATTTATTAAATACATTTCTAATTATTTGAAAATTAAATATAAAAATTCAGTCAAGCTTGTTTAACTAGGCTGAAAGTAAAGAAACAATTATATTTTTTTAAATTCATCCAAACTAACCAAATATCAGGCTTGCATAATGCAAATTGTTTTAGTCTTTTAATTAATATAAAAAATATTTAAAAAAAAGATTGTAGCATCTAATATAATTTAGAATAATAGTTATCTAATTTGCATGGAAAATTCCTGCATATTTTTTTCTGGCGAATATTCTCTACTTCCTGAAAGTTATTTATGGATATTAAGCTTTCAGGTTGTAAAATAAATCAGTGGTGTTTTTTTTTTTTTTTTTTTTTTTTTAGGGGAAATTTCAAGTGTTTGTGAACAAATTAAATATATATGAACCATTTTGTTCCACTACCTGCAGCCGTCTTCCTTGTTGTTTTGTAATTCCATTCTCCCAGAATATATCAGTCTTTTGGGCAAAAAACTCAATGTGTTTTTTGCGGTCTTCAAGTGAAGTCAAGTTTTTCCCATTAATAATTTTACAGAGCCCAGAATAAGAGAAAATCTGGATAATCAGGGTCAAACAAATTCACCGGGTGGGGAAGCACTAGCCAATTACTGGCACTCCTAAAACAAGAAATCTCCCTGTCATTTTTGGTTTTCTGACTATAATTACAACAATTGTGGGCTGTACATACCAAAATTAATGGTTTGGTTGGGGTAAGAAGCTAGAAAGCACTCCCTTCCAATCCCACCAAATCTACAGCATTACCTTCTTAGGATGTAATCTATCTTTTGTAGTTGTTAACGGTGGGTCGGTGCATTTTCCCCAAGATTTTTCTCTCTGAACATTATTGTAAAGGACTCCCCAGTTATCAGTCTTTCTAAAAATAGGTCATTTACATGGTATTTTAGGAGGGAAACGGAGATGTGGCCAAATAAATTATTATGTGAGAAATCCTTATCCCTGACAAGCATGTGCAGCTGCTCTCACATAAGTTGAAACGTTTGTATGAGATGCGCCAAGGGTCTCTGCAATGTCTCATCTCATTGTGATAAAAGCTTGAATTTGGCCATCACCAATGATTTTCTGGACAAGCAGTGTTTTCTCTTAATTAAAATGACATCTCCATACATATCATAAATTATCCTAGTAGTCTGAGCTGCAGTTTTCCCTTTGCAGTAATAAAAAACCTATTGAATGACAAAAACGTACTATTTTCTCTGCAATTTTAAATTAGCAAAACTGGTGGTCAGTGTGTCAAATTCTCTGCTTGTAGACTGTGGGTCATGGGTTCAATTCCTTCTGTCCAACCTGGTATTTTTTTCATGCACCTCTTCCACCAAAAGTACAATGATACAATTCATCACTCTCTGGCTAATATTGAGCAATAAAGCGTTTAAAAAAATAATAATAATAAAATAAAAATAGCTTCCAAACACAACAGGGATAAAATGGAATTATTGAAAAACACTACAGATTTATTTTACAACCCAATAAATGGATTAAATAATTTAAATGAGATGTTTCTAGATGCTTATGATTTAATTTAATAGAAAATAAATTTGCACTATAGAAAAATAATACATTTTCAAATCTGCGATGCTACCATTCATTTATTTGTATGTAGTAATGCACGTATTGGATATGCTGTAAGCTTGCTACTTTCCAAAAATAAATAAATAAATTGGACAGGACGTTTAAACTTTTATTATAAAAGTCTTGTTTCTCATTTAATTCAATGTTTGTAGTTATTTGGAAAGTAACTTAATTAAATCATCAAAATAATCATGAAATCATTGAAATGATCGTATGCATATCAAAGAGTGTGCATGACTGAATCATTTACCCTAGTATTTATTTAAAAAAAAAAAAATCCAATATCAAAGTAGCATGGTAGATTTTACTTTTACTATCGTTTAAATATTAACCTGTCATTCTTGATTTTTTTCTTTATATTCTAGATGCATAAAGAAAGCGATTTTGATGAAATGGCAGCCTGGCTGGCACAAGGCGTAAGTCGATTACATTTTATTTTTATTTTCTTATATTCTAATTTGTCGTGTTCGAGAAGGGAAATGATCAGATCAGCGGCCAAGAATCATTGACGAGCTCAGAGTTCGATAGGTTTCTCGCGGAAAGGGCGGCCGCAGCTGAAGGAATCCCTTCTGTCGATCATAACCAGTCAACGAACCATCAACAAAAAAGGATGGGTAAATTTCATTTGACTATGTATTATCAAACTGAGGTATTTTTTGCATGTGAAAATTATACAAGGCGCTAGTTGGTTTAAAAGTAAATTTATTAATATCACCTTTATAATAAAGTTCATTTATTTGAACGGTTGAATATTAAACAATAAAATTCATGAATGTATACATTATAACTTTTAATACGTTTTTATTTTTATTTTTTAGAAAACTAACAGTTTATGTGTAGCAACTCATCAGGGCTTGGACACGTACGTACTTATAAAATTGTTATAATAATTATGCTATAAAAACAAAAGACCATTCAAAGCCCTTTTATTAATGTCGTTCCTTTAATCATATAGTCATTCTGTCATTCCTTTTCCATCCCTTTCTTCATCGTGATATATTTGATGATTCATATTTGATGAACATGTCTATGTTAAAATGTGAATCTGGGCAAAAATAATTCTTTTTTTTATTATTTAACTTTAGAGTACAGCACTAAATTGCATATAAATGATGAGCTGTTTTATTAAATTATTCAAAAAAGGAATTAGAATTGTTTTTAAATTCAGAGGCCTGTAAAACATCATTAATATATTAATTTGTTATTCTATTAATAAATAATCTTAGTTGTTGAGTAATTATTTGTTACAATTTAATTTGAGAGAATATATTTTCCATTAAAAAAAGTAAAGAGTTAAAAAAAGGATGAGAAGAATGTATGTCTTAAGTAGTTCTTTACTATGTATTAGTAATTACTTAAATAATCACATTTATTGTTAATCAGACATTTATGTGGCTTCACATTTTCAACAATACATGTAAATTTACTTGCCTAAATGTAATTCTTTGATTTAAAAAAGGCCCTTTGCATTAAGGTTTTTTTTATATATAAAGATGGAATAAAGTGAAATCAGTATTTATATTTTTAGCGTTCTATGTTTATCTAGAGCTTACAGTGAGATAAATTTTTTATTTTTTTGTTTACTCACTATCACTTGATTACAGATGATGTGTGATCTGTTAGATTGTAAAAAGTACAATTTAAATGATTGTAAAATATTGTTTCAGCAGAGCCGAAGATTCTTTGGAACATCAATGATTTTCTTTATTGTTATGTTTTAAAATGTGATACGGATTGTTTTGAATTGATAAAAGAAAATAATGGGCTTATAAATTATTATCGAAAATTTATTTATTTTGTTTTTCTCCGAGAAATGTTAACTTGTTATACATCGGGCCCCCGACTTCTTTCATTCTGAACATGTCCGACATTCCTTTTTTTTTCTTTTTATACTGTTTCTTCAACCCTTTCCTTTCTTAAAATGCTTGTTAGACTCATATTTAAAAAATTATGTTATATGACCAAAGCTTTATATGGTGAAATTATTAAATATGTACATGAAATTCACCAGAGAAAATGTTTTGTTTTAGAAATTTTGATGTATATTTGTTTTTGTAAATAATAAATGAACTTTTAAAATGGCTTTTTACAATTTTTTATTGGAGTAATCACCATTTTATTTTATTTAACTCTGAAATTGAAGGATAATGAATTCATCTCATTCTCCCTATGTTTTGACAATAATAATTTTACCAAAATTGCTCTGTCTAAATTGTTCCATACTAGAATGATCAGGAATTGTGGACAAACCTTATTTATCGTTTAATATATTTCATTTTTGTCTTGGCAGCTTTAAAAGGTAAATCTTACATTGTACAATGATGAATCTAAAATGGTACGGTGGTAAGAGAATGAAATTTTTCTCAGGATCCATCTTTGAATCTTTAAAAGGGTGACGACCTTCCATCCTAGCTTTGCGCAGTAGGCCCTGACTCCCTTCCATTAGGAGTTTTATCTCCTCACTGCTTTGCCTGAAACCTTAGCCCCGTCCGATCTTCCATCCTTGTTCAATGTGTAACCCTGTCTCCTTTCTGTCAGTTTGTGTTCTTTACCTTACGCCCTGCTTCCCTCTGCCAAGTGACAATCTCCCGTCCATGTTCTTCATTGCCATGACCAATTAATCACACGATGCGCCTTCGAACTCCCCTTATGTTTCTGTCAATAATAAATTAAAGAGCAACTGGCTAGCTCAAGTCAAGTAACTCAGAGCGAAACTGCCAAAATAATAAAAAAATTACATCAAATTCAATATAAAAAGGATTTGGGTTTTACTTTTGTTTTTTTTAAGGAACTTTTTTTCATTATCGTGCATATTTCATTGCTTGATTGATATCGTAGATGAATGTTTCTGCTTGAAAAACACTGCTTCAATGATTCTGCAATTTTATTTTTAATTGTAAATATTGCTGAAATGCTCTATTGTGCCTACATTTTTTTTGATCATCGATGGATTTTTATTTCGATTCATTGGACTGTAAATATTAATTTTCCTCCATACTTATTTTCTGCGTAATTATCGACAAATTTTATTTTTCAGCTTATCTGTCATAAATGTGATGTACACTATTTCATATAATAAAATGTGTTTAAATCTATAAACTTTTTTTTAAAAATCCATTATTAGCAACGTTTTTTATATTTTTGAACTATACCTAAACTGGGTGAATAATGTCCGCATAGTAAAGGGATAAATTGGACAAATGGTTTTCAAGGTAAAGAAATTTACAAGTAGTGGTTAATTGAGTATTTCCAACTTCACAAAGGTCTATCTGCTTTCATAAAAACAACAACTTTATTTAAAATGCAATGCTTTCATTGTGTTTTATTTGTCATTATAGTTGAACAAGCAAATGCGTACAAATAAAATTGTTTTTATACATTATGAAACAAATACATAACAGTACATAAATATATTATACATTACTAATGATACACTGGCCTTACAGGATAGTTTATATTATTTATTTTTGTATTGCTGTCATTTAAATTCTTTCATCTAGGAATTTCGTCAGTTTTTGACACGAACAATTTGTTTAAAAATTTTTTTCAGGCTCCTGTCAGCGGAAGACTTTTGTATAAGAAATCTATTCAAATTCCATTTTAAAGATGAAGTTTTTTGTTTAAAGTACTTCTGATGGTACCGTAGATAAATAGATAAAATCACTCTCTATAAAGTTTCATTTGTTCTTCTAATTCTTGCAATGACTCAATTTGGAACTTATCCTTGTCCTGTTGAATGATCTTGAATATATTCTTAAGTTGTTCCTTTTCAACTCTTAAAAAAAAAATTAATTAATTAAAATTACATTGTAACGGGGTAAATGATCTAAGACTCAATTAATATTAATACTTTATTTCCTAAAGTAACCTGCGGTTGAGATGGGAAGTTAGTGCCCGAGCGGATCGAAGTCATGATAGCTCAAGTGGTAGAGTAGTGGTGTATCAAGCCGAAGGTCGTGGGTTCGAATCCCGCTCGTGACACTGACTTTTTTTAATCTCAATTTAAAACCTTAATTAATTGGTCAAATGGACCACGAAAAATAGTGAAGTTATTTCCTAAAGTTGACCTGACAATATATATATTCTTCTTCCCTCACCCTTGTCAACATTTGTGGATGTTTGATGTATAAAAGACATAGAAAGCCAGAGAGAAAGATATGAAAAGAAATTACAATTAACACATAACTAGCCAAAAAAACAACAATATTGTGTAAATAAACATGTAAAAGAAAAAATTAAGACAAAAGGGAACAAATTAAATACAAACCATTAATAACGAGTGAGAATGTTTAAAATTGAATCATCAATTTTAAAAAAAGTAAGAGAAATAAAACAGGAGGGCTTAACATCCAACTACCCATAAAAAAAGCTTAAAGCTCACAGTAAAGAATTTAAGGTCAAGTTGCCATTGAGTCAGTAAAAGGTGGTCTGAGTGTGGCTGAAATTGTTTTGGCTCTCTTGGATTTTCTTTTAGAAATTGCATCATTTTGAAAAAAAATCTGTCATGGATGAGGGATTACACTTTACAATACATTTTCATACTATAATCAATTAAAAAACCATGGGCTCTGCCAGTATTTGAACACAAAACTATAAATATAAGTTGGACGCCGTAACCACTCAGCCACCAGGTCCCCCCCATATTATAAATTATGTGATTATAGTGATATAATATATACTTTTTTTAAATATTTTTTTATTGTTTGAAAACTACAGTGCAATCAACTATTTACCACCTAGAAATATGCTGATTTTTTCATAATATAAATTTAAATCCCTTTCTATAAAGTTTATAAAAATGTGTATACTTTTTTTCTTGTTCCATGTAGATTTGATACTGATTTAGAGAAATTTTTTCAATCTGTGTTTTACTGCTCATCAGCCCCGATGCACTTTCCATTCCGCTGCTATTATGTTCAACCTCCTCGTTGCACTTCTTCTGCTGAAAGGATAGCACATGTATTATAATTGTCCGAATAAAATAGAAGTCAAAACGCAGTACATACTTGTTTTTCTCTCTTGCAAAACTTTTCTTTCTGCTTCACATCAAATTTCCAGCAGAGTACGATGATGATAAAAGTCAATATGATGCACAACGTGTAAAAGTACAATATGTTTTCACCGTATATCATCGCATTTTTGAATAATGGTATAAAGTACATGAACATCTTGGATTTTGATTTTTTTAAATTCAGGCTGTGAACATATCAATTGCTTTGTATTTTTACTGCAAATTTTATTAGTGATTTTATTGTAATGGTGTTCGATATATTTCTTTGATTCTTTGTTTTACGGAATTTAAAAAAAAAACAATGCGCGGAATTTGAGTTATAGCTGACTTTTTATTAGAAATTTTAGGCAGTTTGTTATGTTAAGGGGATTATTCATCTTGTTGTTTGTAAATACACTTGGAGTTTGGTCCTGGAACCTATTGGCTTTTAAAATAAGACCACAGGGTTTTAAATTAATTTGATTTAAACCCTCTCGAGTTTTGAAGCAATGTTTATTTAATCATTATTGTTTACGCTCTGACAAGGGATTAGTTAAGGTGTTTTTATTGGTCAGTTTCATCCGAGAGCTGATATTTTTACAAGGTATACTTATTTAAAATGGAGGAAAAAATAATTTTCATAATTTAGTGAGTTATTTAATTATTGCAAAGGTAAAACCACTGAACAGATTGCTAGGAAAAATTATGATGTATATGGTAATGACTGTTGTAAGTGGTTTGCTCAATTCAGAAGCATAAATTTTATGTTGTGTTCATATCTTCACATATTCCACGCTCTATAAAATTTACAACTGGAAAAAACTTTACTTCACTTAAAAACTCATACGCGTATAGTTCTTTGTTCAAAAACCTAAGAAGTTTTGGGCGGATGGAATAAAATGGTTCATGTATTTGTTGGTTCAATTTGTTTACAGTTACTTTACCATCAAAAAGTCTTGGACGACCAAATATATCTTTATACATATAGAATTAACCAATCAGATTCACGACTACTTTTTTCTTCTTAGCATAGCTGAGCCAGACGTACTTTTGATATTTTAAGCACCCTGAGAAAAATGACAAAAAAAATTGATGGTTTAAAGACATTTTAAAATTGAAAGAAACTTTAAAAACTTGCAGAACTGATTTATAGAAAAAATTAAGTGTCCGTTTTAGAAACCGTTGATAAATTGTTGGGAAGGAGGCATCTTTTGTAAAGATTTCAGTAGGAAAAAAGTGTTATATTTTTTAATAAAGAAAAGCAAAAGGAGGAATGTTTTAATTAGAAGAATATAAATAATACAATTTATTTAAAACACAACCATTTCATGCTGTTTTATTTGCCATTATTGTTGAACAAGCAAATTTGTATAAATTATTTTTATACATGTTAAAACAAATACATAACAGTACAGAAATATATTTTTTACTTTAATGATATTACATATTTATTATCATACCAATGATAGATTTGACTTAGAGAAGAGTAATATGACAAGCTAGTTCATGATATAAATAATATTATCTATGATCTATGTTTGTATTGCTGCCATTTAAAGTATTTTAACTTGGAACTACTGTCAATTTTTTTAAATCATAGTCTTAATACTCTTCAGAACACAGCCTTGTTATTTAAATTTTTGGTCTTTCTATCCATGAACTGTTTCTTGGTTCTCTGTGGGAAAGGAGAAACTAATTCACCCTTAAATCCATTTTAAAGGTAAAGCTATTTGTTTAACATAATTTTGAATTTTTGAGTACGATCGTATATAATATCAGTTTTATAATTTAATATTTACATATATATATATATTATTTTTAGCAAAATTATTTTTATGAAATGAGAACTACTGTGCACAAACTATTCACCACCTAGAAACATGCTGACTTTTTTTAAATTTTAATGTAACAGTATAAGTTTCAATCTCTGTGGATAAATTCACTCTCTATAAAGTTTCATCTGTTCTTCTAATTCTTGCAACGACTCAATTTGGAACTTGTCCCTGTCCTGTTGTAAGAGCTTGAATATGCTTTTAAGTTGTTCCTTTTCAATTCTAAAAAATAAAGTAAAAACTACATTAGAATTGTAGTAAACAGTAAAAGTAAAATTTAATCCTGAGTTAACATAAATGAATTATTAAATAGTAATTTATGGATGTGAGTAAGTGATTTGTTTAAACAGCCCACTCTTGGATTAATTTCTCTTAAGTTATGTATTTTTTTTTTTTTTAATTTAAGGCACACCACCAGTAAGAAGATGCATTCCGAGTGGTCGGTACACAATACAATATAAACCTAGTATGTCCAAAAGTCAGATCTTTCTACACATACGCCATATCTGACAAAAGGTGTGCTAGATTTTGTATACTAACAAGGGACAAAAAATGTCAAAGATACAACAGGATGATGGTATACTATGCTTAGACTTTGTGTACTAATAAAGAACAAAAAAAAGTCAAAGTAAATCAACGGGATGATGGTGGACTCTGCTTAGATTTTATATACTAAACAAGGAGCTTTGCAGATATAGAATAGCAGCTAGAGAAGCCTACGTTCTTCTAGCCCTGAGGGAATTTCGGTCGAAAAATGTCACTGTTCTATTCATGTGGATTCTGGGTCATTGTGGCAATGTACTTGCCGACCCGGCAGTCAGAAGGGATCTGGATAAATCGAGTAACTGGGGATGACTTTCTCACCCATATCAAGAAAGTGGCATAATGAATGGTGTGAAATGACCCTCAACAAGCTGAGAAAATTAAGGAAGATGTAAAACAATGGTCCTCTGCCACTCGAACCTCACAAAGGGAAGAAAGTGACCTAGCTCGCCTCAGAATAGGTTAGAATAGACATGCACGGTTTTCTCATCGCAAGAAACACTAACAGTCAATATTCTGTCCGTGCTCGATTTAATCTGGAAAAGAGCACATGTGTTTCGGGAAGTTTGGAACAGATTTTGCCAGATGGTGGGCACAGAGTAGAAAAACTTTTTAATTTCTTGAGCAAGGCTGGTCTGCTCTCCAAAATTTAGAAGATGAGGCATGAATGGGGATGGTGGTTGAGGTCAGGTCGGCCCTCTTGCTGGCTGGCGGTTTCTGTACATCGCCACTCTAAACATACTTCTATTCAAAGCAGATAATGATCCTTAGTGCTTGCTTTTATTGATAATAAAAAAAATTAAAAAAAAAATTATATAGAATAAACCACTGCTGGCTGAAACAGTCTGGGGTATGCAGCCAGTATAATAGTTTATAAAAACATATGTACTCTTTTTCTTGTTCCAAGTCGATTTGAGACAGATTCTGTGCAATTTGTTCAATCGGTGTTTTACTGGTTACCAGCCCTGATGCGCTATTCGATCTGCTGGTGTCGTTTTCAGCCTCGTCTCCCTTTTCCTCCTCGCTGCATTCTTGATTCTGAAAGGATATGTTTTTAATAATAGTCAAAATTAAAACAGGACAAGCCTACAGCCAATACCTCGTCGTTTTCTCCCTTGTCAAACCGGTGATTCTCCTTCCCCTCCAACGTCCAACAGATGCCAACGGCGATAAAAGACACCGTGATGCACAGTATGTAAAAGTACGATATGTTCTCATAATATATCATAACATTTTCGTAAAACGGCATCAAGTAGCCTAACATCTTGTTATATCATCTTGATCTAGATTGTCTGATGGTGATAAATTTCTTTAGATATAATCAACACTTGGACTATCTCCTTAAACATCATAGCTAAGGAATAGACAGCAAAAATAAAAAATTAATAGTGTTCTGACTTATATCACCATCATTTTTCCTAAGAAATGATCATTGTTTATATAAAGATTAGAGGTGTATTTTTATTTTTCACTTGATAACCCAAGACTGTTAAAGAGACGAAGGTTAACTTCATAACAGTGAACCTTCTTAACACAATATACCCAACAGTAGATTTCTCTTGAAAAATAAAATAAAACAACAAGTATAATAAATCCAATATAAAAAGTTCATATAATTTTTAATTTATTTTCCTTTTTTTAGTTTGTTTTAATTGAAACAGTGAAAATAATCATCCAAGGCATTAATGCAATGGAAGGTTGCAGAGAGTGCTTGTCCACATGGTGAATGTTTACATGAGTACCAGCTCCAATAGGACGAAATATTTTTGTCTGTTTTTTATTTATATTAACCAGTAAAACTACGTGAAAACGACTGTTTTTATTAAATCAAGTTTATTATACGTAAGTATTAACTATGACGATTAGATTTATACACTCAGTAAAAGTCTCCCAAAACCTTCAATGAAATAGGAGCAAACGTCATAAATTAAAGTAATAATGGGCTATATTGATTAACAACTCAATTTATTTCACGTGAATTTAATCAACAAGTACTTCTACTACTCGGCGCTACAGCCGTTGAAGGACCCTAGCCTCTTCTATTGTGCATACATAAAATATTATATATATGCATTAGATTTCGTGGTCCGATTGACCAAATAACCTCTTTCAATTAATTATCTTTCTATTTTCTCTAACAGCCAGGTCGCTCTCAGGGCCTTCGCCTCAAGCGAGGCGAATGCAAAGAGTGTTTGGAAATGCACAGAAGCCCTGATGGAAGTCAGCGACACTAATGACCTGACCCTGGCATGGGTCCCTGGTAATTCGGGGCATAAAGGCAACGAAGGAAGTCAGCGACACTAATGACCTGACCCTGGCATGGGTCCCTGGTAATTCGGGGCATAAAGGCAACGAAAAGGTTCATGTTGGTCAAAAAGACAGCTAACACGGAGTCTATGGGCCCAGAACCCTACTGCGGCCTAGCAGCCTGCCACAAAAGAGGATACGTCTTAAAATGGATACTTAATGAGTCAAAAACCTGGTGGAAAAATACCACAGGCTTGAGGCACTGCAACCAAACCAGGATTCTGGTTGGACTCCTGACGAGGCACTGCCACTTAAGAAAGCACATGCACCGGAAAGGAGTACAGACAGAAGAAACACTGCAGATACTGCCAGGAAGAGGAGGAGACCGCAGAACACATTTTATGATCCTGCGAAGGACTATGTAGGTACAGTTCTTGCAACTAGGACAAGAAAAACCACAAGCAAGATCCTACACCGGAGGGGCCACGGTAGCCAAGTGGTTAAGGCATCAGGCAGTTAAGGCGACTAGTATCGGGTTGTCCGGAAAATAATGCAGGATTTTGGTATTAAACAAAAAAAAAGAAACTAGTTACTTTAAAGCAATGTTCTTTAATCAAAATAATTTCCCATACTCTCAATACATTTCTCCCAACGTGTTGGTAACTTATTAATTCCGTCTGAGTAGAATTCAGAATTTTTAGAATTGATAAAGTCAATAAATGCATTTTCCAGTTCCGTTTGATTTTTGAATATTATGTGTTGTAAGTAGTGGTCCAGGTGTCTAAAAAAATGGTAGTCAGTAGGCGAGAGGTCCGGAGAGTAGGGTGGGTGAGGCAAAGTTTCATAGCCAAGCTCCAATAATTTTTGTGACGTTACACGTGACACATGTGGTCGAGCGTTGTCATGCAACAAAATGGGCCCTTTCCGATTGACCAAAGAGAGCTTCATTACTGCCAATTTCTGATGCATGGTATTAATTTGGTTACAGTATGATTCAGCATTGATGGTTTCGCCAGGATTTAAGAAGCTGTAGTGTATTAAACCAAATGAAGCCCACCATACCGTAACCATTACCTTTTTTTGATGAGTTGGGGGCTTTGGAAAATGTATTGGAGCTTCTCCTTTGTCGAGCCACTGTCCAGAACGTCTAGTGTTATCGTAGAGAATCCACTTTTCGTCACATGTAACAATTCTGGCCAGAAATGGGTCATTTTTGTTTCGACAAAGAAGTGATGCACAAACATCAAAGCGCTGATTTTTTTGGCGATCGTTTAATGAGTGTGGAACCCAATTTTCGAGTTTTTTCACTTTTCCAATCGCCTTGAGGTGGTCAGCGACGGTCGTTTTACTGACTTTGAGTTGCTCTGCAAGTTCTCGAACAGTTGTTTTGGGGTTTTCTTCCACCACTGATCGCAGAACATCATCATTAAGAGAGGAAGGCCTTCCACGACCTTCTTCATCTTCAAGGCTGAAATCTCCCTCCCGAAATTTTTTAAACCACCTTTGCACAGTGCACTCATTAACACAACCCTCGCCCCAGACTTGGTTAATGTTTCTAGCCGTTTGGGCTCCGCTTCGGCCGAGTTTAAACTCGTAAAAGAAAATCGTACGAAATTCTCGCTTTGACATTATAAGGATGACTGAATTATTTCCAAGTAGCGGAATGCTACAGAGGTAAACAAACAATATCATTTGGAAGAGGATTAATAAGTGTTGACATTCATACAAATGAGTAATCCTGTAAACGTAAACAGAATATTTTATATAGATTTTTTTTAATGAAAACTTAAAATCCTGCATTATTTTCCGGACAACCCAATAGATCCCGCGGTCGTGGGTTCGATCCCCACCGTCGCCTCTGGACTTTTTCTGACGCCTAAGGGGACCGGTGGCCGCAGTTGAAAGAAATTGACACGGCACTCATCAATGGAAGGAGCGGGATCGGATCTCAACGACCCTGAATTTGGTCCCAACCCCCTTCAAAAAATGAGTTTCTTTGATGGAAGAACACCGGTACAACGGGGGCTCAAGTTCACATTTGTGTTGCGAGCCCTCCCCCAAAATATGGAGCCATGGATAAAGTACAATAAGCTGTACAGCTCAGCTGCAGTGCTCAGGAGGGAACTCCTCCAGTCCCTGGTATCCAAGAAAAAAAAGATCTTACACGATGGAACCGCTGGCAAAGCTGTGGAGGCTGGTTAATAGCCTGAAGCTGGCCAGTGAGTTATAATTAACAGAGGAACAATAGATCTATTTACGTTGAGGTGCAGTAGGCCTTGTGGCCGCCTCTCTTATCCCTATCCAACCAATACCTTATATTTATTTTACATATATGTATAGCATCTCAGCATCTTTTTGAGGTCATCCTTGATATTAGAAAATTAAGTTTTTTCACCTTGATGACTTCATCCCTGATCTCCCACCTTTATCATTTATCATCAAAGGCTGATACTATACTCAACGATGTCATGGTCAACGTTTCAGAGCTATAAAGTACCACTGGCCTCACTATAGACCCTCAATTTCAAATTAATTCGATTGGGACTCGGAGATTTTCCCCAAGGCAAATTAGCATTTGTTTCCTCCTGTTCCGAGAGACTCGGACAAGATGCACTGTCCACCACCCTTTTCACTTTCTGGAGAAGTTGATAAAGATGGTTCAGAGTAACCCAAGAGGGGACTTTGATGAACCGAACCGCTAAAAACCTGGCATATTCAGGTGGTATTAACATGGTTGCCAGGAATTCGAGAGAACTTTGGAGGGTTTGTCAAGGTTGAAGCAGGAAGACGATGGACATGCATTTCACAAGGGCAAGTCAATTCTTCCGTTGCACTGAACACTAAGGCTTATGAGTACTGTAAATCCTTTAATATCTAGAATCCCTGCTTACCGAGGAGTACGAAAGAAATCCTGGCAAAAGTTTCCACAGAAAACATTTAAAGTACAACGAATATATAAATTTATACATTTTAAGTGAAAAAGCATCTCAACACATTATTTGTCATTTGACACTTTTCTAAACGTTATGTCAGTAATCTGTAGGTCCACCCCCTATGTTTTATTACCACTAATAAATGGTTTTTAATTGATGGAACTAGTTTTGGGGATGTACTAGTTCAAACTGTTAATACAGGCTGGACAGGTCTGCGGCCAAAGGCTTGTCAAATTGTGTAAAAATTTCTAACAACCTGCAGTAGACAGGGAGTCTGAAACATCTATATCACACTTTTGTACATATTTGTATTTATTTGAAATAAATAATTTTTATTCTTATATTTTCAATTGTATATGTGTTATAATAAATTTGTGCGGTTTCAGTGTGACAATGGGTAAAATTAAAAGAGATGACGAAGAGAACGAGAATCGCAGGTCCATCAATGACATTAAAAATAAGATCGTCAGAAGGACCTTAGCCGGGAAAGAACTCATTAAGAAAAAGAAGGTTTGTTCTGGGAAAAAAAGTGAATTTTATTGTAATATTTGATACAAGAGCGAACAATTGTTTCTTTGTTGTTGAATAGATGAAAAAGGAAGAAAGAAAGAGGCGAAGGGAAGCCGGGGAGGCGCCACAGAAGCCACACACGATTGAGTCGTTACGAGTGCCTGATGAGACCATTCTAGATCCGACGAAAGCTGAAAACGTAGAGAGAATCGAAGAAACGGCAGTCGATATCAACACAGACGACTTTCAAAGCTATTTCAGTATGGAATATGTGCCAAAGGTCTTGATAACATTTGCTGACAATCCTCTTCAAGTAAGTGTTATATGTTGATTTGTGAACAATTCTAATTATTTATATTGTTTTTTTTAATTTATTTATTTATATTTTTTTAGAAAACAAGAATATTTGGAGTTGAATTGTGCAGGATAATACCAAATTCGATGTTCAGGTATAGAGGAAGATCCAGTGTTAAAAAAATTGTCAAAAGAGCCATAGAGAAAAAGTTTTCTGATGTTATTATCGTCAATGAAAACATGAAAGAACCTAGTAAGTTTAATATCTTTTTATTTATTTATTTTAATATCATAGTATGCTGAAATTGTGTCTTTTTTTTAGATGGTTTATTAATAATACATTTACCAAATGGACCGACAGCATTTTTTAGAATGAGCAATGTTAAACTCACTTCAGACTTAAAGGTGAGTTTTAATTTTTTCTTTGATCTAGAATTAACAGACAATTTGACAAGTATCATTTGTTTTAGAAAAGTCATAAAGATATTAACAGTTATCGTCCAGAGGTCATATTGAACAATTTTACAACACGGCTCGGATCAAGCGTAGCGAGGATGTTGGCCTCTTTGTTTCACTACGATCCTGAATTTAAAGGAAAGCGGGCCGTCACATTTCACAATCAGAGGGATTATATTTTCTTCCGCCATCATAGGTAATTATATTAAGTTGTTAAAATAAACGTTTTATATTTTCCCCTCCCAGCATTGGAAAGGGATACGGGTAAGTTATCGTGCTTACCCTGGGGAGAGGAGAGGAAAACCAGGGAATGGCATACAATGGGAACTTTTTTTTAAAAATAGAATTTAAACTAAAAGAAAAAAAGAAATAGGGGACATGAAATAGTGTGGAGCACTGGTGGACGAGGAGAGAATAGCTGTAGAAAAGTTGTGACCAGCAGGTCTGAAAAAAGCCTGTCAAATTTTCCTCCTTGTGGCAACCACAAATCCCTTTCCGGAACCCATCCTGATTCACTTGAGCCCGTCCGGTAGGCCTGACGAATCAGATAGAGGATGTCAGTGGTTTATCAGATTTTTTCCCTAAGGGCAGCTGAAGCCATGTTGAGGGATCAGGATGGATACCCAGAAGGAGATTCATGGTTGCAAAAAAGGAGGTTGATTCTCCTACCATCAGGGCAAGAAGAAATCTGGAGGAACGCCGAGAACGTATACAAATCCCTTATAGGTATCCAACCTAATCCCTCAACCAGGATGGCCTTAGTGTGCATAAGAAGAATAACCAAACTGCCATTTTCTTTCCCTGTCGTCTTGAACCTGGACTGAGCTTGACTCCTTAATCACCCCGCACGGTGGGAAATCGTCCTTGTGGCACAAATCCCCTTGCAGGATCCATCCTGATCACTCTTTCTATTAAATCTGGTGAAACGCCGACAACTTTTCCCATCTATTTGTTGCCCTCTTAGTTCGCTTTAATCCTCTGCTATTTCTATTCTCCGTTGGTGCTCCATACCTCCGAATCAATCACCTATGCATTTTTCCTTTTCTCCTCTTAAAATTTTATTGCACAAAACCGTCATTTTATATTTGACCGACTTTGGTCCTGATCCAGTTGCCTTCTTTTCCCTGGCTCTTCTCTTCTCTCTCTCTTGGGCAGAACAATTTTTTCAGTGTTGGAGATGTAAGCATTTATTTTAATTTTTTATTACAAAAAAAATTCCTCTTCGAACATGCTAAGTCATTTACCATTTGTTCTAGTCCGGGGACAAGCTGGTTCAAGTATTGAAGACATCATAGTGTCAGATCTAAATTAAATTCTATTAATCAGTAGCTCTTAGTATTACCATTTTAACATAAATTTACTACTTATAATAAGCTTGTCATTTACTACAATGAGTTTAGCAATAATTAATTTTAAAAAAATTAATTATCCTTTACTGTTTGATTTAAGGTATGACTTTTCCTCAAAGGCCAAACCTATGCTGAAAGAATTAGGGCCAAGGTTTACACTAAGGCTCGAATACATCCAGGAAGGGACTTTCGACACCAAACTTGGAATTTACGAATGGGTCAAAAGTGGAAACAGGCATTCGCTCGAAGCGAACAGAAGGAAATTCCAACTTTAATTGTATAATTAAAATAAAAGTTTTATTTAAATATCTTCTTTTTTTTCATTTGGCTTTCAGTCGTAATGTATTGAAATAATCGTGCTGCTCTAAATAAATCTCTGGAAAATGCACTGACGCTTTATAAATTTGAGCTCTTTCCTAGTTTAAGTATTATTTCTTTTACAAAAATGAAGAATCATATATGGGTTAAACTGGCAGAATTGCAACATATCTGATTCTTGGTACAAAGCAGGTTCGGCTTCAGCATCACGATTTTTTATATTTTTTATTTTAATGAGCAATAATATTTCACAGCAAAAATATAGACCAACAAAATAATAAATAGTTCTAGCTTAAAATAGTAATTTAGTCTTAAGTTAAAATAGTTGTTAACTGCTCCTCATACTTTTTGGTTTATGAATTACAGGGTCTCATTGGGGTCGCCATGTGGTACGGTGCCCAGCTCGTATTTGCCACACTAGTGGTCATGGGCTGATCTTGACATAGTCCATGGATTTTTAATTGTGAATAGTACTGAGAAAGTATGATGACGGTTTGATCTCTCGTCCACGACCCTCAACGGGTAGTTTTAAATTAAGCCCTCCTGTATGACAGAAGTTACTTTAGGGATTTATTTTGTTATTCTTGCTTTTACTTTTTTATTTATTCGAGCTGTTCAACCAGTTATTAAGTTCATCTCAAGATAATGTCAGATATGTTTAAATTACAACATTTGTTTAAGCATTGCATAATAATTTTCACCGATGAACAAATAATTTGTTTATATTTGGTTTTTAAAAAAAGTTTGATTAAATTTTCTAATAAATAATTTATTTTAAATTCAGTCATTTCCAACTATTTGTGCTTTTAGTTTTGGCATAGGCAGACAAAAATGATCATAAATGACCAAATTTCAGGTTCATCAGCCTACAAACAAATCTCACAAATCTTCCTGTTTGATATTTTGTGATGATAACACTGCTGTTTGGTCTCTGCTGACTGAGAGACCAAAAACAGTGAAGATATGAAGACAAGGATGATCAGTAATAACAAAACTACAATTTTTTTACTTAGCTAAAATTTCAGGTTAAAAAAGATTATAATGTATTTTCAAATTTAAATATTATACTGTTTTAAATATCATTAATTTAATTTATTAATAATTCACTATTTTTCGTGGTCCGCTTGACCAATTAATATAATTCAATTAATTAAGGTTTTAAGTTGAGATGAAAAAGTCAGTGTCACGAGCAGGATTCGAACCCAAAACCTTCGGCTTGATACGCCGCTACTCTACCACTTGAGCATCGTGAGTTCGATCTCCTTGGGCACTAACTTCCCATCTCAACCGCACCTTTTTGAATTTTCCCTCCTTTTTGCCATTTTTCAAATGTCGAGTAATCTGTTTGATTCTCGGCGACAAGTGAAATGGCCTGGGAGAGCTTTACTGAAGTATACTTCATTTTACTTCATTAAATTCACTATTTTTCGTGGTCCGCTTGACCAATTAATATAATTCAATTAATTAAGGTTTTAAGTTGAGATAAAAAATATTTGTTAATAATGTTGAAAAGTAATATGTAGGTAAGTGTAACAAAATAATATTTAACATTTACTATAGTAATGTCTGAGTTTGGGCGGATACAAGGCAAGGGTCTTCCATTGTTAAACTGGCCCAAGCGGTTTGAGTCTCGATATCAGACAGCTCGACAAAATCATGAAGAAAAAAATCATGGCATGTTTGAGTATAATTATGACTGTAGTCGTCAATCCCCATCGTCTGCGTATGACTATTTGAGAGGATGGGCGAATCTTCGTCAAGAATAAGCTCTTGATTCATCAGCTCGGTTTGCGTGTGGTTGTTCACATGTTGATCAATTTCGCGAAATATTTCCAAATCTAGCATCATCTCGTTGGACGTGGTTTGAGTCGAAGATGAAAACTGGTTCTGCGGCAGTATCGCCGAAAGAAGGGCAGAATCGATTGCGTCTTGCATCTCCGTCTGGGTGGAAACCGTGAAACTGGCCTTCTGCGTCTGCGTCTTTCTGTCCGTCCTGGTTTTCCTCCTGCTGCACGACCTGTGGTCCGTCTGGACTCCGATATCCACGCCTTTTCTCACTACAACCCTCCACGATAATTCGCTTAAGGCAGCCGCGGCAATATCTTCTTCCATCTGAACATTTCCTCTTAAGTTTGGAACAATTTTTCTCTCCTTTGATTGCCCAGGCGTCATGTTTCTTATCGTATTCTTTCTAAAATTATAAACATTATTATTTCAAAAATAAAATTTTTGTACATTCAAACAAACTCTTACTTAATCATAGGAGGAGAACCGTGTCCTTTCCGTTTACAGTGTGTCAACAAAGCCATCCTCGTATTGTACGATTTCGAACATATTAAACACACAAACTCAATTTGACATTCTTTCGCCATATGATAATTCTTATAATTTTCAGTAGTAAAATACTTCTTACACTTCTCGCACATGAAGTTCTTTTCCAAATGCATTTTCTGATAATGCTGAAAAAATCATTAAAAAAGTTCAAAACTGAAATAAAACCATTGATATTGGAACAGACAAAAAAATAATGTTAGAATATGATATAATAATGTAAGGAAATAACCAGTAAACAAAACAATAAAATAATAATTGATGTTTAAGAGAAAAAAAATTTAAAAAATAAAAGGAAACTGAGGGCTAAAACCCTACAAATTACCATCAATAAAAATTTAAATAAGCTAAGCGTCTGATTTTAAAAAATCACATAAAATTAATTTTTTTCCTTTGAATATAAGCATTAATGAATGAGGAAAATTATCTTTTCTTCATGCATTTTCTTCCCATATGACCCAGAATAATTTGTGTATACAGGGTGTCTGTGAATAGACAATATTTCAGGTGATCCAATGTGTCAAATGGGACTAAGAAGTCCCTACTGTCCATAGCCTGAATTTTTTCTTTCTTTTCTAATCATCCCCTTTTATATTAGTTTCACGCCATAGGTGGAGAAAAAGAAAAGTGAGAAATGGTCAAATCTCTTCTTGCAAAGTTGAAATGAGCTGGCCGTCGTTGATGCAATTCTGGCGTAGGGTGTACAAAGCCCATCTTGCCGATATGTTCCCAAATTTATGGTGACCCTCAACTTGTTGAGTCCTCCCATGGCATGCAACAATTTTCCCTCAATAAATAACTTCATCTTTTCTCAACAAATACTAAACAAAAAATTCTATAAAGTGAAGCTTCCTTTACATAATTTATTAAATTAATCCATTATTTGCTTAAAGGTCATTTAATTTTTATTTAAGACCATATTAATTATTCCAAAATTATTCTTTTTATCTAAGGTTTTTGGCTGAGATTAAAAATTATTGTCACGAGTGGGATTCGAAGCCGAAGGTTGTGGGTTTAAATCCCGCTCATGACATTAATTTTTCATCTCAGCCAAAAGTCGATAAAAAGAATAATTATTTGAAATAGTTAATACGGTCAATTATGACCACTAAGCAAATAATGGATTAATTTAATAATTAAAAAGAAGTAATTACTTCACTTACAGCTCCCTGGGGCCACTTCGTAAGTCACTGAGAATTGAATCCTGATAGCACATTTGAAAATATGGCAAAAAATAGGGAAAAAAATTTGAACAGTTCGATCGAAGTCACGATAGCTCAAGTGATTAGGGCAGTGGCATATTTAGTCAAAGGTCTTGGGTTCGAATCCCGCTAACACTAATTTTTCATCTCAGCCAAAAGCCGATAAAAAGAATAATTAATTTTATTTTATTTATTTATTTAATTTAGCCAACGGGTTCCATTTAAAAGATTAACTACAGCTATATCCACGTTCAAAACTAAAAGAGATTTTCCTGGTGCTCTTTAATATTGTACAATGACCCAAAAAGTAGAATATATCCTCATTTTCTTTTTTATTACATAAGGAGCAGAGGTAAATTCTTTCTGAGATTTAAGGTTTACAATTAAGATTTAACCATTCCCCTCTAGTTTTAATTATAACACCCTAAAGCATACACCTACGAACAAATTGCACAACTGAGGCTGTTGTGCAAACAATTGTATAGTGTATGGTGTTGTTTGAGGTGCTGAGCAACTAGTTGCAGAAATTCAAAACTGTTTGAAATTAATTGCACGAGTGGTGTTGCACAACTGTCGCATTGTGTATGGGCTCTTTTTGTACAAATGGTGTTACCATTTCTAGTAATTCACCAAATGTTATGGGGTCCATTCACAAATAATTTATATAGTCAATTGCAGTTCTTTGAGGAGATTTGCATGGCTAAAAACAGATCTTTTCTTTAACCACTCTTTCATTCCTTTTTCTTTTTTTAACACCAACATCCGACGTAATAGAAAAGGCTGCGTTGTGAGATGCCATGTTACATTAAAACAAGACAAAAGCAACTGGAGTTTGCAAAAAAATGTGAATAGTGTATGGGGGACCTTGTTGGCCCTGTTGTACAATGTACATTTGCACAATTTGATCATAGGTGTATGGGGAGGCTTAAATTATCAGTATTTACACCCAAATTCATTTAGTCCACATCCAGTAGCGCCTTTCTTTTATGTTCCTTTATCTGAAAGTGTATATTACTGGCCATGATCTGTTTTACTGACTGTAAGCCTAGAGGTTCATTCTTCGTCGACAATAGTTACAAATCAAAAAAAAATATAAACGCACTACTTGCCTGCCGGAGATATTTCAACTTGGTGAAAAACCTCAGCAGGCTCGGGTCTCTGTCTTCAACCAGGGCGTATTTGCACGACTCCTCCGGGCAAAAATACAAGCAGTTGCCTTTTTTCGCCTCGAGCTTTCCCTCCTTGTGAAACTTGCAGAGATGCATTTCGAGCCTGGAACTGTTGGCGAAAACTGAACTGCAATAAGGGCAGCAGACTCGGTTGACAATCGTGCTCAGCTCTTCTGCCGACGGGCAGACTTTTATCAAGTCCGATACAGTATCATTCATAGCTTTATGATAACTTAAACTTTCTGAAACAAATTAAACCGCGCGTTAATCTATGTTATGTATATGAACAACGGAAGACAAAAGTACAAGTGATGAGAGATCACCCAGTCTGAAATAGAAAAATTAATTGGTTACAAATTAATTATTACATGTTAAATCTATAGGAACGTGACATGATTTTACCCTTTAACTTTTTTAAGTTTAAACACTTAAGTACAATTTATATGTTCCATATAAACATACAAAACACTAAAATGGTTGCTAACGCGTAAGCGTTTCAATTCCCAAACTACCAGACCGGTATCGATTGTAAATTTTCGGGAAATCATGTTTTAAAAGCAGAAACGATCAAAGAGAAAGAACAATTGCTGATCAACGATTGCCTGTGGGTCCGCCTACTCTCGCTGTTTCATCATGCCTTGAGCTGACATTTCACAAAACAAAAGTAACTCATTAAACTATTGTATTCTTGATAAAAAAAAGAGTTAAAAATGTTAACAAAAGGGTTTTTAAGATGTTCAATGGATAATATACTCACCAATAAGATTATTTTTTTTTTAGTTTAGGCCACTTCAGAAATTTGCGTATGAATATTTTCTCATATCAATTAACGTTTATATAAGATGTATATACATTAATAATTAATATAATAATTGTTAATACGAAGAAAAAGGGGAAATATTTGAGCTTTTGATGAACGTTGGCGCAGCATACCTTAAAGAATTGTAAACAGTCTGTAGGGTTGATAAGGGTATCTCAGTTGCTCCTGGACATGACAAGTTCTGGATAAATAATACATTGAACTTTGCAGTCCTATTCTTTTGAATTCGAGAGTTTGCTGCTTTTAACGTTGATTTTTAGTGTAAAAAAATTAAACTGTTTAAAAGCTCATTACTTGTTTTGCAAATTAGTTATAGAGTAATTAGTTCCAGGTATCAGACTCAAGTGGTCATCGGTGATATGATGGATTTTCTTCAGATTATAAATCTCTTCTCTTATGAAAAATTGCCTAAACTTTTGAACGCATAAAATTGGCTTTTAATATTTAATAGATACTAGTGTTAAATAAATATCAAACATGAACTTAGGTGGGACGATACGAGTCAACAAAATAGGGTTTTGTATTATATGCTGTATAATAATATTGTTCGTGATATATTTATCGCCTCCGAGGACTTCTCAGTCCAAGCCGATTGTAAATATAAAAACGCTTTTATTGGCGGCGATCGAAGCTGCTGAGAGGGGCGGCGAAGAGGTCGTCAGAGCGTTGAACGATACGATCGTTAAACATAGCAAAGGAGAGACGAAGGAAGGCGTCAACATACCGGTGACGAATGCAGATTACAAGTCTCATTGCGTCATGTATTATGGAATAAGAGAAATATTTCCAAATATTAAAGTAAGTAAATTGATTTTGTAAGAATTAAATAGAAACATTCTTGTAATTTACAGTACTCCGGTGTGAACTAATTCCTTCAATTTACTACAGGATGAATTATGCTTTATAAAATATTCCAAGTTCAGTGATGCTTTTTACCTGATTTTACCTCATCTGTATGATTCTTAGCTCCTTCCTGCTTCCCTTTATGCATTCTAATAGTTTTTCCTTCACAAATTCTACAAAGAAAATCTTAAATAGTCTGCCTAGTGATAGATATTTAGGGCTTTCTGGTCAATTGCTTGTATTCCTATTCTGCAAGAACATTTCATTGTTCGCTATGTTCTGGGTCGTCTTGGAGATCAAATTCTCCCTTGTACCTTCTTGATTTCTAAACCTGACAGAAATTTCATTAAAAGGAAGATTTCTTTCCATTTCCTTGCAGAATTGAAATAGTTTCCGTCTTCAGTGAACTTTTCAAGACATTTATGATTTTCAAGTACCTTTTTCCTTCCTTTCCTGCATTGCATCTTTCCTTTTTAATCTTGCTACAAGACTATGTTCATTAGAAAATGTTTAACACATTCCCGTCTGCTTAAAAAATTGTAAGTGTGTAATATTCTCCTACAGACAAATTTACAATTCTGATGATATGCGGCAGCACCTAGCTCTATTCCTAGTCGCTTGATCAATTTTATAATACCAAATGGGTGTCTCTCGTTAAGGGTCAAACCACTTTACAAAATTTTTTCATATTATGATCAATTAAAATGCCATGGGCCAAACCCAGAATCATTAGTGTGACAAATACAGGTCAGATACATTAACCACAAGGCCACTGTGGATCTCCAAATTACAGTTAGTTTTGCTATAGCGTTCATGGGTCTCATATACTAAGTAATGTGGGTCCTTCCAAACACCTTTTACCTAATCATTCACTCCTTCCTCACAGGACGATTCTTCTGACTTCACCGAGGATCGAACTACTCTGACTACTGCGCCACCAGGACCAATCCTGTACCTCCTCTACACCACAGACTTTCAACTCCAACTATCCTCCTTGCTTTGCCGATGATTTTATCCGATCCAATCCTACAGTTGCTTCAGAGGAGTTCCAGGCCCACATCCATCGGATAGCTGAATGGAGGATAAACTAACAACATAAATTCACCCTTGTTACCTTTACCCTCGGAAGCAAAACCCCTCATGCAATATTCCTCATCAACATTCCTATCCCTAAAACCCGCTCTGTGTTCTGACTTGACGTTTAACTGGAACTCATACAAATAAAAAGACAGAAACTGAACAGATGTTTCGCATTACTGTACTACTGTATAAACTACTTGGACGCAAATCTAATGTGTCCACAAAAAACACTACTGAAACTGATTTTGACAAATGAACTGGAACTGTGGGAAACCACTAAACCTAAAAATAATCAACGAATCCATAGTCCTCAGGATTATAGTCATCATTCACTACGTTTCCAATACCACTCTCCACAACGACCTCAAACCCTTTGTAAATAAATCAATCCCCATTGGATTTTCCAGGTTCCACGAAAAACACTCCTCACCCTATCCAATTAGTCTAATCAATGTCCAACATAATCCATCCTTACAATCCCATCTGACGGCTAAAGAGGAGGTCACACCGTGGCTAGCCCTTGTATAAAGCTGGGAGAACAACAAAGGTTGTTAATTCCCTTCAAGACATTTATAGCGTCAATGTGATTTGTAAACATGTATCATAACATTGCATTAATATTATAATGGTGTTTGGTTGGTAATAAAAAATTTAAAAAAAGTTTTGCTATAAGTCATTCTGTTTCATTGGAGTCTTGTCTTTAAAGAAGACTTGTTGAAGGTCACCATGAACATGATTCCCAAGGAGATGCAGGCTTTGTCAAAATGGCCAACAAAACCCTAAAATATTTATGTCAAATTAATTCTCTCCCGATTGATTGACCGAATTTAAAAAAGTTTTGCCATAATTCTTTCTGTTTCATTTGAGTCTTGTCTTTAAGGAAGACTTGTTGAAGCATACTCATCATGAACATGATTCCCAAGGAGATGTAGACTTTGTCAAAATGGCCAATAAAACTCTAAAATATTTATGTCGAATTAATTCTCTCCCGATTGATTGACCGAATTTTTAAAAAAACTGCTAAAGGGGGTTCATTATTGTACCCTTTCCTCTAACTTTAAAGAAGTAATCGCGTAACATTGTTGCTGATATTTTTTTAGGTAATATCAGAAGAGGAAGAAGAGAAAAGGAATTGTGTTAATTTATTACCATTGGATATTGATACATCTAGTACAAAACTGCCTGATCTTCCCGATGAGAAAGTTGACTCCAGCAAATTAACGGTTTGGATTGATCCTTTAGATGCAACCAAAGAATACACCGGTATGAGTACCAGTTTTATTGGATTGAATATTAAATAAACTGAGTTTAAATTTATTTTAGAAAAGCTTTTCAATTTTGTTACGACAATGGTTTGTATCGCTTACGAAGGGAGGCCAATAATCGGAGTTATACACAAACCCTTTGAAAAAGTTAAAAAAACCCATTGGGCTTGGGTGAATAAAGGAAGCTCATTTGTTAATAAACAAATTAAAGAACATGTAAGACATATAAACAATTTCTTTTTAATTAACTCATTTAAAAGTGATTTGTTATTTTTAAGAATGGCCCAAATATTGTGATAATTTCACGATCTCATGCGGGCTATGCCAGTGAAAAGGTTAAGAAATTTTTTGGAACGAATACAAGACTCTTCGAAGCAGGTGGTTCAGGTAAATAAATTGATAATAAACTGTCAAATATTTTGGTGAAGACCTGGTGAGGTGATTATTCTGAAAATTGTCTCTAATCATTTTATTTTTAACTGGGTTCCTTGTCATCTTTAGTAATAGAGATTATGATGATAGTTTATCTACAAACTACTCATCCTTGATTAGAAACGTTGATTGTTCGACTACTTTCAGGTTACAAGTCGTTGGAAGTTGCTGTGGAAAATGTAACAGCGTACTTTCACACGACAGACATAAGCAAATGGGATATCTGTGCTGGAGATGCAATTATCACTGCTCTTGGTGCGATAGTTTACACTATTTTTTTTAAATTGACTTTATTTAATAGTTAACATTTCCTTAGGTGGACGTTTCACGGATTTAAACGGCAACGAAATCGACTATTCCTCTCGTGCTGACACTCTGTTGAAAACGGGAGTGCTTGCTGCCCCCTTGAAAAAGCACGTGGAGGTTTTGAAAAGAAAGCAAGGATCATTAGACTGATGTTAAAGTATTTTAAAATAATGCAAATGTTATTTTCTTAACTCAATTTTATAAATTTCTCTCTTTTAATGTTTTAATTACAATTGCACTATTGCAATTCTGTAGCTCAATGGATTTGAAAATAAATGTAAATTTTGAGTTGAGAATATTGATAGCCAGTCAATGCATATTTTAATCAAAAAATAAAACAGTTATTAATCATTCTCAACACGACAAACAGCAATGACACATCTACACAGAAAACAAATACTTTGAGCCCTGACGATGATCTCAATAAAGATCAAAATGGCACGATGAAGAAAACTTTTAAAGCTATTAGAAACAGAAGTTTCTAAACCTACATCACACCAGCCATATCTCACAATCTCCAAATAGTCATTAATTGACGGTCACTAAATACCACACAGTTATTAGTAAATTCACTAGTTTCGTGGTCTGCTTGACCAATTCATATCTTACAATTAATTAAAGTTTTCAGTTGAGATAAAAAAGTCAATGGCACGAGCGGGATTCGAACCCACGATCTTCGGGTTGAAACACCGCTGCTCTACCACTTGAGCTATCGTCACCTCAATCCACTCGGACACCAACTTACCATCTCAACTACACCTTTTTAATTTTCCCCCCTTTTTGTCATTTTTCATCCGAGTGGATCGAGGTCACAATAGGTCAAGTGGTAGAGTAGTGGTGTATCAAGCCGAAGATCATGGGTTCGAATCCCGCTCGTGACACTGATTTTTTTATCTCAACTAAAAAAACCTTAATTAATTGAATGATATTAATTGGTCAAGCAGACCACAAAAACTAGTGAATTTAATAAGTGTAAAATGAAGTATACTTTCACTAAAGCTCTCTATGGCCATTTCATTTGTTGCCGAGAATCAATCAAATAGATTACATGACATTTGAAAAATGGCAAAAAAAAACAGGGGGGGGGAATTCAAAATGTGTAGTTGAGATGGGAAGTTGGTGTCCGAATGGATCGAGGTCACGATAGCTCAAGTGGTAGAGCAGCGGTGTATCAAGCCGAATATCGTGGGTTCGAATCCCGCTCGTGCCATTGACTTTTTTATCTCAACTGAAAACCTTAACAGTTATTAGTATTGTGGCAAAGATCTTGGTGACAGCGGATCTCCGAAGGCCCCTTCTGATGAACTGATTCCTGACTTTTCTCCCTCTCGCTCTCTCACCAGTACGAGCAGTCAACTCGGCCAGAAGTGGCATCGGGTTGAGAACCTTGAATGGTGTCACCTCCAGGTCCGTGCTGACAAGACCTCATCCAGTCACCAGTGAGCTTTGTATGTCCAAAGCTGTTAGTCATGGACGAGGGCCCTGGCCACTATCTGGCTAGGCCTCAGGTGTGATGCAACATTTTCTTTTGCAATCCATATGCACCTTGAAATTAACTTTTGTGCAATGTTTTTATAATTTTATGCAGGCTTTCATATTTTGTCAAACCCCAAGTAGTCAATTATGAACCGCAAGATAGGACTTTTTTAAATGGTGTTAAACACTTTTTCTTTGTAATATTTTCAATCTTTTTTTTCTATAAATAAATAAAACCTGACAGAATGAACTAATTGGAGCCCTGTTCGCATTAGCCGTAAAACTGGTCTGGTTTATTTGTTTGTTTTGATTTGACGTTGTTTTAGACATCGTTTTTATTTCAACCATAAGCAGACAGAAACAATAAGGCAGTGATGAGTTGCAATATACTTATATTTTTTTTATTTATATTATAAAAAAATTTAAAATTAATTTAACAAAATTGTATACATATTTTTTTGGTATTTTAAAAACTAGATTAAAAATCTGCATCAAGCGTAAAGACATTATCCTCTTTTCTAGCCATAACACCGGCTTTTTGGTATTCCCCAACTTTCTTCTCGAAAAAGTTTGTCTTTCCTTCGAGAGAGATGTGTTCCATAAAGTCGAACGGGTTCACAGAATTGTATTTCTTAAATAAAAAACAAAAAAAAGGTTACAACTAGATAAATGTAAAGTGATAAAATAATAAGTTTTATTAACCTTTGGACAATTTAATTCGACGAGGAGTCTATCTGCAACAAACTCTATATACTGTTTCATGAGATCACAGTTCATTCCGATCATAGCAACTGGGAGTGCTTCGGTAAGGAACTCTTGCTCGATGGTAACAGCGTCAGCCACGATGGACGAGATTCTAGCTACGTCAGGTTTCTGTACCAAATGTTTGAACATGAGGCACGCAAAATCACAATGGAGACCCTGTAAATGTTAACGATTGAGCTTAAAATTATTATTATTTTAAGAGATCTCACCTCATCTCTGGAAATCAATTCGTTGCTGAAAGTCAGCCCAGGTAGAAGGCCACGTTTTTTCATCCAGAATATCGCGGCGAAACTGCCGGAGAAAAAGATTCCCTCGACGGCGGCAAAAGCCACGACTCGCTCGCCGAAGGTCGCTTTATCGCTTGAGATCCATGACAATGCCCATTCTGCCTTCTTCTTAACACACTCCATGGTTTCGATTGCATTGAACAGGTAGTCTCTAATGATAAGAAAAGATAAAAATTTTATAGACCCCCCAGAGATAAAAAGGTTCGTATACGCTGTTAAAAAATAGAAGTTTATAATCACCTCTCTTTCGGGTCACGGATGTAAGTATCGATTAGAAGTGAATACATTTCGGAATGGATATTTTCTATTGCGATCTGAAAACCGTAGAAACACCTCGCTTCAGTCACTTGGACTTCTTGAGAAAACCGTTCGACAAGATTTTCATTTACAATCCCGTCCGATGCAGCGAAAAATGCTAAAACATGCGATAAAAAGTGCCTCTCATCAGGCTTCAAGTTCTCCCAATGTTCAATATCCTGAAAATAATTCTAATTAGTATCGAATAATTTTTTTAAAATAATATTTTAATAACCTTTGAAAGATCGACTTCTTCTACTGTCCAAAACGATGCTTCGGCCTTTTTGTACATTCTCCATATGTCGTGGTACTCGATCGGAAACATGACAAACCTCCTGGGGTTGTCGCGAAGAAGCGGCTCCAACTGAGGATTGTACGTACACACGGCTTTCTCAGAACCAACATCCTTTTCCTTAAAACATTCAATTTATGTTAAATTCACACTGTTTAAACTTAAACAGCATAATTTTAATACTTAAACTGTATATTTAATTGTGTGGCCTTCAAATCTAAGATATTCTTAACTTTAACATACAAAAAAAGAGTATTCAAACAATAGACAATTTAAATTCTGTGTGCAATTTTAATAATTACTACATTATTGAGTTGACAAAATCTATTTAAGATCCAATGATCCAATATCCAATATGATCCAAGTAATAATGACAACAAATGAAATATCTAACGACTCTAAGATTAAAAAATACAATAAAGAAATTATTGATAATACGGGAACTGGACGAAATTCGTCACCTGAAATAGCGGAGTGTTTTAATCAATACTTTGCCGATATTGGTACACAAATTAATAAAAAAGTTTACTACACCATTAAATTATAAAAAAATATATATACATTAAAAACTCAATTTTCTTAACTCCAGGAACAAAAAGAGGAATTAAAAAATTTATTAACGAACTAAAGCCATCCAGTTAATTTTATGTTAACAATGTGAACAACAAAATAATTAAAATGTATAGTTTATTCGTAGTCAACCCCCTCGAATATATATTCAATCTGAGCATTAATCAAGGGGTTTGTACTACAATTTTCAAAAAAATCATTAATTGTGCCGATTTTCAAAAGTGGTAATAAAAAATATATCGAAAACTATCGACCTATCTCTTTAACGTTATCTCTTTCAAAATTATTAGAAAAGTGTCTGTACACAAGAATTAAAGGTTTCTTAGATCAGCAAAATTTTTTCACAAAAAACCAATTTGGTTTCACACATAAAAAAGTACTTCAGATGCAATATACTTTGCAATAAATAATATTTATGAAAAAAAGGATAAAGCAAAAAAATTTATGGGAGTTTTCTTGGACATTAGCAAAGCATTTGTCTCAGACAGAGTCAGAGGATTAAGACAAGTCAGCCAGAGTCAGAAGACTCAGTCGTCAGTCAGAGTCAGAAGACTCAGTCGTCAGTCAGTCAGAAGACTCAGTCGTCAGTCAGAGTCAAAGGATTACGACAAGTAAGCCAGAGGATTAAGACAAATCAGCCAGAGTCAGAAGACTCAGACAAGTCAGAGGATTCAGTCGTCAGAAGATTAAGACAAATAAGCCAGAGTCAGAACACTCAGTCGTCAGCCAGAGTCAGAAGACTCAGTCGTCAGTCAGAGTCAGAGGATTAAGACAAGTAAGCCAGAGGATTAAGAGAAGTCAGCCAGAGTCAGAAGACTCAGACAAGTCAGAGGATTCAGTCAAGTCAGAGGATTAAGACAAGCCAGAGGATTAAGATGAGTCAGCCAGCGTCAGAGGATTAAGATGAGACAACCAGAGTCAGAAGACTTAGTCAGAGTCAGAGGATTAAGACAAAGTCAGCCAGAGTCAGAAGACTCAGTCGTCAGGCAGAGACAGAAGACTCAGTCGTCAGTCAGAGTCAGAGGATTAAGACAAATAAGCCAGAGTCAGAACACTCAGTCGTCAGTCAGAGACAGAAGACTCAGTCGTCAGTCAGAGTCAGAGGATTAAGACAAGTAAGCGAGAGTCAGAGGATTAAGACAAGTAAGCCAGAGTCAGAAGACTCAGACAAGTCAGAGGATTCAGTCGTCAGAGGATTAAGACCAGCCAGAGTCGGAGGATTCAGTCAAGTCAAAGAGAGTCAGAAGATTCAGTCAATTCAGCTGGTCAGAAGACTCACACAAGTTGGAGACCTTAACGTTAGTGGTTAGTGCAACAAAATATAAGTTTAAGTCATCAAGAGAGAAAATTCAAGGAGCAGTATAGCCATAATTTTGACTGGCCTGGCAGGCATTCCCAATTACGTATAAAGGTAACTTGGCAGCGGTTGCATTTTGTTATGCCGCATTTATACATTCGCACTAGTGGCACACCTCGTCACTCGCAACCTTCGCAAGAGGTATTAGCATGTTCATTCCCCACAGCACAAGTGGCTGTTGACCCAAGACGATGGTGGATGATAACATGTCACCGCAACAGAACCAAGTATGGAAAACATGTTTATAGAAATGCTCTATGAGGACTGTGGAGAATTTGCAAACTTTTGCAGAATGTCATCAATTGATTTTGACTACATGTGCAAAATTGAACCACTAATCGATAGAGAATCTTTGTTTGAAGAAAACTTTTAGTTCCAGCACTGTTTATTTTGATTTCATGGAAAGTTTTTCAACTGTTTTGCAGTCATCTTCAGCCATTTAAATTTTTAAAAAATTGTTTTGTGTGGTGATCTCAACATTTACCTAAAAACTAAATTTGTATTTTTTTTATTGAATTGGCTGAGGATGACAGCAAAGTAGTTGAAAAGCTTTCCATGAAATCAAAATAAACAGTGCTGGAACTAAACGTTTTCTTCACTTAAGACAAAATATTGAATTCCACTAATCAATAAAAGAAAAATTAAATGGAAAATGCCGATACCAGTTAAAGTAGCATTAATATTTTTAGATACTGGTGATAGCTACAAATCTTCATTTTTTGTTCAAGATTTCAAGTTCAATTATATCTAACGTTGAGTTTGTGTAGAAATGATGAATAATGGAGTGAGTGCGGTGTCCAATCCTTTTAAAAAGATAGTGCCTACTCACAGTGTTGTTTTCCAACAATCCACATTTCGAGCTTTTAGCTCATCAGGTTGAAGTTCTACTCTTGAATGAACGGTACAACTCCTTCAACCTGATGAGCTAAAAGCTCGAAATCCTGTCGTTGGAAAACGACTTACTGCCTAATCTTTTTAAAAGGATTTGAGTACCGGCCTTTGACTCGTCCCCAGAACGAGCACTGCAAGTGGCAAGGCGAGGCACGAGATGAATGACGAGAACCATCTACACATTCATCTCACCGCTCGTGCGAATGTGTAAATGCGGCACTTCAAGCATGCCAAAATGATTCTTAATCTATAAAACACCTTAATTGAAACGGTTCTATTTACCAGGGATGACTTATTAAGTACCAATGTATAGGATATAAGACCGCTTTTAAAAACAAATCTGCATTGAATGTATATGAACACATTTCATGGGTTGTAATAGAGCTTAGTAGGCTAGTTAATTGTAATAAGGGCTTTAATTACCTTTTTGTGTACGTTAGTATTGTTTTTGTTCTCGTGGAGTGCGTTCTTGGAATGGACCTTCTCAGACTAAAAAATCAGTTTTAAATTAGTTCTGGTCGATAAAAAAATTTGAATTATACGTATTGCACATTGAACCCACTTACAGTCTTGCTTATATACAGGTTAGACATGTTTTCCCCAACATTTTCCTTGTCAGTTTCAGCGTTGAAAGGCATTTCGGCGTAAAGGGTCCTGTTGGGTACGACGCTCGGAGGTAAGTGTTAACATTTTTAACCGCCAACCCTAATATACCGTGTATACGAAGCGGGAAAGGACCGCGGGAAGTCCCTCCGTACCGGTCGACGGATACCCAACAGACAGTCTAACGGTTGAACGTGACTGCGCAATTTAACCATAGTTTCATACAAAAACCGAAATATATTTTTTATACTCAGACTAAATTTTAAAAAAAATTATATTTAACCGTCTAAAAATTATACATAGCGATTCGAATATATTTAATATCAAAATGATTTGATTGTCAAAATTCAAAAGTAAGGTACAACATTTTTCCCTCTTTAAGTTAAAGAAACCATTTTCAAACAATCAATTTTATATTTATTTTAAAATAATTTAAAAAAAACAAATGACGAAATTATTAACCCACTAGTAAGTTATTTAATTAAACAACATCCTTTGGTCAAAAAGAGCGGGAATTTAACAAAAAAGGTTTCGATTTGAAAAGGAACACTCAAGAACATTAACAAAGGGAAGAAGTTGCACTCTCTTTAAATTTATTATTGCTATTGTTGATGAAGAAGAAATCGACCACGATGATTAATGTGTTTGAGGTCTGGTTTCTGGCCAGGAAGAGAAAAAAGTAGACTCTGTGAGCCAAGCTTTCGGCCTCTATGAGACCATCATCAGGGCAGCATACTATTTCTCATATTAAAATTGCAGAACTATGAAAAAACAATATCTTTTTCTTACAAAATCAGTTTTCTTTATCGACTGGACCTGTATTTTGGAGAAACCAACCTCTCTACTTGAAAAAAACAGAAAAAACTTGTCTTAGTTCAACTTAACCAACTTCATGTACTTTGAGACCTCGTATTCAGTGTCATTGGATTTTTAGTAATTCTCCAATGTTAATATGAGAAATAGGATGCGATGATGATGGTCTTATAAAGGCGAAAAGCTTGGCAAGTGATCACCGAGTCTACTTCTTTCTCTACCTGACCAGCAACCAGATCCCAAACACATATTTTTAGATCGGGATATGCGCAGAGTTAAGTTTAGGCTCATCTATCACTGGATAAAGACCATTAGTCAATGGAAGTGATACTCCTTTCATTTCGTCTCCATGATCGTTTTCTGGGGTTAAAGATTGGGCCTCAAAAGGTGAAAAGAAAAACATGGCCCGTATTAAGTTTTAAAATTGATTATAAGGTGTTATCAGTTTTTTTTTTAAGATCTTTAAATTGATTACTTTTGTGTCATTCATATTATATTTTTAGATCGGGATATGCACAGAGTTAAGTTTAGGCTCATCTATCACTGGATAAAGACCATTAGTCAAGGGAAGTGTTGCTCCTTTCATTTCGTCTCCATGATCGTTGTCTGGGGTTAAAAATTGGGCCTCATCTGATGAACCTTGTCCACGGTTGGGTTTGTAATAAGATTTTAGAAGAAAGATTTGAGCCAAGCTTGTCCACCAGCAAAGAAGAAGCTTCCAGGTGAAACCAAAGGCTTTGTATAACGCCACACCACTGGCGCAGATATTCAATATTTTGCTTATAATATTAATCACGATGGTAAATCCAAAGATTGCAGATCCTATGGTACTTAGTGTGCACAAAACTGACCAAAATTTGTCAGTTAACGATTCAGATAATTTCTCTTAGTCCGTATTGTCCATCAGGCCCAATGGAATCAGGCCCCAACAAGGAACCTTGCCGGACATGAAGGGATTGCCCCACATATCCTCTCGCGATGTTGCTTGAGATAGCTTCACATTCTTGACCAAATAGAATTCTATTCTGGTAATCTTGTAACGTCTGTTCAGTGTAAATTCCAGATGTTGCCAGTCCATGAGGACTGCGTTGAGAATGTATAATTATCTCCAGGGATCAAGAACTCCGGCGATTGTGTTGTTAGATGATCTTCATCTAATCCATGAGGGTACATGCTATACCAGTCATGAACAAATTTGTACATCACAGGATTAAGTGGATTACATCCGATCTCAGTTCCATATCGTAAGAGCACTCTGTTCCTAGGAGATAGAAAGTAAGAGCTATTCTCATATGTGACCGGTGCTTCTAAGAAGCAGAATGGTCTTAAGGTCTTAAGTGTGTAGGTACCAAGACACATTGTGTCACATGAACAACCTCCTCGCTGATTTCAGCACTGTAACCTGGTTTTTGCATTAGGGGGCATAGGCGAAATCATTACCAGAAAGATAGGCAAATGTCTGAAGATTGAGGATAGTCTTACGGTCAACCTCACATTGATGTTTTGTGAACAGTGCATAGATGGACTCAAAATTATGTCGAACCGACGTATCGAAGTAGACAAATTTAGTGTTGGAGTAAAGAGAAAAGTCCACCTCCGATGAGATGTCGTCTACGTCCTGATCGAAGAAGTCCATTGAGCTTTCAGAAAGGATAACGCTAAGAGAAGAGTGTACAGTGTCCAAAACTTTTCGATTGCAAGAGTATCTGGAAGATGTAGTTTCCAATGCAAAGGATATGTCTGACCCGCCATGAGCTACAATCGATGATGCATTGTTCGAAGAGACAAGTAGCTCAGCTGGGCCGGTGTATAGGATTACCCAAGATTTCTTTGTACAGGGTAGTTGGGGGTCGTCCCAGTATGTTGGCTCATAAGAAGGATGGAGACAGTCGCCGTTTGACTCGACAAATCTGGAAAAGTGATTTTGTTTGATTTAATGTCTGTATAAACATTAATCATAGTGGCGGAGATTGTGCAATGGATTTTGACTACAACCTGATCATAATTACGACCCTGATATGACCAGCTCTCGCCCTTACAATAGCCATCTACTGATGTCCATCCTGCAACATACTCAGAAGCAGTTGTGGTCGCATTAATCAAAATTCCATCAGTTTTCTTTCCATAAGGAATTACACAGAAATAAATATATAAACTCTCTTATTTTAAAATCTTATTAAAATGTTTTCTCTTTTGGTCTCTATAATCCTCCTCACTCTATACCCTTGCAAGATTAATGCTTACAACTTCAAGTTTCCAAGTTTATAATTAGAATTATTATCAGGAATATCCTTTTTTATAATTTGAGCATGCATAAACAAACCTAAGGCAATCAAGACCACACTCTCAAACTCATAACCATACAAGCACCCCAAAAAAAAAAGCCTGCGCCTGCATCGAACATCCAGGATCACCACCACCATCACCGCCTAGAATTCATTTATACCATTTTCATTCTTCCTCTAGAGCCTTGAAGCACTAAAAAACATCTTCAATTTCCACTCGCCAAGAAGCTCATCCGTCGAACTTGGATCGCTGCTGACAACAGTTCTTCAAATCATCAATTTCATCGGAGAAAGACCAAATCTATCCATGGGAAGTGACCTGCCCATTCTCACTCTTCTTCCGGATCATCATTTTCCTGAGATTTCTGATACCTTGATAAGAATTCTTGACACACCTGAATTGAACTTAATATTGTATATGTGTAGTTAGTGTTATACCTTAGTTAACGATTTTCTTTTTTTCCTTTTTTTTCTTTGTATGCCTTGGGAGTATTTATAACGTTGATTTCATTAAGCCCGCTATTTCTCCCCAAAAGATAGACCTAGTGTAAGAGGAGTTAGGGCTGACCGGCCCATTCTTGTTTAGAAAAGGTGAGAAGAAAAACGTGGCCCGTATTAAGTTTTAAAATTGATTATAAAGTGTTATCAGTTTATGTTTTTTTATTTTAATTTAGTTAAAGGTACATTGTACACAACACACACAGTAAGTGTTTCTGTTTGTGCATGCACAACAATTTTGGTTAATTTTTCCTTTGTATATTTTTCTTATTCTTATTGTAAGCATTAATCTTTTTATAATTTGTGATTGGGAATTTATTTATTTTTATATAATTTGTGATTAAGCATTGATCTTTTTTTATAATTTATAATTACAATATATTTAGTTTAGAAGATAAAGTTTTTTGTTCTATTTATTCATGATTCACTGAGGTACGATCCTCCGACTATAAAAAAAGTCAAATAATCATTAAAAAAAAAAAAAAAAAAAAAAAAAAAAAAAAAAAAAAAAAAAAAAAAAAAAAAAAAAAAAAGTGCAGGTATTCTCAGACAAGCAGCACTGAAGGCTTTAAACTCCGCCTTCAACTCAAAGCTGGGAATGCTCAATATATCTCCAGCTCTTGGGAAAATTAAACTCAGGCAACTCTGATGTGAGTATTCATGATTGAAAGACAACGAACTGGCAAAAACAGGAACAGCCGTCACACCCTTTGGGCGTAAACCATAAATCGGCAGACCCCAAGTGTGATTAAAGCAAAGTTGAACTGAGATAGACAAAGAAGTCAGCAACAATGAAAGAAATCTTAAAAAACATTTTGCCCTCTGCAAAAGCCATCCAATTTCCAACTAGATGTTGTGGGCAAGATGTCAAATCACCTTACAATACTTTTACCATATAGAAATCCATGTTATGCCAGGATTTAAACCCAAAACCATCAATGTTCAAAAGCAAGTTGAATGCCCTAACCACTTGGCCACTGTAGACCCGAAGATAGTAATGATTTTTAACCATAATTACAACTTCAATTAAGGTATAAACTTTTTTGCAAAACAAAATATCTATATTATTAGCTGTAAGATTTTTATATAAGCTCATCAACCACTTTGGGTGGTTCAAAAAAGGGCTCAGTCCAATCCACTTGGTATTTCTCATCCACCCACTACAAGCAGAATCATTAGATTTGAAATGGAACTTTTACGCTATATTTTTCAGGGATGTGGTCAAGTTTATTTAAAGATTAATTTTAATTGTAATACTTAATTTTCAAACTGCATTATTGAGAAACTGTGATGGAGTCTGCAAAGGGACACAAATTGCTGAAATGCATCTGACGAACAAAACTGTTCAGAATAAATAGGATTGGGATGATCAAAGATGATCAGTGCTTTTAAATAGACTTTTTTTGGGGCAATTAAAAAGAAAACAAATAGTTCAAAATATTTAACCATACATGGTCAATAGTTTTAATGCACGCTTATTATAATTAAAAAAATATCATACAATAAAAAAAAATACTTAAGCTTTAATTTTTAAAAAAATATTTAAAGCTTCAATAAACAAAAATATCTATATATTATAAACTATCTATTGAAAAAATTATTTACAACTATTATGTACATACTTTTGATTTGTGTATACATATAATATTTGTCTTATTTATTTTTTTATATTTTTTTCCATGAACAAGTCACAATAAGCAAACATTATCAATACCATTTATAATTTCACTTTTTTAAAACTCATTTCAAAAACACTATGTCAAATCATCTTAATTTGCCATGTTTAATTTTTTCCAAATACTATACATGTAATAGTTGTAATAAATTTATGTAAGATACAAAATTTTTCAAAAAAAAATTGAAAATTCAATGTGACCTGGCAGCAAAATGTGGTCAAATGTAAAACAAACAGCCCAGCCAAAGCAAATTTGAATATGTGTAGGCTGTGATTTTTTTTATATTTTTTATTATTACATCTGCAAGTGCCAAATATTGAAATTAATTTCCCATTCTCATTAATTTACTTGTATAATTGTGCACTCACTCTAGCTTCTACAGTCTAAATAGATCAGGTCTAAAAGCAATTTTTACTGAAATTACACTCCAAATATTTATCAAAGTATTTTAAGTATACTGTGTTCCTTTAACATTCGAATTATGTTTTTGTTCATTCTTCTTCAAGCCTGACACCCATGGGTCCGAGCAGATTAGACGCCGGCCCAGCTCCGCCCATCTGCGATCTGTACGATTCGAGAATGTTCTTGAGAGCGTTTCTGTCGATGTCGACCGGTTCGAAGCTTTCTATGTCTGAAAAACTATCCTCCATCCCCTGTCGAAAGCAAATTTTAATTGTACGATTGTGTCAAATATACGAGATAGTACAGTTTTGTTTACTTTGGGAGCACTCTTGTGAAAACTGTGCGCCAGAGTTGACGTAGACAATTCTCTATCCATTTGATCCATGTACTGCTTAAACTCGGATTTCTCACCTTCGGCTTCTTGAGAATTGGGCTCTTTTCCTAAAAAGAAGGCAAATTAGAAAAACAAATACTTTTAAAATAAAAGCGTCACAAAAGATTAGCATGCTCTCACCTGTTTTCTTTCGGCTTAGATCCATATCTACTTCGTCTTCATAAGAGCTCATACCCGACTCTTCAGAATCCAAATCCCAACTATCTTCTGGCACGGAGAAATCTATAAAGTAAATTCAATTTATTGTCTTTTAATCGAGTGTTTTATTGTTTTACCTAGTATGTTTTGTACAGCGCATGAGAAAGCTTCTTGATCGAATGAAATCCTGTTGTTTTCATCATCGGTCGATTTCACCTGATCCTTCCGCTTAGGCCTGAGCGGAACCGAATCCCTATTCGCCCTGAGAAAAACCACAATGAACACTTACAAATACCGACAAGTTTTAAAAATTATTATTTACTTAGGGTGTTCTGCGCCTTCAAATGAAGAAACATGTTCTAAAAACGAATTAAGGTGGGAGGAAATGTCGTTAACTGACGATTTCCCAGTGCTACCATATCTTTCAGTTAAAATTTTATCCAAATCATTAGCCGAAATCTCCATCCAAGAGTCATCTGAAAGTAATATTAAAAATATAGTCTAATAATGGTATGAAATCAAAAACATTTTTGTAAAATTAAGTTTTTTAAAGCAACTTGCCATCAGGTGGAGGCAAGTTTTCCTCAGCTTTTTTCATAGATTCAATGTCGAGTTCGATTGAATCCAACAAATTCAGAATGGTTTGCCCAGAACTCGGTTGGGAATGTTGTGTAGAGTGAGATCTATAGAACAGTTTCGCCTCTTGCTCAAGCTGTCTGTACTCGACACATCCCACAAGCAAATCCTATAATAAATAAACATGAGTAAATAAACTTTTAAGATCATACATGGAAAATATTAAAACATACTTTGAAATATCCTCTATTATTGAGCGATTGTTTATAACGATGCCAGCCTTTGTCGTTTTCGAGATCATCTTCACTCCCCTTTCTACCTTTGCATTGCGTCACTAGGATTTCAAAACCACAGGCGAGTTTAACTCCGAGGGAATGTGCCAGGTAATTTTTCGAGTTGGCAGGTGGTAAATCCCAACCTGTTCTTCTATCCGGTATGTATTTATGATGTACAAGCATAGCGTAAAGACATCTTGTCATTTTAACTTGCGTCATGACCCTCGTCTCAGGAGGAAAATATCTCATCGCTCTACAAGCCTACAATAGAAACAAATTAATTTTTTTTTTAAATAAATGATTTGTGTTTAACATACTCTAAGGTCTATTGGGTCTCTATAGCAGAAAGATGTAATCGCGGGAGCAATAAGGCTTGGCTTTTCTTTAAGCAGAGCCGCAACTCCTGCTGGGACATAAGCGTTTGTTTGGTGGAGAAGTTCTTGAATCTTGTCTGGATAACTGAAGACAGAATTTTATTTGTCTATTTTTTTTTTTTAACAAAAAATTTTTTAATTTAAATAATTCCTACCCACTGACTCGATTTTCAATGGCTTTTTGAATTGCATCAGTAGTGCGTGTCAACTCCGGGTACATCCTGATCCATTTAAGTGCATCTGTCACGGTGATTGTTTCACATTCTTTCGTCACAGGTATGACATGTACTTCACCGTTCACAATATAGACCTGAAATACAAATAAAATAAAATTTCACCAAATTTAGCAGAAACTCCTTTTTTTAAAAAAACCTAGACAATCGTACATATTTTATCCAAGACATAAAATGAAAATAAAACGTTACCCTTTTATCACAGACTTCAGGATTGGCCCACTTTGGCAGGAAATCTGCAGCTTCGATCAACAAAAATTCCCCGTCAACATCAGTCACCCTAGTTAGATAAAACAAAAACATTTAAATTCATGATTTTAAACTTATAATTTCAGCAGGACAAAAATTAATTACCTCGCTATTAAATCAGGTACTGACTTTGTCAGCTGGAGAAGAAGATACACAATGAACCATTCGTCCTCAATGTTCTCACCATAATGTGTCACGCCGTATAAATGAGGAGGCAGTTTCTCTGGGAAAAAAAAAAAAAAGAATGATAACGGAATCGGCTTAAGTTTATCTTAACATCCTCCATAAGATTACATATTTGGGCAACTTACCACTTTCTTATTTAGGACAACTACATAAGATACTAGGGACCACAGTGGCCGAGAGGTTAGGGCTTGTATTTACCAACTAGTGGTTTTGGGTTCAAATCCTGGCACAGAATTTTTTAATTGATTAGAGTATGAAAGAAGTATTATAAAATGATCTGACCCCTCTTTCACAACAGCCAATGCGTAGTTGGACGTTAAGCCCAAAGACAGGAATTACTTTATAACTTTTTACTTTATTTACATAATATCTAAGTCTGAAAAAGACAAAAATCAGCTTGGAATTTTATAAACCTTTGTAATTACACAGGGTGTTTGGCTACTCATGTTACAAACTTTGCCAGTAGATTCTATATTCAACGTGGTACCAAAAAGCCCTAATTAACTATGGTCCAAATCTCAACCGTTTCAGAGTTATTTCCCTTTTTCTCCTTTTTTTAAGATTTCATGACTTTGCTGCAAATCAACTAAAAAGTTTTGGACAAATCCGTAAATCTCAATAAAATGTGATCAATACTAAACTTGTAAACGTTGGTGAAATAAGCGTTTTAGTAGCCAGAACTTTGAAACAATTTTTTTTTTTTTTCAAAGTTGAAAAACTTACTATGTTGATTCTAAACTGCTATTTCCAAACCTAAAGACCAGAAAAATTCACAAAATGTACTCCATTTAATCTCCTTTTAGTGGCATAATTATTTTTTTAATAGCTTTTTTTTTTAAGGTGGAACAGTTCCATGGCCACCAATATCTCCTGACCTGACCCCTATGGATTATTTCATTTGGGGATTCATGAAGAGTAAAGTTTACATACGAAAGTGCCAAAAACAATGGATCCTGTACGCTGATGAAAAGCTTAAACTTAAATTAAACTTTTGAGTTACAGTGGCTAATATGAGAAAACGGGCTCATTTGTGCATTGCGGAGGGTGGAGAGCATTTCGGATCAAAATTAAAAAACATTTAATAAATTCATTCAAAATTCTGTCGTTTATTTACTTTTTTTTTTTTAATCTTACCACTTTACCACTTCGTCAACAACGGTTTTTTCCTTTCCTACATCAATTTCTTCATCTTTGAAAAAAGTAATTAAAAATTACACAACAAAAACAGATATTAAATGGAGTACTTTTTCTGAAATTTGCTGGTCTCTAGGTTTGGAAATAGTAGTTTAGAATCACCATAGTGTTTTTCAACTTTGTAAAAAAAAAACTATTTTCCAAGTTTAGTATTGATCACATCGTATTGGAAATTTAACGAAGTTTTCAATGGTATCAACAGATTTCTCCAAAACCTTTTAGTTTTGGAGTTACCGTTATTTATTTGAAGCAAGGACGTGAAATCTTAAAAAATCATAAAAAGAGACTCCAAAACTGCTGAGATTTGGATCATAGTTAATTAGGACTTTTCGGTTCCATTTTGAATGTAGAATCCACTGACTAAGTTTGTTACACGAGTAGCCGAACACCCTGTATAAGGTAAGTGAAGAAAGCAAATCATTCTGCCAGTCCTCCTGATCAATTACCAAATAATCATTCAGAAATCTTTTTTGAGGATCTCTTCATAGTTCATACTTGCTACAGGGCTTTGATAGCCTTATAGAAGTAACGAGAAGGTCCTAAATAGGAGAAGGGAAACTTTAGGGTATAGAAAAAGACAGGTTGATGTTTACAAGGTGGGCATGTAGTTTGGAGTGTATATGTATTATGTAGAAAAAAAAATTGAACTGTACGGCCCAGTTCACACGGGTGCAATCGTTATGAGAGATAAGTACATGATACCGTTATGACGAATCTATAATGAGTTAGAAGCTGTAGCTCTTCCAAAACAGGAAAAAACCGTCCTGACTCCTGGTGAAAGAATAAAAATTTTGTACCTTTTTTATGCAGACCTTTTTTCAAAACAGCTCAGGGAAATTTTAACCTCGAGGGACCAACTTATAAAAAAAAGCGACAGATTTCGACCCATCATTAAATCGAAGTTTTAAGTTTAAAAGGGATGTCAACGGCTGGTTCAAATCCTTATGTGGAAATTCTTAAAGAAATTAATTATTCGGCAAAACAGCGAACAATTAATAGTTATTTGCATTGTGAAATAATAAAAGAAACATTTTGCCAAAGTAACAAAAATTAACAATATATACAAAATAACAGTTATCTTTACATCCCATTTATTTCCAAATGAAGTAATTCTCAAACTTATGCAATTAAACAATACATGACCCTTAAACCTCAAACTCATGCACAAAAAATCAGCACCTCCTCATAATTTTATTTTCTTTTTTAATGCAAACAGGAGCAAAAATATATGGAAATTTTGGCATTTGAAAAAACGCTTGCTGTAAGATACTTCTTTGCAATAATCTGAATGACATAAAATGTTAGCCAATATCAGTTGGAACATGTCAAAATTACAAATAAAATTTTGGTCATGATTGCATATTCTACTGAGGTTACAAAAAAATACCTACAACTTGTCAAATTTTACAAAAATTTATTCATCTAATATGCTTTACGTTGATATATCCAGGTTTTTAAATAACGTTCTAGTAGAGGTGAAAAATAGGGTAGAAATAAATCAATTAGAACTCGCTTTGTAAAATAAAAATGACACATCGTAATCTCACAACAACAACAAAAAATGACAAGTTGTAGGTATTTTTTGGTAACCTCAGTAGAACATGTAATCATAACCAAAATTTTAAATTTTGTAATTTTGACATGTTCCAACTGATATTGGCTAACATATTATTATTCAGATTATTGCAAAGAAGAATCTTACAGCAAATTTAGCGTTCTTTCAAATGGTGTAATTGGATTTGTTGTAGACTCAACATGTTGGAAGTTGTAAGCGTTTTTATGTGGTAAGGTAGTGAAAAGTTGAAAAAACAACTAAATTGACGAATATCTTCAAAATAGAGAACTTTCTGAAAATTTTCTCCTGAGCATTTTTTGCTCCAAACGAAGTGTAGAATCGATTCCCTGCGTTTCGTCAGAAGGAACTGGGACCCTGTTGAGAATTTATTTCTTTTTTCTCGATTTCAAAAACTTTTTTTAATAAAAACTCATTTTGATAATCTTGTTTCCTATCTGACCTTACAGTGTAAAGCCATTCCTATAAATTTATCGTAATAGTCAAAAATTAATTACATTCTTTGAATTGATACCCTATATAGCTTCAATTAAGATTATCATTTTTTCCAATTGATCATAAAATAAAAATGTTGAAATACCAGTTATATATAATAATTAATAAATATTAATTAGGCTAGATGTAATTTTTATAATTATATTAATAAGAGATAAATATTTTTTTAAATAATATTTACATTTTAAAAAATTATGACAAAAAATATAAGTTGAAAAATAAATTGTTTTGTGAACGCAATAACATAATTTGATTTCAAATCTATAAATAAAAGGACAAGGGGGTTCAAACATTGTTACGTCTTCTGTCATATTTATTTCGAATAAACTTTTTTATAAGTTCTGAATTGTATCTCAATTTTTGGCGTCATGGTACATAACCCATAGAAAAGTAGACTCAACATTCGCAGATTTAACGTTCACGACAGTTTTCTTGAACCAAACACGAATGTTAAGGGATTACATAAGGAATGCTACACGAGAGGCAGTTACGCCCTTTTTTTTTATATAAGGAACTAAGAGAAGATTCTAACAAGTTCTTCAATCATTATCACGTCATGACCTTCTTTTTAAGAGCTGTTATTCGAAATAATGCGCATTTCAAAATAAGAATAAGGGATAATGAAATTAGTCTGTCATCAAAAATGTCACTTCTATCTATTGAGTAACTAGCGACCAAACATCGCAATCGACTACAAATCATTATCACATTCCAGTCGCCTTCCACTCTCCCCATCTCAATGACAGGGTCTTCCCTATGTTACCTCCATCCCCTTGATACCTCTCATACCGATCTCCTCCGTGTGAACCGGGTGTAACTGTGGGTCAATTTGATCAATTGACCTTACTTCAGTCAAATTGATAAAAAGAAAACTTAATGTGATATCTCCATATACTGGAACAAATATGTGAAATAATGACATGAAGATGGTTAAAACAAAATGTCATTGTCATAATTGATGCATAGTGCCTGCATTCCCTGACCTTTATGTAAATATCAATTCATAGGAAGATAAATAAATTAGAGGTTTTAATGTAAAATTACACCGTATAATTGAAAATAAAGCAAATACCTTCGTTATCGACTATTGGTGGCAATTGAAGTGTGTTTCTAACGATCACTTGAAATTCGTCCTTCTGCCAGATGTAATTTTTCGTCTTCTGTGCAGTGAAAGAGTCAACGTTGACTTTCAGCTCTGTCAGATTCGTCGAGGGACCGGGAAATAGGAGATATTCGACGAAATCGTCCTCTCGGACGTTTTCCAGGACGTCTCTCTTGAACGCCATAGTCTGTTGGGTTTTCTTCGTTTTACACCAAGTACTGACGGCTCATTCAAACGGACCGGCCGAATAACACGACGGGTCGTAAAGAGGATTTGGAATGAGAAAAAAATATATTACAGTTTATTACGGGTAGACGAAATAAGTTTATCACAGCGGTCGGCGAGTATCCGAAATCCGATGCGCTATAGCTATAACCGTATGCTACTCATGGGAAAACACAGTCTTCATTATCGATGCTGAAGAACTGATATTGTAACTTATCGATTCATTGATGTTTCAAATAGCGAAACAAAGCGGACCCCGTAATGAATAAACAACATTTTTTTAAATTGATTTTTCGAAGGAAACAGGACTGCTTTATGTTTTATTGCACTACTTTATCTTGTTTTGTTTTTTTATAAATGGAGAGTGAATGTATTTATTAGTGTGAATGTGTAGTGTGAGACCAATGGCTGAATATTGAAATTCAATACTCCATCGACCATATTAGACTAGTTATAATCGTGCTACTGATCCATGGGTTCATGTCCCGCTTTTGGCACTAATTTTTCAACTCAACCAAACTTTGCATAACTAAATTAGTTATGTGTTGAGACTGATAGAGGAATATCAAGAACACCACTCTAATTGAGGTATATAATTAGGAAATAATGTATTTAAGAGTGAGTGAGTATTTAGACTGTTGTGTTTGGGGCTATGACCTAGCTGTTAGTCTCTGGAGCCCAACCTCAATGGCTGGACTGTCTGGACACAGACTGCCAAAACCCAAGGTGGGTGATTCTCAAGGCCTGCCGGAAATTTATTGTAAATTAAAAAACGGAATTCCCTGTGGACTGCAAGAAGTGATAGTCTCAGCTTTGCACCCGTGTGCATAAATGAATATTTAAGAAAGCCTAAGTTTAAAAACTCATGCGTTGGAGGTTGAAATGACCTAGCTGTTGATTGCCCATAAATCCAAGGTGGGTGATTCTCAAGGCCTGCCGGAAATTTATGGTCAATTATAAAACTTGAAATTGCCTGTAGACTGCGAGTAATAGATGAAATGACCTAGCTTTTGACAGCCTCTGGACAAATAAGACTGAGGTCTAACTGCCAAAACCTAAGGTGGGTGATTCTCAAGGCCTGCCAGAAATTTGTTATAAATTACAAAACATGAAATTTCCAGTGGAGTGCAAGAAGTGATAGGCTCTCTGCACCCGTGTGAATCAATCAATATTTAAGAAAACTTAAGTTTAAAAACTCGTGTTGGAGGTTGAAATGTCCTAGCTGTTGACAGCCCTTGGGCAAACAAGACAGGTTTAACTGCCAAAACCCAAGGTGGGTGATTCTCAAGGCCTGCTGTTAATTTATTATAAATTACAAAATTTGAAATTTCCTGTGAACTGCTAGAAGCGATAGGCTCAATTCTACACCATATCATCAATCATTATTTAAGAAAACTTAAGTTTAAAAACATGCATGGAGTTGAAACGACCTAGCTGATGATGACAACCTCTGGAGGGATAAGACAGAGGTCTAACTGCCAAAACCTGAGGTGGGTGATTCTCAAGGTCTGCTGTTAATTTATTATAAATTACAAAATTTGAAATTTCCTGTGAACTGCTAGAAGCGATAGGCTCAATTCTACACCATGTCATCAATCATTATTTAAGAAAACTTAAGTTTAAAAACATGCATGGGGGTTGAAACGACCTAGCTGATGACAACCTCTGGAGGGATAAGACAGAGGTCTAACTGCCAAAACCCGAGGTGGGTGATCTCAAGGTCTGTTGGAAATTTATTGTAAATTACAAAACTTGGAATTCCCTGTGGACTGCGAGAAGTGATAGGCTCAGTTCTGCACCCATGTGAATCAATCAATATTTAAGAAAACTTAAGTTTAAAAACTCATGCGTTGAAATGACCTAACTGTTGACAGTCCCTGGACGAACAAGACTGAGATCTAACTGCCAAAACCCAAGGTGGGTGTTTCTCCAGCCCTGTCGGTAATTTTTTGTAAATTGTAAAACTTGTAATTGCCAGTGGAATCCATGTGTTGGGGTGAAATGATCTGGCTGTTGATTGCCCATAAACCTAAGGTGTGATTCTCGAGGCCTGCTGGTAATTTATTGTAAACTACAAAAGCAGTAATTGCCGGCAGGCCAAGAGAAGTCGTAGGTTCAATTATGTATAATTCTGAACATGTGCATGATGTTATATAAATCAGTAGTAAATTAGTACTGCGTATGAATTTAATAGATGAAATGTGATGAAAAAGCACAATCTGTAATATAATTGTAATTTTATTTGATATTTACATTAGAATAAAACAACTAACACAATACAAAATGTTTTATGTACAAAAAGAAAACAGCGAAATAAGATAATATAGCTTTAATCACATATCCAAAGAACATATTATATTACAGTCTTGTATTTAAAAATAATGTAATGGCAGTTCAGCAAAGGTCATTTAAAAATCTTCATTTGCCAAAGTCCATCATTGAGATAGTGACAATTTTCTATTCCGATTCCTCTGTTCACTTTGAGTATTTCATCAGAGCTCATCGCTGTGATTCCGATGGCGAGGGCGTGCTGTTTCCCTTCAGCCATGACGGCCACAATCGCACCTTTGTCGACTTTTGTCATCTTAGCACCGGGCGAAGTCAACCCAGGGCACATGATATTGGCGCCGGAGAGGACAAACTTGATGGCACCTTTGTCCACTTGTTCCCAAGGGAGGATGAACGGGTATTTGTGGAGGAGGCGGAGGGTGGGGATCCACTGGCCTTCCCTGTGGCGGAAAAACAACAGCTCCCCGGCTGTGTTGACTATTATCTCGATGTGGTCGTGACACTTGAGGAGCCGGAACGTGTCCTTCTTGGGAAGTATCTGGTCCACGTATTCCTCCAGAGGCGGGTACAGCTCTAACAGCTTGTTTCTTATACCTTTCTGTACGGACGACTTCAACTGTTGGGTGCATGAGATGCTCTCCTTCTCGTCGAACTTCTTGAACATTCTTGATGGAGGGTGTCCGGCAAACGGGTCGAATAACCTGCCTAGGGCACAAAACGGTTTCAAAACATGATTCTCAACCGCAAAGATTCCGGACGAACCTTGCCCTTCTCTGCAATATTAATCTGTTCTTGGTACTCTCGGTTCAGAAAACTCATTGGATGTTAAAATAAAACAAAACCCTTTTAAAAAAAGAAGAAAAAACGAACGATTATTCCAACATTTAGAATCTATGAATTATACGATAATGTGGAAACGTATATTGGGTATATGTACCGAACAAACATATGGCACATATAAATTTCCCTTGGAACATTTGTTCAAATTCAATTTTGTTAGAAGTGGGAAAAATGGAATTTATATTGAAAAATACTGCTATTCAGAAATGGGCAAAAATCGGCGAGGGCCCCTACGATCACAATGGTCCGCCCAATCTCGCTATATTCATGATTGTATGATCCATTTGAAACGAACTAATACCATTTAAAAACCCACACAAACAATGAAATCTAAAATAATACATATTGACAAAATTAAGATACTATAAATCACAGTGATACTTTGTCATATTTTTATTGCTACTTGAATTAAAATAAATACCTAACTCAGTTCTAAATACTTTCGTGTTTCTACAAGAAGAACAACTGTTTTACATATTTTTTAAATTAAGACAGCAAACATGAAAGACAGTGGGAGCCAAAAAATTGGTAAAGTAAATCTTGCCTATTCATGATTGCGTGATCCATATAAACTGCTCCCATAATATTTAAAAACTCACAGAACCAGAGATCAATGCAGACTAAAATTATACATATTAACAAATATAACAGACAATAAATCACAATTTAAACAGTGTTCTTTTGTGCTATTTCTATTGTAAATCAAATTTAAAAAGGTATATCAGTTCTAAATACTTTAAATCCCAGTGCTACTTTGTTCATTGCTATTAGAATTTAGGATAAAAAAATAAATTTATAACTCAGTTCTAAATACTTTTGTGTTTCTACAAGAAGCACATCTGTCTAATATATTTTTTAAATTAAGACAACAAACATGAAAGACAGTGGAAGTCCAAAAATTGATAAAGTCTCCTACGATCACACGAGTTTTCCCAATCTTGCTAAATTCACTTGGGTGATCCATTTGAAACGAATCGATACCATTTAAAACAATGTAACAATCCACACAAACAATGAGATCTAAAATAATACATATTAACAAAATTAAGATACTGTAAATCACAGTACTACTCAGTCCTATTTTTATTGCTATTCTAATTTAAGATAAACTCAGTTTCAAATATTTTTGTGGTCCTACAAGAAGCACAACCGTCTTATATATTTTTTAAATGAAGACAACAAACATAAAAGATATAAAAAAAAGAAACAAAATCATAATTACTCAGTGTTATTATAAACAATAAAATATGATAAAATAAGCAATTTTCTGCGTGTAAGACAAGGCTCATGTCTCTTGATCAAAAGTTTAGACCTTATTTTCTGCCACTACTTTGTCAGGTCTTGAGCAAATTGAATTCGACATGTGGTAGCCGAATTTTCGAAACTTTGTCATTAAGTTTGATACAAGTGGTACTCCAAAAATGGACACAAATTGGCATTCATGATAGTGTGATTCATAAAAAGCAATCCAATAAAATTTAAAAAAAGAATCGAAGAGATCTATCCAGTCTAAAAATAGCAATGGCAAACCGGCTCGTTTGTCCTATTTTTACTGTTATTCAAATTTAAAAAGATATTTAAAATATTTAAATTGGGCCAACTTTATAAACTATTTACAAATGTAATGTAAACTGGACCACCAAAACAAACATTAGATAGGAAGGCATGGTTATGGTTGATTAGCAATGGTTACCTTAATGAAATAAATTAATTATTTTCCTTGCCAATTTGTCCAAATTTTCATACAGCCTCAAAGCACCATTTGGCCCAATTTATTAATGAGCATGATCCTGAATTCTTGGGTTAATAAGAAAAGAGAAGGATTGGCTCAGTTTAGTAACACCTAATAAATTCAAGGGTTTGACTAGCTTTATTGATCATATATTTAATAGATTATTTGGAGATAATTAGATGCGGTCTGGTGTGGCATAGGTTTAGAAAAACATTTTCTTTAACGGGCCTTTTTCTAAACCTACGTCACACCAGACCGCATCTCACAATTTCCAAATAATAATTAATTAACAGTCCCTAAACCCACACATATTTAATAGAGACCATTTGTCCAATGTTAAGTCCAAATAATTTATAATCATTTACAAAAATAGAATTCGATAAACTTTATTGAGTTTTTATTTTTATTGTTTTGAAGGTGAAGGCAATTTATTGTTGTGTCCCAATGTTCAAGGTTGGACAAAGAATTTGATTCTATAAACATAAATTTTCATATGGTTGACAAAGTGTGAAAAATGATTATGTCATAAACTAGATGAAATATCAAGTTATAAAAAGTCCAAACAATATGGGTCTAAGTAATGAACCTTGAGGGAATTCCAGAGGGGGCAGAATTATGTTTGGAAGATAGGGATATTTATTTGAATGTTTGACTTCTGACCAAAACTTTGACTAACTTTGGTGATCCATTTAAAATACAGAATGTATGAGAAAACAAATATTAAAATTGGAAGGTGGTGGTAAAAAGATATTCAGGAACATTTTTGTAAATTGTGTTTTGGAACATTCATTCAGAAAATATGCTTTAAAAAAGTTAAAACTTTCTTTCTTCCCTGACCCGAATCTTTGATGAAAAAAGTAATAAAATTCAATTAATTAAGGTTTTTGGTTGAGATAAAACAGTCAGTGTCACGATTATGAATTGAATGTAATAAAATACGTTTTCTTTCTGTTCAATGTTTTCTCGAAAGTACTTAAGATTATAAATGTTTCAAATACGTCATTTCATCAAATTGAAATGTTGAAACTATTTATTTGCTTTTCGTGGAGATTTGACGGCAGAATCCCACAGTCGGAGAATTTGAGTGAAGCTTTTGATCAAGAGAATAAAATTTAAAAGAAAGGCGGCAAAGGGTCTAATCAAAAGATATGACGGCCGACGGCAAACTGCCGGGAACTTAATAGGAAATATGCCAACTGCTCAGAACACCGCTTTTACACAATTTCATTTTTACAAGGCTAAAATAATTCAAGCACCTCGCCTTTCTCAGCACAAACGTTGAAACTGTTTTGTTTCTGTCGTTTCCACAGACTGAAGCACATTTTAAAAAGTACCTGATACACGGTTTGTGTCTAATCAATGGCGAAATGTCTCTAGAGCAAACGACATGTGAAGGTAACAAAGTATTATTTTGATACTGGGCATTAATTTATATTCTACTCTAATAAATATTCTAACAGAACCTTAATATCATAATCCATTTCCTAAATACCTCTAAATATACATCAGTTATATTAAAACCAGTTTTATTCTCTTGAAACAAAAATAAAGGACTATAAAAGTTTAATCTGTTTGATAAACAAATAACAAACTGTGTCAGTAATGGTGTTAATTTGATTTGACAGATCTCAAAGCTTTTGAGAGAAGGCTGACAGAAGTGATTGCTTGTCTCCAACCATCTACGCTGAGATGGAGAAGTAAGTTGATTTTATCCACAAACCCTTAAGTCTATATTTAACATAGTTTATTTTAAATATTTTAATTCTAGACAGTACAGTTTCTTGATTAGAGTGGCTTATATTTGATCGTTATTGGATTTTTGGCACAACGAGGCATTATTCAATGTATATATAAACCTATTCTCTAAATAAATCTATTCTCTGCGCTTGCGATTTAGGTTCAGGAGAACCTCGTACAAATTGTAAAACACACGTACTGGTTATTTCTAACGGTAATCCGTGAGAATCGCATTTATTGAGATTGTCTTATTCGCAAAGAAAGGGTAATGGAGGACTTGGAAATTAGCAGTTGTGTTCACAAAATGTTCTCATGTTGATTGGCATGCTTACATGCTTCTTATGTGGAGCTGAAGCCTAGCATCCTTGTCGGGGCAGAGTGTGTGGTCTTTCTCTGCAAAAAAGTCACATTTTAATAAATAAAATATTTATTGTGTGAAACTAACAGTTGTGTTCACAAAATGTTCTCGTGTTGATTGGCATGCTTACATGCTTCTTAATTTGGAGGCGAACCTTGGCATCCTTGTATAGGACAGATTGTGTGGTCTTTCTATGCAAAAAAAAAGGTCATATTTTAATAAATAAAATATTTATTGTGTGAAACTAATAGTTGTGTTCACAAAATGTTCTCATGTCGATTGGCATGCTTACATGCTTCTTAATTTGTAGGCGAACCTTGGCATCCTTGTATAGGACAGATTGTGTGGTCTTTCTCTGCAAAAAAAAAAGGTCATATTTTAATAAATAAAATATTTATTGTGTGAAACTAACAGTTGTGTTCACAAAATGTTCTCGTGTTGATTGGCATGCTTACATGCTTCTTAATTTGTAGGCGAACCTTGGCATCCTTGTATAGGACAGATTGTGTGGTCTTTATCTGCAAAAAAAAGGTCACATTTTAATAAATAAAATATTTATAGTGTGAAACTAGCAGTTGTGTTCACAAAATGTTCTCGTGTCGACTGGCACATTTATAAGCTTCTTATGTGGAGCTGAAGCCTGGCATCCTTGTTGGGGCAGACTGTGAGGTCTTTCTCTGCTGCAAAAGTCACATTTTAATAAATAAAATATTTATTGTGTGAAACTAGTAGTTGTTTTCACAAAATGTTCTCATGTCGATTGGCATGCTTACATGCTTCTTAATTTGTAGGCGAACCTTGGCATCCTTGTATAGGACAGATTGTGTGGTCTTTATCTGCAAAAAAAAAGGTCACATTTTAATAAATAAAATATTTATAGTGTGAAACTAGCAGTTGTGTTCACAAAATGTTCTCGTGTCGACTGGCACATTTATAAGCTTCTTATGTGGAGCTGAAGCCTGGCATCCTTGTTGGGGCAGACTGTGTGGTCTTTCTCTGCTGCAAAAGTCACATTTTAATAAATAAAATATTTATTGTGTGAAACTAGTAGTTGTTTTCATGACAAGTTCTCATGTGGTCTTACACCCTTACACATTTCCTATATGGAGCCAAAACTGGCATCCTTGTATAGTACAGATTGTGTGGTCTTTCTCTGCAAAAATGGTTTCATTTAACAAACTAGCAGTTTCGAATTCTTCATCCAATTTAGTTAAATGTAAAGCCATTTTGTAAGTTTTTTTAAATCCTCAACATGTCTTATTCATAGTTTTATTTATTTGTTTTAATAAAATATTTCAAATTTTGTTTTAATTAAAGTTGGTTTTGTTTATAGTTGTTTTAGCTGTGATATCAATTTGCACGGCGATAGGAGCGTGGTATTGGCTCACGGACCCATATACATCTGACGTCTCTTTCACGCAAAGCCTAATAAACCACCCCTTTTTCTCGATGTCGAGTATATTTTTATGTAAGTTTCAATTGCCACTTTGAAAATAATCGATATAAATTACTTTGATTAACACAATATTTTGACTTTTAAAAGCAGTAGTTTTATTTGTCCTCGGGATTCACAAGAGGGTAATCGCCCCGTCGATAATTACAGCGAGGACAAGGATAGTATTAACTGACTTTAATATGAGCTGTGATGAGACAGGTAAACTTATACTGAAACCGAGACCGACGATGTCTTGACAAATCCATTCTTCTATTGTATGCTCGTCATCCACTGATTTATCAGGTATTTATAAAATGTTTATGACCTCCAAACAACCAAAAGAATAAATTTAAGCAAACTTACTTTACACCGGCTTAATTAGAAAAAAACAAATCATAGTGTAAAACAATTTCAATATATTTGATAAAGTATTTTCTATTTATTAAAAAAAAATTATATATATATAAAATGTAAAAAAAATCAGTGAATGCACTTTTGTATACTAATTCTCTAAATTTTTAATTTGGAAATTTTGGAAGTCAATAAAATAGTATTGTATAAAATATCAGTTGTATTGAATTATCCGTTTTTCCTGATTCCTAGAGCCCTTCCATCATGAGTGACAGAACTTGCAAGAAAATGGTGTATATGAGATTGGTACTCCCTGAGCCTGTGATGATAGCAAATAATAAAACGACAAAGACATTTATTGGCTTATTTAACAATACTAGACGTTCTAAGCTCAGTGCTTCATTTCAAAATAAATCAAAATATGTATTAAGACCACAGTGGACATACTGATTAGATAATTTTGAGAAGAAAATGAAAAATCTGAAGATTATCAGTTAATAAACATAATTACAAATTTAGTGCTCTCCTGGAACTGCCATATACATCTTACTATTAGATCTTAGAATTAAAAAAAAGATCATTCTATAGGCATTGTTCATCGTTCAGATGATCTGATCAAGAGAATTGTGCATGTATAACAATTTCCCCCCTCCTTATGGAGTCTTACAGAGTTCTCCTTTTTGTGATGATGATGATGATCATGAATGGAGAAACTGGGTGTTTTATGCTCCAAAAGCACTGCACCCTTCTGGTTTATTGAACTTTTCCTATTTCGTTAGTTCAGTGCATTTAATTCTTCTTTTAAGAATTATTAAGTCCTTGAATGTTATTGCTGCAAATTATTTTCGTGGGTTTTCTTTGTATCTAAGCTTATATCTCTGTTGAGTGGTTGCTTCGCATTCAAAGATGATAAGGGTGGCTGTTCTTCCTCAGTGCATAATCTGCAAATGGATTCATCATTGAGTAAACTCATGTTATGTCCTCCTGAGTTTAGCCCTCTTTAACTGTAAAAATGAAATTGGCAATTTTAGTAAGGATTCTTTAAACTGCGGCTAACACCATCCATCGTTTATCCATTTTTCCTTTGGTCTTTTTTGGTTCCATTCTGAAGAATCTTTTGTTATCCCAAAATAAGTTCAGGGCCTAGATGGTCTTGCAAATCCACCTTTGGCTGGTATGCCTTCTGTTTCGTTACCAAAAATTCCTTTTGCGTCCTATCAAAGATATTGGGTCCATCTTTTCCCAACTTTGCAGATTTTGGATGCATTCCCTGATTATTTTTGATGTGACCTTTTTACTTGCTAATGCTTAATGAATGACTACTTGGCTGTCCCAGCTTTTGTAACCTTTTGTAAGATTTTCTAAAGCAGCATTGATAGCATGTATTTCAACTTGAAAGACCGAGGTGGGCTTCCACAATGGCTTTGGTTGCTCATATTTTGGGCTTGTACAGAAAATAGCTTATTCGGTTCCCTTTAGCACTTAAACTTTCATCAATTCATTCTCTCCTAAGGGAGTTTCTTGGAAGAATTTTATTTATTTTATGAAGTAGAGAATTCTTAGGGAAATGATATCAAGAAATGGTACAATTGCAGGGCTGTTGCATAGGATGTGTTCAGTTATCTCTGTATTTTATAGACATAATTGACAGTAGTCATCTGATATTCCAGGAAAACATTTTCACATCCTATAAAGTCTCAAAGGATTTTAATAAAGGAGAGGAAGAGCTCAGGAGAGCATCAGACACAATGATATGTATACAGATGGCTCCAAAACAAACGAAGGAACCGATCGGATATTTTTTGTACAAACCCAAGATATAAGCAATCAAACACATTAGGGAAGTACACTTCGGTTTCAATTTTCAGGCAGAAATACAAGCAATCAACGCTTGTGCCCTAGAAAATCTTGAAAGAGGTTACACTGGGAAAAAATCCTCATAAGATCTGATAGCCAAGCAGCTATTAAAGCATTAGCATGTAAACAAATTACATCAAAATTAGTCAGTGAAAGCATCCAAAATCTCCAAAGCCTGGAGAAACAACAACCTGATGAAATCTCGGGTGCCCGGGCACAGAGGAAATTTGAGTAATGAAAAAGCAGGCACACTGGCCAGAGCGGGATCTGCAAGACCATACATAGGTCCTGAACCTATACTTAGAATGACAAAAACAAATATAGGATCGTCCATCGCAGAATGGATCCAAACAAAACAAAAGGATAAGTGGATAAACTCTAGCGGTGCTAGACACTGTAAACTTATGTTGAAACAACCCTCACCGAGACTGAAAAAATCACTGCTGCAATTGGAGAGGGGTAGACTCAGGGGATTGGTAGGACTACTAGCCAAACTCTCATCTTCGAATGCGAAGCAATGACTCAATGGAGATTTAATCTAACATAGAAAAAAAATCAAGGGAATGAAATTGTACCAGCAACAGTCAGTGACCTAATACTTCTGAGAAGAAGGATTGAGTTGATTGCACTGAACTAGGGAACTAGGAAGGTACAACAAACCAGAAAGCTGTTGGATGTATATATCCCTGTGTTTATTAAGATGGTATTTTTTTACAATGGATACCAGGAACTGGAGGAGTTCCCTCCTGAGCACTGCAGCTGTACAGCTTATTGTACTTTATCCCTGGCTCCATTTTTTGGGGGCTCGCAACACAAGTGTGAATTTGAGCCTCCAGTGTGCCGGTGTTCTTCCATCGAAGAAACTCATTTTTGAAGGGGGTCGGGACCAAATTCAGGGTCGCTGAGATCTGATCCCACTCCTTCTATTGATGAGTGCCGTGTCAATTTCTTTCAATTGCGGCCACCGGTCTCCTTAGGCATCAGAAAAAGTCCAGAGGCGACGGTAGGGATTGAAGTTTGAACCCACGACCGCGGGATCGACTAGCCGAGAGTCTGACGCCTTAACCACTCAGCCCCCCAAGATGGTATTTAATTGGAGCATATCCTGTAAATAAATATACAAGTTAGAGATTTTAATTCCTTTCTATTGAGCAGGCCTCTTTGTCCCCTTAGATTGTTTTTGCTCTACTAATGCCCAGTTTAGGATTTCAGTATTTAATCTGTCTTAATCACCTAAGCTTCCAGTTCTGTTTTAATGTGGCTGGTAAATGGAAAAAAATGGATATGGGGTTTTGTCTGAGGTTTTTAAAAAAAAGTATAACTGCTGCCTCATAACCAGAGACCCGCTTTAGTATTAGGCTATTTGTAGATCCCAGTTTTTTAGGGTATTTAAGCAGTTCAAGACGAATTTTGGGTTGATCTCGTAGTCTTGGAGAAACTTTAGATCTGCCTGGTCATCTGAAAGAATTATTGTTGTACCGTGAGTTGGTTTAACTACTATGATGAAAACTTTAGATCTGAAACCAATGAAAATTGCGTTATAGTAAAATTTTCGAAATTTGAAAATCTTTGAACTGTTGACAGTTTTTATAAGTGAAAACTGATAGTTTATAGAAAATTGTTAAAAAATAAAAGTTTACATGAAACAAGTTTTCGAAAGGAAGAATTTGTGTCGCTGAATTTCGTCTTTGTCGTACCGGTTGATAGGCGATGCGCTAGGGCGCGAAACTGTAGCTCTAAAGTATAATAAATTGTATTTTGTAGCTTCCAATGTTTACAATAAAGATAATAAAACTGCCGTCAGATTATTTACCAACTGTGAAATAGTGGATGTAGTTTAATCATAAATGTAACTGAAAGTGAAAAATCCATTGGGCATTGCTTGACATTTCCGAAATTACGTTGTAGTGCTTGAGACGCCATTTTTGTTCTCGTTCGTCGGGGACTTGGGATCAGTTCCGTAAGTGCGGGAATAAGTGTTTTTTTTTGTGTTTTTAGGTCGTTTGAAATATTTCACCGATGTCAGCCTAGAGTGCGTGTATTTAATTTAATGAGGAGCAATTCGAAGTCGAGAGAGATGAAAAGAAGAAGTTCGAGCAGGGATTCTCCACCCTTGAGGAGTAAACGTTCTAGATCGAGCATCGGCCGATACGAGGGCAGTTCCGACGAAAGGGTGACGCCGGACCGTTTGAGGCGGAGGAGTAGAGTGAGGAGTCGGACTCCGAGGAGGTACATCTCTCCTCCGTCTCACAGGGACAGAGACAGGGAAAGGGAAAGAGACAGGGACAGGAGCGATTACAGCAGATCGAGGGACGTTGACCGTTCCTATCCGAATTACAAGGTTTTATGCGTCAGTGCCCTTCATCCGAAGGCGAGTGATGATGTTATAAAAGAGACCCTTTACAGGGAGTACAAAAAGTTCGGGGACTTGACGATCCGTATATCGCACGAGTTAGACGATCGTGTTGCTTACGTGTGCTTCAGAAATTCCGAAGATGCTCGCGACGCGAAGAGGAGCAAACCTAGGATAATTCTGTTCGACAAGTCGGCTCTTGTCGAGCCCGTCTACGAAAGCAGGAGCTCCGAGTACCATCCGCGAAGCAGGACCAGGTCGAGGAGCATCACTCCAGATATCCACCATTATTATCGCTCCCCGGAGCACAGGAACCCTCCAGATCGTTACGACAGGATGTATGCTCCGCCCCCGATGCCGTACAGAGATTACAGGCACGATGTACCACCTATTCACCACGACTTCATCAGAGGGCCTCCGATGCACCATTTGCCACCGCATATGCCTCCGGGGCCTCCGCACCACTACGGGCCCCCGAGGCACATAATGCACTCTTTCCGACCGCCTCCTCCTCACCTCGATCACAAAGTTGAAAACAAGAAGGATAAGTTTCCAAATTATCTCCACCACGTCCCACCAGAGGATGATCCACTTGCGACGAGGACCTTGTTCGCGGGCAACCTCGAGGTGAACATATCCGACGAAGAACTGCGAAGGATTTTCGGCCGTTACGGCATTGTCGAGGACATTGACATCAAGCGGCCTCTCCCCGGGACAGGCAATGCTTATGCCTTCGTACGTTATCAAAATCTCGATATGGCCCACAGATCGAAAGTCGAATTGTCCGGTCAATATATCGGTAAATTTCAGTGTAAAATCGGTTATGGGAAAGCCACTCCGACCACTAGAATTTGGGTCGGGGGTCTCGGCTCTTGGACTTCGTTGTCTCAACTCGAGAGGGAGTTCGACAGGTTTGGCGCTATTAAAAAGATAGATTATATAAAAGGTGATACCCAAGCTTATATTCTGTATGATTCAATTGATGCCGCAACGGCTGCTGTTAAAGAGATGAGGGGATTTCCTCTCGGTGGGCCTGAACACAAATTACGGGTAGATTTTGCCGATGTCAATCCTGTGCCTCCAATGAAGCCCAAACCCCTACCCGGTGAAGAGATAGGAGGTGACTTCCGAGCCCGAGACGCCTATTCATACATGGATCCTCACTATGAATCATGGGCCGAGGGAGAGTATTACAGAGGCTATCGAGGTAGAGGCGGCGGTTGGGAAGGGACAAATAGACGCGGTGGCAGAGGGGCGTACAGGGGTTACTCTGATGAAGAGTGGAGACGTTCCGATGAATACGAAAGGTATAAGAGATCTTCCACAGAAAGGTCGCCCAGGGCTCGTTCAGTCGATTCTGACGACCTTTCTTCTATTCGCAATCTGTCCGATCTCGCTAAAAAATCATCAACGACATGGAACGGAGCACTTATCCTAAAGAATTCGCTTTTCCCTGCGAAATGCCATTTGACAGACGGAGACGCTGAGATAATAGACATTCTCATGAAAGACGAAGAGAACAAACCTCTGCTCCGTATCACCCAGCGTCTTCGCCTTGACCAGCCGAAGCTCGATGACGTTTCAAAACGGATATCCGGTTCTTCCTCGCACGCGATTTTCCTCGGCCTTACCGGCTCTAACACAGTCAGTTCCGTCAGTACTGACACGACAGTTCAAACCAGGCCTCTTCGCAACCTGGTTTCTTACCTCAAACAGAAAGAAGCAGCTGGAGTGATTTCCCTCGTGAACAAAGACACAGAAGTAACCGGCGTACTTTATGCATTTCCGCCTTGCCAGTTCTCAGCTGATCTTCTCAAAAGAACTGCCCATGGCCTTTCTCAAGAAGCGTTAAAAGATGATCATTTAGTCATTGTAGTAGTGCGTGGAGGGACTGCTTAAATTTGTGTCGAAACATTGACATATCTTATAATTTTATTGATTGATATAAAAAAGTGAATTAGTGTATATAATATTATATATTAGTTATATGTTTATATTCTTTATTTTATTTTATAATTTTTTTTCTTTTAATTTTATCTTAAGCCGACCACAGTTCAATTTTTCAGACAAAGGAAATTTAATTATATATACATATATAATTTTTTTATGATTAAATTTATAAAAATTGTGGTTTCTGGTTTATAGATAATATTTAAGTAATTTTTGTATTGTAGTATAAACCAAGAAAAGTGTTAAATTAAGTGATAGTGTAAAAGTGCAGTTATTTTACCATCTACAACTTATACAATTTTTTTTTCTTAATCAATTTTTTTTTATCAAGTATAAATTCAACGTGAAAAAAGATGATTTTGCTAAACACAAATATGTGCTAAGTGAGTTAAAAAGGTGCGGTGTGGTAAATTTGTGAAATTTTAGAGAAAATAGATGGCTATGCTTTAATCAGTTGTGTTCTTTACAAAAGTTATCCTTTAAAATGTGTGGTTAGTGTATTAGTGAGTTTTTATTTCTCAACAATTCTTCCTTTATTTAAAAAAGAGAAATTCGCTGTGTACAAAAATCGGTCTTTCAGTAAAAAAAAGAAAATCGGAATAAGGGGAGGGTGGGAAGATTATTATAAATAGTGGGAGTTCTGTGCATGTGTCATGTTGTGCTGTGGGTGATGAAAAATGATGAATTCGAAAAAAAAAATCAAAAAGAGAAAAAATACCTTGAGAAAAATTGAAGAAAAAAAGTTCAATTTTTTATACGCAATGGAAATTATTTTGTGAAGTTAGTGCAATTTTGTGTTAAAAGTGAATAAAATCAGGTTTTAACAAGAAAAAAAAAGGGATAAAAGAAAAAATATATATATTAAAAAAACCAATGTGAAGAGGTGGTATTAAAAAAGTTCAAAAAAATACATATATTAAAAAAGTAGTTTGTGGATGTGCGCTTGGATTTTGTGGGTACCACTTTTCCTCGGAGTTCGTATGTGTCGGCGCGGTTCAAATTCCCATCTAGAGTCGTTTTAGATTCCTGCGGGTTTGCATTTGTTTCACTAAACTGTATTGATGAAATAAATACAATTATTTTTATTTATTTTTCTTTAAAACCAGTTGAATTTTTTTCCCCTAAGGGTGTTCAAACAATTTTTACTTTGTTGCACATAAATTCTGTTTCAGCATTATTTTTCTGTAATGACAGCTGAAACAAGATTCAATTCACTAATTGGTATATTAGTGGATATTAAAAAATGATATAATAGAATTATTTACACTGTTAACTATTTAATACCATGATAAATTATAGTTAAACAGTTATTTGCCAACCAAAATATCCAGCCATGAAAGATTTATAAAAGTTTAGGTTTTTAGATATTTATTGATACAAGGTGACTTAAAACTTTTTATACTAAAAAAAAAATTATATGCCTACTTCAGGAAAATATGTATTTTCTTATATTATAAACACTAAATACAACAAACTTCATAAATATTTTGATACAATAATTTACAATTTGTACTAATGGTGTTTTCCATTTTATTTATGGTTATTTACCCAGGGAAAAAGGATTTTTATTTTCTATTCTATCCTGTATTCTGTGTTGTATTAATTAAATTAAAACAGTATCAATAAGCAATTATAAAAGCAAAAATTACTAATACTATCTTATGTTCATGTATTGTATAAAGATATCCTTGGATGTATTAGTAGGATTTAGTAATGTAATTTTTTTCCAATAGTACATACTTTTATTTATTCGCATTAAGCCTCCTCTTTAGTACATTTGGCATCTACTGATGATTCATTCATTGAAAATGTATTGTGGAGGCTTGAAGTTCCTCGAAAGGCATATAAATACAAAAATATGCAATGCTGGAAAAGCTTAAAAAATCACATGAAGAGATCTAAGAAGAATTGCGCAATAAATGATAATAATCCATATATGTTTAGCGGTCATAATTGACTGTATTAATTATTTCAATTAATTATTCTTTTTATCTAAGGTCTTGAAAAGTCAGGGCCTCAAGCGGGATGACCAAGACCTTAGATAAAAAGACTAATTGATATGGTCAATTATGACCACTAAACATAAATGTTTTAATATAATAATTAAATATTAATCTCCATTTATATTTTTAGTGGTCAATTGACAAAGTTACTTCTTTTAATTAATTATTCTTTTTATATAAAGTCTTGGTGGTGATAAAAAAGTCAGTGTCATGAGTGGGATTCGAACCCACGGCCTTCGGCTCAATACGCCACTGCTCTCCCACTTGAGCTATCATGACTTAGAAGTATCAATCAATAACTGAATTGGTTGAGCAGCGGCGAATTTAGCCAAAGGTCGTGGGTTCGAATCCTGCTCGTGACCGACTTTTTAATCTCAACCAAGATCTTACATAAAAAGAATAATTAATTGAAATAATACAATCACTTCGCTAACAGCTCCTCTTGGCCATTTCATAAGTCGCTGAGAATCCAATCCTGATTACATGACATTTGAAAAATAGCAAAAAGAAAGAAAATTAGGAAAGTTCAAAAAGGTGTGGTTGAGATGAGCAGATGGAGTCTGAGTGGATCGTCACCACAGCTCAAGCGGTTAGAGAAGCGGTGTATTGAGCAGAAGGTCATGAGTTCGAATCCCACGTGTAACAATGACTTTTTTCATCTCAACCAAAACCTTACATAAAAAGAATAATTAATTGAAGTAAATAATAATTTTAGCTCTGATGGATACAAGATTGAATTTTTTATGAAAATTAATCAACATTCTTTTAAACTTACTAGTTTCGTGGTCCGCTTGACCAATTAATATCTTACAATTAATTAAGGTTTTTCAGTTGAGATAAGAAAGTCAATGGCACTTGAGCTTCGTGACCTCGATCCACTTGGACGCCAACTTCCCATCTCAACCACACCTTTTTGAATTTTCCCTCCTTTTTGCCATTTTTCAAATGTCGTGTAATCCATTCGATTCTCGGCGACAAATGAAATGGCAATGGAGAGCTTTAGTGAAGGTATACTTCATTTTAAACTTATTAAATTCACTAGTTTCATGGTCCGCTTGACCAATTAATATCTCGGTTGACTTTTTTGGAGGTTGGTGTCCGAGTGGATCGATAGCTCAAGTGGTAGAGCAGCAGCATATCAAGCCGAAGATTGTGAGTTCGAATCCCGCTCGTGCCATTGACTTAAATATCTCAACTGAAAACCTTAATTAATTCTTTTAACTTAAGATTAATTGTATTAAAGGCATGATTAATATTTGGTGAAATGTTTCCTTTCAGCTAGGTATGAGGAAGTTTATCTATGTTTTGTGACAATTTTTATCATTCACTTGAGAACACGATTTTTTAAGCTATGATTATGATTTGAAATAGATGGTGTTTTGGGGATGAAATGTTGGCACAAGAGAAATGATTCTTCAAGCTGTGCTTCAGATTTTGAGATGACCAATTTTTCTTGAACCTATGCTAAAGTTTTTGGGAAAATGATCATGATTTCTTCAAGCTTTGTCATAGGCTTAAGAACTTATTTTATTTAACTTCTTAACTTTATCTTAAGATTAATTGTATTGAAGGTATGATTAATATTTGGTGAAATGTTTCCTTTCAGCTAGGTTGTATATATGAGGAAATTTTCCCTATGTTTTGTGACAATTTTTAACATACACTCAAGAACTCAAGATTCTTTAAGCTATGATTATGACTTGAAATAGATGGTGTTTTTGGGATAAAATGTTGACAAATGAGAAATGATTCTTCAAGTTCAGCTTCAGATTTTGAGATGATCAATTTTTCTTGAACCTATACTAAAGTTTTTGGGAAAGCGATCATGATTTAAAAATTGAGAAAATAGATTATATTAATTTATTCAAGCTGGAAGAGTTGAGAAAAATCAATCATGATACGTGGTGATTGATTGATGATGATGATCCTCATCTGGCTATGATGGAGATGAGGATTCAATTTTTTGGGGGAAATGATTATTAACAATTCCTTGAAACTATGATACACGTTTGGGGGGTGAGTCAATGATCATGATTATCTGAAGCTATGTCATAGGGTTTTGGGAAAGTGATTATGTCTTGAAGCTTTGCCACAGACTTGAGAACTGATTCTTTAAGTTATGATCAATATTAGGTGAAATTTATAAAGATTTTGGGATATGTTAACGATTGATTGATTCGTCGTGCTATGCTACATATTTGGGGGTTGATCACAATTTGCTCAAACTGCGGCAGTTTTTGGCACAGTGGTCATGATTTCATGAAACTTCAGTTGAAATTTGGGTCAATTGGTTATGAGTAAACTGATGAAGAATCTTTGATACTTGAAGCCAAAGATAAAAAGGCAATGGTGATTATTTTTAAAGAGCTTTGTGCTTCATACTTTACTTCAAGAGCCTTAAATTTATTATATGATAAAGTCTTGAGAAGAGTTTTTCAATCTTTATTTTCTTTATTAAAACATTGAATTAAATATAATTAGAAAAAGAAACAGTTTAACTTTAAAAATTAAAAATATAAATTACTTATACATGTTACATACTTCAAAGAAATTTTCCTTTTAAAAAAATTTAAAATTTCTGTATAAAGTGATTATGAAGATCATGCTACCTCCATGTTACGTCTACATCGTCAGTCCTGTACCTAAACATAACATTTCCATATAATCAACAATCTTTTTAACCTTCAAAATCTTACCTTTGCGTGCAAAACGTTTCATCCCATGGGGTCCCCTTGTTCCCCTGGCTCGTATAAATGAGGGCACCGGCGTGTGCAATCATAGCGCCGTTGTCAATACAGTATCTTTCATCCGTTGCATACACTTTGGCACCTCTCTGTTCGCACATGGCGCCCATCATTTCCTGTAGCCTCACATTGCAAGCGACACCCCCGACCAAAAGTACTTCCTCGGATTTACAATGTGCCATAGCCCTTTCTAAAATGAAACAGGGTTTCGTAATAATCACGATACGTCTACAATAAAAATAAATCAAAATAAAATACCCGTAGTTTCGACAAGCATGGCAAAAACAGTTTCTTGGAGCGAAAAGCATAAGTCTTCGATTGTGAATTCTTTGCTTTTGAGCAGACTAGGAGCTTTTTCTTCAATGTAAGATAAGATACCTGAAATTAAACCAGATTTTATTTCTGTCTTTAAATTTAAACATAATTTTTTTTATAAGAATTAAAATTTTCAAACCTGAAAAAGACACATCCATTCCTTTTACAACATAGGGTAGCTGTAAGAATTTTTTCCCCCTGTGACAAAAGAATTCAAAATATAAATTTACAGATTCTGGATATAAAGGAGAAATTTTTTATTACTTTTTAGCACATTGCTCGATGTTATATCCTGGGCTGGGATCGTTCGATAGATTTACAACTCTAGCGAATCTATCTAAACAATTTCCAACTGCGATATCAATTGTCTCACCGAAGATGCGATATTTTTTCCTTCCGTATGCAATGACCTGTGTGTTGCCACCGCTGACATACAGTACGATTGGATTGTCGCTCTTTGTTATCACTCTTCCCATTTCAATATCTTCACATATTTAAGGAATCGGCGGAAATTGAAATAGAGAAAAATATTTTCATAGGAAAAAAAGGATACGTCCAATGCAGTGATTTACAGCAATGATTGGTTTATTCCACACTAATGCTACGGTCCTTGCGACCACGGCTACGGAAACCAATGGTGCGCCCATGCCGGGGCCTTTAGTGTAACAAACTATGTCTACATCTCTACCTCGTAATCCTGCCTTGTCTAGGGCCTCTTTTAAAAGGTATAAAATGTTCTGCCTATGATGAAGAGCCGTCTCTTTTGGGAGAAAACCTTAAAAATAAAAATAAAAATAAATTATTGCACATAAATCATGATCCACTGAAGTGACTACTCCTAGCAGTTGACAATTGCTTATAAATGTTTAAGGTAATTGATAATGTGTGGTGTTTAGTGACCGTTAGTTAATGATTATTCAGAGATCATGAGATGCAGTCTGGTGTGATGTAGGTTTTAGAAAAACATTTTCTTTATAGTGCCAATGTTTCGATCTTTATTGAGATCATCTTCAGGGCCTGGGATTTATAAACATTATATAAATTTTACAAATACATGTAGGATGTGAAAAAAATGAATTTATACAATGCTAGAAAATTTTAGATAAAAAAAAAATGAATTTGTACAATGCTAGAAAATTTTAGATTAAAAAAAAATGAATTTATACAATGCTAGAAAATTTTAGATTAAAAAAAAATTATAGTGCTAGAAAATTTTAGATTTAAAAAAAATTATAGTGCTAGAAAATTTTAGATTTAAAAAATTTAATCTACAATTTTCTAGCATTGTATAAATTAATTTTTTGTAAATCTAAAATTTCTAATGTATAAATTACAATTAATTAAGGTTTTTAGTTGAGATAATTGTAATATATTAATTGGTCAAGTGGACCACGAAATTAGTGAATTGTATAAATTCTTTTTTTTTTTTAAATCACATTACATTACATGTATTTATAAAATTTAAATAATGTTTATAAATCCCAGGTCCTGAAGATGATCTCAATAAAGATAAAACTTTGGCATGATAAAGAAATGTTTTTCTAAAACCTACGTCACACCAAACAGCATCTCACGATCTCCGAATAATCAGTAATTAATAATTACAATTAATTGGTCAAGCGGACCACAAAATTAGTGATTGTAATTAATAATGATTTCTTTAATATTAGGGAAATTGATTATGACTTCCGAAAGTTATGTGATCATGATCGGGTGAAGACATAACAACAACAGCTATCTACTCAGGTAACTAGGCAGCACTGAGGGTAATGACCACATCGGTGGTAAAGTCCCCAGAGTCATTTCAGCCCTGTCAGACATTGGGGGAAAACAACAAAATTACCCTTGTCTTGGTACCAGGACCTACATGGATATTAAAAGGCTGATAAACTTACTAATGTCTTAGTTCGATGAGGCTATTTGCCCTGAAGCCTCTTGTGGCACACTAAACTGCCAAAAATGTGGATCCATCAGACAATCGGACTGGATTAAAAATAAGTCCTCCATTCGATGGAAATGTAGCCCACGAAAAAAGTTGATCAAAGTATCGTTGCAGAAACTAACAACAGAACTACTAAATCTTGGACACGTGAGGACTAGAAGATCAGTCGGACTGCTAACTGGAACTGTAGACTCCAGAGGTATATGTATAGACTCGGAGGGGCAGAACCAAGCCTGTGCAGATATTGCCAGGTAGAAGGAACATGTCCTCTGAAGTTAAGAAGGCTTATGTAGGCTTAGATTCGTACTTCTTGGAGAGGAAAAGCCAGGGCCTGAAAGATGAACACCGGAGTCCTTGAAAAAGCTTTGCAACCTGATAAAAAGCCTTAAGTTTAATAAGAAGAGCTCTAGACAAGAAAGGGGATGCACTGTAAAGTTGATAGTTGTAGAGAATAGGCTGTAACTGTTGTAATTAATAGTTGGAAAAATAAATAAAGGGGCAAGACTTGCAGGGGTAGAGGGGAAGGCTGACTCGTCAGCGAAAAGGGTAGCCACAAGTCAGTCTGGTACAAGAGTGAGATGTGCAATCTGCTCTGCCTGTCTAGGTGAGTCCCTCTGCAGATCAATCTAATTTATTCATTATGCAACCCTCCAAAATTCGGTAATAGCCAACACTGTTTGCAGCGTGCAGGTCATAAAGACGCTGGCTTCTATTTTAATCTGATCTACTTAAGTTATGCTTTTTACTCTATGACTGCACGGTCAGTTGGATATACCTTGCCCAGGCGGTGTAATATAAGTGCGCCTACAGTTTGACAATACACAGCCGTCTTTCACAACGCCGATTCCTAATTTGTTGGCGCTTCCTTCGAATCCGATTGATATCACCATTGTGTTCGCTGCTTTCCCCCTTACAAACACCCTGGAAACCAATATTAAAAATCAGGTTGTGATCGAATTGAATATTGAATAGTTGAAAATACCATAAACAAGTCAAGAAGCAGATAAGGACTTGCATAAAATACAAAATTCAAACATTTACACTGCAGTTTTCACAATTTTAGCAATAATTATATAATGAACCAATGATTTTTTATTTTTTCATTTTGTCCTCAATAGTTAAAGTTATTAGATTGATTGTTTCTTGAAGACTTGCCTGTGTTGTTGTCTGTTTTGTTGGTCTACAGATAAGACAAGCGTGCTTTATAGTCCTACGAGATAGGTAATTTAATGGTTACCTTGTTCATACAACAGATTTCTGTTGGGTCGGACTTAACGAATAAACTATAAAATCAAACCAAATACGATGGTGATTTATGACAGAAATGTTCTTGTTGTAAGGCATTTGCCTCAAGAACTGACAAAAGAGGCCAAAATCGACCTTCTCAAATTTTTAGGAGCTTCAGAGGTCAAATGTCTTAGTTCAGAAAATAAGAAATCGAGCTTGGTGTTCGCGAAGTGAGTATTATTTAATAATACATTTTTACAAATGCCTCCAGCAACTTTTACTACTTAACAAACGTTTATTTCGTTTTATTTGTGAGATATGTATGAGAAACTTGGGCCAAGTTCAAAATTGTCACTGGAGTGTTCGAAGAATGAAGAATTCACTTATTTATTCAGATCTGTAGCTACGGTAGACCGACGCTTCTCTATAATTTGATAGTTCCTTGCTGCTTCCAGGTCCTTGCTGATTTTGTCTGCCAGGCGCGTTCAGCTTTTGCCATCTTTGAGTCTGGATGGTTGCTGTGGAGTCGTTTCGGTTACGAGGCCCTGGATGAGGGGGGGGGTTGTGTCATCATGATTCAAGGATTAAATTTTTTTTATCGTTCCAATTGGTTGACACCACAGAAATCCCAGACAACACTTAACATGGCGAAATGCATCTGACAGATAAAATCAATGAAGATGGGCAGGCCAAGTTAGTAGGTAACTCAATTTAACACGCTCATCACTCTGCAGACCACAGGAGGAAATTTTACAATTTAACACTTATAGTTCTGTTTTCACCATGGTTGTACTGTAAGTCTCAAACTAACTTTTTTATTTCTTTGCAGAATCATGGTCTGTGTTCATAGGCACTGCTTTCAGATCTCTTTTGAAACTGTTATACATTCTGAATATTTCTTTCTAAAATTTTGCAAGGTTGTTTGGATTGTTTGGAAAGTAAGATATAGCCTGTGTATAGTTTTTCACTAAGCCTTCAGCTTTAAAATATGTCTTAAAGTTTCATCAGCAGTTTAGCGACTCATTTTCTGCATTTCTTTTGTTTTATGGGGTCCAGGGTCCTGATTTGAGACGCTGATGATATTGATATTCAGTGCAGCAGTCTATAGATCTGATTTTTGCTTAAGGGGTTTTGATAGATTGTATCATTCTTGACAAAGAGTTTTTGAGCTGATGATATTTGAATTTGTACCTTCATGCTGCTTGGCTGTCTGACAATCTAGTGTTGATATTTAACTATAAACCTTTAAATTAAAATTTAAATATTCATTAATTCAAATATTTCAGGTTCGACAAAGAAGGACATGCCGAAGCCGTTCTCAAAATGCTTCATCAAAAAGATTTATTAGGGCAATTGATATCTGTCGAATTTGCAAGAGGGAAAGAGGTGGTCGGCGATGGCCAAACGATAAAGGAAAGGTATTTCTTTGCAATCTTAAAAAAAAAAAAAAAAAAAAAAAAATGATTATTTGCTTTCCTTTCCAGCGATGGTATTGAGAAAAACGATGAGAAAACTATGCAGAGAAAATTGTTGGAAAGTTTCCAGACGAAGTTGAATTCATGGATAAACACTGTCGATTTGACGTTGCCACCTCCTGTTCACCTGAGATATTCTTATCCCCCTCCACAATTATACGTTATGAAGAATATTTGCAAAGCGTTATCCAAGGTGATTTTTTTTTTCCAAAAAGATAGTGAAATAACCAGATGGTGAAAATTATGAATGTTATTTCCTTCTAGGTGCCAAAGTTTTACACACAAGTTCTTCATTTAATGAATAAAATGAACCTACCGTGCCCTTTTGTCGAAAACTATGTTATTCAAGATGATACAATGGATCTGATTGGAAATGAGATTCAGCCTGAAAGCTCAGAAGAATCTGAACTTGAAAGTGATGGGGATGACCAAACCGCCAACACTGTCAACATACAGAAACCAACCAGTCTTCACAATAAACCGAAAATCAAACGGCCGAGGAAGTTGATCACTCCCGTAATGCCGAAAAAATCTAAATTCGATCCGAAAATAACACCGGATCAAGTTTTTGACATTGTAAGCATGTCGAAGAAGAACATCAAACTGCACATTCCTGCCAATATATCTTCAGGAAATGAAAATGAGATTGGCAATGTTGAAATGAAAGAAGATGAAAATAAACTCTCTGAAACGGTTGAAACAGAAGTTACAGATATTCACAAAGAAACAGATTTAAATAGAGTAATTACCGAAGAAGAACTAGCAATCAATCGTGTTCCAGCTAAAGGTAAACAAAGTATATTTGTCTGTGAGATTTTTCCATTAATTAATTATATGCATTTTTTTTAGATTTCCATCTTCTGCCTGTTTTTAAAAATTATCAACCAGGATTACCGTCGTCTCGGCTATACTTGAAAAACCTAGCAAAGACTGTTCAAGAGTCAGATTTGAATTTTATTTTTAAAAGATACGTTACAGACGATCAAGAAATACAAGAAAGCCTGTAAGTTTATTTATTTTATTTTCCTTACTTATAAACAATTGAATTTTTAAGTTTTAAACTTGATTTAATTTTTTTAGGTTTGACATTAAACTAATGCAAGAAGGAAGAATGAAAGGGCAAGCTTTCATCATGCTACAAAGCACAGCCTTAGCAGAGAAAGCTTTAAAGGAAACAAACGGTTTTATGCTTAAAGGAAAGCCTATCGTAGTGCAATATGCAAAATCACAAAAACCAAAATGAATTATGTAAATATACCTATTTTTATATACATATATGTTATTTATTGTTTTTACATTGATTTTTTTGTGGGGGAGGGGGAGGTTATGGTATTACATTATCCATGTATTTTTTTAACCACCATAAGCGAGGCAAGAGAATTTTAAATAATTTGTACTGTAATTTGATTTTGCAAATAATATTTTTGTGTCTAATATTACACTGTGAAACATGGAAATTAGTAAATTGATTAAATGTGGACAATCAATCTTTTTTGTAAGTAAATATAGGTTGGTATTTTGCCATCTTGTATTAGTGGTTGCAGTTCTGCGGATTCCATAATCAGTTTGTACGGTGTGTTCAAGTATGTTCTAGTACTTTTAAACTACAGAGTGCGAATAAATCGTCGCTGTACATTTTCTATTGAATTATTTAATATTTTCTGTTGTGGTGACCAAACAACTGTATTCTAAAATGGGTTGGACCATTTTAGACCCATAGCCTTAAACTCATTGTTTCTGCAGCCTTAACATTTTTTGTAGTTCTATGTAAATTCTAAAATTGGGTAGTCATTGAAACATTTTTTGATATTCTACCCCTTGTACTCAAGGTGCCAAAATACGAACCAAAAGAATGTTTAAAAAAAATTATTAATACATAACCAGGCTTGAAATTTCTGAATGGGACAACTTGGGTAAAGACAAAGCAGTGAGGCTTAAAAAATGGCAAACATCATAGATATAAAATATAACCTTATGATTTTTTAAAGTTTTTTAATGTTTTGATTTAATTAATTAATGTATAAAAAGAATTGGATTATATTTAATTTTGTCGAATAATCCAAGAGTGTGCTGTTAAAAATAGGGTGGTGTTATTGGTATCGTATACAAATAATAGGTTTTACGAGTGATAGGTACAAATTTTAATTCCCAGCAGTTGCAAATGTAAAACAGTACATTCCAGGCTTTATATACTATCTTTGATCGTATTCTTTGAGTATACCATGATTTTTTTTTCCAATTTGCAAATAAGAAAAGAAAAATCATGAACCGACATACAATTTAGATAAGCAATAAAAAATGTTCCCAGGAATTATTAATGTAAAAGGGAAAAGAGGTCTTGACAAATATGCAGATGCATAAATCAGTTTTGTTTAATAAAAAAAAAAAAAAAAAAAAAAGTATTTATCTCAATATGAAAATAAAATCTTAAGAGAAATCATTTCTCTGATGATATGTTAACCTTATTTAAAAAAAAATAATAATAATAATAAAAAATGCCCCCAAATCTGTTCATTCATTTAATTAATTAATTTATATAATTAAATTAATGAATTTTTTATACATTTTCTATTTTGTTAAGTCATACAAAAGTCCTTTATTATAATTATTTTAATAATTATTTTTTTAAACATAATGAGTTATTTGAAGTAACCGAAAAAAGTCTTCAGAAAGTATCAAGGGGCCAAAGGAATATGCTAAAATATTATTGAAATTTCTCAATGGTACATCTTGGACAAAATCAAAGCAGTGAGGCTTTAAAAAAATTGATGAGAAACATCAGGATATAAAATATAATCATGATTTTTTAGTGCTTTTTTAAAACTTAATTAACGAATAGACAGAATCGGTTATTATTTTTTAAACATAATGAGTTATTTGAAGTAACTGAAAAAAGTCCTTAGAAAGTATCAAGGTACTAAAGGAAGATGCTAAAATATCACATAATCTCAATGGTACATCCTGGACAAAGTCAAAGCAGTGAGGCTTAACAAAATAATGAGAAACATCAGGATATAAAATATAATCATGATTTTTTGGTGTTTTTTTAAACTTAATTAATGTATAGAAATACTAGGAAATTATCATTTAAACATAATGAGTTATTTGAAGTAACTAAAAAAGTCCTTAGAAGCATCAAGGGGCCAAGGAAGATGCTAAAATATCAGAAATTTCTCAATGGTATATCTTGGACAAAGTCAAAGCAGTGAGGCTTAAAAAAATTAATGAGAAACATCAGGGAATAATATAATGATGATTTTTTTTAAATGCTTTCTTTAAACTTAATTAATGTATAGAAAGAATCGGAAATTATTATTTAAACATAACGAGTTATTTGAAATAACTGAAAAAGCCCTTAGAAAGTATCAAGGGCCAAAGGAAGATGCAAAAATATCACAGAAATTTCTCGATGGTACATAAAAAAAATTAATGGGATATTACATCAGGATTCTATATCCTGATATTAAATATAATCTTATGATTTTTTTAAGTTTTTTTGTTTTAACTTAAATAATGCGTAGAAAGAATCAGAATATATTTGTTTTGTCTGTTATTAATAGGGTCGTGTAATTGATATCGTACACGACCAATAGGTTTCAGGTCAATTGACGCGTAGTGCAAAGTCGTGCCACCAGCCCCAAGATGATTATTGACTTTCCGCCGAGGCCCCAATGAGCTTGGGTTTTGTCCCAGCGTCGTTTTTCGATTTTTCAAATGGATTTTGGGCCGGAAAAAAAAATTAAAAAATCCTAGTAGAGAAAAAACTCGACCTTGTCATGGTATTAAGTTTAATTATTAGATTTTTAATAAAAATAAATAAATTGCTGGATGACGTGGTGTCGTGCGCGCGCATAGATGGTAAAAAAGGTTTCCGCCCACTTTACCCTTCTTGCTTCTGGTTTCGACCAAAACTCGATTTGTTTGCTTATTGTAACCTATTGGGTTGCCCTCTGTTTTGTACTTTGCAAGAGATTTACAACTGAAAGAATAGGGATTGACAATCGGTTAGTTTAGAGAGTGGTTTTTATTTTTTTATTTTTTATTTTCGCCTTGTGGAAGTGTTTTGTTTACTTCAGGCGGAAAACAAGATGAACACGATGGAAGTTTCACCGCAGCAGAACGGTTCGATACAGTCGGATTCCTCCGGGGACGAAAAAAAGACGAATTTGATCGTTAACTATCTGCCCCAGAACATGACCCAAGACGAGATGAGGGACTTTTTCGCGTCTATCGGGGCCGTGGAGAGCTGCAGGCTGATGAGGGACAAGGTGGGCGGTTTTAGCCTGGGCTATGGCTTCGTCAACTATTTCAGAGCAGAGGATGCAGAAAGCGCCATCAACAGGCTGAACGGGTTGAGGCTGCAGAATAAGACGGTGAAGGTATCATACGCCCGGCCGAGCTGCGATGCCATCAAGGGTGCCAATCTGTACATATCCAGGCTGCCTAACAACATGACCCAGGAGGAGCTGTACAAGATGTTCTCACCGTATGGAAAGATAATTACGCATAGGCTTCTTGCTAACAACAACGGCGAGCTGTCACCCGGGGGCGACAAGGAGGCGAAAGGCGTCGGTTTCATACGCTACGACCAGAGGGTCGAGGCGATGAAAGCCATAGAGGAACTCAACGGTTCCGTTCCGAAAGGTTGTTCCACCCCAATAACCGTCAAATTCGCTAACAACACCAATCGGGCGCAGCAGTCCGCCTCTGCCAGGCACTTTGGCCCGATACACCACGCTTCAGGAAAGACGATGATGACCATGAACAAAAACTTTCAGAGGTTTTCACCGATGGGCGACCCCCCCATGATACCACAGAGGAATTCCACCAACGGCACCGGTTGGTGCATTTTTGTCTACAACCTCGGCCCTGACACAGAGGAGAATGTCCTCTGGCAGTTGTTCGGACCGTTTGGAGCTGTCCACAGCGTCAAAATAATCAAAGAAAAAGGATTCGGATTCGTCAATATGGTCAATTGCGATGAAGCCGTTGTCGCTATACAGTCCCTCAACGGATATTCTCTTAATGACCGTCAACTTCAAGTATCATTTAAAACCAACAAAAACAGGCCGTTTTAGTGCATTTTTAAACAAATTGAAAAAAAAACAAAAAACCTCAGATCTTCCTTTTATGTAATGTGAACAGTATCTAGTCATTTTAATTTTGCAAAAACAGTTTATTTCCTTTCCAATTTTTTTGTTTTCTTTTTCTTTTTCATTTATAATTTTTTTTCTTTTTTTTCAATACAGTTTTTTTTTCTATTTTTGTTTTTATTTTGTTTTATTTTAATTTTTTTATTTTATTAATTGTCCTTTTTATCCCCCCTATTTTGTTTTAAATATGTATAATTTTTATTTTTATTTTTATTTTTTGTTCCGCATCTTTCGAGAGAGAACGCTCTGTGATAGGATCGGAAATGGCTAACCAGTATTTTAATTAACTGCATGACCATTTGTATTTGTTTGTTCTTTTTTCTCGCAATTTTCATTTAATTTTAGTTGTCAGCTGTGATTTTAATTTTAGTAATTTAATTATATAATAATATATTGTAATTTTTCTTTTTTTTTATAATGTAAAGTATATTGTCAATGAAATGGCAAGCTTGCGAAAATAATTTTTCTTCTATAGTCAATACAATTGGGCAGTCTTTAATTTTTAGATTAGACAGATGTAAAAATGTCTTAAAAAATTTTAATAATTCACATTTTTTGAGATGTACGCCACATTTCTCAGCGACGTTTATTATTTATTGAAATAGAGAAAAAAATATCTCAATGAATTACAAGAACAGACAAATTTTTTTGTATAAATCATCGCCAATCTGGTTACAGAGGACTAGTCATGGCTATTAATCATCACAGAGAAAAAATACTCGATAAAATTTTCCACTAGAGATTTCCATTGTGTGGCTTTAACAAAATTTTTCTTTTAAATTGTGTTCGTTTTTGAAGTTAGACAGATCTGAATGTGCTATTTTGAAGCTTCTAACCTAAATTAATGCAAAGCTTGTTGGCTATTAGTTTTCTAAAATTTCGTAACATCTGATAATTGATTTTTTACTTCCTTTATCGTGTTCAAGTTGAAATAAACAAGGTTCTACTGAAATTTTTCTAAAAACGTGCACAATGTAACGACAAGTTTAAATTTAAAATGAACTGTGATGAAATTAAACAATTTTTTAAATTGTATATTGTGCAATTGTTTAAAAACTATTTTATACAAAAATACGCTCTTTTCTTGGATGAACTGAAAGCAAATTAAACAAAAAAATTACTAATAGATTATAAAAGATAATTAAATAATAAATTATTGTTTAATTGCCAGCAGTTCCGAACAAAAAACAGTACATTCCAGGTTTTATATATTATTTTTTTATCATATTCTTTGGCTATATCATGATTTCTTTTCTTATTTTCAAGTTAGAAAGAACAAAAGCACGAATCAACATACAACGTAGATCGGTGTTAATAATCTTCCAAAGAATTATTAATATAAAAGGGAAAAGTGGTATTGTCAAATATGCAGATGCATAAATCGAAGTTTTATTTGTTTATTTAAAAAGAAAAAAAAATTCTTTTGATGTACTTATCTCAACTGAAAAAATTTTGTTTTTTCTCAAAATTCGCAAGTGAATCATTTCTCTGATGATATGTCAGTCTTATTTTAAAAGTTTTCGTTTCTTTTATACAATTTTTTTCTCTCTCTCTCTTTCTTTCTCTCTCTCTCTCCAACTGTATTTTTTCATTTTATTATCAGGTGTTATTTCTTTAAAATTATAATTTTAGTTATAATTTTGTATTATAATTAAAATTATTTTGTTAATTTATTTATTTATATAATTAAATTAATGGATTTTTTATATGGTTACTAGTTTCTCAAGTCACACGAAAGTCCTTTATTATAATTTATTTTTTAAATTGATTATGTTTTTATTTTAATTATTTTTTAAACATAACGAATTATTTGAAGTTACCAAAAAAAAGTCTTACGTAGAAAGACTCAAGGGGCTAAAGGAATATACTAAAATATTAACGTAAAATGATGGAAACGTATAAGACTGGTATAAGACTGATACATTAACATTTGGGTAAGTGGTTTAATCATCCGCCAAAACATTAAATTGTATAAAAATAGATTGAAGTGTTTCCAGCTGTGTGTAATTGTTTTCGGTTATATTAGCATCGATCTAATTGTTTGCAGTTATAATGTGTCTGTGAATTTGTATTCTTGTCAGATTTAGCATTGGTACAAATGTCTAATACAGTACTCTCTCAATAATCCAAACTAATAATTGCAGGGAGATATTCGGATTACAAAGATTGTTAAAAAAATACATATATATATTTTTTTAAATTCAACACACTATTATTATTGCTTATTACAAACGAAACTTTAAACAAATTAGAGTACTTAGAATACATGCATAATGTCAAATTTTAGTTTAAGAAATCAGTTAGAAAAAATTATTTTCTTCATTGCTTCACTCTCTTATATTTATTTGATCAGTAGGTATACTATATTTAACACAAGAAAAATGTAGACTGATCACTGATCTAACATTTAATTTTTTAGTTGAAAAGGGAGGTGAGGGATTTCTTGAACGAAAGAAATTCTTGAAAAATAGTCTAAGCTGATCTTGATCTTTCTTATTACTCTCTTTCTTTCTCTCTCCCCTCCCTCCATCCCTCAATCACTCACTACCTCTTAGCTCACTCACTTTCTCCTATTTACTCATCATCTCTAATTCACTTTCTCTCACTCACTCACTCTCATTCATGCTCTCACTAATTTAGTTACTCTCACTCATTTACTTTTGCTCTCTCTCACTCACTTATTCTCTCTCTCTCTCTCTCTCTCTCTCTCTCTCTCTCTCCCTCTCTCTCTCCCCAAATATGTTTCATTAAAACCTAATAAAATTTAATACCGACCTGTACCAATCTATTCTTCACTAAGTGAAGTATTTAATAGCTAATCAACTTCAGCAGTTAGACCGTTATATATCTATTTTTTTCAATCAATTTTACTTCATTCCATGGTTAGAAATATTTAAATTCAAATCTACGAATGAAATATCAAAGCAAGTGATACTTAATGAACCGACAGAATTTTTATTTTTTATTTCATCGATTTTCTTGTTAATTAGTAATAACTTGAAATATTCATTAATTAATGGCCAACTTCCTTATTTATGTAGATATGATAATTTCACTGTAATATAAATTTGATTTTTTCTCGAAAAACGAATAATTAGTACAACACTGCATTTTATATCTTAATGTTTTGTTGGTCTAAAAATAAATTTATTTCTTCATTATTTTTTAGGCCATTTTTGAAGGCAAATAAAATAATTTATTTTATTCCCATGTTTTGGCTTCCTGTGCCATCCTCTATGCATTTTGTTTCTTGCAGTATATTTAATTAAAATAGTTCCAGAAATAACTGGGTTATTTATTTGATTATTCAGAAATTGTGAGATGCGGTCTGGTGTGATGCAGGTTTTAGAAAAACATTTTCTTTATCGCTCCAACGTTTCGATCTTTATTGAGCTCATCTTCAGGTCCTGGGATTTACAAACATTGTTTAAATTTAACAAATACATGTAGGATGTGGAAAAAAGTCAATTTATACAATGAAAAAAATATATTTTTTTTATGGCCCTGAAGATGATCTCAATAAAGATCGAAACGTTGGCGCGATCAAGAAAATGTTTTTCTGAAACCTACATCACACCAGACCGCATCACACGGTTTCTGAATATTCATCGACTAACGGTCACTAATCACCACACAAGTTATTTATTTGTTGTTAATAGTTCTGGAACTATTTTAATTGTATGTACAGTATTACAATAAATATCTTGCATTGTGTAAGGCACAGGATATGAAAACATCACTGTAAAATTAAGTTAATTATTTTACCCGCCTTCAAAACTGGCCTACAAAAAACTAACCAAAAAGAACAACAAAAATATAAATAAATTTAAAATAAATGCTTTTTTAATTGAACAACATATGTAATAATGTGATTGGTACCGTTCATCTTGGCCTGCCTATCCTTTCTGGGTTGGTTGATCAGACATGTTTTGGCATTTCGCCTACTTCACTGTCTCTTGATCACATAAATGGTAATGATCGAATTTCAGGTTCATCATCATCATCAGCAGCAGGAGTTAAATGTCATAATATTTATTAAGGCCTTTGATTCGCTCTTAATTTGCAGCTATTTGACCGTTACTGATCATGCCTTGTTCACCATACTGCTTTTTGTGCATTTGACCTAGATCATTAGATTAGTGAAATTATTGTTTGCTTAAGTAATATATTGAAGAAAATTTATTTGCATTTATCTGAACAGTTGCTGTGATAAATAGTCCTGGAATTAGCTTAAAAGAAATAATTTTGCTAAATTTAAAAAAAGTAGGTTTTTAAAGATATTTAATTTTTGTAAAGGCCAGAAATATAAGATTAATGATTAAAGAAGAGGTGTTAAAATTTTGGTTTAACATAAATATTTTAAAATAGAATTCTTTACAATTATTTTGTTGACAAAATTGTATAAATATGTAAGGTTTTGGTTGAAATGAAAAATTTAGTGCCATGAGCGGGATTCGAACCCAATTACTACCAAAGTAATAATTTGGTCAACAGACCACTAAATATAATGTATTTTTATAAATATTTTAAACGTGTGTGTGTGTGTGTGTGTGTTGTATTTAAAACTAATACGAATAGTAATTTTTTTCTGGCATAACTTAAAAAAAAAAAATATTCAAAGTAATTATTTTTAACATTTTCAGTGAACAGAAGAAAACAAAACATTGAGAGCGTCTATAGACACAATGATTATACTATACTGTATAATAATATTTTATTAAATGGAAATGAAAAACTTTTATACATTAAATGTATAAAAATTGCATTGCAAAAATTTGATCGACTCGGTCATCCCGGTTTGCACATTTTTGCTGGATTTAACTGTAAGACACATTTTGACATTTTTTAACACTACGTTGTATCCGTGAAGTATGAGTCTAATTTAAAAAAAAAAAATTCTATATTTTATCCTTGTTCTTGTCTGTTAGATACCAGGCACCGGTAAAAGCCAATATTAATGGAATAGCCATTCTAACAAACCTAACGGGAAGTTTATGCATATACAATATGCTACTTATAGACCACGGAAGTACAGAAAAAAGGAAAGAACCTGAGTATGAGCTTTAAGCTTCAGATTGTTGAAAACAACAAACTGTGAGTGAGATCCAACTTTAAAAAAGAAAAAAGGCTAGTTTTATTTAATCGAGAATAACTAATGTCCAAAATGGTTATAATTGTCCTCTAAAGATTCCACATCCAGATGAATTTTTGGTTTAAAATTTTTGTTGGCTTTCAAAAATAATATTGCATGTTTTGAAATGACCTTGTTGAGGCTGAAACTGAATACAACCACCTGCTATTTTTAATAAATGAAATTATATTTTCAAGCTGTTTTTCTTTTCCTTGTTACATCTATTTGTCAATTAGTGAACTTTTCATGGTATTTTAAAGTAATTATGGATAGAGTAAATATTTTAATTGGGAATTTTTTCTTGGCAATATTTTTTGGGAGTTTTTTGTTATTTGTATGATATCTAAAATATTTGTATATTTAAAGCTAGTTTATTTCCGTTTTTAATCTATGAAAAAAAATTATTGTATAAGTATATAAAGATTATAAAAATTATCAACTTATGTTTGACTTATAGATAAACCTTATCTACTGTTAAGGTTATTTTTAGGTTATAGGTTGTGCATATAAGTATATTAAATTGTATATAAAGTTGGTTTTTAATTGTTTTGTGGGCTTGGCAGTTTATCTTATCCAAAATGAAAGTTAATAATGATTTGAATCCTTTCACCAGTAAATATACTGTTATAACTTGGCAAGTCGTTTATTTGAAATTGTAATAGGTGAATTGAATTTTAAAAAGTGCCAGAATTGTCTCTGTGTAAATTGTCAAGATGTCAAAAGATGACCAAGGCGAGTCTGGACTTACTGAATTTGCACCGCTCAGCCCTGACGAGAAGCTTGGCCTTTCTAACTTGTTCTCAAGGTTTTTCAAAAGTCAGTTTGAGAATTTAAGTCAAAATTTGAATTTAAAAAGAATGTCGGTGTTATATTTTCTCCTTTTTTTTCGATGCAGAGAGCGACAAAGCGAAACCGAGCGAGGGAGAGGCCAGTGGTGAACAACAGCTTGACAATGATAACACTTGGAAGGAAGGCGTAAGAAATTAACTTTATAAACTTACAAATAGAATCTATTTGATTCCTCAGTCTTACCGTGCTTTTTAAGTCTTCTAAATCATATGTTTTAGGTAAAAAAGAACATTAATTATTAGCTCTAATGAGTTTTGATTTAGGTTTTGTGTTTATGTGCAAGGTGGATTCTTTTTCCTTCTGCTTCATATGCTTTTATAGTTGACAACAATGTCAATAGTCAATTAGTGAATAAATCTAAAGTTTCTTCTGATTGAAAGTAAAGAAATTAGCAAGTTTAAGTGGCTTTTGATGTGTCATTTAGGTTCACTTGACTCTTATATTGATGTGTCAGCCTTTGCTTTTGATACCTCCTTACCAAGATTGTTATAAATTGTTTTAAAGAATATTTCCCAATGCTCAATACAGGTTCTGATCCTAGATTATGTGCTTATTGTTTTAATATTTTGTCTACTTTTTCTTTCGCAGCTTTATCCCTTGGCACCCAAGTCAGATTTGATTCATTTTGCCTAGCATTTGTTAATTCTTCTATTATTTTTGTGTTTAATTTTTTATAATGTGGTTAATTATTGAAGGTAATCTTTTCAAATGTAAAGTAATTCCTTTCATGGGTATCGTGGATGAAGGGCCAAAAAAACTTTGCAATACATTTTTCACACAGTGAGGGACATCCTAACCATTTGGCCACCGCAGTCTCCTGTCAAACTTTTCAATAATCGTCTTAAGTATTTGACCATTTCTGTCTTAAGTAGTTGACCAGGTTAATATTAGATGAATTATGCTTTTATGCTGTCAAATCATTTGCGAATTCCTTAGAACCGAGCCTAACTTTAAAAATTAAATCCAAAAAGCTCAATAATTATGCCAAGTTTATTCAGGTTCTTACGTTCTCTTTTCAATATGTGAAAATAATAATGCTCTGTATGCAAAACATGTTAGAAAGTAAAGTGTTACTGTATTTAATTTATTTGGGATTTTTGAGGTCAGTAGCAATGCAGCTTGTGAACTTAACTAAGGGTCTTTACATTCTAGACTTTATTTTTGCGGTTTGCCCTTATTATTTTATGCGTTTGGCTCAAATGTGAACATTAAAGTTTTTTTTAGGAGTTCGAAGAGAATAAAGCACTAGACCCCAGATTCCTGATAGGGATGAAGGAAGTACGGAGCCTTCCTAACGTCAGGATGCGCATAAGCAGCCTACTCGCCCTGAGGACTTCAGTAAGATTTTACACGTACATACATTTCAAATGTAATCTGTTTTCACACCAATAAAACTTACATTTTATTCAGGGAGGACAATCGTATAATGAGACAGAGTTGAAACAATACTGGATGCCAGATTCAGTAAGTAAGGAATGCTATGATTGTTCAGAGAAGTTCACGACATTTCGCAGGAGGCATCATTGCAGGGTAAATAGATTTATTTGTACTACTTAATCTATAAGGTACAAAAAATAAACGATAAATATAATTCAACAATTATATAAACTATTGATTATTTTCAGGTTTGTGGTCAAATATTCTGCTCAAGATGCTGTAATCAAGAAATCCCTGGGAAAATCATGAACTGTACTGGTCAGTTAATTTATTTATTTATAACCAATGTAATTTATAGTTCATTAAGTCTGTTTGAGCCGCCTTAAAAAACCAAATTATTTGTGTAATCTCCATTATGTAGTTAGAACAAGAATGAAATTTTGTTTAGTGAGAGCATTAGAATATTTATAAACATTGAGATAAGGTAGATGTGCATGTTCATGCATGAATTTTATTTTTTCCTTAGGTGTCCTTCGAGTCTGTACTTGGTGTGGACGAGCCGTTCTCACTGAATTCCAATCAGCTGCTATGGGCTCTAATGTGCCCGAAGAGCTCAAGTTGCTCATAGAAGATCTTCAGGCGAAATTTGGCGGTTCTGGAGACCTTCAATTTGAAACTCCTTCTAATCAGGGGCGATGCTCTTCGGTCACACCAGACAGGGAAGAGTCTCATAGAAAGCCCAGCGTCGGTTATCAGGAAGAACGGTTCGGAAACGCAAGGTATGACCTGTAATTTTCTTGTGAAATTTTATTTATTTGTAATTTTTTCCTTTTTTAAATTATATAAAGGCCTGATACTGGAGGCAGAAGAAACAGTTTACGATGCTTATTGGATGAAGCTCTGACCACTGGTGGAATCGTATGCGCTTCCCATAGGTAAAATCACTGGGAAATTAATTAAAATATGATAAGATTTTTTTGATTAATGCTTTTTGGTAATTTGCAATAGCCTTTTTGTTTGGTTTGTGTGTCTGCAAGGCATAAACCTGTAGCTTGATCATGCAACAAGATTTGACTGATATCCCTCACAGACCTCAAAACCTCAAAACAATATTTTACAAAATTGTCAAAATAATTTATACCATAACTTTTTTTTTTCCAAACAATATCTCTATAATATTAAACAGTTTTAGCTGAATTGTGAGATAGAGAAGGACCTATACGATTTCAATGGTATAGAAAGGGAAAATGACAGGAGGAGGGTAAATACGTTTCCATATAATTTTTCACTTCTCTCACTATTTTCTTAGTTTAAATTGTAAAAAACCATGTCATATTATACATTGTTGGAAATAGGAATTTATTTCTACAAAATAAGCCTAATTTGAAATTTGTAAACAATTGCTATCTGTACTTATTTCAATCCGGAAATTAGCTGGTTTGTTTTTTGTTCAGGATAAAATGTGAAAGATTTTCTGTGAGTTTTGTATCTTTTTTTTATATAGTATTAAACAACTATTTACGATCAATTGAATTACAAAAAAAAATAGTAAAAACGGATTACAATGGAAGTTATGGAGGTTTTTCCATAAGATCTCTTCCATCACTCTCTCTCTCTTTATTTACTTTTATTATTTACTATTACTACATATACTATTACTTATTTATTACTCTCTCTCCCCCCTCTCTCTCTCCTCTCTCTTTTTTGGAGAGAACAAATATTAAGTGCAACATACAAATAGGCTTTTTTTTTTTTCAAAAAACACCGGCACCCTGAGGGTTGATATTATGAACATTAAAAAAAAAAAATAAATAAAAATTAAAAAATAAAAAATAAAATAAAAATAAATAAATTCAATATTTTATTATCGTTTGTCTGAAAAGATGTCCAAATCAAATTCCAATCAGCCCTTTTTATGGATAAATTTAAGCTGTTTTAATCAGCCCTTCTCAGGGCTAAGCTCGACTAAAATTGAAGTAACTGCCTATTTAGGGTATTGTCGTGCATTTATAGATAAGAAGATTTTATGGAAAACGTTCACACAGAGCAATCGGTATGAGAGATGTGTAGCGATACTGGTATGAGTACCCAGGCAACTAGATTCTCCTCACCAACTCTTCTCAATCCTCTCCCAAGCGGTTTAAAAAGCCTTTTATACAGACCAAAAGAGATTAACACACATTTTAGAGAAAATATTCGGATTTGTAATAATCTATTTGCTTTTGTGTCATTCAATAATGAAAATGCAGATATAAAAGGAAGTGGTCCATATTCCATGCATCTGGTGCAGCTGATATCAAAGCTACTACTAGTCTTATAAGCGGTAAAAACACTCCTTTGTTTTAATTGAAACATCTAAAACATCTTGGCAAGATGTTTTAGAGGTTATTCAACCTATTATGAACCGCTCATATGCTTAGCAATATAAAAATCTTTTGCAAATAAATAATTCGTACATCGATAACAAAGTATTTTTAAATTTCTACATCAAACCAATGGATCATCTTCTGCGAATTCATAAGCCAACACGTAATGAGTTTGTAGCAATCATTGCCTCCAAAGATGGAGGCATACAAATCAAACTTGACTCACCTATTTATCTAAAGATACATGAGGATATACCGAAATGTCTTTTGTTGTGAAACGGTTGCAATTCTCAGTCCATCTAGCATTTGCTATGACTATAAATAAGTCACAAGGAGAAAATTTTGATAAAATAGGTTTAAAAAAAACACCTGGATACGTAGCCTGATGTGTATGACAAAGTTGGACATTGAAACAGAAAGCAAATCCAAAGAAAAATGTATAGAAAATATTGTTTTCGATAATTAAAAAAGTAATTAAGTAGTGTACAAGTTATTTTTTCTAGTCCTGCCAAAAATTGAGAGCCGCAGAAGTTTTTGAGCTTATTTATTTAGATTTTCTCTTTTTGACTTATTAAAAAAAATGATATAAAAATTAGCAGGGGCTCCTCTTGCCAACCCCCGGGCACCCCCTCGGCAGTTAGCGCCTGCTAGTTTGTTTTACAAAGGGATGAGTGTGCATTACAAAAAAAAAGGTGAAGCCACACGGGAATTGGCAAGCAGGGGGCAGAGCCCTCTAGATTTTTTAAATTGTAATTTTTTAAGTAATTTGACACGTATGATTTTTTAAAGGTATCGCTTTAGGACTTATTATTCATGTTTTCCTGCCACACAGCTTGTAGACTGGTTGATTTTACACAACAAGGCAGCAAACAGGTATTTACTAAGAACTTTAATAAGTACCTTATCATTATGCATAATTACATTAATGTAAACATCATAGCAATTTCTTGTTTCTATTAGGTATCCAGAAAAGTTCATATAATTTAAAAAGGGTTTAATAATTAAAATTTAGTTTCGAAATATTTTATTTGGGGGAAACGATCACCCTTCTTATAGAAATTTGGGTCCTGAGGCTTAAAAAATAAATTCAACTCATTTTTCAGCTGTTGGCGTTATCGAATTCCTATTTTATTGTCCATTGATAAGAAAAGGGCATGTTGGATTTGAATCAAGTTCATTAAGTTTGCTCCATTATTCAAGAATGTCTACCAACTGTGGTTCATCTTCAAACCCCTATTTCCCAGAAGCAAACTTTTCGGACAGTGCAGTCATTTCTTGTTGCCTCACTGAACACAGAGTAAATTTACGAGCTCCCCGGTCGACCTCATACTGAGCTTAAATTCATACAATAAGCATGCTCAAACATTTCTGGTTACCTGGTACCATAATAATGAATCTATGTAATAGTAATATTTCTAATTATTTGTTATAAGTTAAGCAGATATTAAATTGTTGCCTTCTATTTTATCTACTGATAGCCATAGAAAAAACAAGCTTTATAGTATATCTACTCTCTATAAAAGGTTTAGTGCTGGGAAATCTTTTTATTTTTGTGATGTTACAAGCTAGAATAAGCTGAACAAATCACAAGTTTTTCCATTTTCATTGCACTTTTGAATTTATTGTCACAAATAATTACAAACAGATTGACTGTCTGCCACAGTGAGTGCTTTTATTTGAAGTTAGTATTTATTGTATCTAATTTCTAGTATTCGGAGAGAAAGAAATAAGAATTTCAGTTGAGCTATTAATTCATGATAGGATCGGCCAACAGTTTGTACATATTGTCGGATCGAGTTTATGGTCAAGGTTGGGGGTGTTTTTTTAATTAAAAAAAAGTTCTTCCAAGCTTTCGACTTTATTTTTAGTCATCCTTTTATGAGTGACAAAGGGTGGATTAATCACACAGAAAAGTAATATTATGCTATTTATTTATTTATTTAGAACATACAGGCAGATACATAAAATAAATCATGTTGTTCTGTGTTTTTAATGTTCTTGTAATTCAAGCCCTGAGGATGACTTCAAATAAAGTCAAAAGCTTGGCAGAACTGTTTTTGACTTAAGAAACACTCCAGCAACCTTCACCACAACCATGATCACTACATCGTTACAAAGAAAGAATTTATTTTTTGCATTGATGCATGAAAAAACCTAAATTATTAGGTTATTTATTTAATATTATATTAAAAAAAACTAGATTGGTTAGTTTGAGATGTTTTTAATCTTACATTGCTACAATGTGAAAGTACAACCCTTTAAATTTATGACTGTACTTACTTGTTTATTTTATTAGATAAATTTTATGTTGATTTTATTTCAGAGTACAAGCAGTTGCTCTAGGTCAGGCAATGTTGAAAAGTCAGTATTTAGAATGTGTTAATTATGATACGAACACATTCAGCGACAATAATTTACTGTACAAGATTGTACCTGCTGAAACGGTCCAAGAAGAAATCCAGGATTCAAGCGGAGGTTTTGTATTAATTTATATCTGTAATATACGAGTTACCAGATTAAGTTTTTTTAAAAATTATTTTTTATTTATTTATAGATTCATCTTCTGAATATTTACACGAAAAGACTTCTGAGTTGAGTTTTAACGATGTGAGCAGCTGTAACACTATGGCTTCAAACGATTATAAAAAGCAAACTGATCTCAGTGATGGTGATAATTATTTATTTTGTGGAGCATTTCTTACCTTATAACTAAAATATAATAATTAAAAAAAGGACAGAACAGTCACATAAGATTGCAAAATGCTGAAAGCATCTGACAGGAAAACCAACATGGCATTTGAAAGCTACAAATTTATTAACCATCTTTTTAATTTATTTTTTAAATTTTCAGTTTCTCCATCGAAAATAGTGCCTGACGATACAATAAAGGCAGTAGAAGAAGTCTCTCTTTTAGGAGGTGATGCATTACCTTCAGTAGACTGGAATACAGTTGATTCTAGCCATCTGAGCAAACATCAGTGTGAAGCACTTGAAAATTTAAGGTAACTAAAATAAACTAATACATAGTTTTGTTTTTAAGAAATTAACTAAATTTTTTTAAATAATTTAGATGCACATTCGCGAATCATTGTAGTAATTATCTCCGGCAAATTTTAAACAGCGAGTCAGTCCCGCAGTCTTGGGTAGAAGTGATCCGCCCGTTAGCCTGCCGAGTCGTTAAAAATATACGTCCAGAGAGGGCGAAAACCTGGTCGGAGGCCATGGACATCCGACAGTAAGTCGTATAAGCGTCATTGGTGAATTTCAGTCTCAAACTTCTGTCCCGATCGTAGATACGTTCACATAAAGAAAGTCAGCGGTGGTGAGAGGAGAGAGTGCGAGATTATCCAGGGTTTGGTCTGCTCGAAAAACCTCACGCACAGGGCCATGCCGAAGAAAATGGTCGATCCTCAAATTTTGCTTCTAGGCTCTGCGATTATGTATCAGCGAGTTGAAGGAAAATATTTAAGCCTCGAGCCAGCTATCATGCAGGTTATTTTAATATTTTAATCCATTCTTGTTTAAATACATCTTTGTGTATGTAGTAGTTATAAATATGACCTAATAAAAGCAAACTAAAGCAAAAAAAAGCATAAAAGTTAAGAATGATGAGTGTTAAAGATGCTATTTAATATTTTGTGCAAAAAAAAGTGATTCATGTCCTCAAATAGATAAGGAATCAAGGGAAAGAATTGTATTAATGGCACCATCTTAATAAAAATCAAATTATATANTATTAATTAACTAAAACAAAATTAAAAAATATATATATTTGACTGTAGTAATTTATTTTATTGTAGGAACATGATTATTTGCAAAGAGCGGTTTCAAAGATCGTCGACTTGGGACCGAATCTGGTCATTGTCGGCAAAAGTGTGACACGTCTTGCACAGGAGATGTTATATTCTAAAGGGATTTCGTTGGTGATAAACGCGAAACCGGCTCTTTTAGAACGTTTGTCTAGATTCACCGGCGCCGACATCCTAGGCTCGGTGGACGCCCATTTGGGAAGCCCACGGCTCGGAACTTGCAAGCTATTCTGCCTTCGCACTTTTATGACTGAATCAAGTGAGTGCGTCATGTCTGATGATACTTTTTCAAACTAATCGTATTTGCTCTTGATCCAACAGAAAGGCAAAAAACCCTTATGGTATTCGAAGGATGTCCTTATCCTGAACTTGGCTGTACGGTACTTTTAAGAGGTGGACTTATACAAGAATTAACGAAAGTAAAAAAAGCAATCGCTTCGTTAATATTTGCATATTATAATGCCCGCCTTGAGGTAAAGTAAATTTAATAGACCTTTTAAAAAAATACTATGAAAGAAATCATTGTTAGTAGATTTTTCTTCATTATTATTCACTCACAATAAAAATTTTTTGTTTATTTTCTGAATAATATATAACTATATATTTTGAAATTTTGTTCATTTTATTTTTAAAAAAATTAAACCCAAATGTTAAGGTTTCGTACCATATGGATGCTGGGGCGGTGGTTCCTTCTACACAGAACGTTTTCCTCGACTCCCTCGAACAGAATCTGTTGAGTGAGGACTGTTTCGACGTTAAAAGTAAAACGAAACAACACAATTCGCATCAGACTGAAGAGAGGCACAGGACTGAAGCTGTCAGCGATTTCTCAGACCCTCTGAGAGCTTGGAAAGGCAACTGTGCGAACACTAACGACGAACTGTCAGTGACGGAGGTGCCTTTTGGAAACAGCTTTAGAAAAGCGCTGGAAGATAATATACTTTCGATTTCACCATTTTTAAAAGTAAACACACTGGTTTTTTCCAATTTACTTCTTAAAATTACTTCATTAAAAAAATGTGAACATTTCAGTTTTCTCTGCCTTACCTTGAGTCCGAAGAGGGAAAACAGAGTGTTCTAAGATCATTCTTTAGCAAAGAGCTTTACTGGTCAGCTCAACTTACGGACAATTTACCTAAACAACGGCTTAATTTATCATCAGATTGTACTGGAAATATAATGGAAAACGTTAAAGTAAGTTGATACAGTTATTTAGGAATGGTTTAGTTCTTAGAATAATTATAAAAAAATGACCTGACCTTGTTGCTTCAGAAATCCTTTTCTGAACAATGGTTTGCTTGCTTAGGCCCAAAATACACTGGATCAGGCACAAAAGCTTGTGACTATTCCAGGCTGTTTGAAACAAACCGGGATGACTGTTTTAGTATATATTCAAGTTGGGAAAACTTGACCAGTGTCAATGTTTTGTTTGCAGTCTGCTCCAAGCATAATCAGTCATTGCCCGGTGTTTTCAAACAAAAGTATATAGTTGTCCAAGTACAACATTTCAGTCTTTGAAAAAACAACCGGCTGTTGCTTGGTTGCAGGATGGTGGTTCTTTCTACCCAGAATGTTACGCTGAAGACCCTATGAATCATTTTCTGCAGTCCAACCCCAAGACACTCTTCATTCACTACTGTTCACAAATAACTAAACATGTTTTGCCTGGTTTGAGGTTGGTTCAATCAAATTGACCAATTGGTGTGTTTTGGGCCTTAAAGGATAAAACTACAATAAAATTACAAGAAGTGTTACCACCAGGAATTTAGCAGCTAGCCTCTAGATAAAAATATTTGTTTTAACAATTGAACTGGCCATTATTTTGGCTCATTCTAATATTTATTTTTATTTAACTATTTATACTATTACTATTTATACATTAATACATATGCGTAAGTACAAAATACTTATAATATAAGGTAGTTAAAGGATGTGCACGAATTTGTCAAAGCGAAATTGATCGAGAGCGTTGATTCGAATGAAATCAAAGCGTTGCTCGCTAGCTACAGAGCGACAGGAGGCCGTTTCCCGATTAAAATGACAAAACCGACTAAAATGGAAGCGTATTACGACCAACTCGTCATCAATAATATAAACGCAAGTAAAAATATTAAGGATGGAACACCGAAGGATGTTCTAGATCCTGACAACCACCAACGGCTTTTGATGTTATTCTGTTCGTATACGCAGAACCGTAGCTCGCCGACATTTTGTGTCGATCCTGAGTAAGTTTTCCGTATGATTTTTTATTTTTTTTTTATTTTGTCTAATTTTTTCTTTTTTCTTTCAGAATTGTAAATATGGAAATGTATGGAAGGATGGATATACCACTTGGTCTATTTTTGGAGAAATATTGCTTCAGGGATGATTACGTTTGTAGTCACTGTGATAACCCTATCAAATTCCATACTCGAAGGCAAGTCAAATATTTCTAATCATTATAAAAATAAAATAAAATAAAATCATTTAGGTTTGTTCACAATGGAGGAGTCATAAATATAAATTTATACACTCTTGATCAGGAACTACCCTTAAGCGGAATTTTCATGTGGTCTTCTTGTTCAAAATGTGGCCAGGTTTGTTTTTATTATTTTTTATGTCAAATGATCTAGCAGTGTGCACATTGTTTGATACTTTTAGACTACCAGTTTAAAATCTATGTCTCCTGGAAGTCGGTGCCTTAGCTTCGCCAAATATCTTGAAATGAGATTTCACGGTGATATGTACCATTTGAATAACAGTGAATGTCGACATTCACTTTATCAAGATCATGTTCACCATTTTACGAAGGGGTCGATTCTTGCTTCATTTATGTGAGTAAAATAAATTATTTTTACACTGTAAAAAAATTCTATAACTATAAAAAAAATCAGGTACTCTAAAATAACAATTTGGGAGATATCGCTTCCGCCTAAAGAGCTCAAAATGGACATCGAATCTTACAATGAGTTAGTCAAACTTGAGGAAATCAAAGCTTGGTGGTTGATGGGAACGCAGATCCTTAGCCTTTGCCTTGACAAAATTTACTCCTTCAATCTATCCGACAGTCAAACGTCTTCATTGTTGGTTCAGTTGCAAAGGGATCAAAGTTTGTTGAAATCTCGCGTAGAAGAATCACAGACGAAAAGGTCCACGGAAGAAGAAAACCCACTCTCCCGTAAGAATTAAAATTTATTTATAATACATATGTAAAGAAATGAAAATGATTATTATTTTTTTATTATAAACAAGTAAATACATCAAATAATAACAAGACAATCGCATAAACAGAAAGATATAAACAAACAATCAAGGAAGAATGTAACTAGTAAAATAAAAAGTAAACAAAACAATAAACACCAAAGAACACAAGATATATATACATAAATATATGCATATGTATAAGCTACCAAAGAAGTATTTTATTATACTACAACACACACACATACACATTTGAAAAAACTAAAACACTTTTACTACATTTATTGCTTAACATGTCAATTTATTCCAGTTAAAAGTGTATGGAGTGATGAAGATTCCCTGGTAGCGATTAAACGACAATTAGCTGAATTTGTTGAAGACTGGAATGTAAGATTGGCCGAAGCTGAAACAAGCTCTAAAAAAGAAGATAAAAGAAAGTCCATCGAGGCCAAGCCGAGCCCGAACCCTTTATCTGAACTCGTCATCGAAGGCGTATGTTTTAAAAACAGATTTATAATTGAAAACCAACGTTCATAATTGTCATTACAGGAAAAGGAAGTTGAAAATATAATGGAAACATCTGATCTAACGATAGGAGAAGAGATCAATGAAAATGAAGACATACGATCAGTCGATGCGACTGAAACTGAATCAGCTCCTGAAACCGACGATGGTAAATTTTTTTACATAGTTATTTATTGTGCTTATAATAATTTTTATACTTACATTCGTCATAGTCAAAAGATTAAAAATATTATTAAGATTAGTAAGTTTATAGTGGTTGTTTTAAAGATGCTGGAGGTTACCATGTCGCTTTAACCGAGACCAAATCTGTCCATACGGATAAAAAAAGCGTCAAACAAATATTTTCTCAGTTTCTTCCAAACTCCAACCAAAACATTCATTTACAGGTAATTTTATTTTTTATTTTACTCAGTATATCGGTTTGATTAAATTATAATTACATACAGATGCCTGCGAATAACTTGGAACATTATCTACTGCCTGTCGGAGTCTACGTGCCGCTCGTGGTTTATGAGAAAGAACACAGTTCTATAATCGCTTACGCGCTCAATTCTCACAGTTATAAACAGGCGCTAGAAAAATTAAGAAACTCTGAACAATCGATGTCAAGGTGGTAAAGCAATAAATAAAAAAAAATTAATTATTAATTAATTCAAATGTACGAATCAGCCCTTCAAACAAGAGAAAAAGCGGTTCTGAGTTCACCAAAGAAGAGGGATCCCTGGGCGAGAAAAGAAGCGTCCTGTCATATTTAAGATCTAGTTCTTCAGGGCCGTAAGTTTCAAATTTTTATGTTTAACATGTAAAGCACCAGCGGTCCTAAGTGAACGCTCACCCTCATGCCACAGTGGTACCAGGGATGGGTTGTAGTTGGGATCGTGTTCTGACCCCAGTACCACTTTTCTCAGGCAATCAACGCATCAGTTATTAAAATAAATAAAATAAATGCATTAACCAATGAGATTTCTTCTGGGGCGATTTTTTAAAATTTTGTTTACTTTATGGCTAAATTATCAACAATCTTTTTTTTTTTTACGATTAATAACAACTAGCAATGTGCATACAGCCACTGTATTAAGTTTTCTATAAGGTTTATTTGTTCTAAGTCATTTAATCAATTTTTGCCAGGTGGGATCTCTCAGGCCAGAGAACATTTGAAAAACCAGCCCCTCATGCCATAGCGGTCCCAGACATTTTTTGAAAAATTGGTATATTTGTAGTTAGGGAAATAAGAAAAGATCCATGCTTTTGGATACTAAAAAACCAAAAATCTCGTTTGTGCCTGAGTGTGATGCAGGGGTTCCCTTGGCGCTTTAGGTGCCAAACATTTATTTATTTATTTATTTATGGATCGAAATCCACTATAAAAAAGACATTTTACAATAACAAAAAATATAAATAATATATGTAAAAATACAAATAATATATATAAAAAGAATAAGGAAATATATACATGGTAATAATATAAATGGTAAATATAAATGATAAATATAAAAATACAATTAAAGAGTAAAAACTGAACAACAAAAATGAAAGATAATTACTAACCAAATAAGGCAGAGGAAACAAAATAAAGCTGAAAGACAATTGAAACTACAATAATTAGGTACATATTTAATGAAAATAATGCTCTTTGTAAATATATAATAAGACTGGAGTGCGAGAATTAGTTGAACCAGTAAATGAAATAAATTGTAATAATTTTGTATAGTATGAAATATAAAAGCATTCAACTAAGGTTGTAGGATAAGGTTTGTCACAGATTGCACAGAACTATTAAAGAACTCAATGCTATTGCAGATGTTGTTACTCTTGATCATCATTCTCTGTAGAGGAGAAGAGAGCATGTAGTTAGAATTTTGGAATTCAATATAAAATAATTTATAGGTTTTAAGAGAGTACAAAGGGACATGTAGGTGTAGTTGAGTGAGGAGATAAGGACTCTCAATGAGTTTGTTTAATAATTTAAATACAAAAACAATATCAAAGTAATCCCTTCTTAGTGCCAGTTCGAAAAGTTTAAATTCAGAGCGGATTCCAGGGTATGCAGAATTCGGAGGAAGATTGAGTTTGTAGTAAAGTTTTGTAAAAATTTGTTTTGTACAGATTGAAGAATTTTTTGATAATTTAGATAGAATGGGTTCCAAATAGGTGTAGCATATTCTAGTATGGGTTGTACAAAAGCTTTATAAAGATGGACAAAACATAGAGGATTTTTAAATTCATAGGTGTTCCGGATGATGAAACCTAGCATATTCATAGATATATTTTTTATTGAAGAAATATGTTCTTTAAACTTGAGCTTTTGATCAAAAAGTACACCAAGATCCTTTACGACCTCAACTCGCGTTAAATAAAAGAGCATCATGGAGAGTATAGAGATAAATAAAAGGTTGTTTCTTATGAGAGAATGTAATTGTGTAGCATTTGGAAACATTAAGAGTAAGTTTTTTATTGTAGCACCAGGTTAGCATGTTATTGATAGAATTTTGTAATTGTAAGCAATCGGAAGAAGTGATTATGGAATAGATTTTCAGATCATCAGCAAATAATAAAAATTGAGCAGAAGGGAGAGCAAGATGGATATCATTAATAAATAAGAGAAACAAAACTGGTCCAAGATGAGACCCTTGCGGGACTCCCGAGGAAGCCGCAAAGGGACATGATTTAAATGATTTTATTTTGACTATTTGTTTTCTGTCGGAGAGAAAGCTGGATAACCAATTCAAGATAGTTCCGGTGAAACCATAATCCATTAGTTTCCATAACAGTATTGTGTGATTTACTTTATTGAAAGCTTTAGAAAAATCAGTATACACTGAGTCTACTTGGTGTCCAGAGTTTATTGCATCTAAGATGTAATTTTGAAATGTGAGCAGGTTAGTAGCAGTTGATCTATTAGAGCAGAAACCATGTTGCTGAGGTATAATAAACGATTTAATGTCGTTTTTAAGTTTATTACAAATAATAGAATCAAATATATTGGAGAACATGGATTGAATAGATATTGGTCTGTAATTGAAAACATTAGATCTATCCCCAGCTTTATGTAGAGGAATGACAAAAGTGCTTTTCCAAGCATTGGGGACTTAACGACTGGTTCAGAATATAGTGTAAAGGAGCAATAAGAGCCGCAGAACACTTTTTAACTAATATATTAATTAATAATATTAATTTAAGTTTTATTAATTACCTGATTATTTAAAGAATGGATAAAGGGACTTCAAAAATTGAAGGTGTGCAGTATAATCCAAATCTAGACGGTTCGCTCGAAGAAGAGGCGACAAAAGTGGAAGATAAGAATAAACCGACCAAACCTGAATCACAAAACATTGAGGTATAATTTTTTAAAACTTTATATTGTAGTATTCTATAAAAAAATGTGTTTATATTTACAGATTCAGTTTAATGATAATACATCAAGTTTTAAAGTAAAAATATACTATGCGGAAAACTTTAGCCGTTTACGAGCGGCGGTACTTTCCGAGGGTGAAGAGGGTTTTATCAGGTCGTTGTCAAGATGTGTCACTTGGGCTGCATCCGGTGGCAAATCCGGGTCAAAATTCAGCAAAACCAAAGGTTTATTGTGTTTCTGAATCAACTGAAACTCGAACTAATTTTTCAAAATAAAATTTCAGATGATAGATTTATTCTTAAAGAAATGACAAGATTGGAGATGCAACTTTTTGTCAATTTCGCACCTCAGTACTTCAACTATATAAACTGTGTGTCCAGCGGGATGCCTACTCTATTAGGTAATTTACTTTTTGTATAAATATTAGAAATATAAATAAAATAAAACTTTTATTTAAAGGGAAAATCCTCGGTGTATACAGAGTGATAATAAAAAGTGAAAAAACAAATTACACTATGAAAATGTTGGTAATGGAGCATTTATTTTATAACCGTGTAATAAAACATAAATTTGACTTAAAAGGATCTGTGAGGAATAGATTAATATCGACTAGCAGCGATCATTCTGAGACAGTCCTGTTAGATGAAAACTTGATAAAAAGTAAGTTTTTTTGTATTATTTTATATTTCCTTGCAGCAAAAATAATGTATTTTATTTTTTAAGTGACCTGCGATAACCCGTTATACATTCTTTCGCATTCAAAGACAGTTCTTATGCAGGCAATTCAAAACGACACTGAGTTTTTAGCATCACAGTCCGTCATGGATTATTCGCTTTTGGTCGGCCTCGATGAAACTAAGAATGAACTGGTTTTGGGAATAATTGGTAAGCGTTTTTACAAAAATTTTGGATGATATAATTTTTTAAAATTTTGTTTTTTTAAGATTACATACGCGGTTATACATGGGATAAGAAAATTGAGACTATGGTGAAGCGAATCGGCCAAAACAAAGAGCCGACCATAATACCGGCTGACGAATATCGTGAAAGGTTCATCGCAGCAATGCACAGATACTTTCTTCCCGTACCGGACAGGTGGACGGGACTGGGACGGGGTGTAGATTTGTTGGATAATGAAATACGACAAGTGAGGTAGAAAGTAAAAAAAAAAATGTTTTCAAAAGCGATTTATTTCTTTGTTTATTTATTATTGTAAATGGAAAATTTGTAAACAGTTATGTACACTAAATATAATTTATTTTTTTATTATTAAGCAGTGTTTGTAATAGAAGTACCAAAGTATTCTTCAGCAAGTACATAATATTGTGAGATGAACATATAGCTTGGCTATTTGCTCCGTTATTTATTGTATTTATTTAAGAAGCATACAGTAAATATTCTACAGATATGTGCCAAATTTAGCTGTTAGAGAAAAAGATAAAGAATTTAAAAAAAAAAGAGAGAGGATGGACCCTGGGTAACCCATCACATCTGATGGAAGAGAATTTCAGACTCACCCCAACCGCTTGGGAAGAAAGATTGAAGGGTCGAGATCAATGAGAAATGAGACTCAATTGACAGTCTTCATCGGAATAGGTGAGAAATGTCAAAATAAGTGAAAAATCTTCAATTTGTAATAATTTTTTAGAGGAATCCCAACGATTCTCAAGATGTGATGTATGATCAAATAAAATTCTTACAATGAATAACCAAGTTAAAAGTGATGTTGAGCTGGTGACTCGAGCATTAAATGACTGACTAAAAAAAAGTCACAATGGAGGAAAATGAGAGAAAGGCTAGCCTATGGTCTACTTCAAAATGTGTAAAATAACTTGCTGCCAGGAAAGCTTTTAAGTCAAAATAGTCCACAAACTGTGAACAGTTTATGGAATATTTAAGAATGAAACAGAGAAAATAATTGCGTGGTTTAAAGTGAAACCGTTAGCTATTGACCATTTTGAGATTGTCACCATTCATACAACTAACATTGAACGGAACTCATATTGAAAAAATTACAAATCGTTGGTACTAGGAGTATTTGAGGAAAATCATTAACGAATAATGCAAATATGAGGGCCAAGTACAGAGCCTTGTGAAACTCCAGAAATTATTGATTGAAAGGAAGAGTGAATCCCACCTGTTACAACTGATCACCTGGTAAGAATATACAAAAGCTTACCATTAGCAGAGGAGAAAGAAAAATTTTCTGCAGACCCTGAATAAAACAACCAAAAGCATTTTTTTAAATAATCACGTGTATCATACGTTATCCATGTCTAAGGTGAAAAGTGTCACATGTTATCTTATCTCTAACTTTTAATTGATTGGAACGTTCACCTTCCAGCAAGGCTGTATGAATTCAATTCAACAATATAATCAAAACATGAAATCCAAATAAGAAAAATTTTTGTTAAGTTGACAGCAGGAGTATCACACATGTTTTTGATACAATTATACTTCATTTCTGTATAGTAAGGTTGTTCCATGTGGAACCTGTAATTTGGTTGTTACATATCATTTTAGTCAGCCTATCCTTGCTAGTCGGTCTGTCAGAAGTGTTTCAGCATTTGCCATCTTCAGTGTATCTGTGATTTTTTTTGAAATGTGTCAGCGTTCTTTGTTGATGCCTTTGGTGTGCTTGGTTTTTTTTTTTCTGGATCGCTACCTAACATTAGCCTAGAATCACTAAACATTGGGGCGTTAAATCTACTCTTTATTTATTGTTCTATTTTTGATTGTATATTTATTGTTTTATTATAGTAATATATAAACCCTATATATTACTTTGATATATAAAAGGTTATAAGTACTGTAATTTTGCTAAGTAAATTTTTTTTTCAACAAAACAATTTCGTTCTACTCTGGGATGGTTAGGATTTTTATAATAAAATGATCCTCATTATATTATATATTTTTAAACAACATACAATCAATTTATTACATAGAAATTACTCTTTCTCTGCATTGCCACAAAAATTGGGCAAGAACAAAAACCCCTATTGTAATCTGAGAAATTTTCTCACGGTAAAAGACCTCAAACAAAACTCGTCCACAGCTAAAAACTAAATATTTAAACAAATTGAAAAAAACGTAATACTAGGTAAACACTTTGATTGATAGAATTCATAGATTTAAAAAAAAAAAATGCCTGACACGCATGGTTTTGAATTTGGTTTGGTATTCGCGAACGGATAGAAGCTCAGTTCCACTTTTTCAAAAACATTTGAATGTCTTCTATGTCTCGTTTAAGCCAAGCGGCGTTGAGGAGAATCGTTTCAACCGATTGCTGTATACTTCTTTCGGCCGCGGATGTGTCTTTATTCGCGAAAAAGTCCTCGATCTCTTTCGCCATCTCTTCTGAAGCGAAGTCTTCCATTGTGTGCTTCACAAGTCGAGGCAAAAGGAATCCACCCTAGAAATGAAACAAAGTCCCGTTAACTCAGTCCCTTGAAGGTGTAAAATCGACCAAAGAGGAATTATACCTCGTATCTGTTCAACAACTCGACCCAGTTTGTCTTGAGAAATTCCCATGCAAGCTCTCTTCCCACTTTGGTCATAGCGACAGATATAACGACAAATACTTTATCCTGCGATCTAACTTCATCCTAAAATCAATAAAATATAAAATATGAACTTTACATTTTTTCTCTCTTCTTTTAAATGGTCTGACACTTACCGACATTGTAAATTCTAATACTTTTGTTAAAATTTTCTTATCACCAATGGCACCCAATGATCTGAGAATTCTATCTTTTTCTTCTTGTAGACTCTCATCTCTGTATAACTGAAAATTTCATGCAGTTATCAATTTTTATAAAGCTTAACGTAAACTATTAATGTTTAAAAAAAAAAAAAAAATACCTTCAGCATGCTGTTGTACGTGTCCTGATTTCCGACGGAAAGAACTGTTTTGTAAACAGCAGCTCTCAGGTCGGCAGGAATGAGATGTTCACCTGTAACATGAGCCTTGAACCTCCTCTTTGCTTCTTTGATGGTGTCCTCATCACCATACCAGCCGAGTCTTGACAATACTAAAGATCTAAGAAGTGTGTCAAGATGGCCTAATTATAAAAACAAATGTTATTAGTTTTTTTACTTCTTAATAATAAAAAATAAAATCATACTTTCTTGTGGTTTGGGTTCCCATCCAAGTTTATCCCCGATTGTTTTGAACAGATACACACCGAACTTTTTAAAATTGTCGGTTTGATCCGTGTTGGACAACAAAGCGCTCACTTTCCCGAGGCAGTTTGCGATTATGCTCCAGACTGTGAAATTATCTTCATTCTGCATCGCTGAAATTACCTGTAAGACCTGGACGGTTGTGCATCGCCCTGCTTGGACCTAAGCGTAAAACAGATCATACTATCACACTTGCTCCACGCTGTTATTCTTTAAATAAATGCTTACAAGGGCGAATAAATCATCTACTAAACCGAGTCTGTCCAACGGCGGCAACGACATATCCTTGATTGCTGGAATAAGTCTGTCAAGATCACACTGAGGATACGAGACACGGTACACGCCTACTGTGCCTGGATTTAATTTGACCCATGCATTCGGCTCAATGTCTGGTATACTTATCTAAATATTTAAAAAATAAATAATTTGTACCAACATGTAAAAAATAAATAATAAAATTACCGTGGCAGATTTCCCCTCAAGCATAACAGAATGGATTACTTCATTTTCTCGTCCTTTCGCGCTAAATGTTAATGGCACCATCCATAAACTGCTATCATCTAAAAAATGAAATATTACAAGAAAAATGTTACAATGCGATAAAAATAAGAATTTATAAAAGCCTACTTTTGGTGGCTATGTCGGCGCAGAATTTTTCCTGGGCGACTTTCAGCACCCTGCAATTTCCTTCTTGCTCGCTCGAGACAACTCGTATCACGGGGAAACCCATTTGTTTGGTCCATGTTGACATTACAGCTCTTACGGGCTTTTTCGACGCTTCTTCCAAAGCGGCCCACAAATCCTCTGTAAATGTGTTGCTGTACTGATGACGTGTCAGGTACAGATGCATCCCTTTGCGGAAATCCTGAAAACCAACCCCTTTATATTTCACACGTGCAAAGTGTAAATTAAAAAAATAAATTATATAATTATATTTGAAATTAAAAACATTAATGTTTGAATACGTACAGCATCACCGATGTACCTATGCAGCATTCTAATCACAGAGGCACCTTTGTTATATGATATATCGTCAAATATTTCATCAATCTCTGAAGGGTGTCCTACTGGAACCTAATTGGGAAATAAAGAAATGTACCCTTAATGACAATTCATACTTTAAAAAATATTTTTATATAATTTACCTCAATAGGATGACTGTTTTTCAAGCAGTCCAGTTCTAAAGCTCTTATAAACATATCAGAAACAAACTGTGTCCAGATATCATACTCTGGGAAAAGGTGAGCGACACAAAGATTTTCTACAAAAGTGGCATAACCTTCATTCAGCCATAAATGGGTCCACCATTCCTTTAGAAAAATAAAATAATCGTTGGAATCGGATTGAAAAATAATAATTCATGATTATAAGTAAATATTCACCATAGTCACAAGATTACCGAACCATTGATGTGCAAGTTCATGACCGACAACAATCGCAATCCACTGTTTTCTCGATGCTGATGTATTTTCAGGGTCGACGAGAAGGCACGATTGCCTGTACGTTACCAAACCCCAATTTTCCATGGCACCTAGACATAAATTAAATTAAACCAACTTTCATAGGTGAATTTCAGAAGTGAAAATTTACCAGCAGAAAAATCTGCAATAGCGACTAGATCAATCTTCGGAAGTGGGTAAGCTATTTGGAAATAATCTTTGTAAAAGGGTAGCACTTTTGTAGCGACATGAAGAGCGAATCTCCCCTGTTCTTTGACCCCGACAGGAGTATAGACCCTGACTAGAACCCCGTCTTCAGAGGTGTCTTCAACATGGTCAAAATCTCCGACGACAACTGCTACAAGATAAGTGGACATGACCGGAGTCTGCAAGAACTTGACTACTCTTTGATCTCCTTCCATCTGCTCACTTGCCATTGGCTGTAAGTTGGGGGGGAGTAAAGAACAAAATAAAGTACAAAGAAGGGTTTGAAATATTAAAATAGACAAAACTTTTATTGTAATTCTGTCATAATAAATGTTTTACCATATTGGACAAGGCGACTTTGTCCTTGGGAGCGGAAACGGTGATATCAAAAACCGATTTGATTGCTGGCTCGTCCCAACAAGGGAAACACCTCCTAGCATCTGTCGGTTCAAATTGGGTCACAGCAGCCCACAGTGGTTCGCCTTCTACACTGAAAACAAGAATAACTTTATTTATCTAAATTTAAACAGACATAAATACAAAATTACCTTGAAATATTGCTACGATAAAATCCCTTCATTTTGTCGTTCAGCTCTCCGGAGAATTCAAACATGAGAGACGCCTCCCCTGCCGGGAGGGGCTCTGTGAACTCCAAGGTCAAGGTCTCATCCTCTTGACTTAAATTTACCTTTGGTGTCAAAACACGACCGTTCAGCTCAAGCCCGGCTGATTTAATGGCTAGCTCAAGGGAATTGAGGACAATCGAGGATGTCGGAGTGTGAATCTGAAATAAACAAGGTTTGTTTTCTTATCATTTATAACATAGATTTAATTAAAATGATGTATTTGATGAAACGGCTGCAAAGCCAGTAGAAAATTATCGATAAATAATTGTTTAAAAAAAAAATTTCATATATAGTAAAAGGCTAATTATAATTAGCCTAATATAAAATGATACCTAATACATAAAATAGGCAATATTAGGAGGACACAAGGCCTCTTACATTTAGGCTAAGGCCGGGTATGTGTTCGGCATGTAGAGAAAGGTTGCCCAATGTGTTCAATTTAAATGAAGTGTCATTTCTTGGCTCCATATAGAGAGCGTGTAGGAATGCCACATGATATGAGAATTGTGCTTGAGCATGTCGATGAGTATTTGGGTCCCCTGTTCGAATTTTTGAGGAAATAGCTGCACTGTATATAGTAATAATAGATAATGTTTTTTCCCCTGTGTATAATGAGAATGAATGTATTTATTAGCATGGATGCAATGTGAGAATCGTGATCAACCCTCAAGTGATCATTACTGTATACTATGGTATGTAAATAAGAAAGAATGTATTTAATAATGAACGAAAATGCGCATTAGCTTGAAAATGGTGTTGAATCGCAAAACTAAATTAAATTAGGCATGCAAAACAGAGTTAAACAAGAAAGCAGATGCCCTTGCAAGGAAAGAGGCTGCTGTACCGCTGATAGGTCTTGAGCCCTTCTATTCTTCACACTATCAATGAGTATCTTAGACAAGAAACAAAATTAAAATGAGGAAACAATAGAATTCACTCATTGGACACAAACCAAGAACCTTCTAGCCAGTTTCGGAAGGACAAAAAAAAAAGTACTCATAGGAAGCAAGAAAAAACTTCGAATCCTGACATGATTCTGAGCAGGACACTATGGACTGAATGGGTATTTGAGGACGATTAGTATTTACAAACGGCACTTGCAGATTATGCGAGGATACAGAGACACCAACATACCTACAAAACTGTGGCACTACACTAGCAGAAGTGATATGGGATGTACAATGTAAACGTACAAGAAATTCAACCATTGAAACCGAGCCTACTGAGCAAATTTTCTTAAGGAACTAACTATAATTAAGTACAAAACCATGGCTGGGAATTGAATCCAGAAGGGGTACTTTTATAAGGCTCCAAACAAGCACACTGCTGGAGGGGTGATGGTTCACATTTCACCAACAGCTCCTCACCTTTCACACTAATAAATACACACACTCTAACAAAACACATAAAACAGATCTATATACAATAAAAAAAACCTCACGTTCTCTGAAAAGCGAAACCCACTTATAAGATACATTTGAAAATACTCGCCAGCTATTAGGTAGTGTAAGAGAAGATTGGAAGGGAGAAGTGACAGAGGAGACGAGCAGAATGCAGATCGGACAGTCAGGACGCAACCCGAAAATTAAAAATAAGAGAAAAAGAAAAATAAGAAGAGCCAACAACATTCTTAGCAAATTTACTAGTTTCGTTGTCCGCTTGACCGATTAATATCTTACAATTAATTAAGGTTTTCAGGTGAGATAAAAAATTCAATGGCACGAGTGGGATTCGAACCCATGATCTTTGACTTGATACGCCGCTGCTCTACCACTTGAGCTATCGTGACCTCGATCCACTCGGATGCCAACTTCCCATCTCAACCACACTTTTTGAATTTTCCCTCCTTTTTGCCATTTTTCAAATGTGTAATCAATTTGATTCTCGGCGACAAATGAAATGGCCACGGAGAACTTTAGTGAAGGTATACTTCATTTTAAACTTATTAAATTCACTAGTTTCGTGGTCCGCTTGACCAATTAATATCTTACAATTAATTAAGGTTTTCTGTTGAGATAAAAAAGTCAATGGCACTTGAGCTATCGTGACCTCGATCCACTCGGACACCAACTTCCCATCTCAACCACACCTTTTTGAATTTTCCCTCCTTTTTGCCATTTTTCAATTAAAAAAGGTGTGGTTGAGATGGGAAGTTGGTGTCCGAGTGGATCGAGGTCACGATAGCTCAAGTGGTAGAGCAGCATCAAGCCGAAGATCGTGGGTTCGAATCCTGCTCGTACCATTGACTTTTTTTATCTCAACTGAAAACCTTAATTAATTGTAAAACATTCTTAGCCTTAAAAAAAGGTTTTAATTGTTTCCTTTTTAATGTGTTTCTGTATTTTGAGTCATCCTTTTTATTTTGTTAAATTAGATTAACATTAGCGCTAGCGCAATTTTCATTTCAGTTAAGTTTTGCAAATTTATTTTATTGGCAACATTCGTAACTACAAAACAAACAAAAATAATAAGACCCACAACATGGCCAAAGATTTTATATTGTCATTGTAGCGACAACACTACAGGTATCTAATTTTGTTATAAGAATGATTTGACGTAATTTTATTATAACGATGGTAGAGGATTTATTTATCAAATATAAATCTATAAAGCTGTGTTAGAAATTAAAACAAAATTTTTGATGACAAACCATGGCCCATTATAGTTTGATCAAGCATATGGCAAGGCAAATCTATTAAATTAAATAATAATAAAAATGTAGAGGAAACACAATTTGACTGAAAACTAGCCCTGACTGGCTAAAACACTGATATGTCCAAACATTTGCAAAATGAATAAATATTTTTTTTAAAAGTATTGATGTCATTTTTTTTAAGTTCAACTATTTGTTTGACTTTTAATATTATAAATAATTATAATTTTCTTTGAGAAAAATATTGAAATGTTTTCAGGCGGATGCAATTTCTACTTTCTATTCGACGGCATTGGCGGTTTTTCAATTTTTAAGGCAAAATTGTGATTTCTGCTGAAACTTTTTTTTTTAACTAATAACTTGTAAAATGTATTAGTATTCTTTTATAAATCGGTAAATTTTATAAAGGAAAAGTACGCCAAAAAGAAGTGTGTTGTGCACGTTAGCTTTGACGTGCTGTGATGTTTGTTGGTGCACCCACCCACGTTGTTGGGAAGCAGTCTTTAATTTTGTACTTTTTTTTTAAAAACTCAGTCGAATTTAGGTTAATAAATAATTTACATAGAAAAACTTTTTTTAAGGAAAGAAGTTTTTCACCTTGATTTGGACGGTTTCTTTTCCTACGAAGTCCAAAGTCTTCAGATTCGGCTTGAGAAACAAGTCGTAATGGAGTGGTGTGACCGTTTTTGGGAGGCGTTCGAACTCTTTTTTCTCTGGCATCGCGTCGAGTCGAAGTGTCCTTTTGAGAATTTGAAAAGGTTTTACGTCGTTTTTAACGTCTGTCTCGGCTCGTTGGCGTCCCAGGAGTGGAGTACTACTGACACGTATATTACGGCGATCGTAACGGTACCGCTTGGCAAAACAGAGGTGAACCGGTTTGGGAGGACACGTACGAAACACTCGGAGTAAAAACCAAGTCATGATCCTGTCATTCTGTGGTGTACCATGGCACCAATGATCGTGGAGGGGAGGCGCATGCGCACAGTACCCAACAGAAAGCCACGTGACATGCCATTATCAAGAACGTTTTTACTCACAACCCATAAATAATTATTATTTATGTTATTTGCATAATAAACATTAAAAAAAATTAAAAAACAAAACAAAAAAACTGTTATATATTTAAAACCTCATAAATATGCCTACCATTTTGAGGAACATGAATAAACATTACAAAATTCCGTGAAACTACATATTTTTTTGCATTTTTTTCTAATCGTAATAAAAGTAAAGCTAAGCAAAACTGCTCGATTATTTAAAAAAAAATCTGTACACGTTTTCACACAAATTATGAACAGTTGTTAATATTCCAACAATAATAATTACAGACAAACATATAGCGACTGAAAATTGTTGAAGTTTTTATTATTATTTATGTGTTATTTCTTGGTTGTTTTTGTTGTACTATGTTCATTTTGTTCTTAGGATACTGGTTTATTGTATGCATGCTTTGTTTTGCCCATTTCTTGTGTTTTTGTTTATATATGTGTGTTGTTTGGGGATAATTGTTTTATGTTTATCTATGTGGTGTTTTATCTATTTCTTTATTTGTTTAGGTCTTGCTTGTTGATTGAGATTATTTATCTCTTGGCTGTTTGCATGTTTATAAGCTTCAGTATTTGACTAAGTACATTTTTTAAGTATTTGTTTGGGCTTATTAGTTGCTTGATAATTGTAATATGTACGATTAGGTTATTTTGTTTTTTCTTAGGATGTTGGGTTATATACGTGTGCCTTGTTTGTCTAGTTTTTAGTTTCTGTGTTCATTTAAAAATATTTTTGTTGTTATTATTAAATTATAATTATTATTAAATATTTTATTTATTCATTTTTAAAAAATATGTGAATTGATTTGAGATTATGTATTTGTTTGTTTGCATTTATTAGTTGCTTCATAACAAATGCTGTTTTGTCCATTACAGTTTGTAGTCCAATCGAAGTCACGATAGTTCAACTGGTAGAGCAGCGGCGTATTTAGCCAAAGATCGTGGGTTAGAATCCTGCTCGTGGCACTGACTTTTTTTATCTCGACCTTTCATAAATATTAATTAATTGTATGTTTTGTGTTCATTTTGCTTTTTTTTGTTGGTTAAATATGCATGCTTTGTTTTTATATGTATGTATTGTTTTCTCTTTGTGGTTGTTTGTCTACATTTCTATGCAGATTTGAGATTATTTATGCATTTCTTGGATGTATGTGTGTTTGTTAGTTGCTTGGTAAATATATGTTCTTTATTTTCTTATGTATTATTTGTTTATTTTGTAATTATCTTTCATTGTTTATTTATCATATGAATGTCTTGTTAGTCTACTCTTTGATTTTCTCTTTATATGAGTTTGTTGATTTAAAATTATTTGATTGTTTTGTGTTTATTTATGTATTTTTTGGGTGGTTGTTTATATGTGTTCATTTTTTTCTGTTGACTTATTATGCATGCATTGGTTTGTCTATTTCTTGGTTTTTATTTAAATACGTTTGGAGATGATTTAATTTTATTACATTTATATGTGTGTGTTGTTTTATCTTCTTATTTGACTGTGTTTGGGCATTTATTTGAGATTATTGATTTAATTAAATTAATTTATTTTGTTTCTGTGTATTAATGGCTTTTAATGTATGTGTTGTTTTGTTTATTTTGCATTTTTCTTTGGTTATTCGTTTTTTATATGTGTGCCTTGTTTGTCTACTTTTTAGTTTTTTGTTTATGTGTCTTGTTTTTTAAATAATTTAATGGTTCAGTGCTTGTTTGGGTAGTTATTGAATGCTTGTTGTTGTGTGTGTCAATTTGTGATTACTTGGGTTGTTGGTTGTTTATTTGTGTATTTCTTGGGTTGTTGGTTTATGCATATTTATTTATTTGTATTTTAAAATGTTAAATGAGTTGTTTTTAGAATTTTCAAACAATACAATGTTTTCTAAATTTTAATTGTAATACCTAATGATCAGTGTAGAAATAAATATTTATGGAGACCAATTTTTATTATCAAAATAATATTATACAATTTTTTTTTTTTTTTTTTTTTTTGGGGGGGGGTTAAAATTAATCAAATTATGCCCCTGTGGAATGTATTATTCATTTTTGAAAAACGGGTAAGGCATGCCTGACCCAATTTTCATGCCAACGAACTTTTTGAAAGTTCTCAATGTTCTTTTGTAAATCTGGGCGGCCGTTGTCAGGGAAGTTAGAGAACCAATCTAGCAACTGGTTCGTGAGTTCGTGTTGGTCCTTGAAAACGTAGCCGTTTTCCCCGTGCCTTACAAGTTCGCTTACACTTAACAGACAGAAAGAAAAATTGAATACAAAATTCTCAAAAGGGTTTAAATAATTATAATACCAATTAAAGTCCATTGCGAGAACAGGAAGACTACAACCGTACATGTCAACCACTTTCATCGGAAGGTCCACACCACTCGAAGACGTGTGAAGACTAACACCAAGATCTGCACTACCTAAATGAAAAAGTGAATCAATTTTATGGATGATATTAATTTAAAACAATATATAAATGAAGTTTGATATTTTTACAGTCTGTTTTATGTTCACGTACATGCATGTTTGAATTGAAAAATTATACAATCCTAACAATTCACTAATTTCGTGGTCAGCTTGACCAATTAATACATTACAATTAATTAAGGTTTTTAGTTGAGATGAAAAAAAGTTAATGGCACGAGCGGGATTCGAACCCACGATCTTCGGCTAGATACGCCGCTGCTCTACCACTTGAGAGCTGTCGTGACCTCGATCCACTCGGACATCAACTTCCTATCTCAACCCCACCTGATGAGTTTTCCCTCCTTTTTGCCATTTTTTAAATGACGTGTAATCGGATTGGATTCTCAACGACAAATGAAATGGCCACGGAGAGCATTAGTGGTGTTCTTCATTTGAATTCATTAAATATGCGTATCTAGCTGAAGATCGTGGGTTCGAATCCCGCTCGTGCCATTAACTTTTTTTCATCTCAACTAAAAACCTTAATTAATTGTAATCCTAACAATCTTGATTTTATTAAATCTACTAATGTTACTATTAATTTACCAAGGAGTAAAGGATAATCTTCATCTTCAAGCCAAGGAGTAAGTATTTTAACCCTATTCCATTCTGTTCCTTGTATTATTTCTGTATAATATTCTTTCAACGGCCCTCTTCCTGTTATGACGCAGAACAGAACCGGCAGACTTTCCCTCTCAGATTTATCATACTCTGTAAAAACAAATTTAATTAAGCTTGATTCTCTAATAATCCTGATCTGTATATTTTCAATGCTTTTTGGTAATGAATATCTAAAATTTCCATAATTTCTCAATAAAACAAAGACATTGAAAGAGAACAATGCTGAAATATAACATTATAAACTTTACAAAAGGACATGATTGATAAAATAACACGGAGCAACCACTGAAGATGGTGAAGTTTTGAAATGTGTTTGTAAGACTCGGCGAGAACCAGGATGATCGAAGACAAATAAAATACCTATAAGTGCTGACAGTAGGATGTTGAAATCTTCATCTTCCGTCCAGCTCGTGCTTGATACAAGAAGGCCAGGACGATCAGGCTGCAATCTTGTTTCTCCGTTGATAATTTCTGTAAAAGCTGTTTTATGAAGAGGCCCTCCGAGGACGGGGTAGCACTGAGCCAGGCGAGTGAATAAACGGTGTTTCTCTTCAACCGTAGCCCTCCTGAAATGTTCTGGCGCTCTGTCGTACAAAACGTCCGCCCTGATTGAAAATTGAAAGTTAGAACACCATACAAATCTTTTTATTAATTATTTTCCTTACTCGATTGCCCATCGGTTCTTTAGATCGTTTTTCATCGCACTTGTTACACAAAAATTAGCATGAGCTTTCTTTCCAAAAAAGGATTCAAACCAATAAGAAATTTGAACTAGCGGCGACCCTTCTCCTAGTGTAAGTGCCATTATCGAATAAGCATAGTTATGCCAGTCGATTATAAATTTACATCTTGCTACTAAACAATAAAACCAAACAATGGCAAAGACTGGGAGTGCAGGAGGTGTCTCCGTTAGCACATAATGAGGCCTTCTGTTAAACAGTAGGCAACACAATAATGTCAAGCTCTGCCAAATCACTTTAAAACCATAGGCTAAAATCCTGGGGAAATCTAAAACAAAAATAAAATAAGACAATTACATGGATTTAGACTTAAACTCTTTGTTTTGCACATATTTCAAAGGCAAATAACACATTTCAATGTTAAAACATCTTAAGAACTTCAAAAATCTGAAATTAATTAACTTTCTAAAACAAATTTTATTTGCTCATACTGGCAATATTCATTAGTAAGTTTATTTCGAGAATGAAACTTATTTTGTATAACATAGCAAAAATATTTTACTAATACTGTTTGAATTTTTGTTTTTAAATTTTCATTGTACATAGTTTGAACTTTTAACAAAGTACCACAGTTTACCCAGCTGTAAATTATAGAGAACTTAAGATAATTTCAGGCTTATAAATTAAGCTTTTTTGCCAATTGGTCTCTTCTAAATTTATAAATCTAATCAATCAATCAAAATCTTATAGCATTTACATCTTTTTTGTATTTTGGACGAATAGTTGGGCTACCAGGATAAATAAAAATGCGGGGTCGTAAATTTTTGGTTTAAAAATGTTTAGATAAAGTGTTTTGGTCAGAAAACTCTTGTAATTTCTATTAAGATTTTGTTATATATTTGTGATAATTTTTTATGTTTTTTCCGTGTCAATTGAAGTACATTTCCCCTTCGTCATAATCATCTTGACGAGTTTTCAAAAATTTTGCTTTTAGAATTTTTAGAAAGCAGTAACTTTTATGAGTTTCAATTATCTTTTGAGATCTTAGGTTCAACTTTCCATATATTCCATTATTTCTTATTTTTTTAAGGCCAAATTGTGACAGATTTTCTTTGAATGATTACACTTCTGATGGTAGGCGTTGGTCTGTAAGACGGTGAACACGTTGAAAGTTCCTCATTACAGATGGCACACACACTGTTGCTCTATGGAGCCTTCTTGGCTCCATTTTTGCAAGCTTGCAACATGTGTGCCCTCCCCCCTCTGTGTCGGTGTTCTTCCAGCAAAGAAAACCATTTTCAAAGGGGGTTGGGACTAAATTTCCTGATAGTTCATCTATACCATACAAGGATGGTTCAGAAGAAGAGAAATCACAGAAAAACAGACTTGCAAGCCTCCGTATAACGCGAGCGATGAGAACATGTCCCACAGTCGGTTAAAATGACCTCAAGAAGATCCAATACATCAATTTAATGTCCCACAGTTCGTATGGAGAAGTTATTGGGATTTATCCCCCTACACCACATGATAATTAGGACATCACAGAAAATTATTATTAGTATTATTAAAGAGAAATATCCAACAAGAATAAAACTAAAATGGAGATATAGCTACAGGCCATCCAATATTCATGGCTTCGAGAGATGACATGAACAGGATGTTTGAATTTAATCAAAACTTTCAAATAAGCATAGGTACCAAAAAAGAATGGGAAAGAGAGAAAAACACCTCCTTTAAAATGGCACCATCTGTTGGTACACAGATGGATCTAGAACAAAAGAAGGTACGGGGCAGGAGTATTCGGTCTTGGAGCCAAATACTCAGAACCCATGGGAAAATACACCAGAAGATGAGGTCTATTAGGTAATTTGAATAAAGGGTAGAAAAACAAGAACATAGCTATCATGTCAGATAACCAAGAAGCCATCAAAGCACAAAGCATTAATTCAAAGATGATGTTGAACTGCAAAACCAAACTAAACACATTAGGTAAGCAGAACAAAGTCAGCCTTTGCTGGGTCCCAAGATATGTGGGAGTAGTAGGCAACAAGAAAGCGGACACCCCTTCAAGAAAAGAGGCAGCTATACTGTTAAAAGGACCCGAACCCTTCTGTGGCACAGGAACCCACTCTATCAATGAGTACCTCAGGCAGAAGGATAAAAAGAAAATGAGGGAACAATGGAACTCACTCATTGGACATAAATAATCCAAGAACCTCCTAACAAATGTTGGAAGGAAATAAGTAACAGAATGCATCAAAGAAAGTAGGAAAAAACTGTGAATCCTAACAGGATTTTTAACAGGACACTGCAAAATAAGACATTTAAAGCAGGGCATAAACCAACATGTGCAGAGTCTGAAAAGACAGAGGAGACACCAACTCACCAATCAACAAACCGTGGTGTTACACTTACCCGCTTTGGGACATACAATGCAACCGCAGAAGAAATCCAATCACTGAAACCAGGCTACTAATCAAATTCTTTGATGAATTAGGACTCACCAGTGTGCTATAAGCACAGAACAGGGTATACAATAGCTCTTAAACAGCACAGTATAAAATACACCCTGATAAATCATCTACATCTACCATACCGCTCATGCTTCCTACGAAGAATCTGAAAGTTAACCCTGTCAAAAGCTTTGGATGTCATAGCGTAAAATCTATCGCCCAATTCGAGTTTTTTGTTAATAAAATCGTTGTAAAGAAGTTGGCTGAAGTAAAAGCGCTCCTTGACAAAACTATGCTGCTCAGGAATGATGATATGTTTAAAAGTATCATTCAAAAGGTCAGCAAAAAAGGGTCAAGAATCTTAGCAATAATTAAACATTTAACAACTGGTAATTAAGCAATTAATAAGTTAATAAGAAGATTGGCATAACCCAGCATGTGCAGATTCTGCAAAGAAGCAGAGGAGATACACACCTATTAACAAATTGTGGTGCTACATTTGCCCGCAGGAGGAAGTGTTTTGACGTCCAATGAGTGTAGAAAAAATTCAACCACAGAAACCATGCCTAATAACCAAGTTCCTTGATGAACTACGACTCACCAGTGTGCTATAAGGGGATACAATAGCTCTTAAATTATAAAATACACCCTGACTAATCATCTACATCTACCATACAGGCTTCCTGAGAAGAATCCAAAAGTTAACCCCGTCAAAAGCCTGTCATAACATGAACACTGTGGCCCAATTTGAGATTTTTATTAATAAAATCATTGTAAAGAAGTTGGCTGAGATAAAGCGCTCCTTGACAAAACTGGTGCTTAGGAATGATGATATGTTTGAAAGTATCATTCTAAAGGTCAGCAATAAAAGTATGAAGAAACTTAGCGATAATCGAACATTTAGCAACTAATAATTAAGTATTTAATTAATAAGTTTATTAATGTTTCGTGAGATTTATTCTTCAGGCTGCAAAGTATCTGTAGTTTGGTTTCCAATTATTTGGTCTGTCTGATAGGTCTCGGCTTTTCAATATCTTCAATGAAAGGTCTGTGATCAAATTTAAAAATTTATTGTTTATAAAAGATGTTAGTAGAAGCCTTTAAAGATTTTTAAAAATGAGGTTCTTTAGCTGGAAAAATGCAAGAGTTCTGGAACCTTGCTCCTTACAAGATATCTGCAAGTATTACTTTGAAGGCCTGCGGTTCGGTTTCAGCCTGCGGTTCTACCACATAAATTTTTATGATCTGGCATTACAAAACAGATTTTCAGCCTGACAGTACAGTTTTCTTTGTTATGATTGATTTTGACTTTTTTTTAGGACTGTTGACAAATGTCACATGTCCATGTAAAACACAGGAGGCAGGTTGTGAGACTCACATTTATTTAAGTCAGGAACTGATGGTAGATATTTCAGGTTGACGTTTTTGTGGTCTGTCAGTGCCTTTTTTGGCTTGGCACCTTTATAGGCGACAACGTCGACATGGAAACCTTCACGTGCCAGGGAAATGCAATGGTACTGGAACCTCGGACTCCTGCCAAGATCGGAAAGCCCGACGATGCAGACGTTCTGTGACATTTCCACTCCTAGCCTCGACGATCAAAAAAACCCAACGATCAGGATTGATCATCTGCTAATGATAACATCTATCTCACGTAGAAAAAAACGGATTAGACAAAAACAAATCCACCAAGGCAAGATATTTAAACGACAAAACATTCACAGATAACGATTTGTTTACTCTGCAGTACCCTGTATAGTGACGTATTCATGAGACACGTACTAACTTCCCCTTGACAATGACGTCTTTATTGGAGAATTGAATTTTATTGATTTCATAAACAGACCTATTTACAAAAATATAAAAAATATATATTCATACGAGATATGTATAATAAAAAAATTTATATAATAAATCCTGAGAGGTTTTTTTGACTAACCTTTGAAAGGGTAGTATCCTGATGAGTTTGGTGCTTTTCTGGTACCTGCGGATTTCTTTAAGGGTAACGGCTTCTTGACTCCTCCGGTCCTTGTGGCTGAATTTCTGGACATTGGTGGTCAATTCCAGAGGATTTATGTGCTGTCTGCTTAGTATGTGCCACTGAGTATGGTCGTCCTTAGAGAAATCCGTTGATACCAGAAGAGCATTGAGCTCCTCAGAAGTTGGTCAAAGAAATCACCCAGGATTTCAAAACCAACTTGCGTTTCCAAAGCTGAGCCTTTATAGCTCTAAAAGAAACTTCAGAAGCCTACCGGTTAATTTTAGAAGGCATGCAGTTCAGATCTCAGCTTTTCTGCTGCAAAGTCTGACTTTTTAAGATTGTATGAATAGTTGACTTTTTAGATGGTTTGTAAGTTTACAGGGCCGTATGACAAGTTCTGAATTTTCGAATATTATAATCAGTGATTTTTTTAACCAAATTTGAAAGTTCTGAGGTCAACAAGATCTCAACTTATCTGCTGTCTGCTTAGTGTGTGCAATTTTGAGCAAATGGCCTGAAACCGTTGCGCTGAGAGAAATTCATAGATACGAAAAGAGTTGAGCTCCTCATCAGGAAACTCCCCTCCCAGGTGTCCAGAGAAATCATCCAGGATATCAAAACTAACTTGTGTTTCTAAAGCTTAGCCTTTATAGCTCTACAAGAAGCTTCTGAAGCCTACTGGGTAGGTCTTTTTGAAGACACAAACTTCGGATCTTAGCTTTTCTGCAGCAAAGTCTGACTTTTTAAGATTGTATGAATAGTTGACTTTTTAGATGGTTTGTAAGTTTACAGGGCCGTATGACAAGTTCTGAATTTTCGAATATTATAATCAGTGATTTTTTTAACCAAATTTGAAAGTTCTGAGGTCAACCAGATCTCAGCTTATCTGCTGTCTGCTTAGTGTGTGCAATTTTGAGCAAATGGCCTGAAACCGTTGCCCTGAGAGAAATCCATAGATACCAAAAGAGCAGGAAACTGCCCTCCCAGGTGTCCAGAGAAATCACCCAAGATATCAAAAACAACTTGTGTTTCCAAAGCTTAGCCTTTATAGCTCTACAAGAAGCTTCTGAAGCCTACTGGGTAGGTCTTTTTGAAGACACAAACTTCAGATCTTAGCTTTTCTGCTGTAAGATCTTAAAATTTTTAAAATTTTATGAGTAGTTGACTTTTTAGAAGGTTTGAAAGTTTGCTGGCTCTTACAATATGTTCTGAACTTTTGAGTATTCTTATAATTGACTTTTCTACAAGATTTGCAAGTTCTGAGGTCATCCAGATCTCAGTTTATCTGCTGTTAGAGCTGCTTAGTAGATGCCATTATTTAAGTAGCACAAGGCTCGCCAAGAAACTTCTGAATCCTACTTGGTAAGTCTGTTTTGAAGACACGAACTTCTACGCCATCCACACCAAGAGGTCAGCAACATGTATATAATAAAACTTTATAAAAACACAAAAAAAAAACATTAATTCAAAACCAGTGAAACTCACATATGACAATTATATATGACATGGTGGACAATTATATCAATTTAATATTATGCAATATATACCAAAAATTTAATTTCATTTCACTATTACAAAGAAAAATATGAAATTAATAATTATGAAATATAATAAATTAATGCATAATAAATATATAATTATAATTTGGGGCATCAGTGGCAGGCATTGATGTGGCACTCATCACTGTAAGGTAAAGGTCCCGAGTTTGAAACCACTCCTGAGAGGACTGGAATTTCATTGTATGGAATATATATATATATATTATGCAGGGTGTGTGACCAAGACCTGAGGGGTTAAATTCCTGGGTAGACTCGTACCCCATCCTTAAAAGGTCCAGGACTTGGTTGGTTCACGTGTATTGCATAAATATCTTGGACTTGTTCACAAACCCCAAGATTTTGGACCATTTAATCTCGGTGAGTATTTGGTGATGTCCTCTCCTTCAAAGATTTCAAATCTAGACCTAGCATACACTCTGCAAGGTAGTGCCTGTATGGAAATTAGTAGTAGTTAATGATTGTCACAACTTGCTTCCTATTGGAAAGAAACGATCTAAACCGTAGATCCAAGAGTCAAAGCAAGCAATTCTCAAGGTTTACTTGGTTCAAAGCTTTAAAAAGGTCTGTATGTATGTAGTGTCAATCTGTAAGTTATTCTCAAATGATTCGATAAGGAAAGCCAATTAAAATGTATTAAGCAATATGCAAATAAAAGCTAAATTATAATAAATACTTATAGCTGTCTTTTTCTCATTTGATTAGCATACAATTGAACTTGGATCTTTGAGCTGGACAGTTATTTTTCCTTTAACTCTATTGAAAATTATTTAAGTATGGTATTAAGCCAGTGAAACAGTGTAACTTGCATATGTGTACATTGCTACTTGAAACAAGGCGAAAAACTGTTCATGCCTGAAATATCATAAATCAAGAAAAACTCTGGCTTGCTGAGGACAATGGCAGAAAATCAGTTTATGGTGAGAGATAAAACTGTCTTTATATAGAATTATAGTAAATTATTGGTTAAAGTAACACAATTTGTTGAATTAAAATTTAGTTATTTACTTATATCATTGATTATAACTTTTCATGTTTATATTGGTTAAACACAATATTGTTCATAAAAAATTTTCTTATTTTAAATTAGTTTTTATAAATATTTATAAAGTAATTTTTAAAAAATAATGGGGGTGATTAAGTTTACAAATAGTAATAGAATTATTGTAATTATGGATGTCAAAGGTTCACAATAATAAATAAGCCTACCGTTAAATTTATTTTGAAAAAATATAAACTAAAGAAGTTCAATTTAGGTTTATAACATTTTGTTTTAATAGATAACATGTGATCCTCTAAATGATGAAATTTTGGAATTATTTACATATTTCTAAAGCGTTTCGCTTTCACTCATTTAGATATTATTGCTTAAAAGAAGACAGAGCTTTCATATTATAATTTATAAGTAATATCATAATAATTCAGAACATTTAATGTAATGTGCTTAGATTTACAGTGGAAGGGAATGTATTTGACTAGAAAACAAACACTGCTTCTATAATTTTGCTCTAATGCTTAAATAGAAATGAAATGATGTTTTGAAACGTATTCTACTAGTCCCTAGGGATCCTTTTAATAAATGATGATTATCTTGTTTTTCTGACCCAATTATTTTTCATTATTTGAATGTTTCCCCTGTTGCTTTTTGTAAGATCAAAAGGCAAAAATGAAAGGAAAATTTACTCCACTAGAATTTTTTCAACAAATGATTTAAGGTCTGCCATTTCCTGAAAAAAAAAAAAAAAAAAATTAAAAAATATTGTAAACGTAATTGTTAAAATATAGTAATAATTTCCCACATCTTCGTTGGATGAATGTCCGAGACCCTTGTATGTCTTGAATTCGACATTGGAGTTTAGTTGTTTTAAGACAGATGCAGTCATTTGCCCCCATTTGTACTGAACGAGGGGGTCACAGTCGCCGTGTGCTTGTAGGATAGGAGTTGCTTTATTCCCAACAGCCAGCTACAGAAAAATATGCTTTAATAATCAAAAGAAGGAAAAAAAAATATCTGCTAGACATACCCGGGGGAATTGTTTGTGGAGTGGAAGCCAACAAGAAAGTGCCATCACACCTCCAAGCGGTTTTTTATAAGTGAACGCTGAATAAAGCGCAAGCGCTCCTCCTTGCGAAAAACCACCAATTACAATTCTTGTCGAATTTATTCCTTAAAAAAACCCCTCGTTAATTTTAAATTAATCATTCAGCGGATTATTGTTTAATACCTGCTTGCTCTTCAGCATGAATTATCTGGTGGATGTTTTCAGCAGCTTTTTTAATACCAGCCTCATCCTCGTCAGTCGAAGCGTCAAGTGCTTTTAAATCAAACCAAGAAGGCATTTTAAAACCGTTGTTCCATGTAACTGGCATTGTAGGCCTGTACAAAGAAAAATGAATAAATTTTTTAATTCCTTATGAAGAAAAAAAAAAAAAAAGCCTTACGCAGTCGGACAGATGACTTTTGCAAAAGGTGGCCTAATAGCACCGATCGCACTTGCCCAGCCATGTCTTAAAAATACATAATTTTAATTAATAACTAAAAATAATAAAACACTGTTTTAAATATTACCCTGTGTCTCCAAGACCATGGAGGAATATGATCTAAAACAAAATGTAAAACATTAGTTTATTATGTCAATTACTTTTGAAATAAAAATTTTATTTTAGTTGATTAAATAAGCTCTTATAAAAAGGTTTAGGGTTTAAATAATTAATATATTACAAAACACTTAGTAAGCCTTGAAAATATAAAACAATGTTTAATTTAAACACTGCAAAATCATTATTACTATGTGTCACAGCCATTTAAAGTATAACTATTGAATAATAGTGCCATTGTGTGTAATGAATTTGAACATTTGATAGCAAGTCACAAATCAGAATATAATTTATAAGGTTTTGGATCGGGTCCTGAAGAATATTTCTAAACAGTGTTTAATGACGCCAAAGTGTCCAGCATCATTGAGATGTTTTTTGACCCTCTATGATAAATCATTCCACGCCTGTGCATTTTAGCTAACAGCTACATATTAACAATTGTACACATAGAATCATATCTGGTGGACAAGACCGATTCCTTATTAATTTACATTAAAACCCTGCTCGAACCCAAATGCCATAAATTTTGTAAGATTTCTCCATGTGGTTTGCAGGGTGATAATCTGTAATTTGATTGCTGGAGATCATTTAGATCCGACAAAATGATCGATAATGACCAAATTACAGAATACAATTGTTAAAACCATCAGAATTTGTTCAATTCTTTAAAAAAATTATAAATACAACTTTTTTAATTAAATCCAATTGAATTTTTTGTTTTATTGGTTAAGGGTTAATCTATACTGAACAATAATTTGTCCAAAATAATACGGTCCAAGCTAAGGAACTCCATAATAGAGAATCTGTGTTTGAAGAAAACTTCTTTTGTTCCTGCCATTTAACAAGAAAACTTCTTTTAGTTCCAGCACTGTCCAAACAGTGATGGAACTAAAAGATGTTTTCTTCAAACACAGATTCTCTACTATACGGAACACATGAAAAGCTATTTTAGCCCTTGTTCTGTACTTGTAGTATACTGATGTCTTTATTCTTGAAGGAATTTTAATATTAGCGTTTTGTGTGTAATATTAGTGTTTCAACCATGATTTTTCTCTCCAAAAACTTTCTCCTGTGGATAATTGGAACAGTCTGTAAGCAAACACGTATGGGTTTCTTATGCAGAAACGGTTTGCCAAGAAACCTTTTAACATTCCGAGTCTCCCGCATCCCCTATACTGCAATCTGATGTTTGTTTTAAAATCTCGCAATCCTGCCCGTATTCAAAAAGAAATTAAAACAAACAAGTAACATTGAATTTTTCTTTGCCGTCCATACAGTGTCACGTAATACGGAATACTAGAGATGTTTAGTTGACAAGATGAAATAAGGACGGACTGTCTGCACACTCAAGCCTGAACGGTTGTAATACCTTTTGGATTGTTTAAATATGGCAAGGAAAAACATGGGTTGGTGTAGATTTTTTTTGAGGTTTGGTGTACTTTTTGGTGGAACTCCATCATCAAATGTTGAATATCGATGAAGTCTTTAGATTGACTGATTGATTTAGTCTGATTTGGATAATCAGTTGTAAGCAAAAGCTTCTTTGATATTTAACTTTTGTTGGGTTTAGGTTAGAATTTGACATAAACTTGTAAAGATTGTACTGTTGGGTTTTTTAATACACTTTGAAATTAATTTACAGGCTGTTTTTTTTAGATTTTTTGAAAAGTGATTTTTTTTGTTAATTCAATTGCTTGTTGCTTAAATGATGCTTATGTCGTTAATGAGTTTATCTAAGTTTAAACTGCAGGGTCCTGCTGGTCTTATAAAATAAGCAATATAATAAAAAATACATTTTGTTTTTATAAAAATTGAAATACTCACAGTTGCGGTTTGTTTGGTGGTCGCTGCGAGCACGACAGGAGACGTCGACATGTCGGGATATCTCACCTCGCAATTAAACTACAACATAAAAATACAACAATAAAATGAGTTTATAATTGTTTTCCCCCTTTGTACAATTAAATCTCGGAGATTTTTAATTTAATTTTTGTTTTAGACTCGGAACAGCGAAACAGAAGCTGGGCCTAAACAGTAAAACGGTGAGATCAACTGTTCTTTAAGCTCAGAGCTGCCACAATGAAATCCGACTCGATAAAAGTTCTCACAGACTTGTGTGTTTTTATACCGGGGCGGAAAAAGATGCAATAAAAACAAATTTATACGGCAAACGGTTCATTGTAAATTGTATGCAAAAGAGTCTTTGTTTATAAAATAATTCGCGACTGTTTTATTAGCGAGGGCCCCCTACGAGAAAAGGGGAGAACAGCGAGGACAAACGGACCCATGTCCGTCTAAGGCAACCTCCTAGGACCAAAAAACCAGATTAAAGCACTCATTACAAATTCGAACGAGTGGTACGTTAACTTTGTCCATCAATGTACTAAAAAAAGGTTAGTTTTTTTTCGGTTAATTTTAATAAACCGGAATGAGTACATTATAATTAAAATAAAGAAAATTAATTTAAGCCGCAAAATAATGATTTTATTTAATATTTGTATATCAGCTACGAGGTTATATGAACCTAAAAAATAAAGATATGATTTATTTAAAAAAATGTTTTTGCTCTAGTACTTTTTTAAATGAAGAGGGTTTAACAATATACAAATCAAATTTATTTGGTATTGAAAAAACTATAATTTTTTGAGTTAGAAAACTCGATATAATTAACAAGTGGAAAATGACTATATTGTAAAATGAATCATTATTACACCTCCTTAAGATTAAAAAGTAGAATTTTGCCTACTTCTAGAAAGTTTATTCATATAAATACACTAAAAATCTATTTAAAAGCAATAAAAATTAATCGATTACAACTTTATTTGGTGTATGCAACTGTAAAACTTTTATATAAATTTTCATGGAATTTTTTAAAGAAATATTGGAAAAATCTTTGTTTTGCTGTATAATTGTAGTTTTAAAAAATCTAAGGTCTTGGTTGATATGAAAAAGTTAGTGTCACGAGCGGGTTCGAACCGACGAACTTCGGCCGAGCGGATCGAAGTCATGATAGCTCAAGTGGTTAGAGCAGCGGATAGCCGAAGGTCTTGGGTTCGAATCCCGCTCGTGACACTAACTTTTTCGTTTCAACCAAGACCTTAGATAATAAAAAAAGAGTTAATTGAAATAATTAATATGGTCAATTATGACAGCTAAACTTATATGAACTAATTTTTAATATTTACATTCAAGTTGGATAAGTTGTATTAGCATATAATTTAAACAAAGAAGGAAGGATTTAGTGGTTTTTGCTTTCCTGGGTGCAGTTGTTTTAGAAAAAATATTCTAAGCAAAACCAAAAATTGAAAAAAAAATACAAAATACTCACTGATGTTTCAGAGTACACTGAATATCCATAACGCGGATCGTAAAACTTGAATATGTAATCTAAACTTTTCAAACATGCGAAAACAGGCAGTAAACAGAGTTTGAAAACAGAGCAAATTTTCGAATCCAGTTTTACAGTTAACATGTGTTTTAAATTTCTACAGTGGGTATTTTATAAAATTAGTACGTGGCCATCTTACCAGCCTGTAGTGGCAGTGCTTCCAAGGGAAAGACTCTTGCACTTTCTCACCCGAATCCATTCTAATGCTCCGAGCATTACGGACGTGTTGAATTTTGTCTGTGTATGTTGTACATGTCTGTGTATGTCAGTGGTGTATGTTGTCTATTAGACACATGATTTTATCTTACCTCGTGTAAAAAATACTGAATTATTACAACAAAAAAACGAACTTCGAACACATTCATTTTTTTTTCTACTGTGAATAATAAGCTCTTCGAGGCAGGAAATGAGAAATGCGAATGGAGTAGCAACGTAGAAATAATAACGAAGCAGGTTTAGCGAGTATTTAATTGGAATGTCTCCTACTCCTTTCCTTATAGGACTCTAGAAAGTCGAGGCCAAATAATCAAATTTCTAAAAAAATTAGGCACAAACAACCACTCTACTCCAAGATCAAATTATTCGTCATTAAAATACAAGTGAAAATCTTTTGACATTTCTTTCCTTGTCTTCGTGTTATTTAGAAAAAACGATGAAGCATGTATAATATAAGCATGTATAACAATAATTAATATATAATAGCAAATATTAAAACTTTAGCCTATTTTTTTTCTATTTTTTGCTAATTTTCCGCCTGGAAAACTGAGAAAAATGACCAGCAATATTATAAGTTTATACTTTGTTTCATTAAAGCAGCACTTATTTAATAAGAAAGTGTAGTTGAATGAAGCAAGCCATCTTCTTAAGAAAGAAAAAAAATCATATTTTCTACATACCTATTGAAACTTATGCTCATTTAGTCATTTTATTTCAACAGCAGGAAGCTTGATGAAATATTTGGGTTTATGGATAAATTAACGTTTTAAACTTGTACGGATTTCATTGAAGGTACAAAAGTTGTACTTGTTGTACCAAGAGTTCGTGGTCCGATTGACCGAATAACGTTTTTCAATTAATTAATCTTAATATAAGGTATTGGTGGAGATAAAAAAAGTCAGTGTCACGAGCGGGATTCGAACCCACGACCCTAGGCTAAATACGCCACTGCTCTTATCACTTGAGCTATCGTGACTTCGATCCACACGGACACCAACCTCCAATCTCAACCCCACCTTTCGAATTTTGAAGAAGAATTGAAAAATGGCAAAAAGGAGGGAAAATTCGAAAGGTTGGGTTGAGATGGGAGGTTGGTGTCCGAGTGGATCGAAGTCACGATAGCTCAAGTGGTAGAGCAGCGGCGTATCTAGCCGAGGGTCGTGGGTTCGAATCCCGCTCTTGACACTGACTTTTTTATCTCGACTAAAACCCTTAATTAATTGAAAAATTGTTTGTAGTATTCATTTAAAAATTTCCTATTATTTTTTTAATGCCATGGATAGATCCAAATGGAAATCCGATAAATTTAAAAGTCTAATATACTTTAATTACTTTAATACCTTATATAAAGAATAATAACGAAGTTGGAAATTTAAAAAAATGTTAAATTGATGAAGCGACTTCCTCGGACGTTTTTTAATAGACGAATGAATATTGAGTTGTTTTGACAGTTTTTAAAATAGGGGTTTTCGGTTTTATTTTCCTCTTTAAAATCTGGGGTTTCCATTTTCTCGTCTTGCGTTTTTTTACATAAATTTTAATGATGTGACTGTATTGAAAATATTTTTATGTAAGGTTTCGGTTGAAATGAAAAAGTTAGTTTCAAGAGCGGGATTCGAACCCACGACAGCTACTATGCAGCCGAAGGTCGTGGTTTCGAATCCCTCTCGTGACACTAACTTTTTCATTTCAACCAAAACCTTACATAAAAAGATTAATTAATTGAATGAAATAATCTGGTCAATAGACCACTAAATATAATGGATGTATTGAAAATGTATTGCACACGGCTGTGTCCGGAGTCCCTTTTATAGCTCCTGAATTGCTCATATTGAACTTGTACAGATTAATTTTCTTCGATCTGTTTATTACAAATTTAAAATTTATCGGGATCCTCATACTTTTGAAACAATTCTAAGGGCATAGATTATACACTGAAGACTGGTGTGTGACTTTTTTTTTGTATAGTTGTTAAATAATGTTGTTGTTCCTACTCATTATCATTAATCCAGTTTAAAGTTCCTACTTTTCATTCTAGGTCTAAGGACCTATTTTATGTGTAACATGGTGATACAAATTATATTATAAATCAGCCGATGCTAAGAATATTAAGACAGGCGATTGAATGTGAGAATATTTTCTTTTAAAAATATTTTTGTAACGAGGGTCGCAACAGCAGAGGTCATATCAACCCTCAGGGTGCCAGTGTTTTTGAAAAAAAACAAAAAAACGCCCATTTGTAAGTATGTCGGGTTCCAATGCAGGACCGCTGGATTCGAACCCGGGACCTTTACCTTACAGCGACGAGCGCCGAATATGAAAATTGATATTCCAATTTAAAACACAGCATAAACAAATATTTATTGGTACAAACAACAAGACAAATTAAGGCAGAATTTTCCTTTATCGAGAAAATGAAAAAAAAAAAAATCAATTTGGTGGCATTTTTTGCCTGTTTCTGTGCCTGCCACTATTTAGAAAGTGTGGAACAAAATATTTCTTAAATGTCATTTTCGAAGTATAAGCCGTACTTAGTCTTTGGGACCACATACGTATTTATAAATTGTAAAAGGTCTTTGTATTATTGAATACATAATTTTGAGTTTAGCCGGTTCTAATTCTACTTCGTCTATTATAATTTGATTAATACTTTTATTAACTGGTCCATCTATTATGGGCACTGTGATCACAGTGTTGCCGTCAACGTCAGTCGCGTCGTCTCGTTCGGATCATTTGCTTCGTCTGGATCAACATTGACTATCACGGATTCGTTATCTACTATTTCGTCGATCGGTTGTTCCAAATCAGTCAGTTAGTTCAAACTCGGTTAGATTTTCTTCTCGCAACTAGGGAAATAAATCATGTAACAATTCTTCTACACTTTTATAATTTAAACCGTCTATACCAGAAGTTTCGTTGGTATTTATTTCCACTCTTGACAAAGCGTCATAGATAGGTCCCAGTTTCAATCTACATCTTAATAATTTCGTATTTGGTTTTCTCATTGAGAATATAGTAACCGTTGTAACGGGCGGTGGTCATTTAAAATTTGGCTAATATATGGAAATATTCAGTCGCCGTACGATCGCGAGCAATTCCCTTTCAATGAATGAATGAATATTTTTTATTCGTGAACAAGATTTACATTTTGTTATATACGTCTGCGTTAAAAAATTCATTCAGAGTATAAAATGGGTTGTTTTGTTGCAATTTGCAAACTCTTTTTTTAAAGACCCTTGCAGGTAATGTTGTTATATGTACATGTGTTTACTAAATATCTTGACTCCAACAAACTCAAAACTAAAACTAATTTTAGTCTTTGTACAGAATGGATACTAAAATTAGTCTTAGTTTTGAGTTTGTATATATATGTATATATGCAGAAATATATCTATATGTATATATAATTTACAATGTTTTTCTTAATATACGATAACGTGGTATAAATGTACAGGTTTATCACAGTCATAATTTTATATTTACAAAAGACTAACCTACAGGACTCTTTTCTTTTCAAGTAGAATATTATTCTTACATTCATAAAATCAATGATCATTAGTTAAAAATAAAACAGTTTATTGTTATAAAGATAAAAATAATATTTTTTATAATAAATTGTCATGGCGTCCCGGGAAGCAGCGGCGCACTGTTTGGGAATCACTGATGTAAAACTTTTAATAAAGGTATAATACATCGGGATACTCAATTAATTATACACGATTTTTTCGAAATGAAAAATTTGTGTCACAGGCGGGATTCGAACCCACGATTTTCGGCTAAATACGCCGCTGCTCTAACCACTTGAGCTCACCGTGACTTCAATCGCTTGTGCCACAAACTTCCTATTTCGACTCCCCGTTTTATTCCCATTGTAATAAAAGTTTGTGGCATGGGTGATCGAAGTCGCGATAGCTCAAGTTATAGAGCAGCGGCGTATTTAGCCGAAAGTCGTGGGTTCGAATCCCGCCTGTGACACAAATTTTTCATTTCGAAAAATCGTGTATAATTAATTGAGTAATTATATAATTAAGAATAAGCTCATAAAAATAATTAAAAAGTTAGTATAAATCGGGATATATTTAGAATTGGTGCATTTGTCAAAATATTGTCAAAATATTTTTCCACTTGTGAAAACATTCTTTAAATTCGATTTCTTCAGTATTTATGGCTGGTGTCCTTTTTAAATTTTAGCTTGGGTGGTTTCGTTAATTGGGCAAAATTGGGAATGAATTATTTTAAAATAATAATATAACAATTAAGTTAGCCTGGACGGGGGAGAGTGCTATACAGTGCTATATAGACAGCGTGTGTGTGTGTGTATGTGTGNAGAAAATAAGTGAAACTGAGTTAAGATAAGCGAGAAAGAGATAGATAGAGACGGGGAAAGGAACTTTGTGAACGTTTTGAATAATTTTTCAATTAAGTAATTTCATTCTGCAACACCTTTAAGAAAATCATGGTGACTTTCACAACTCCTGAACACCTTGTGTTTATGCCACCTTAACGAACCTTTTAGGGGTGTATACTACCCTTGATGGCAACAAAAAAAAAGAAAGAATAACTTTTCCTTACAAAGAACCGAGTTGGTGACTTAGCAGGGAGGATAAAAAGAACAATGTCCTGTTCAAGGAGAAAATGAACCTTCATTAACCCCTTCTTCTCATTACTACCAGAGCCTGAACAAGGGGGGCAGGGCAATGCTTCACTCTTAACCGTTTCCCGAGAACGAAAGAATCAGATACTTTTCGAAATCAAGTAAAAGGGTTTGCATTAGGGGGAAAAATATAGGAAGATAGGAACGTTTATCTTATCGATTTTTGAACAAAACACACAACTATTCAGAAATGCCGACAGTATAGAGATATTAATTTAAATCGAAGAAACCAATGTAATACAACTTGAAGCTGATAAAAATCAAATATTTTCCCAATTATCCATTGACTTGGGGGAAGAAAAAAGAACTTTTTGAGTTCCACTCCCTGCTGATATATATTGACCATTGTACATTCCACGTATATTATATATTTGAAGAAGTGTAAAGTCGGCTTTGCGTTAAGTACGGTAGATTTTTTTTATTGGTCCTCATTCTGGCGTCA